GTGATGTTTAGACATTAGATCACTCACTCGTGAAGCATAGTATCCAAAACCTGCTCGATGGGGAGAAATTGCCGTTGATCGGAGGGATACCGTAATCTTAAACAAATCTTCTGGCCCGAGTTGACATTCAACCCCAGCAGGTTTCGCTGCTGTGGATAAAACTCACAGAGCGCGCCCACTCTCCAGGCGCGCTGTCGCATGATCGGTTTGACCAATGATGCAACTTTGCGCAGGATCAACAAGGCCTCTGCTTCTCTGGGACGTTTCTTTTCATGGCGGTATTCTGAGATCAGAGGATCTAGCTCCCGCATTTTTTGGGATTTCTGATCAAGGGCCTGGAAAGTACGGTAAAACAAGATGCCGAGAATAGGTGAGATGTTACTGCCTTTGTTTGGATGGCCTCCTCCGAGGCCAGGGTCTAAACAAGAAGATTTCACATCAGAGCAGGACAAAACGATGGCATTACACAGATGGCCTCGCGGGTAGCCAGGAACAAGTCAAAGGAACATAGCCAGTGATGGAAATTCCAGAATCAATCCAAGTTCGGGGTATCCATGGGTGGCCTTTTGGCATTGATAATCAAGCAAGGCACCAACCAATTTGAGGCCTGATATTTTAGGATTCAAACTCGATCACGTGTCTTGGTTTTACATAGTTGTGTAGTGGAATGACAATGGTAGGAGAGACGATTTTGAGTGCAATTAAAATGCTCTATCTGGGTAATACCAATAATTGCTAAAGCGATGATTTTCGTTTAATCTCATATGTTTAATCTCAAATTTGTAGGTATCATCTTGGGTCAAGATATATATTCACAGTATCCTACGTTAATACAGGATAGCCAAGTTTCTAAAAACAATATTTTGCTAGTTTCTCCCTATCTCTGATCACAGAAATTCATATAGACCTTGAAGGAATAAAAAGAACAAGCATAAAGAGCATAACTAGTCCTGCATACTTCCTGTCCTTAACTGTTGTATACAAAGCGCTGCTCATGTGACCTTCCCGATAACACTCTCGGTGTTATCAGCATCCATCTTATCGAACTTTCGCTCTTCTTTTTCTTTCCAACTACTTCCCAAATAAACAAGATGACGAGCGACGACCTATTCTTTTTTGACTACGTGAGTATCATGGAAGGAGACAAAGAATATGTTTGGCGCTGATACTTCCTCACTAGCTCGCGTCTATACCCCATGACGTAAGACGGTATTCCCTCGAAGTCGCAGACTCGATCGACCGACAAGTCGACTATGCCGCACACGCGATCAAGGATACGCTGGCACAGCAGTCATGGCTACCACCCACTGTTCGCCCAGCTCGTGTTTCCCCGAGAACGCGGTCATCGCAAGGCCTGACAGACCGGATCCAAAGCTGGATGGCTCAGAATCGCGCATGGTCGGCGGCCATGCTCGCCTTTCTCGGAACCGGTGTTGTATTATACTATGGAAACAAGAAATTGCACGGAAAACGGAGAAAGGCCAAAAGGGCAAGCAACGGCGCAAGGAAAGAGATTGTTGGTATGTGTCATAATGCCCGCATTTGATCTACACCGGGGTCTGAGTGCTGATTATCATAGTCGTTGCCGGATCGCCACATGAGCCGATGACAAGGGCTATTGCCATGGATTTGGAACGTCGAGGATATATCGTATATGTGACTGTTTCTTCCGCGGATGAAGAGCATATCATCAAGTCTGAGAACCGTGTTGACATCAAGGCTCTCTGGTTGGACCTAACAACTGTAAGTGTTGTTTATGTATGTCTTATACGGGAGAACACAACTAAAATTTGCACACTAGCCATCCTCCTCGCCATCCGAAACCCATCCTTCGTTGCAAGAGCTTCGCTCCTTGATCACTAAACCGCAGTCGCCTATCGCCGGAGTGCCTCCGCACACCTGCCAACTGAGCGGCCTTATAGTGGTCCCATCGCCCAACTATAGCGCAGGCCCTGTCGCAACCATCCCGCCATCATCGTGGGCAGACACAGTCAACACCCGCCTCCTCTCGCCTATCCTCACAGTGCAGGCATTCCTCCCCCTGCTGACTCTCCGCAGCAATAACAGCACTATCGTCTTTGTCAATCCCTCCATATCATCCTCCCTTTCCGCACCATTTGCCGGACCTGAAGTTGCCACAACCCGAGCAATCTCAGGCTTCGCAGCCTCGCTTCGCCAGGAACTTCGTCTCCTCGAACAAGGCAATGTCGACGTCGTCGAGCTGCAGCTGGGCAATATCGACTTAGGGCCCGCCTACCGAAATGGCCAGAATCAGATCGCAGGCACAGAAGTCCTCGCATGGAGTACCCAACAGCGAGCCCTTTATGCCTCACAGTATCTGTCCAGCGTTGAGCAGCGCCCAGTTGCCTCTGCTGGTCCCAGCACAGTACGCGGGTCTCCGGCACGGAACCTCCATTACGCTATTTTGGATGCTTTGGAGCCCACCTCGCGGAATATGTTCGGCCGGAAAGTGTCCAAGAAGCCTGTCATGTATGTGGGCCGGGGAGCTCGGTCGTACAGCCTGATCGGGGCCTGGGTTCCCAGAGGACTAGTGGCACTGATGATGGGGTACCGCAGTGGGAATGGGATGAACTCGGAGACCCCGAGTGGCAGCGGCAGTGAAACCAGCTGGGAGAGAGTTTAAGCTCGTGTACTATGCTCGACACACCTCCCTTCATGCCATTCTCATCTTTAATATGTCAAAAGCACTCGCTTTGAATAATGTTTTTTTTTGTACATAATATCATTGGAAATACTCTTCACTCCTAATAGCACTGTTCTGTGCGGTTTTGCCATTCACATCATCACATACTAACATATAGTCTCGAAGCGACACAATTATTAGATTAGCAGTTACCTAGTCGGATATCATTGGGCTTACGCCGCACTATCCCATGCCTATGCACCTAGACAATTCCCCCAGAAGAAGAAAATCGACCCATCGCCTTACCCCAAACCGACACACCCTTCATCTCAGTCGATTGCCCACCACCACACGGCCGAACAAAACCATCGTGCCCGCAAAGCGGATCGCGTCTCGTCCGCTTAATCTTACCGTGCGTCAGTCGGCGACGCAAATGAATCAGCGCCCAGGAAACAAGGAAGCAAACCAGAACCGCAGCCAAGATGCCGAAACAGTATCCCACCACACGCTTGCTCTTCTGTCCGTGTTCGCCGACGTCGAGGAAGGTGTATGGGTACCAGCCCTCGGTTTCGTGGGTGATATATGCGACGCAGAGGTATAACAGGAGCATGAGGATTAGGAATGGGATTGCAATGAATGGGTGCGGCGCTGTGGCTGGGAGTATGATTTCCAGGAGGGCGTAGACGGAGTTTAGGCAGTGCTGGGAGATCTAGAAATTGGGGATTAGCTTGAACTGTGGCTTGTAGCAAGTGTCTTTAGCTTTTTCGCTGTATATCTGCGGAATGGAGAAATGTTGCGGGGATGGGATTGGAAGGTAGAGCTTCTGATATGTCAATGTCGATGCCCAGGTTCTTGTTTTGAACCGATCCCACTGGCTGAATCTTATTTATTTGACGAGGACATATCGGAAAGAAAGCACAGTGGAAAAAAGCCGAAAGATGATACGTACATTTTGCCAGCCGGTGAATTTCTTCTTGTACCACGGCGGAGTGAAGAGTACAGCCCAGAAGACAACCGTAACGAGGAACGGGTACGTTGTGATTGTCACATACAACAGGCTGTGTAGCACTCGAAAGGCCCGCGGCCAGTAATTGAGGAGAACTGAATGACCCGTTCGTGCGTAGAAGGCTGTATGGACTGCAGCGAATAGCATGTAGAAGCCAATACCCCAGTAAGTCAGCCAGGTGAAGTAGCTGAAGGAGTGACCGATCGAAGCGTGATCATTGTGGGTGCCATACCAGCCCCAGAAGACGAAGATGGAGGTGAAAATGTACAGTGAGATCAGACCGCGAAGACCGGCGAGGATGGCGGGGGGTAAGATCCAAGACGTCTCGAAATGGTGCTTGTTATCGGTAGTCGGGTCGACTCCGAAGAGAGTAGTTAGTGAGGGTCGAGGCATGTTGTTGTGTGTCTGGTGGTTTCGTTGTATCTCAGGAAAATTGAAGCCAAAGAGGCGAACAAGCAAGAAAAAGAAGATTAGCCGTACATGCACTGGCTTAGGCGGGCAGTAAGTCGATGGTTAGATGCTGACATTGGAGCTGGGGTAATCAATGGCTGCTTTCCCGTGATATAGAGTGACCTCGCAAGCCGTTCTGCACCTTGAGGCTTCCATAATGAGGAGAGACCAGAGCCAGTCATGTAGGCAGCTTTTCTCTAGTCTCACCTTTGATTCATTTTGTTCCGGCAAGCAATGACTCTACACACTGAAAAGAGTTTGAAGACTTGTAATTGAACCTAACGTTGAATTAGACTTAGGGGCGAGACTTAGGATCGATTCTATGATCATGTTCATGTCATGATATGCTCGAACATGTCACGCCGCTTTGCTCCTCACATTCTTTTCTCTCTCATGCTCTTTCTCTCGCACGCTCTTCCCCCCGCGCTATTCTTTCCTACACTCTTTTTTTTGCTGTTTACTCACTCCAGCCATGTCAGGAACTTACCCGTCAGGTAGCGTGTTCTCGCTCGCTTTCTCGATAGCATTGCAATACCAGACATACCAACCTATCCAGCCATGTCTACGGGCGACTATAGAGATCACCGCCTTGAAGTAAGGTACATTAATTTCAACTTCTCTTTTACATACACTGACATCTTACTAAATCTTCTTTTTTGGATGTTCTTCTTAGGGTCTTTCTAGTTGTCTTTCTAGATGTCTTTCTAGATGTCTCTTTATATATCTTTTCTAAGGCATTATAAGGCATCATCTAGGTTCAATATTACTACTAACTACATAACTAACTAGTTACTGCCTAGCAATATAAACCAGCGATGAAAAGGAGGATTATTGATCAAGACTCAGTCTGGGAAACATTCCTTGCTTTGTATGTATAACCAACTTGCATGGGTTGATCATATGCGAGACATCACAAAGCTCAAGTCTGAGGATGTTGTTCGTTCCCATATGAGTTACTCATTGAGGAACAAAGCCACCAATTGGTACGACACGGAGCTCACTGACTTTGAGAAAGCGTCGCTTCGATGGATGCCCCTCGAGGAGGGATGGTATCCTCAACTTATCAAGCGCTGGAAGCCGCCGAGGGCGGAAGCCCTACGCAAAATGGACGTAACTCGATACACATGGAATGACGTCCGTATAGGCAAGGAGCCTAGGGACTACGCCCAAGAAATTATGAGGCACTCGCGCGCCGTAGGGCGCGACGAACTCTTTGACCAGCTGGTCAAAGTCAGAGACAACATCGAACCATCCTTACGGAGAGATGTTATAAATCCGAGCGACACGACCACATTAACCGAGTTCCTAGAACATTTGGACCTGAAATTCCTCGACTGGCAAGACCAAGTCGTTTCTCGAGAACAGCGCATGACGACCAGACGTATGACAGCACCCTTGCCCCAAGCCCAACTCAACAGGTTCCAGAACAGACCCAGGCCCCAGAACCAACGGACACAACACTGGACAAGTTATCAATTCAGCGCTAACCAGGACCAGCGCAATCACCAGGCAGACATGTTTGTGGGGGCAAATCCAACGGCCCAACAGCAGAATAGGATGCCTCCGCAACCATGGAACCGACACCAGACACAAAGAAGATGGCAAACCCAGCAAAACCAGCAAGATCAAGGTCAGCAATATCAACGGCAACTGCCACAGCCTCCCCCGACAAATCTCCAAGTCGGAAATCAAAACCAACTGCGCATTGAGCCTTCCAATTGCCAAACATGGTCCTGTGCTGGATTGCCGGAATGTGGATTGAGACATATGATAGATAACTTCCGAGCGTATTTTACGAACTAACGCCCTGGGGCATTCTCTGTCAATTCTGAGACTGTTTCTCGGAGGTTTAAGGGTCCAGTAGATGAGGGAAAGGTCTTGATAAGAAAGAGGGGCCGCTATTCCATAACAAGTGCGATTAAGGCGACTGAAAGCTGAGAGGGCCGTGCGTGAATCCAGACCATCGGCGTGAAGCTAAAGGTTTTGGTGTCTCACAAGAAACGAGAGAGCGATATGACATACGGAGTACACTGAGACATATCTGGTACAAGAGCTCTGGTGGAAGATGATTTATTTCTGCTTTGGCCTTGCAGTCTTTGCAGTCCACATTGGGAAGGTACCGCGAAAGGATACAAGTGCCTGTAAAGATCCAAAGAGAAAGAGACTCAAAACTAGTGTTTTTTCGTAGTTTGCTAAGCGTTGCTAAGTGTTGCCAAGTGTTGCCAAGACGCGGTTTCTAAATCGCATCGAAAACACAATGTCTTACTAGTTCCATATGATGGGTAGTGATGTGTGGTATTTTTAGTGTTCTCCTTCTTAACTTATGTAAAAACCCACATAGGATTTGCGCAATCATTATGGATTTCAATAATAGGTGCGTGCCCTCTTATAGAGCTGATCTTATGTGGTCTAGTCTCTGACCTTTGAGGAACGAAAATGATAGTACCTCAAATCCAGGGAAATCTAGGGTGAAGATGTTTTGAAGAAATTATATTCAAAAGAGAAATAAAGGGAGGATGCGCCCTTCTTATGGACACTTGATATACAACCTACAACTACTATTCTTCCAATGTTAAGTTTAATGTTCCTCAGGTGGTGGTACCTAGTTACCTAGTTAGGTATAGTGCAATGTTCAGTCTAACCGTGGGCCCGGAAATGCATGCTGAGTAATATGTGATACTATTCCCAACTAGGGATAGTGAAAATCACAAACCATGGTTGAGTTGACCCAAAAGGCCGCGTATGTATATTTGTCCTTTCATCTCCCAGAGACTTCTAATGTAGTGATTGTACTACTAAGATGGAAAAGAAATCTCATTATACAACAGTTTCATAGAAGAGATTCTATAGGGCTATATATCTATCCCATTACGAGCCATTTTCAACCCTTTTCGGACTGTGGTACCCGCTCTCGTGGCTTGCAATATAACTAGGTAGGGGATGGTTTCACTTCTCTCGGCTATTGGTGCGAAGCTGGAAACCTCGCCCATCCTAGATTTTATATATAACTAGGCACCAGCTGCTTCCAAGGCTGTCATATTTCTACAACATAAAACGCAATAGAATAGCTCATGCATGTGGTTCTTCAGATCAGCGAATGGTGAAACCACCCGTGTGGGGAGAGACGGCAGAGGAACTAGGACTGGAACTAGAATTCTAGAAGATAGCGGGTCAAACTCCCGAGGTCAGTTACAGTGAAATTATTTGTGAAGTCAATAGTAGATTCCCAAGGTTATATATTTCAATTAAAGAATCGTTATAGCCAATAACAATGCATAATATGCTTGATGTTATTCCTGTGTTCTTGGCGACCCCCCTGAGCAGTTCTCTTTCCCCTGAGAAGATCCCTTGTCAAACGTCGAGAATTCGGTGGAGTGACTGTTTTATTTTAGTGCACGGGACGCTTCTATTTACTACTTGTCATAGTCTCGTTCCAAGGTTTGCAATTGTGATCGTCAGTGCCCTCCGTTTTTCTCCTTTCTCCTTTCTCTTATCTCTCTCTCTATACTCTCTTCCTCCTTTCCAAATGCCCTGAAACTTCTTATTCCTTGCTTCAATACTCTCGGTAGGGCTGTCATTCCTTTGGCTCTATAATCTCGCCTCCCCGCCCGAACCCTTCCCCTCCCCCCTTTGTGTATTATCCAACTCCGCTCTCGACTTCGGAACTTCAAAGACTACTCCGATGCTTTCTGCGCAAATCTCGAAAGATCCAACCGACTCGGGATAAATGATTCAATAGCCGACCATTTCATATTTACCTATCTATCATGGACATGCGAGGGAAACTAAGCGAATGTCGCTCCATATCCCACGACACCCTGCGGAGTGGCTCGCCACGGGTGGCGCATTTTGATGGCGAAGTTCCTCCCGCACTCTCCCCCCTCGACGCATTCGCCGCTCAGAGTCGATTTCTTGCCCGGCAACTCGATGAGTCTCGACGAGGAAACCGCCGCATGAGTCGGCTGCCGCCGTCGAGTGTGGCACGATCACTTTCGCAAGGCCGCCCGGGCTTCTACCGTTCCAAATCATCGACTGAATCCCGCACAGAACTGACCCGGCAACCCACGCAGAAGGGACTGCCGGAGTTCGAAGACCCCAAGTACCGCCCTATCTCCGAACATCCTCGGTTGAGCTCAATTTCCCATGCCAGCACTGAGGCTAGCTATTACGAGGATAATGACAATGCGACACCTCGGACAACGATGTATAACACTGGCCCGGAGACCTATGGGATGCCGCGCGCCGAGTCACCAGAGGAGGTTGCGTCACACGCAAGTGGAGCGGAGGATGCGCCTGCTGGTGTGGCGGTTGCTAAGCCACAAGGTTCATCGATCGACTCAGCTTCGCGACTGGACGTCCCACGCACCTTGGCACCACCAGTGTCACCGCGGTCGCGCCCATCCAGTAGTGCCAAGGTGACACACCCTGAGAGTTCTGATGATGATTACAGCAGCTCCAATGGTGGGTCGACCTTCTCCCAACCTCGAAAGCTGTCCTCTGGAAGTGCTGCGTCATTGCCATATTCCCCCATGTCGACATTCCCTGCACGACCCCACCCTCGATCACCATCCTTGAGTTCGGAGACATCAGGAACGGGGACTAACCACCTCCCCCGCCCTTCTTTCAATTTCTCTCGACCTCTGAGTCGGTCCAGTACGAGCTTGTCTGCTCCTGGAGCCTCCACGCCTACAGAACCGATCCTTGCTTCTGGGTCGAATCATATGCACCGTCGCAGCAGGCCTACTCCGCTACAACTTTCGACCGAAGATGTTGATGCAATGGCGGCCATGGATGGTGATCCGTCGTCCGCCGTCTCGTCTTATGTGTACGCCAAGTACGCGCTTCCGCGCGGACGCTTCATGTCACGGGATTCCGTTGTCTTTGCGGGCTTGCAAACACCTCATTTCGAGTGGGAGGAGCCCCTATTCGAGAAAACTCCTCCCCGGCACCCAGAGGAGCGGCCGCGGATGACACGAACACCATCCCCTACTCCCCACCGCCAATTTGAGCACTCACCGAAGCCTCACTCGATGTACGAAGTTCCAGCTTGCAAGCCTGAAATCCCGACCCCGATGCCGATATTCCAACCTCAATCTCCACCTCAATCCCCACCTCAGCCTCAGCCTCAGCCTCAACCTCAACCTCAACCTCAAACCCCCAAGTCTCGACGAACCCCACAACCACCGCCTGTGTCCGACTCGCCGGTGGAGCCTGCATCACGGCCCTCTGTTGAGAACACCAGCCAGACGATCAACGACAAGGATGAAACTGCCTCTTCTGCGGATTCGGCCAGCACCATGCGGCCCCAAACCGCTGCCGCTCAGGTGACGGCTTCCGGCCTCACGGCTGATGACCATGTCGCTAAGGGCATTGAATGCCACGAGCGAGGATCCCTGAGTGAATCGACGTATCATCTGCGGGTTGCCGCGAAACAGGACCACCCAACGGGAATGCTGCTCTATGCGCTTGCCTGCCGACACGGCTGGGGCATGCGATCCAATGAGAAGGAAGGCGTGCGATGGTTACGCAAAGCTGTGGATTCCGTCGGATTGGAAATGTTGGCTGATCCGGATGCTCCCGGTGCGTCGAAGGCGAAGGAATTGCAAAAGGCATACCGGGCTCAATTTGCTCTGAGCATTTATGAACTGGGCGTCAGCTACTTGAATGGCTGGGGTATCGAGCAGGACAAGTCTCTTGCGCTGCGCTGCTTTGAGATCGCCGGTCAGTGGGGGGACGTTGACGCCATGGCCGAAGCTGGATTCTGCTACGCGGAGGGTGTTGGCTGTAAAAAGGATATGAAGAAGGCGGCACGCTTTTATCGCCAGGCTGAGGCCAAGGGTATGAGTATGGTTGGAAATAGCTGGTATGTTTTTTTTCTTAGTAGTTGCATTTCCATTGACCTCACTAACGAGTATGTATTTGCAGGATCTACAAGGACAAATACAACGAGGTCGAGTCCACGTCCACATCCACTGGACGCTCCCGTGGCCGAAATGCCAGCGGAGAGAAGGACAAGAAGCCGCGCAGCAAGTCCCGCACTCGCAGTATCTTCCAACGCAAGAAGTCCAATGTGTCGGAGGCATAGACTATCTGTCTGTTATATTTCTGTCTCAATGCGCTCCCCTTGAAATTGTGGGAGAACCATCCATTTTGCATTTTGCATTATGTTTGGAGCGTTCTGAGCCGATGTTTGATTTATTCGCATTTTTCTTTTTTTTTTTTAACTCGATTCTTCGACTTACATTCCTTCACTTTCTCTCATCTGTTCTCATTTTCTCATTTTCTCATTTTCTCCTTTCCCCGAGCCGCCTGGGCAGCTGTTATCGAGCATAGACCGAGTTGGGTTCACGTGTCTCGCTTAATACTTCAATTCTTCGTGTTATACCCTTTCTTCCCATCATTCGCCAATTTTTCAACTTTTTTTATATTTTATTTTCCTGGCACCCTCTTTTTCATTTCTCTTTTCATATTTCTCTTGGTCATATTGTTGGGTATGATCCCGTGAACAATTTGGTTCATATTTTGACAGATATTTTGCTTGCTGCCTCAGTGTGGCGATTCATGAACTCATGACAGAATCAAGACAGCGTTGATCTGTATTCTTTTGGACTTGTAGGAACTATTTCCTTGATATTTTCCCGTTTCCGGTTCCAATATACAACATATAAAGAATATAAAAGAGAATAATAAGTTCTAGACCCCCGCATTGTTCCCCGGCTTTTGTCTCGGAGCATTGACCCGAATTGGCCTCATCTCCGGACTTGATCCCCCAAATCCACTGGCATCTTCCACGTCTTGTGGTTTAGCGGGGGATTAGCGGGGATGGACAGAACCAATTCGGCTTGTCTGGCTTGTCTGGCTTTTACGTATAGACGTATAGCACTGAATACGGGGGGTGCACACTCCTTGCATCCAGGGTCGCCCCCTCTTGGCAGCAACGCTATCTTGCTAGTCTCACCGTTCACCAATGAGAACCCTGTTATTCGATATTCCAGTGCAACCGGGCTCCATATGAGTATCTCTTAAAAAGGTCACTCCAAATCTCTCATAGATCATTTAGGAAAAAGGTTCTGGTAGGACAAATATACCCGTCCCGACGCATGCCGCTTATGAGAACAGTCATTCTTGGTTTTTTTGGTTCACCTCGGCTTTTCTCTTTCATGTGGTGATGATGATTAGACTTGCACTCTCTTAATCTGAAACGTTCTATACAACCCCAGACTGATTGATCGTATCTCCCCGGAAATCTGGATTTCCCCAGATGCTAAAATGAGACCTGGAGTTACTATATTCCCCATATTGAAAATTGTCAAATAACTAAAAATAAAAAGGAAATTAGATGAGGGACTACGGAGTATATCGTACTTAGTTGCATTATATATTTCCCCTTTCTTTTTTTCGGATTGCATTTTGGTGGCTTTTGACCTGCTGCATAACATGTGACGGACAGAATATACCTTGTCAGCTCCTTCATTTTTCCAAGGTAAATTCTTTTTTTATTATAAAGTACCGACTACTACCCACACCCTTTCTAAGCCTGTGCTTGTATCACTTTCATTCATTCCCATTTCCTTTCTGGCTTCGAAGCTCTTCTCTTTTCCTAGGTGTTTGTTCGATTCGGTATGTATAATGTTTGGCCTAGAACCATCTTCCAGTCCCTAATACAACCACAGTAACAAGATGTCAACCGCAAAGCCCGAATTCGTCGAGGAGGAATCCCACATAACCCAAACACCAACCAAGAAGAGCTTCGGCGCACGTCTCGGTGCCCATTTCAAGAAATGGTGGTGGGTGCACTTGATTATATTCATCGCCTGTTTCCTCATTATCCTACTGCCGGTGTAAGTTCAAGTCCACTCCATCCTTGTTTAAAATCCGACTTGACCACGCGGACGCCACACGGTCCAGACCGCAACATAATCATGAATAATCATGAATATGAACATGAACATTCCACTCACCCGGCATTGCATCATCTAGTGTCTACGTCGCTTATCCCAAGATCGCACAAGGTGCCGTCAACGACTCAACCCTCAGGATCTCAGAGATGATCCTCAGCGACCCAACGCCCGAATCCTTCCATCTCGAGCAGAGACAGTTCCTCGGCTCGGATAGTTCTTATCATCCCCAGATCTACGCTTTCAATTCCTCGGTCTCGTTGGCCGGAGCGGATCCGTTCGCTTATGTTACTGTCCCGCCCGTGAAGTCGAAGGACGGGGCGGAGATTCACTTCGAGCAGGATGTGTCTTTGGCTGATGCTTCTGCGTTCGGGGATTTTACTACCGCTGTCATGTTGAACGAGGAGATTTCCTTGAATATCTACGGAAGACCCGATTTGAAACAGGGTGGTTTGCCGACGACTACGGTTACTTATAACAAGACTGTTGTTATGAAGGGTATGTTTCTCTACCTGGTTACATTACTTGAATACACAAAGTGAGTGTATGATTGGAACAGCACCGTGGACTAACTCGATGAACCAGGCCTGAACCACCTCAAGGGCTTCACCGTGGAAAAGTTCTTCATCATGTACCCACCCGTCAACGGGTACGGGCTGAACGGCACTGTCATCATCCCCAATGCCTCGGTCATGACCATTCCACTGGTAATTATTCCTCTTTCAGTACATATGATTCCCGTTTTCCATAATGCTAATATACAAACAAATAGGGCAACGTAACTCTGAATCTCGAAATAGCCGGCAAACCAGTGGGAACAACCTACCTGACCGACCTAACCCTCAAACCAGGCAACAACAGCGTGCCAATGATCGGCAAGGTCGACCAAGCCACCATCATCACCCTGCTCGCATCAAAGTCCAGCCCTTATAAAGATGGTATCATGCCCTTCGACATCACCGGAAACGCAACATCAACATACAACGGCAAGGAACTGCCGTACTTTAGCAAGGCGCTGGCTGCGAATAAATTGTCTATCAAGCTGGATGTTAAGTCTGCGTTGAGCGCGGCTGGTGTTAATATTTCCCTGTAGTGGGCTTTTGTGTTTTGTGTTTTGGGGGTGGTATACCGTTTCTGTTTCTGTTTATGTTTATGGGTTATGCTCTACGTTCTATATTTCTATATTTCATTACCTTGACCGGTAGTGGGATTTGGGATTTGGTGATTTATGTGTTGTTTGGTGATTTGTTTCACTTTTGTGTATATTTAATACCCTTTTTTTATAAGCTTGCGCGGTGAATATGATTTCCAGTATATATGGATTTGTTTCTATAGAAGTGTAGACTGGAAGATATTGTAGATGACTTTGAGAAAAGAACAAGAATGACTGAGAAAGACAGGAATTGTCAAGAACCTCCCCGGAGAATAAAGTTGGGGCGCCAAGACAACAAGTGGGTCCTGTGTTACCGGCCTCAGACACTAACATTCCCTTTTCGGCTAGCGGCCTTTCGAAGTATAACGACGGCCAATGCGATTGTTTCGAGTTGAATGTATTTTTATTAGAGACGCGAGGTTAGCGACGTATGTGTATGAAATTCATTTACGTGTTATTGAGTGAGGAGAGAAATAGTTTGGAGGAGGAGTAGAAAAGAATCAAACAAGGAAGGGCCAGGAGATGATGTGATGGGAAAACAGTTTCACTTGAGAAGGGGAAAATAAAAAGAACGAGAGAGAACCGTGCAAAATGATTAATGAAATGAGAGGGATGGGAAAGGGGAAAGGAAAATAATGGAATGATTGAAGATGAGAAGGAAGAAAAGGGAAGGAGGGAATAGGGTCAAAAATAATTGGAGTTGAGTTGGGGGAAGAAGGGACGTGAATGACTTCAAAAAAGCCGTCATGGGAATGAGAAGAAATATCCAAGAAGAAAGGGGTAATCGGGGAAGTGCTAGACAGTTGGGAATAGCCTCAACCGTGAGCCGCAGGAGTGGGTGAGATAGGAGTTACCTCGGAAAGGCAGGTGGGGATAGCCTCAAGAATGGAATGGTGATTTCAAGGGAACACGTACAAGGAATCAATAAAGATATTCATAGGATAGCAAGGAATAGCATCAAGAACGACGAGAAAAGGTGGGAATAGCTTCAGAAGGAATCTAGAAAAAGTGGACCTGGGGATTGTGAATAGCTTCAAGATCACCTAATTGAGACACCTAGAATCCAGCCAATCAGATCACTAGAAAGATAAAAAAAAGCACAGTTACCATGAAGATCCAGAGTAGTTCATCAACCCCAAGCCCCACTTAGCTCAGTGGAAACAAGCATCCGTTGGTGTCAGACCGGAAAACGGTTACTAGGCGAGACACCTTCCGATTGACTGGGATTGTAGAGCGCGTGTGTTCGAGCCAAGGGCGAGATCTTCTAAGAAAATAGTTCCTAACAGGCGTTTGGCCCGCCTGGCCCCGACCGACGGACAAGGCGTGGGCCTTCTCTGGCATATAGGGGTAGGAGCGATTGAAGGTTCGCTAACAACACACCGTAAATATCTACTTCCCAGCCGGTGAAGACGGGCTCGAGCTATCCCTTCGGGGCCCTCGCCTGTGATACAAACGGGGTTAGGTCAAATGGGGTTTTTTTTTTTTTTTTTTTTTTTTCTTTTGAAGATGTATTGATTCTATCAAAGACCCTATTTCCCCAGATATTTCTGGTCTCACTCACAATTGATGATCCATCCAATACAATAGAAATGAACTTGAAATGGAAAAATGACCATTGATATATGTATGCTATTGGGAGCAGCGAGAAAAGACTACCTCCCTTCTACCATTTTCCTCATAACAGATTCCTCATTAGCTGAATTCACAAGGATTCCCTCCGTAGCCGCCAGCAATCCACCTTTTGCATTGTTAACCTCCAGATACTTCCCGTCCCAGCTGTATATAACATCTTGATGATGCTGCTGCTCACTAAAAAGAAGTGCCACACTTTTAGCTACAGCCTCTGGTCCTTGAACAGCAACACCAAGCCCTTCAATAAAAGCAGTAAGAACCACGGCAGTTGCGGTCCAAGAAGGTGCAACCGCATTGAGTCGAACCTTCCCCTCAAGTTGAGACCCGATTCCACGGATAATTCCCAGAACGCCATGCTTTGCGACTGTGTAATCACCAGCACTGAAGTTCTGGAACGAAGCCGTAGAAGCATTGATCACAATACTGCCAAGTTCACCAGATGCACGATGTGCCGAGTGTTTCTGTACGTAATACGCAGCTAGACGAACGGTGAAGATCACACCGACAAGATTGACATTGATCGTCCGCAGATCAGGAGGGGTAAGGTGGCCATTTTCGTCAAGGCTGTCGTCCAGGAAATTAGTCGTTGGTCTGATGCCTGCATTGGCGAAGACATGGTCAATGCGACCGAACCATTCTTCAACCTGGATAAATGCGTCCCGTTGACTTTCCCATGAGGAGACATCCAGTTGGATGAATTTGAGCTTGTCTGAGATCTCGAGATCCGGGGGTAGTTGCTTCATGTCGCCGATGATTACATTCGCGCCGTGCTTGAGACATAACTCTGCAGTTGCCTTTCCGATTCCCGCCGCGCCGCCTGGTTTTTATTAACATTTCTGGTTCGGTATGTGTGGCGATAGAATGGAAAGACATGCATACCGGTGATGAAAATTACCTTATCCTTCATTGCCTTGAAGATATGCTCGGAAATTTGTACGGCCGCCATGGTCAAAGAGAAGTAAATGGTAAAGTTGTGTAGTGTCTTTATACTCGAAATAGAACCCTGTACTTATAGATTTTGCTTCGACCCCCATATATATGACCCCTCAATTCTCAAACAGAATGTGAGGTGTCACTCGTGGGTCACACACGGGCCTGGACGAGGCCTGCCGAATCAAGATCATCGATTGCTGCAAGATCGATCTGCGCCAAGCTTCAGCAATGGTACTTATCACCTTCTGGTAATCTTCGACTCAAGTGCAGCTCTGGGGGAATGGCCACACAGCGTCTAACCAAGTCGAGGGTACCGCCGACCTTCATTTTTCATACATGGTTCTTGAGATGTTCCTTTACCGAGCCATTCACCACTACAGCCACCAATATCAGATGACACAGACCCAACCTCGATGGCTCTTCCTGACTTGTTAAAGAAGACTTGACATTCGATAGACACGTCTTCGATCAACTCCCAGTCATGAATCCCATGCAGCTTGCCGAGGAGATAGTATGTACATTTAATCAGATAACTCCCTCTCCATAGCCCAAAGAACAAACCCTTTACTATAACCCCAGGTCAAAGGAGGACAATATTGCTCCCCGACGACGCGGAAACCCCTTTTCAGCCAATAAGCACCTCGAATCTCGCGAACGGACCTGAGCATCATACACGCGCGAGACAATCCAGTGCGTCCCGCAAGAGACATTCTCCTCTTCAGTTCTTCTTCACACGCCTTGGCCAAGCTTTCCCCAATGCCTTTCCTCCTATACCGAGGATCCGGCGTGATTGCGACAGCTACGAGTTCAAAACCACCCTCGCAGTGCGCATTTTGAGATTCATTATCGAGGCTATCGAGCACCGTAGAGCTAGCGGCGAAGATCTCATCCGCACTGAATTGATCAAAATGGCCCGGTAACTTCCACGGTAGGCCTTCGGAATCCGGCGAGTAGACTTTCAAACTTGCAGTACCGATGATGGCATTTTCAGCGAATGCAATCGCAGTGAAGCCGGATTCCTCGAGTTCTTCGGCAAGTTGCGTGTCGCTCGTGAGCCGAGGTCCGCTTTTTACGAAAGAAGTGCCAGTCGTATCATAGTAGCTGATGTTGATAATGTCCCGGAGCTCGGGTAGGAAGGACTGCTTGAGGAGATCACTTTGAGTGAAGGTTTCGATTCTGTAGGAGGGAGCTGATGAAGACGGGATGATTGTTATAACCTCCGGGGTGTGTAGTGGGCCTTCCATGGTGGTAGTAGACATTTTGAAGATGGAAAGAATACCCAAGAGAAACAGTATTTAACAATTGATATAAATAATACTCTAGTTCTTCGAGAATTCAAAAGAATGTAACTTGTCAAGGGAAAGGCGTGATAGACGAGGAGTGAACGGAAGGCCGCAAGATAACGCCGAATGCCGGAATGGATAGCGGCCAGTCCGTGCGTATCTCCAAATTCTCGTATTCTCACGTTTCGTGTGAATCAGAAACCACATGAATGATGCCCAATCATTCGCCAGTGCCAAGAGAGTAAATACTCCCTAGGTTCCCAGTGCATAGGTGCCCACCACTTCTCATGAAGAACAGCATAACCCGTCTTTATATCCTCCGGCCATGGCCACTAAATATTCCACGAGAAGTTCACGGTAATCCATGGGGTAGGGTCAGGGTCTCCACGAGAAAGGGTAACGTTCAAGACGGCCATGCTGGTATCAAAGCTATCCTCGACTGCCAGCAACTCCTCGAAGTAGTGGAACATCTTCAATGACGGCTGCAGAATCATAAATCCAGCATTCAATGTATCCCAGTCCCAAAAGTCCTCTAGGACACGCGACGGATATAACGAGTGATTCGACCTAAGTTGGGGCAAGCCAGCAGCAATGTAAGTCCCTACCAAGGGTATTTCAACCCGTTAATGGATAAGAGGTGTGAACCTTGCAAGCTACGCCACATAGGTGCTGAGAATTCTGTCGAGGCATCTTGCCAGGACGGAATCACCACTCAAAAGCAAAATCCGGTCGTACTGGACCATCTCCCACAGCCGCAGTTTTGTCAGGACATCGGCCCATCGGGATTCCGTCGGTCGAACCCAGTCCACTCGAAAATCGGACCACTCGGTGACTTCTGCACCGTCGGTTTGGAGACGGTCTTCTTTTTTTATATATATATCGAAATTCTGGTGAATAAAGACCACGAAAGGGATGGCCAACCTGGTTTGCGTTTCCGATGCGTGGAGGAGCTGGTATGTGAGGATTCGAGCCGCGTCAAAATATGGATCCCTGGTGTTGCGGAATTCGGAGATGAAATGATCTTTGTGTTCGGTGGGGTCGCTCAGATAAGTCGCGTAAATTATTCGTTGCTTTCTGCTTGCTTCTGGTCTTTCCATTTGAGACAAGTAGATATTCCATAACCACGGCAGAAACAAGCACAAAGCCGCTGAAAGGCCCAATGGGGCCGAATAGGTTCCATTCTCATCAAGGTCGGGATTATTGGATGCTAATATCCATGGCCGTCAGTCACCGGCACATCTTTATGTATATCAAACCGGAGTACCTAGAAAGTGTGCGAGCTCCTCTCATTGTGCTCTCTGCGCAACCCAATATAGCTGCTTGTCTCAGTTTCTTTCTAGATTTGTCTAAATAGAGAACAAGCAATACCTAGTCATTTAACCCTCAGTAAAACGATGATTCTAACACGAGCTGGGCTTTTGCTAATTCAAGGTTGATGTTGTTCTTCTTGCAAGACCACTCCTAGTAAGATAAGGGTCCCCGGTTTGCCGCTGAATGTGATATATCAATCACGACTAATACATCTAGTTGCACAAATGACTGTATACCAAAAGATCAACTGCATATAAATCAAGAACTCTAAACTTAATATGACTCTGAGTCTCGTTTTGCCTTTTTTCCTTCTTCTCATACACACGGCTTTTTCTACATCTTCGGTATAGCGATGAGTGGGGATAGCCAACATAACCAACACCATGTCAATTCCCAAGGCATTCACTCTTCCGAGAAACATACAAGGATGTTCTACGAGCGTCTGAATTATAATTGGGCAATCTTCCCTCTAACAGCTACTCTCTACTTCGTTGGTACGTCTTCACCATGAGCACATTGTAAAATATATGTATATAAACGGTATAGCTTTATATCGCATAAGTATCTGGATTGGCTTCTACGACATGTTTGTTAAGCCAGGGGTGCTCTGGACACCCGACTGCACCATTCTAGTCATTATCTACGCTCCATTCCTAGTAGGACAGCTTCCACCATACTCGATGTTATGGGGTCTTTGTCTACCGATGCGGCCTTTTGCATATAAAGAGTCACCCAAGGGACGTTATTTCCGCGAACTCAAAGTATGCTTAGTTACGAAGGGAACAAACCTTCAGGTAAGCTACCTTTCTTTATCGCCTTAAATATCCTTTCGTACTATATCGAAGCTCATGCATCAGTGATAGACCGTGATGAACTCTATCAGACCATGGCAAAATTGCAGACACTCTCAGAACATCACGTTTCATGTGGCGTTAGATTCCACCGATGATGATTTCCAGGCAGCACTTCCAGATTTTGTCAATGTGGTGAGAGTACCAGCCTCATTCCAACCGGCCTATGCGAAATATAAAGGACGGGCCTTGGAATGGTGTCGCCTGCATTGGAAACTATCCGAGCTTGATTGGGTACTGCATCTAGACGAAGAGACTGAGATCGATGGGTACCTGGTACAAGCCTGTCTTGACTTCATCGAGCGAGGAACAGAAGACATCGGAATGGTATATGTTCCGCCTGGATTATGATCTTACACAGTACTAAAACAATGTACAGGGAACAATCTACTACACTTCGCATAATTATTGGAAAAATCCTTTCTTGACCACTGCTGAGATCTTCAGAGTGGCTGAGGACTTTGGCCGTTTCCAACTTCCAATCCGACTTTTCAAACGCCCTTTACTTGGCTGGATGCATGGCTCCTTTATATTGATCAATGGTGCCGTAGAGAACAAGGTCACCTGGGATACTGGATGTCTTGCTGAAGACTTTTGGTTTGCATTCCATGTATGTGATCTGATTACATCAACATCTAGTTGCTAATTTAGAATATCTTACCGAACAGGCGGCACGCCGAGGAGTCAAGTTCGGCTGGATTCACGCAGTTGCACGAGAACAACCTCCCGTTAGTGTTTCGGATTTGATTAAGCAACGTAGAAGGTGGTACACGGGGATCATGTCTATGGATAGCTGGTTGGTCAAATTGGTCCTCGCAATCTCCATGATGGGACCGTTAGCTTATGGAAGCGTGTGAGTATTTCGAAGGATCTTGCTGGCTCTGACACTAATATCGACCGTATTTAGCAATCTATATACATTGGTACGCGGGTGGAACATATCCGTTTCGCATTGGTTCTTCGGGTGGAATCTGTGCAACATCGCCGTGGACACGCATGGTCTTATTGTGGGGAGTGTGCTCCAGGACTTATACCTCGGTGACACTCCTCTGGGTTCCTTGGTTTTGCATATAATTTTGACATTGCTGTGGGCGCCATTCGTGCAGTTCGCGCATTCAATAATCTTTATATCGGCATTAATTTGTCCGGCAAGTAATTTTGTGGTGATCAAAAAGGTATAGCATTGCGCCGATAATATGATGAAGATCATTTTGGGTTGATAGAAAATATATGACATCCAAGGTCATGATTTTATTGTATGAAGCCCAAGTCGACTATTGTACACATAGCGACCACTAGTTACTTTGATCGTATTGCCTTTCAAAGATACAGCTGGAGGCTACCTTGGATATAGTGGGAATAGTATGACCCAAAAATGTCCATGTAGAGTACCATGGCTGGTAATTCAAATAAAAAAAGAAAGAAAGAAAGCATCAAACGATCTCTGTGGCATATGGCATATGCAAAGCATGTGACAATGTAGATCGTGACAGTCCAAATGTTTCGACGAAAGGGTCAACCAGAATACCAGACTCTCCTCGTCTGCACTAGCCCATTCGACCTTCTTATATCCCAGCTTGCTCAGTCCTTGGGAAATGTAGGGAAGTCCCAGTGTTTGCCGCCTTTAATCAGCTTCTGGTCCAATCCATCAGTTCCACGGCTCACATAGAGTACCTTGGTGAAGAAGACATCGCTCCGGTAGCTGTAAGACACATTTCCGGGTATGAAGGCCACATCACCCGTGGTCAACATCGCAGTTGGATAGTCTCCAATCTTTATTTTCAGGATTCCTTCAACAACCTGGAATGCGCTGGAACCAGACTGACTGTAAACTGGTGCTGTGATATTGCTTTGCAGTCTGGATATCGTGATCGTGGACTGAGTGAAATTGACATCCTGGGCCTGAGTGGGTGTGACAAGCGGTTGTACAATTTGATACCCATATCGAGAGTTGAGATACTTTGGCCCGTACCCATTGGCAATGAAATATGGTGTAGCGGGAGCTCCCAGTGAGTTAGAGCCTGTGTGCCATTCTGTGCCAGACGGCGCGGTTCCATTAATCAAATCGCGGCGAGGTACGAAATCCAGTTGCGAATAGACGTCAAACTGCTGAAGGGCGGAGATGGTACTAGCATCACTGCCGCCAGAGGTTGAATCACTGCTAGCTGCGGGAACATAAGGTGTGTTTGTTGACGAAGTGAAATTAGTTCCCAGTGCGTAGAACAAGTCCCTACTCAAGTGTCAACGTCAAGTTCCACTGCTGAATTATTTCCCCAACTAGGGAATACGCCGTGCGGGTTTGGTACTCACTCGAAGCCTCCGGGAACAATAGCACCGATCATCTCAGTATCTGGATCTAAGACTTGGAAGGTATGGGTCGTATTACGAGGCACCGAGCCATAATCGCCTTGAGACAAAAGACGAGCTTGTTGCCCACCATTTCCTTTATCCGCCCACAGTTGAAAGCGGCCCTTCAAGTTGTAGAAGTTCTCATAGTGTTTCTGGTGGATATGCGGTAGGACACCTAGTTCTGTGCTCACAGGAGCGCTTGTGCTCATAAGGGTGAAGGCATAGTCGGAGGACGGACCCGTTACCATAAATCTGTACACTTGGCTGCCAACGGAGACTGCATGAGAGTTCGCATAGTGCGGAATCACATATGGTCGGAGATAGTCGGGGGCGTTTTCAACATAGAGATCTGAAAGCGATGCAGTGCTGAGTTTGCCCGGAGTGGTCGAAGGTTGACCATGGGAAATTCCAGCAGCGAGGGTTATAAACACGACCAAGAGAAAGTACATGGTGAAGTGTACTGTCGAGGATAAATTGGTCACATTTAGGGAGGTAAGGTGGGTTTTATATAACTGTAGAAGGGGTTGTAGAAGAGGTTACAGAAAACGGAAGGTTGCCTTGATCGGGACCTGCGAGCCGCTAGATATATTTACCGGCAAGTTTGAGGCATAACCGTGATTTGTCCTTGAAGCCATTGAATGCCTTTAGCCCACACACACTTTGTCGCTCACTTGCCAAATTCGTCTTCACTCGGCTGACTCAGCGGCATAACGGTGGACTACAAGTGCCGACTCAGGGCCAGAGCGGCATCAGAGGTTAATCGTCATAGGTTTAAAGCCATATCTTTTAGTCCAAGGGATTATACAAAATATCGAATGCGTGCTGAGTCTGCTGACAGTATGCCAACTTGGTCCGGAAAGTCCGACGAGACGACTGGGTTTCAGGGGGCATATCGCTCCATCTAGCTTCAAACTGTCAACGCGATCGTTGCCCAAAAGTTACAAAAGTTCACAGAAGCAAAAAGACTACCCATAATTGCTGCGGAACACTTATCCGATGGCTTGGATTGTTTGCAGTTGTGAGCTCCTGTTGTCTGGTCTGAAATCTCAGGTATAAATCAATGGGCATCAATTCTGTCGTTGAACACTGGATGGAGCATATGCAAGCAGTGATGATCTTTCTCGGCTTTCGGTGAAATAGGCGCCGAATCCACCACCCTTATTCAGATCCACCACTTCACTCAAATTAGGGATAGTACTAGTATAACACGTAACTGTTGGTTCCTTAGTGGGGCTTCCATAGGACTATAAGCACATAGATGGGTCTTGGCATTGTAACAGTCTATATGTGGGGTCATGGAGAGTCAAAACTGATGAACAGTCCTAGGATGCATCTAAGAATATCCCTACAGGGTGTGAGTGCGGCGCGGGCTATCTTCTCACACCCCGGGGCACTGAAAAGCGAAGTGCCGAGTTTCTTTGCCCAAAGCCAACACAGTCTGGTGATCCTTGGACGGAGCCTTGCTGTTTCACATAGTTTATCGTAAAATGTCAATGAAATATGAAGCAGTCAAGTCTATACCTAATCCATGAGGGTTAGTGCTGATCTCAGAGTCTCGGAAAATCCGAGTGACGCGGTTTCGGTTTCGGACCACCCGATGGGGGGCCGCACTAGCTTTCAAATGTAGGAGCTGGAGTGCATTCTCAAGGAAATTAGAACGGCAGTGGGAGTTGTAGAGGGAAACTAACACTTTATTGTCCCACAATCTCTCAAAACCCCACTTGTGTGGTGGACCCTACACGGATGGTAGTTGGGTAAATAAGGAGGCTTGTGAGATATAAAATCTCAATCCCGTACGGAAATTTTGTGAAAGAACTCAATAACAAAATCATTTTTCTTTCTCTGCTACCACTTCATCATCGTGCTTTGGGAGACGGTTACTCTTCTGTCGCTTTTTGCTTCCCGTGCATGGGATCGGTGTCATCTGACCCTATGTGACAGGACTGTAGTCTCCTCTCCCTCATCTTCCTTTCCCCTTCTTCTTCAGCAGTTAGCAGTTAGCACGAATACAGTTGCATTGCTCTCTCTCTCTCTTCTCCTGGCTTCCCATCACAAACCAAGCCTTCAGGTAGAGGCCCCCCGGGACCCCCTAAATTCAAGTAAGAATTAGTCTTAGTATATATAGATCAATATACCTTTATTCCCTCTCCCAAGCCAACGTATCTTACCCGGTTAATAGGCCTTATACCTAAAAACAGTATAATCTTACATACTAGTACTAGGTAAGTACCTAAAGCGAGAGCTAGAGTAAGTTATAAGAGCTAGAGCTAGAGCTAGATTAGAGCTATATTTAAATAAGAACCTATTATACTAGAGCTAGTTACCGCTTAGTATTAGTACTTTTTACTAGAACGAGTACTGCCTAGTATTATTACTAGTACCTATACTATTACTAGTGTTTATTTATTAGTTCTATATTACTATTCGATATATTTAAGGGGCTTTTCTAAAGGATTAAGGGGGTATATTAGGATCATAGTATATAACCTTATTTATTAGAACTATCATATATCAATAACCAGATAGTCTCCTCTCCTCTCTCTTCTTCTTTTCCCTTTCTTATCAATCATCATCCATTAGCAGTTAGCCTCAATACCATTACATTGCTGATCTCTTCTCTTCTCCTGACTCGCTATCAGTTGGTGTTAAGATAGACAAATTTGACACAAGAAGAGATAATGGAATAATAGGATGACGAGGAACGGTGAACTATATAGTCTAAATTGGGTGGATTTGAGCTAGAAAGAGAATGTAGAGTAGTATTTCACCCAAATGGTTCAACAAAAGCAGTATGAAGCTCGAATTATATACTTCCTCTCAAGACGTACGTCCCATAATCCGATAGAGGACAGCACACAAGATATAAAATACAGCGGCAGATATCAAGAACGAGTAAGTGCCAACCCAAGTAAATGAATAGTTCTCAGAGGGCTGGTGGTAGATATAAAAAGGCATCAAGGTGAAGAACGCACCAAATGTAAAAAACAGGATATTGACCAGGTGTAGGAGCCTTTGAACCCATAAAGGCATATTGGACAGATCTAATTCAATCGTCAATGAAAAAATAACAAGCTCCCAAATACCCATCAATGCGATGATGACAGGTAGATAGAATACTTGAAAGTGATCTATAAGGTTGGCTGTGCTATTGTAAGTGCAGATAAGCAACAAAGTGATAGTGCATATGAGCATGAAATAAATTATTGCTGCGCCGAGAGTTTGAGCATGGTCATCCCAGTTGCTGTTAGGGTCATCTAGCCTCATAGAGGTTTCAGGCGTGAAGGGGAAAACAGTCAGATTCATCGACTGGGATCTAGAATGCGAAGATTCCCAAATATGATCGCTGCAGTCTGTTACTACCCCGGGTCTCTGTTTATTAGCTAATCATATCCCGTTAGTGTCTCTGTATATCAAAGGTTCGGAGCATTGAGCATGTAGGAAGTACCGTGATTGAAGTATTTTATGATTGTAAACAGAGGTGCAAGCAGTAAAACGAGGGCCACAACCTGCCCAAACCCCCAGTCACCATCTCTCTCATCAGAGTCCTGAACCAGCTTTATGGATGTTGGCTCCCCGGGATATGGATCCACGGACTTTTTAATAATGCCCAGTATCCCGAATAGGCGCATGGTACCCCAAATGAACCCGAGTACCAGCCAGCACACCTCGTTTATTGTCAGTCCTGGAGATGAAAGAGAAACACAATTAGATAACCGAGGCACACTCACTTCTGAAAACATTGAGGACCACCCATCTAGGAAAAGACGTGCCACCAAAAAGACCGTCAGCAGAGGACGGTAGAGAAGGGTACGTTTCAGGCTTTTGTAGGAGTTGTTTGAGCAGCACCAAGTGAAAGCGATCCTCAACAAACGGCGCGCTTGCATGCTGAGCCTAGCTCTAGCTTTTCCCCAGATACTGACGGAGATAATCTTATGCAGCTTGATTATACGAGCCACAAACCCAAATATCACCAGCAGTATCGACAATACCATTGCGTAGTATGCCGTAGGTGATCTTACATCAAAGCCCGAATGACACATCGCGTGTCTAATGATGCTCCATGCCATTTCCTCGTCGGGGATTTGCCCTCCCTGCAAGGAAGACCACCAATATCCCCCCGTGAATGAGAGCCCTATAGTCAGGAGTATGACAAGAGCAGCCATACAAAACAGTCTCCATATGCGCTGGAGCGAGTGATTGTACAGATGGTTTCGGAGAAGTGTTAGGCAGGCCAAATGAGTGAGGCTGGAAAACCAGGCCAGGCCGACGATAACCATCCAGTGGTAGGATGAAATTCCCTGGTGAAGTTGCGCATACCCACTTATGAGTATTGAGAGTCCAGTTACAATCTGGAGGTCACTCATTGCGAGGATGCACTGTATGTAGTATGTCAGTTGAGTTACTTTCGGCTCAACACAAAGGGTATCTGTACCTCAATAAAGCCTTTCTCAATTTGAGCACTGATATGAAACTTGCGATCGCCCATCAATAGCTTAGGTATATGTCGCACGGTCCGCAGAATAATTTCGTCTACTGGATTTGGGCGAAATGAGTGATTCGAAGAGTCTTGATCTGTCTTCCTAAAGGGGTCCAGAGCTGGGTCGTAAACCACAAAGAAGTATATGATGATGAGCAGCACTGCAATCCCGGCAGTTGTGACATAGTTTGCAATTACCTAGGCATGAATTAGATGATGGTATTGATAATAAGTTAGCGACATACCCCTTGACCAGTGATGTCGTTGTTGTCCGGCACGGGAGGTTGCGGTCCGTCGCAATTGTATGGGGAGGGCATAATGACTCGAGCCAAAAGCAAGAGACCTTGGAATGCGGAGTAAAATGAGGCTGAGATTGCCTTTTTTTCTCTTTTCTTAATTATGTCTGCCTTGATCACGTGTTTTAGACTGTCGATCAGTAAATAAATATCCGCACAGCCCATCAGCCACGATGTTGATGTTTTGGTGGCCAGAAAACAGAGAATTCGCCCATCTACAAAAGTTACACCTATCAATATGGACGAGTGGACATGATGATGATAATAATGATAACGTCATTTGCCCGATGTAGCTCGCTCTATATATATAGTATGTTGCTATGCGGGAGTGCTGTTAGGCCTACCGATAGCTAGAAGGTGGTCGCCTGCCCACTAGGCCCCCGTTAGGGAACTCACCTTACAAGTTTCTGATCAGTCGTCCTCGAATGAAAAGATGTAAAATATATAAAAGAAATGCACGGATGTAAACATAATAAACACAATTTTACCCCTGATCGCGGGTAGCCGCATTTGATACCCTCTATCGTTCAGCCCTCCCGACCAAATCTTTTAGTGTCAATCCACGGATTTACTCGCAGTTCATTCCGACCTTAACGATAACCTCTCGGTCCTCGCGAAGTTCGATTTCCGGTAAAAATTATGGAGGCAATAAATTAAAGTCGTTCATCTGATCCAACAACCCGAACCCAATATCGATCCTATTTGGTGGGATACCTATTCTAGGGGGTCCTCAGACGAATGGGGCCTCTGCAAGAACCTGGTCTCCCAATATGGGCCAGTCTTGGAGGAGCGTTACGAAACCTGGGTCACCACATCAGATATTGACAAAAATGGCCCGCCTAGGAGCCACACTGTTACGCATTCCTACCACCTATTCGGCCTGGATCCAATTTCCAGGACCTCGGCTTTATTCCGGCAAGCAGTCTTCATACCTGAATGACATCGCCACATTATTGAAAAGCATGAAATGCATATTATTCTCGATGTGTATGGTGGGATCAATCGATCGACTATCGGCGAAGCTGCTGGTCATTGGGGTTGGTTCCATAACCAGACTCATTTCGAGTACTCGATGCAAGTCATAGATGCTATAATTTCATTCATCCAAAACTCTGGTCACCCAGAGTCTTATACTCTCGAACCTTTGAGCAAACCGCCGATAACCGCAATCTGTCGGTTTTTGGAACCCCTGCTGCTCTTTCTGATAAGGGCGCCGCGTGGATCTTGAAGTATATCCCCGCTGTGCTTGATCGTGTGGCTAGTGTGAATACTGTTTTTCAGGCATCAACTCACACGGAATAATTTGGCCCCCATCTACGGCCCCGTCTGGATTTTAGCGTGGATCTTGAGGCTTAAGTTTTGGAAGTGCCCCTGAAAATTCGGGGGCCGTTTATTAGCTCCATACTTGTTTTATTTTCTTTTCTATCGAAGACACACCTCCTCGCCTTTCATCTCCCATTATTCCTAGGGGTAATTTACTTCGACTGTTCTTGTCGCTCTTTCTCAAATTCTTAACAGAATGGCCTCCATCCTTCACCTCTTTGCGTTGTCCGCTGCTTTGGGCCAGGTGACTGCTACCTTCGATCTCAACACTGCTGGTCCTAGTTGGGACTATACAACAAAGGACTTAGCAGACACGACCTCGCAAGCTTGCAAAGACGCCTATAGCGCCAGTATCAACTGCGATGAAACCCTCCTCAAGATCGTGGCCTCTATGGATCCCGACTTCGACCCGCAATCGTCGGACCTGCAGGCTATGTGCACAACAACATGCAGTGATTCATTGACCCAGTATATCAAGAAAGTCAATGCTGCATGCGACAAGGACGGCGATCTAGCCGGGATTTCCAGCGGGAACAAGAATATCTATCAGGCTCCCGTTGCCACCGTGGGCGAGGTGTTCCAGTACAAATACGGCCAAGCTTGTGCCAAGAGCGGGTGAGTTCCGTACATAGTGTGATTTCCTCGGGGTATATATGCTTAGATGTTATTTTTGCAGGTCTGACTACTGCTACTTGACCTATCCCGAAAGCGACGATTGGGCCAAAACCGACTTCCCGTGTAGCGACAAGTGTGCAGTTCAGTTTTTCCAAAACGCCCACGAGCAACCTGGCTCGGCATATTTCTTCAGCTACTTTTCTCTTGGTAACCAGTCCTCATACTGGGAGGATACCTTTGCCGGTGGTTGGGAGACTGTGGTTCAATGCGGCGATGGTGGAAGCAATGTAAGCTCCGTTAGCGCAAGTTCGACGAAGACCGATATCGTTAACATCACATCTTCCACCAGCTCAATTAGCAACACATTGGCTATTTCTCCGACCTCAACGCCGACTGCTGCGGTGTCAACCGCCGTGCCGGTTCGGTCTGCCTCTGAGAGTACTTCAACTACAGCCACTGGTGGTGCTTCGAGGCTCAGAGCTTCCTTTTTGCTTTTTTAGGATTCTATTTCTGAGCATAAAAGTTCACCTTAGGTATTTTCAAATCTAGTATAATGATAGAAGCTCAGAGATTCATCTCCATTCCGTTCAAGTATTGAAGTACATCATCATCTTATCAGATTCACGCGTGACACCGTACTCCTCCCCATCCACGACGAAGGGTGTGTATCCAGCGGAGCGGAACTCTTTTGAATATTCGTATTCCGTCGCAAGGGAGACTGCCTCGCCGTCAAACCAATTACAGGAGTAGTCTGCGTCGCCGTAGATCAGTGCAACGCGTACAGGTCGCGAGTGGAGGGCTTCGAGGAAATCGGGGTATACGAAGTCTCTGGTTTGATCACTAGAGGATATTGGCGTTGGAGTTCGTGTAGTTTACGTCGACACCGATGGCATCTAGTACGGAAGCTTGGTTGAGGTATTCGAGGTAATATTTTGGAGGCGTTGGGTCGTCGGCAGGGTGACGGATATCGTAGCTTCCGCGTCCACTAAGGAAATGGTATAGGCCCTCTATAGGAAGGTGTGAGAAAACCTTCATGGGAAAGGAAGGAGCAATGGGTCGAGACATACCAACATTATCGCGATATATATTTGTAGCTTCGGAACAAATTGAGAGGTCTGCGATTGAAGTTCGTTTCTATACAGAGACTGACTCTGCCAAGCTCATTGGAAGGTATCAACTATCGTTTGATACAACGGCTCCAAGATTGCATCAAGTGAAGATTCCATTATTTCGTTATAATGAATCCCTGGATGTTACCGATATATCCAAATACTCAACCATCTTGTCCCTGGCACGCTCAACCTGATCCTGTACATCGAGATCCCAAAGCCACTTCAAACGCCGATCAAGCGTTTCCCTCAACTTCACCGGATCATCACGAACCCCATCAAAACACAGACAAAAGATATGCGCATTTATGTGATGGTTAGTAAGAAAATGACTGTATCTAGGTACGTCCGACGTCGGGAGTTAGACAAGAGGGGTACAAATCTTTGAATACGGCACTTTTGGAATAGAAGATGGGTGATTGGACAGGCGTCAGGGAAGTGGGCTATCAGACATCCCGCGGTGGTGTCCTCGATCTGCACTGCTAGCGGCGTGCGTATAGTTTGCCGAGAAATGCACAGCATGGATAGAGGGTCCTAGATCGTGAGGTACGTATTGATATCCACGGTGCCTACAGGGGTCACTCTTGAAGGGAGAAGTTTATATTGACATTAAAGTTGAAAGGGTACGTGATAGCGCCAATCGTCACAAATTGTGCGTTTGCGTGTGCAACTCTAATCTGCCATATCTGTCTCATTCCATGAGACGAGAGAGCGAACATGAACTCGATATGTAGCTCAGCGCGGTGGCCTTGGTCGAAGTCGCGATCCTGTCGCGGGGATGCTGCATTGACATGTGTAAAAGAATCGACAAGCCCTGGGGCACATACCCATTTAGGCAGTCTAGAATATATGGAGAAAAAAATGAAACCCGCTAGAAAGAAAATGGTGGAAAAAGTTGCATATTGTGGCAACATAAAAACAAATCAAATCATAGGGGCAGTGACAACTCGTTGACGCTCCCATTTCGGAGGACCGAACGGATCATCCCAATCGGAGTCGGTGTCCTCAATACCAGTGCGCTTATCATCTGACCTCAGCGCTGAAGAGCTATCAGAGTCATCTAGTGCGCGACGGAAGCGTAGGAACTGCCGCGACTCCGTGGAATGCGCGGGCTGCATGCCCATGCCTACACCCGACTGCATGGACTCGAGAGCTGTGCGCTGCAGATCACGGATATCATCGCGCAAACCGCCAACTTGTGTCTCGAGGTTTCTGCGGGCTGTTTGTTCACGACGCAGGAGCGTGACTAGCGTGCTATATTGCTCGATCGAGACGCCGTGGTAGTCGGACAGGGATGAGGCGGATGGGGCGGGGCGGAGGGTGCGCGAGGCCATTGTGTCTGCGCGGATGGTGCTCGTGCTGGAGGGGCGGGTGGAGATGTTTGGAAGCGGGCTTGGGGAATCGTCGCGGTCGCTTGCGGAGAGGAATGCGGTGTGTTTGTTGCGCATGTGAGGGGGAAGGAGTCTGCTGAAGGGGGGTGTCGGGGGCGCGATGGTTTTTCGGTGGGGTTTTCGGGGCCGTTGGTTTGCATTCGCGCAATGGCGAATTCCAAATCAATTAGTTTCACTTCGAGTGTGGTCAACCGCTGTTCCAGGGTGACGCTGTCATCTTGCTGCATTGTGTTGACTAGACTTGCGAGGTTTGATGGTAGACTGGGTGGTTGTGTTGTTTGCTCGACTTCCATCAAAGATGGATCGGCGGACATTCGGGTCACACTGGTTACTGTTGTTCCCGATGAGGGACGACCCGAATGTCCACTATTAGAGCTTTCGTCTAGTGGCGGGGACTGCGAGTCAGGAACCGAAGCTGGCCGAGCCGCGGATGATGTGCGCTGTGGCCAAGAGGTCATGATCTCTGGCATGTTATCTGTCATTTCGCGCAATGCATCTGTGCTCCTTGATAAGCGGTGGGAGAGCAAGCTGTGCCTACGCTCTGGGACATGGCTCCTATCCTCTTGCGGATCGGATATTGCTATTGACGCCACGGCAAACCGAGATTCATCGTCTGAAAAAACCACGCTAGGAAGAGTTGCGCGTCTTCGACGTGGCTGCATGCTACCCGGCATTGAATCGCGCAGTGTGGCAGATGAAAGGGGAGATAGTGGAGACAGAAGCGGCGACAGATGTGTTTCTGCAAGCTGCAGGTTCTCCGCCGATAGTGGACTGCCCCGGTGTGAATTCAAATTCAGAGGAGGCGGCACAGCCAACAATGATCTTCCTTTCGCTGGTCCTGATTTTCGCATCGGTGGCGTTGCAAAAGTGGATTCGTATGGGTTCTCCTCTAGTTCATCTGCTTGACTTTGTCTTTTGCGGTTGAAGATCTTGCGCATGACTGTTTTCAATGTGCTTCCCGTTCGGCGATGAGCAATGGATGGGTTGGAATGGGAGTGCGACTGAAATTCCATTGACGGCAGCGCCGTGTCATCGTTGTCTCCCATGTAAGATGCAGGGTTCGAGCCGGAGCGCTCTCCACGGGGAGAAGATCGTTGTGGAATACTCCGAACAGACTCGCTGCCAGCGCTCGCTATAGATCGTGGTTGTCTTGACATGATGACGGAGTATTGAAGGTCGTAATCGACAAATAGTAGGTATAGAAGGTACGGGTGGGATATCGACTCTGATCATTACAAGCAATATGGGTATATGGCGGAAAAGAAAAGGAAAAAAAAAGAGATTCAAGCGAGTGTCGGGAAATAAATATCGAAGGGTATCAACAGGTATAACGAATTCGAATAAAGGCTGGATTTAGTCGACTGAGACTATGGAAAGCTATCAAACGCAAGTTAGCTGAAGAACCAAGGTGGTACAAACGGAACATACAGTGTCGGATATAATCAGGAACATAATGATCAGAGTTGTTCCCGTTTGCCAGTCTCATAAGAAACAAAGAGAGAAGAAGAAGAAAAAAAGGACAAAGGCTGAGTGGGGGAGAAGAAACAAAGGGGAGAGAGAAGTTGGAGATTAGGGAGAGACAAGAGAGGAAGAGAGGAGAGAGGAGAGAGGAGAGAAAGAGAGAGAGAGACAGCTATTATCCCCACACCTGGAAGTTGCTTCACACCAAATAATAAAAGATAAATCATGTAACTATATATTATATTGTTTATATTTTGTATTGTATAGTTATAGTTCTATTTTCTACCTTATCCCTTCTACCTTCTATTATCCTTCCACACAGAAAAAGAATGAAAGTGGAATGTTCTGAAACACAGATACTATTATCCGCACTAACTACATATGCACGGAGTAGCCCAAGTGACACGACACAGTTTCAACAGTTTCAACTCCAATTAGTCCAATTAGTTAGTCCATTACCCCATTATCCCATTAGCCCACGTCTGTGTCTTTGTGCCAGCACCCCTCAGCCGTGGCCCTCATTCCTGGATTGGCAGGAGAAAGAAAAGAATCCGCCTAATTCTGTTTCGGGAAATGCATCTCCGACACCTCATTACAGAAATGATCGTCTAACTGGATGTTTCAAAATACCTTATCTTCGTCTCTCAAACTCCCTTCGGGGGGAGGAAAAGTATTTGAGTTGTTTAAGTCTTCCCCCCTACTCCTCATCCCTTACATAGGCCGTGCACCCGGGACTAAATTTAACCTTGGAGAATATCCCGTCTATGCCGCGTCTAAGAGAGAGATCGACAGTGTTCTGGAACAAGCAAAATGGGGATTCTCAATCTACACCGAAAATTCCCGAAGACTATAGTAAATCTCCAGCGTCGGGGTATCGTAGGTCGGCATGTTCTTCCAGGAAATCCATCCAGTGCTTCAGGAAGCCACTCCCACTATAAAAAACAAAACAATGTTGATCAGCATGAAACCCTCAAACCAAAATGGCTCATCCCGTACTTACCGACTGATCGTCTCCGAGTCTCCGCAAATACACAAATGCCGCTTGGGCCGCGTCATGGCAACTATATGCAGCATAGTTAGCAATATATCGAATGTCCTGCAGGTACAACATACGGAAAACGCCCGCAAGAAGAAAAGGGGGAAAAGCATATACCATTTAATCGTCGCTTCTCGCCAAGGAACCCCACTTCGTGTTCCCCATTGCTGCGCACTAAGCTCACCACAACAGCTTCTTTCTCACGGCCCTGGAATCCATCCACACTGCCAAGTTCAAGGCCGGGGTATTTCTCTCGTAACATCCGCGACAGTAGCGCCAATTGCCCGTTGTAAGGGGTGATCACGGCAATGCCCTCGGGTCTGACACCCGCGTCAATCAGATTGTCCACGTGCCGAGCAACGACCATGGCTTCCATTTCGTTGCTTTTGCTGTCGCCAAGCAAGGCTCCCTTTTTGCTAATCTCATCCTCTGCCTTTTCGGGAAAATCTCCACCTTGCGTGTCCCAGAAGACCAGGGGTTCCTGCGTGTCGTCTGTGCCTTCTACCTCGTATGGTAGGTCGATCAGTAAACGGGCTTTCACCGCGTCGCTGGCGATCAGCTTGCCCTCGTAAAGTTCGTCGGAGGGAAAGCGCATGATCTTCTCATGCATGCGATATTGGGTGGTTAACATGCGTTTAATCCCCGGTCCATGCAGGGCTAATAGACGATCGAATAATGTGCGTTCAAGAGAGACACCCTTCAATGTCTCGGTGTCGCTGTCCGTCCTTTCATCAGTGTCCTTCGAAGGTTCATCCTTGGACTTCTGTCCAGTAGACTTGACGGTCGGTGGTAATTGCAGATGATCACCGGCAAGGACCACCTTTTCTGCACCGAGAAGTGAAATCCAACATTGTGCTTCGAGGGCTTGACTCGCCTCGTCAATAATCACAACGTCAAACTTCTGGTTCTTGAGTTGGTGGCCTCCAGCCCCATGTAGAGTAGCCAATACCACGCTACTCTCGCGCACCAGGTTATCCACGCATTTAGACTCGCGCTGTCGGAACTCCTTCCGGAGTAGCTTCAACTCGTCATAAATACCTCGTCGTTCGCGACCAGACCTGGTCTTGCGAATACTAGCCTGCTTTTCATCAATCTCCTTGCGAATATCCTTCACAATACCCCCGGCATCAGAGGTCTGTGTAAGAACTTCAAGGGAATGCTCAAGAACAGAAGGAAGCAAACGAGCCGGATGCCCGATGCGCACAACAGGAACCTTCTTAGGGGCCAATCGTTCGACAATATTATCAACAGAAACGTTCGACGGTCCACAGACAAGAACCCGCTTATTGCGCTGAACAAATTGCAAAATCAATTCAATGAGCGTATGCGTCTTTCCTGTCCCAGGCGGACCATGAATTAAAGCAATATCCCGCGAAGCCAGCGCAAACCGAATAGCATCCTTTTGCGAATCGTTCAGCGTGGGATCAGTGAACTCCACAGGCCCACAAGCCTCAGTATCCAGCTGCAGCGGCGTGGTATGCCCAAACGCGACGCGCATGAAATGCGAGTACTCAGTCCCAATCATCTTGACCATCTTCTCCATAGTTTGTCTCATCCTAGTCCGAAGTCAGTAACGCATCCAGTAATCCCAAATCCAAATCCAAATCCAAATCCAAATCCAAATTCAATACTCCAACCAACATACCTCCTATACGTAACATCATTGGCAAGCTTAATAGCCCACACCTTCTTCCCCCAAAGCTCCTCAACAGCCTCATCATCCTCCTTCGACATCCCCCCACCACCCTGCCGCCCAAACGCAATCCACACAGCTCGATCACCAGTCCGTGTAACAACGCCCTCAACCCCCTTCTCCGCGTCTTTGTCTTTTTCCTTATCTTTGTCTTTCCCGCCGACCTTCTTCCCCGCCCCCGCCACATCACTAACTCTCACAACATCCCCGACACGAATCCCATGCGACCCAAGACGAGGCGTCCCATCTGCAGCTCGGGATTCTTCCGATGCGACTGCTGGATCCGGGGCGAACTCGCCGACGACGCGCCCACCGAGACCGGTTCGGCACTGTGAGAGGATGAGGCCTGTTAGGGCGTAGCCGGTCGCTTGAAGAGTTCGACGGGTTGCAGGGGAGACTGTTGCGGCTGTGCTGGCGAGTTTTGAGGAGGAGACTTCGGCGGCGTGTTCTTCGTGGAGGAGGGTGAGTTGGGTTGAGGCGAAGAGGGGATTGAGATTGGGGTTGGAGGGGGCATTTTGGGTGGTGCGGGATGCGTGGAGCTTGGAGTTGGGATCTTTGGAGAGTAAATGGGTGTTCTCATAGATAGATTGAAAGTCCTCCGTTTGGTTGGTGTCGATTGACTTCCACGGGTTGGTGGTTGGAGCTTGATTCGGGGAGGGACCGGGGATAAAGAAGCTTCAAGTTGCTTATCTCCGAGATCGGAATTTGATTGGCTGCGGGTTTGGAGGATTCAATGTTGTCTACAACATACGGGTGTACAAGCATGACGTATTCAGACAATCTCATCCAGCTAAGAGAAGAACCAACAGCCCAGGGAACGATAGCCACTGTTCTCGAAATACAAGTACATCTCCGTATACACATTTTACTCCTTCCAGTGCATTTTGTGCAAACTGTTACCCTGAGCAGGTGATATTCTCTTATTCCATTTGCTTCACCAAACGATAGCCGTCTACAACGGATTTCAATCAGTCCCTAAAGGCTCATATAGTGGAATGTCCCCCAAGTCGAAAGGAAACGCCCAATAACTGGTCGCAACATATCTTCCGACATATATCCAGTCGTTGGAGCGTCCGTATAGAGAATCCCAACGAGCAAGCCTCTACCAGCGAGCGAGAACGGGGTCGACGAGGCGTACCTTGGTCAGCCCCGTCCTAGCTCCCGGAAGATCGCATTTGTCTTTTGGATACTATGGCATGTGATAGGCGAAGCGAAGCGCCGAAGATTGTGCATGGGGACCAACGAAGACAACGAGAATTCAGAAATAGAGCATCTCCAGCCACCGGCTGCCCCAGTGGGCACAAATCCAAACAGAGGAATAATCTTGGAAGGTCGCATCAAAGAAATATTAGCGGTGTTTAGCGCATGCGCCTTAGCGATAATTCTGATTCAAAGCGACATATTTCCAGAGGCTGGGGTGTATTCGACGAAGAATACATGTGTAATTATATCGGACCATTGTAAGAAAGCCGTACCAAGGGGGTACGCCGGAGCCACGTTCTCTCATCCAGAGAAGGACGGACGGTATACATTAAACCAGTAATTCAGAAGCAGACAAATGCGAATCAAGAAGCCTCAATCTTGACCTTGGGCTCATCGATCTCAGGACTCTTCTTAACCTTCAGCATCGTCGGCTCAAGCCCTCGAATCTCACTCTTACAAAGTCGCAAGCCAGCCAGATCACAATCCCCACAGCGACGCTTAACGGGCAGACAAACCGTTTGTCCGAGGCCAACAAGCAACTTATTAATCTCATGCCACTTCTCGAGCGGCAACCACGATTGGAGCGCTTTTCTCGTCTCCTCGGGGGTTTTAGTCTTATTCCAACCCCAGAGGTTGGTAATACGATGAACATGCACATCAACACCAATCCCCATGTGTTTGCCCCATGCCGCGCTCAAACAGAGGTAGGCCATTTTGGGTCCTACGCCGGGGAGCGCCATGAGGCCTTCCGGCGTGGAGGGGATATCGCCGTTATGCTGGTCTCGCAGGATCAGCGCGGTAGCTTTGATGTATTTTGTTTTATTGTTGTGGAAGCCGACTGTGTGGATTAGTTCGTTTAGTCGCGTTGGCTCCACCGCTAGGATGTTGGTTAGGTTCAGGGTACTGTCGACAGGTTTTGAATCCTCGTCTTCTTGTTTGATTTTGATATCTTCAGCCAGCGCAGTGTCGTCTCCGAGTTCCGTGTGAAGACGCTGCATTGCTACCGCTGTGACCGTGTCTTTCGTCTGGGATGAGAGCATCAACGCGATAAGGGTCTGGAATCGACGGTCTATTAATGATGATGCCCGCCAGTATAGCTCCGAGCAGCCCATTGTGTCTACCGGTGCAGTCGGGTTGTCTGCCCTCATCTTTTTCACGATCTCGTACATCGCCTCCCAGTTGGACGGCGGCTCAACTTTAACCGAGCCGTCGTTGTCGTGGATTGTTCGGGCCGGGACTCGTCTTTGTTTGGGTGTCACGGTTGGTTTCTGGTCGGGCTCATCCTTCACAATGGGTTTGCGTTGTATTCGAGGACTTGAACTTTGCTTGAGGGCTCGCGGGTTTAGGGGGCTCGCGCTACGCTTTCGGCGCTTCAACGGCGGTTCAAGGAGGTCTTCGATATCGGCTGTGTCGGCCTCGGAAAGGGAAGATTCATCATCGCTCTTGATGGGACACAGACCGGGCGTTACCGAGACATCTTCTGTCTTCGGCTCTGTCTTGACGGTCGGAGTCGCATTTGCGTTGTGGGCGAAACTTTTCAAAGCGCTCGCATTGGAGCTACGCGTTTGTCGTCGGATAGGGGGTGAGAGTGCCTCCAGCACCTTCGCGGTGTCCCTGGAAGTGCGAGAAGTGCGCATGGTCAATTAATCTTAATCAATTAACAGAGACCGAATAAACAGAAAATGACCTCGGGACCAGGGGATTTCACGTGAGAAGATGATCGATCCATGGGTGTGGGTCGGGCAGAATTTCCCCAACCTCGGCGATCGCAGTGCCGACCGACTTTCCCAAACTCCGTGGGGAGGCGCACTTCAACTACAACATACACATATAATCTATACAACCTACCACATTCCACATGACCTCTTCTATCTCTGCGTCAAAGCGGCTCAGGCAAGAGCTGAAGGCTGCTATCAAGGAAGGGGAAAATGAAACATACCTGTACCTCCGAACGGTCGATTCAGACGACCTACTACACTGGGAAGCTGTATTGAAGGGTCCAAAAGAATCACTATACGAAGGTAAGTTCACTAGGCTCGGGGAATCTGAGCCGATCTAACGCGAAAACAGGTGGACTTTGGCACCTCAGTATTGAAGTCCCGGAAAATTACCCTATTGCGCCGCCGATCATCCGCTTCACGACGAAGATTGTGCACCCGAATATCGACTTCAACACGGGCAAGATCTGTTTGCCGCTCTTGGATGACGGATGGAGGCCGGCTGTGACTCTCGAGACCACACTAAAGGCTATTCAGTGGCTGCTGAGCGATCCGAATCCAGATTCCCCGCTAAATGTTGACATCGCGGTTCTACTACGCAACGAGGATATTGCGGGCTGGGAGAGTGTTACCCGGTACTGGATGGAGGAGGAGCAGTGGAATGAACGTCAGAATCTTGTACGATGATAACGGTTTCTCGGAACCAGTTGAGACATTCGGACCGCACATACCGCACCACCGTGCACATTCCGATCATCTCGGATACCTTTTACCCACTACATATACGAATCAACGAATCTCTACGGTCAATAACCTAAGGAGTTTAATAATGGAGCACAATTTTTGCATTATCTTCAAAGTGAAGAGTAAACATGGACTAAAGGTTAATCACATGAAATATTAGCGTGTGCTTCGCGCCATAAATGTTTGAGACCGCTGTGTAAAACACGATAACAGGCCAAATGAGGCAGATATTGAATGCCGGATTGAACGCCCAAGAGAGATAAGGAGAGACATGAGTATCGTCACGGGTCATGCGGAAAAGATAGTACAATGACTGAATGTCATGAGGATGCAGAGCCAATGCGATGTGCTGGAGAACGCCGTTCAAAAAGATAAAAGATGCGAGCAGGCGATGAGGCAAAACTGATCATCCACTACAGAGCCATTGCGACCACGACGGCGCCACCGACGATGGCGACAACCTCACGAGCCATACCGGTAGCCACCGCAGCAACATTAGTCTGCAGACCGGGCTTACCAGCGGTGGTTGCGCCTGCGGCCTTGTCGGTTGCCGAAGGGGTGATCACCGTGATAGAGGTGATGGTGCTCAGACTGCCGTCGGGCATGGTGGTCGTGCTCTCGAAGGTGGAAGTGCTCAAGCTGGTGTGGGTAGAGGTAGTTGATTGACTATCGGTGGTTGAGGTAGACGAGGTGGACGAAGTGCTCCGAGTAGTCGATAGGGTGGAAGGAACACTAGTAGTGGTCCGAGTAGTCTGAGTGGTCTCAGTAGTCTCAGTAGGGGTAGTGGTCGGCTGAGCAGTAGTAGTCTTGGTTGAGACCGTGCTGGTGGTCTCGGTGGAGACGGACGCAGAGGTGGCAGAGCTGGTCTTGCCGGTGGTCTCGCTGGTGGTCTCGCTGGTGTTCTCACTGGTGGTCTCACTGGTGGGCTCACTGGTGCTGGTTTCACTAGCCGAGGTGGCCGAGGTGACGGTTGGCTGGGCGCTTGTAGTGGGCTCAGTGTTAGAGGCCGAGGTGGTCTCACTGGTCTGACTGGTCTCAGCAGCTGTGGTGGCGGGCTCAGAGGTTGGTTCGATGCTGGGAGTAGTCACCGTAGGAACCGTGACTGGGGTTGTGTCAGGGCTGGCAGTGGCATTATCCTGACGCTTAGCAAGCTTGATAAGGCTGGCAATAGTGGGTTCTTCAGCTTGCAGAGCCTCGGCGGCTTTAAGGTCAGTCGGGAAGACTCCATGACGGAATTTGGTGGAGATAGCATGCAGAGCATCATGGAGGTTGACTTCCTTGATGTCGGCAAGCCCTTGGGAAGACTCACTTGACGAAGTCCCCTGCACTGCATCTGCTGCGAAAACCGCAGACAGAGCGAGCAGTGTCACAAAGAGCAATTGAAGAAAGTTGGTACGCAACATTATGGTAGATTGAAGATCGGTGGATCTTGCTGATAAGATGAGGAGTTGGGTAAAGACAATGAAGAGAGAGAGAGGGGAGGAAGAACAACAAAGCAGGTGAGATTATTTAAGAAAGGTGAAAGATGACTTGGAAGGAACCACACAAGTCCCAGATTGGCAAGTGTATTCTTCCTTTTTTTTTTTATTATCTTTTCGTATTTTTTTTCCTTCTTATTTGGATACCTTTCTTGATTTTTCACACTAGTAAAAGATAATCCCGAGAATCATCGGCGTGGCTGATTTTTTATGGCCACTTAAATGTCTCGGATCGGCCGAAAACAAGGCTTAGTATATATACATTGATGAACTATTTTAGATCTTATGTGCAGTACATAATAACTAACCATCATAATGTGGATAATATAGACCTCGGGAGTAAACCAACTGTGCCACCAAATCCAAAAGTAAAAAGTAAAAGTTCATTCTGTCTTATTATTGGTCCGGTCTCAGGGCTAACAATAGTAACCTTGGAAATAGTCAGAGTCATCTTGTCATGCGTTATTGCTTTTTTACTCCATTTGGTAAAACTTTGGGTAAAAAGGAAAAAAAAAGGGGGTATTTCCCCTGGAACTTCCATGGTTCTATATAAATATCCACATGTGCACACTCATAACAATTCACCCCGTTTACTTACAACATAGGCAATATACCTCAGGTGTACGAATAACAATAGTATCTAGTTGGATCCATAACATCGCCGACCGATCGAGGCTGATCGAGGATACCAAATTCCATCTCCATATCGACCGTGACAAGCGGCGCATCCGGCGGATTAGACAGCCTATTCGTACCATTAAGTGCAAATCGACGATGGTCCTCATCTTTGGCCTGCCACATACTCCATAACCGATCGATCATACCATGGTGCAGGAAGAAAGCCGGGTCTTGCGGCGACGTGAACAAGTCTTGGAGGGTAGCTCCGAGGCTGAAATGTCCGCCGCCATGCACGCCCAGCACTCCGCCGGGCCGTGCGGGCCAATAGTCCATGACGGTCTGGAAATCGGAGATATTAGCCGCGGATAGGAGTCGGTCGACGATGGTCTGGTTATCGTAGTTGCTGCTGACGAAGTTATTCAGACTTCGGTTGAAACAGCGCGGGTTGTAGTCGAAGCCTGGGGCGGGGAGTTTGTCGAATGAGACAATGTTGCGGTCGAACGGTCCCATGTGGATTTTCATGTCTTTGAAGGGTCCGCAGCGCACACAGCCGCCGCCCGATCCTCGTGGTATGGTTACGGCGCCGCCGGAGAGGCTTTGCTCGTCTGGGTTATAATTTCCATCGCCGGAGAGGGAGCTGTCGCTGCAGTCGAAGAGAGGACTAACTTTCAGGTTCTCTGACCACAATGGCCAATTCCAGTACCTGCACATGTGGTTCGTGTTATTATGGTTCGGGGTAGTAAATGAATGGCACTTACGGGAGATGGCCGGAGTAACCACACTCGTCTCGCAGGGCTGTCTCCCAGAGCCAGAGGAAGTGACGGTGCCATGGGAGGAACAGACCACTAAGGTGGACATTGAGTGTATAGTTGATATGGGTTCTGTATCCTATGTTAGTACCCAGTCCTTAGCATATAGAATGAGGTTATAAAGAACCTACGCCACAAAATCGTCGAGCCGGTTCTGCACTCCCGGGTACTCTTTTCTTGGAAGTTGCTGAGGCTTCCCCTGCATACACAGTACCGAATCAATATAGTCGATCCGCTCAGCTTTCTTCAACTCCCCCTATGTAATGTCAGTTCTCAATTGGCCATAGGAAAATCAAGAAATACAAACCATTCCTTCCGGACAGCAGTATTATCAGTTCCACATGCTCGCTCGGGCAGGGCAATGTCGGTGTTGATATCGAATAAGGAGGAATCGGCTGTCGAACCCCAAACCCCCAAGGCAATGACCAAGAAAGACGGATACAGCCCAACCATCCTATCAATCCCAACAAAGAAAATCCCGATTAGCAGGAGCTAATAAATTCCCGCAAAAGCTCCCTCGGCCTCGTCCATGAACGCCGTTTATAAGTAACCACCGACCCCCCACTAACAAGCCAATAAACCCTGATGGCATCCCTTGTATGATCTGTAAGTAGACGGAGCATTTTAGATTAGCCTATTTTGGTGAACTCCGAAACTTTTTTTTTTGGATATGCAGGTTCCAAGCCTGTCAGTCTGTGAGCTGTCACTTTACGGGGGTCTAAGTACCTCCATCACACTCCATTGGTAACGGTGCGTTTTTTCACCCTGCATGACATGGGGCGATAGAGGTTCTAGCCATAGACCGTTCCCAAAGCTTAGCGAGGCAGAGCTCCAACCAAATTAACTTACTTGTTTACGGTGTTTATCAACGAGATAAATTGTTGTACCCAATCTATGTCGTGCCCAGGTGAACTGTGTCTAGGTTTGATGTACATAGTCTGTCCTTGGCCCCGTCTTTGAGCGGTGGGGGAGAGGGGTGTCCTAGTTGATCTTGGAATTATAGCTGCATCTGTTATGGAACGTCTGCAGTGCGCCACGGCCAATGGTGCCGGGCACCCGAGGGAAGACTCTGATTATGTTCATAAGCGGCCGACGACCGACGTTGTACCTATATAAGCAGGTACTCGGATGAGGTAGGAGCATTACATTATTATCTCTTTAAATTATCAGTTCTTTTCAATCTCCTCTCAAGTCAACGTAAGTGGGCGATTCACCTAGACCGAGGTACGTTGTAGTAGGAACTACGCCGTACCACGTTAGACCAGTTCTCTCCACAATTATAAGTCCACATAGGGTGTGCGAAACTACAACACATGTCGTAGGGAGATAGAAAGTACGTGCACTTGCTAGGCTGTCACGCTGCAGAGATCACGAACTAACTATCATCAAATGGGTTTGAGGATCGAAAGTATTTCATTCGTTTAACAATGACATTATTCGTATTGACATGCTCAATATATACCACCGATTGCAGAGCTATCCATATCACAGGCAGATATGGTTAATTGTAAGTGCATCGCTCGTATCCGAATTGGTTGGGTAAATGCGTAGCTTTACCAATCAATGTACCACATCAAACCCTACCACTACCCCAGTAAGCAAGCATCACCGAATCCAAGGAGACCCAACTCCATTTTCTCTCGCATCATCACTGGCTCTTTCGCATGGACTCATCTTGCTACCATTCATCGATTCGGTGAGAACAATCAGCGTGAAAAAGTACCGATGTGGCCTGTGGCCAAGCAACGGTCTAGGCGAGATATAAATAGTGCTTTTACGAGTCTGTCCATATCAAGAACTATGCTTCGCGTGCTGGATGCCGCGGCAACCTCGAGATTTGCACCAGTCTGACATGTCGCTGTGGTGCGAATGCTATAGTAGACCCCATGGATGATTGGGCTTGGGAGAAGTGTTCCTAGACCTACACCAGGGAGAATATACTGCTTCGTCTCTGGTGATGTAGACGGCTAACTCCGCATTGAGAATCGGCCTACCGCTTCTACCTGTGCTCTGCGCTGTGCGTCTAGTTGCGATCCGGACGGGCCCACTCCTTGGTGCTGAAGTTCGATGGTGGGCTTGCGGAACTTGGAAAATGCTGTAGCTTTGGTGAAGAGAACTCGGGTTGTGCTCCACCAGACAGCTCTTATGTTCATGGCTTTATAGCCCCTTCGTCTCTCGGCGTCTTCCACTCCGTTTTCTTTTGTGGCGGGTGAGCTTTCTCACCTGCCTTTGAGCAAGTCCAGTGAGCCTTCATAGGTTACAGATACCCGAGCTTTAAGCTTTTTTTTCACATGGTATATAGCAGAACGATCATTGACAGCGATGCCGAGTGCGGGGGAAAGAGTGTGGGGAACTAACCGAGGCAGATCTATCAAGGACGTGAAAAATGCAGATTTAACATTGACCCCAGATCCTGTTCTCAGACAAGGTCTCTACCGCGCAAACTACTATGGATGCTGCAAAAGGCTTTCCGGGTCATGTTCTACCCCAAGCCACAGCCTCCTGGGCTCACATCGTAGCCAACTATTCGCCTCAGAGAATTGAGTTCATGGGTACACTTCTCGCCCAGGTACTTACCTTCTGGCTACCATCAATATGCTACATGTTCCTCGAAGTGATCGCGCCTTCATTCTCCCAACGCCACAAGATCCAACCAGCACCCAAACAGCCAACCGGTCGTGAGATCGCACGCTGCTTTACGGTCGTGGTACAAAACCAGATCATATCATCGATACTTCACCTGCTATTGCTGTCCGCCGCCAGCCACGCTGGCCTGAAATCAACATATCGCATCGAGACCTCTCTACCAGGTCCAGTCGAGATCTTCCGGGACGTCTTTCTCAGTCTGTTGATGCGCGAAGCGTTATTCTATTACAGTCACCGAATTTTACATATACCCACCCTCTACATCCGCATCCATAAGAAACATCACCGATTCACTGCTCCGATCGCGCTGGCTGCGCAGTTCGCCCATCCGATTGAGCACATCTTCGCTAATACATTGCCTATCTCTCTGCCGCCGCAGTTGTTGGGGAGTCATATTGTGACTTTTTGGGTATTCTTGGCTTATGAGCTTGTGAATACGGCGACGGTTCACAGTGGATATGATTTCTTTTGTCACAAGGCTAGAGCGCATGATCTTCATCATGAGAAGTTCAATTTGAATTATGGATCGTTGGGATTGTTGGATTGGGTGCATGGAACGAATCAATTGAAGAAGCGTCGCACTAGGTAACCTCGGTTATTGTTTTGGGTAGGTCCAATTGTGTACATAACTCTGGGGGACCGTTATCGACATGGCCAATGGTACACCGTGGGGTTGTCTCATATATAACTTTCTTGAGATGCCCCGGGGTCTCCGAAGAAACGAATACGGTGGTGTCCCATGGTTGCAGGGCGGTCGCACAAGGCGGCGAGGGAATACTCGGCTATAAACTCCCAAGTCAAAAAGCCTAGTGAAAAAAAAAAAGAAAAAAACTTGCGGTCGCAGTCTAATTATCCTAGTCTTGGTAAAGTTCAGGTTCATCTCCGGAGTAGAGACTCAAATTTTTTTTTACAAGCTCATTTAGATGCAACTTGAGCTGGCCACCGTCTTGAAAGATATAGCGGTCAAGTCTAGGGGGTGGATGGAGTTTATAGCTAACAATAGCAAGAATACCAAATTAATGAGGAACTTTAGAATATGGGCCAGATCTACAGGATCTATCATGATTTGTCGATCTGGTCGAAGTTACTGATAGAGTGCGTACGGCGTACAATGTACAATGTACATCCAACGCATCCCATGACGATGCGTTGTACAAAAGTAAAGAAATAATAGATCAGTTTGATACATGGGAAGTTCTGGCATTGTAATTGTTGTACTGTGGAGTGTCTCAGGTCTATGTATAGACCGTTTGAAAAGTGAGAGAGCCATGGACATCTGGGTTGGCGCCAAGATAAAGGGATTTAGCGAATAATAAAAAAGACCAGGATCCAATTGACAGTTGATTGGATTCTAGAATTTGAACACGTTTTGACGTTTTAACCCCTATGTTGTATAGTATATGTTGTAGATTTGACCCCTTAGACCCTTAGAATAATAAACGACCCCCTGAAGTGCGATCGACTTATCCCACAAAGCGCGTCATTGCCAAGCTAGGGTCCACTCAGAGTTTCATGGAGGCAACAGGATAATTTGGGAATAGAGTGTTTTGTATAGAGAATTATAGGTTGTATACGAAGACATTCAAAATGGTTGATATAGTGAGTACATACTTCTATTATATAAATGCCAGTACATTGCTAACCACATATGTTGTATACTCCGGATATTGTACCTCCATATTGTTAAATACCACGGACCTGACGATCCAAAGAATCAAATAAATAACAAGACCAAATGAACCAATTAAAATCATTTAATTCAGGATTATCTCCACATATAATCCACTGTAAATAATGACCCTTGCTGATCAGGACAAAGCAGAACAGCCAATGTACATAGTACACCCTGCCGGTCCCTTGGCGTAGCACAGCCCAGCCCTTTGCCGGGAGAGCCTTGGCCTCATAACCCTTTCATCCCTTGCCTTTTCTCCTTCTTTTCATTCTTTCTGACCTCACTTTCGTTTCTCAGTCTGTCATTCACTCTCTTTTAATACTCTGAGCGCATCTTATTTCCCACTCTCGTTCATACCAATTTTCGCTCTTTTTCACTTATTCCCCCACAATGAAGTCTTCCGTAGCCTCCATGGCCACGGCCATCACCATGGGCGCCTCGACCGTCCTCGGTGCCGCAACCAACCTCCAGGCCCGTGACAGCGATATCACCCCTATCACTGTTAAGGGTAATGCCTTCTTCAAGGGCAGCGACCGCTTCTACATGCGCGGTGTCGACTACCAGCCCGGTGGTTCTTCCGACCTCAGCGATCCTATCGCTGATGCCGATGGTTGCAAGCGTGACATCAAGAACTTCAAGGAACTGGGTCTCAACACCATTCGTGTCTACTCTGTCGATAACTCCAAGGACCACGATGAGTGTATGAGTGCTCTCGCTGAGGCCGGCATCTACCTTGTTCTCGATGTCAATACCCCTAAGTACTCTCTCAACCGTGCTGAGCCCGAGATGTCCTACAACGATGTCTACCTCCAGTACATCTTCGCCACTATGGAGAAGTTCGCTAAGTACGACAACACTCTGGCCTTCTTCTCCGGTAACGAGGTTATCAACGACGGTCCTTCCTCAAAGGCCGCTCCTTACGTTAAGGCCGTTACCCGTGATATGCGTACTTACCTCCGCTCTCGTAAGCTTCGTGAGGTCCCCGTCGGATACTCCGCTGCTGATGTCGACACCAACCGTCTCGAGATGGCCGAGTACATGAACTGCGGTACCGATGACGAGCGCAGTGACTTCTTCGCCTTCAACGATTACTCTTGGTGCGACCCCTCTTCCTTCACCACCTCCGGCTGGGACCAGAAGGTTAAGAACTTCACCGGTTACGGTCTCCCCCTCTTCCTCTCCGAGTACGGTTGCAACATCAACACCCGCAAGTTCCAGGAGGTTAAGGCCCTCTACTCTGACAAGATGACCCCTGTCTACTCCGGCGGTCTCGTCTACGAGTACACTGAGGCTGGTAACAAGTACGGTCTGGTTAAGATCAGCGATGACAAGGTCACTACCAACAAGGACTACGATGCTCTCAAGAAGGCCTTCGAGGGCACCGAGAACCCCTCCGGCAACGGCGGCTACAACTCCACCGGTGGTGCCTCCGGCTGCCCCAAGATGCAGAAGCCCAACTGGGATGTCGACTCTGACTCTCTCCCTGCCATGCCCGCCCCCGCCAAGAAGTACCTGACTGACGGTGCCGGCAAGGGCGATGGTTTCTCCGGCAAGGGCAGCCAGAACGCCGGCACCAAGTCCTCCGGCACTGCCACCCAGGGCTCTGGTGATGTCGCTGCTGCTACTGGCGGCAGCTCTGCTGCCTCCAGCACCAGCTCCACCGGTGCCGCCGCTGGCCTCAAGCCTGTCCAGTTCAGCTTCGCCCCTGCTACCGTCGGTCTCGTCACTGTCCTGTCGACTGTCTTCGGTGCTAGCTTCCTCCTGTAATGCTCCTACCTTTTTTGAAGGGGCTTCACATCTTTTTCGATTCTCCCTGACATGTATCTTTTTTTTAACTGGCTTTCACATTTTTCCCTGCGATGATCATCGCTTGGACTTTGCAAATTGGGGGATGGCAAGATGCTTTCTAGTTGGTGTATAGCAGTCCTTAGTATCTACGTCTAGTGTTCAATGAAAACGGAGCTGAACTGCTCATATATTCTGATTCTTGCCGAATAGAGATAATGAGGAGCCCAGAGTGGCAGAATTCTTTGTTCTTCCAGATCGTCACAACACCTCACCTTAGGACCTAAGATGAATTGAACCACCTAAATTATGATAGCTCGCAATGATTAAGAGAGTTATTGAATGCCTTAGGGGGTTATGAGACACCCGGCTATTATCTCGGGCTTTTTAACAACATTTCACCCCCGACCTAACCTTAGTTACACATTGTACACGAAATATTTAGTTATTCAACCTCGCCATTAGAACACCGACGTTTTTTTACCAACTACCCAGTCTTATAGTGCTCAGGAGGTCAACCCCAGTTTTAGGGGACTCAATCCACGGTAGTACGCAATGCGGATAGCATCATGGGCAGAGATAAGACCAGCAGCATATGCCGCGGCGATTTCGCCCGAAGAGTGTCCGACGACCGAAGCAAAAGTAAGGCCAGCTGATTGAAGAAGGTCGACAAGCACGATCTGGATTGCGGTACATAATGGTTGCGATACTGCTGCCTCGGCGATCCGGGAGGTATCTGCTCCGGCGAAAATCTCATCTGTAAGCCGCCACTCCGGCTGATCCGTGGGGGAAGGATGGCCAAGGATTCTTCAAGGCGTTGGATTGTGTCCCGTACAAATTGAGAGGAACGAATCAACGCAGCACCCATGGCTGGCCACTGGGCACCTTGGCCAGTGAAGACGCCGAGGATACGAGGCGTTGCAGGCTTACCGCTGGAGCGGATACCAATAGTCGCAGTAGCCTTATCCTTAGTAGCTTCAAGCTTGCTATCAATCTTCTGGATCAGCTGCTGGATGGTACGCGCGGAGAAGGCTGTTTTGACGGGCAGCTGGCTTCTGCGTGAATACAGAGTCCACGCTAGATCGGAGGCATCGAGTTCATCTTGGTGGGCGGTCAAATACTGGGAATACTGCTCCAGAAGCGCGACCAAGGATTGCTCTGATAGAGCTGAAAATACAAACGGTGTGAGTGACGATGACTTCGATGGCTCTTCCTTGAAGCGAGTAACCAATGGCACATGCTCCCCCAAGATAGCATGAGCATTGGCACCACCAAAACCTATCATAATTTGTAAGAATCCGTTTCAGTTAGGAAAGATTAAATAACATACCAAAGCTGTTCACACTAACACGTCGGGGAACACCTCGAGGTAGTGTCGGCCAGGGGGTCAGCTCGGTGGGTATATGCAGGTTTTTGTAATAGGGCTCGACGCGTGGGTTCAGGCGATTGAAAAGTAGATTCGGAGGGATTGACCCATTTCGAATACTACTGATACCCTTGAGAATACCTGCTAGACCAGCAGCACCCTCTAGATGACCTATGACGGTCTTCACAGATCCTACATAAAGAGGGGTGGCGCTGGCATCGATGTGCTGACCAAAAGCTTCGTGAATAGCGGCAGCCTCCTTGGGATCTCCTGCTTGAGTGCCCGTGCCATGTGCCTCAAAGAATTGAGGACAGTGGTCGGGGTTGTTGACAGGATCCAAGCCGGCTTTCGCGTATGTCTGGCGGATCAAGGCGGTCTGGGCTTCTGTGTTGAGCACTGTGGTGTGATGCCGTTCGAGAATCCATCCTGGTTGGCGCCAGTTTCGCGAATGACACATTCAATATGATCGCCATTCGCAATCGCATCGCTCAATCTTTTCAGTACCAGGGCGGCAACACCCTCACCACGAGCGTAGCCATCGGCATCGGCATCCCACATGCGTGATCGACCAGTCGGAGAGAGCATTTTCAGCTTGCTCTCGACAATGTACATCTCATGTCCCAAGATGACTTGCGTGTCACACACCACGGCGACCCGTGACTCGCGGTTTCGTAGTGTCTGGACTCCCTGGTGTACGGCAATCATGCTAGAGGAACAAGCCGTGTCGATGGTCATGCTCGGCCCATGCCAATCGAAGAAATAAGAGACTCGGTTCGATATGATAGCACGATTAGTTCCCGTGGCAAAATAGGTGGGATAGTATTGAGGTCTCGAAGTAGGTCTCATGATAGTCGACGCCTGAAATAGATCAGTCGATGACCGTGTGGGAAAATGGCAAAGACAGAGAAGTACTTACCCACGAAATTAATTTGAAGCCCAAGTGGCAAGGGCGTAGAGTCTATTGACTGACAAGTAGAAATAAATAGTATTACCCTGAATGTAGAACCAACAAGAACAAGACAGCACAAATACGAAAATATCTCTCAAAACACCTCAATCACCGGAACTCGCTTGTTGGTCGCAATCCCAGTCCGCTCTTCTCATACGCCAGGTCAATCATTTTCATCTGATCCCATGAATCCTGACCCTCAACCCAATAGTGTGCAGGGCGTCCCTTAACACGATTGACAAACTCCTCAAGCTGGTACCGATATGACATCCACCAGTCCTCACCGGGGAGGTTCGCAAATTCACCCCCAGCCTCCTTGTAACTGTAAGCCTTATGCGAGTTGGACTCGGTCCAAGTCTTGAGTGGCCTGCGATCAGCCTTGTTACGAATAACGAAGGTATCCTTAACATCGATACGGTGCCAGATAAAAGCGTGGATAAACCCGTGCAGCGTCACGATCCGGGTACGTAGCTTTTCTTGTGTCTCCGGAAGGGCCTTATCATCGACGATAACTTCCTTATGCGTGACGCGGGCTTCGGACGGTTTCCACCAGATCGGCCCGCGCATAGTGGTAGAAGCTTCGGCAACGCCGCCGTTCAGGAACCGGAATTTAGCCTTGAAGTCGGTGTCGCACTGGTCGTGGATGCCGTCGCCGAAGATGCCAGGTTCGCAGGTCAAACACTCCACGGGGTCGTCGTCGAAGGCCATACGGATAACACCGAAGTTATATGTGCCTAGCATCATCATGCTACCGCCGGCGAGTTTGTAGTTAAACCCGATGTTATCCTTATCGAGTAGTATCCCTGGAATCATGGAGTCTGTGTGGACGTGGACGACATCAGCGGGGGTGATGAAGGAGCGGAATTTGTGCACTGCAGGATGGAACCGGTTGTGGAAGGCCTCGAGCAGTATAGGGGCATTTGGCTGTGATAGTTCAAGTAAGGTAAAGAGAATCTCGGCCTCGGTAGAGTTAGAGGTCGAAGGCTTCTCTAGAAGGACGTGCTTGCCGGCGCGAATAGCGCGCACTGCCCACTCAAAATGCAAACTGTTGGGCAAAGGAATCAAAACTGCATCTATCTTGGGGTCCTCCAGGATTTCTGTTTATAATTAGTCGCTGTTCTTCTAGTCTGCGAGGCTAACATACCCTCATAGGATGTGCGAACATCGGGGATGTTGTGCTTTTTGGCGAATGCTGAGGCACGAGCATGGTCTCTAGCGGCGATTGCTTGCACAATAACCTCGGGATGTGAGAGGGCGGGTGTGATCAAGGCGAGAGGTCTGAAGATGTTAGCCAAGCGCGATTAAGCATTGCATGCGGCTCACGCAATCTGCGCGGCCCCCAGGATGCCAAAACGGATAGCATCGTTCTTCTTTTCGACTTTCGGAGGGCCGAATGCCGTGAATACTCGCATAACCATGGCTGCCATTTTGTTTTGTTTCTTTGAAATCTCAAAAATCAGAGAGGCAAATAATACATGGATATATACAAAGGTGGAAGGGAAGTTGGGCCGTCGGGGGAAAGGTTGGACCGACTGACAGGGTATAGAAAGGGGAATAGAGGAACGACGGAGTTTTGAGCCGATAATGTCTTTCATTCTTTTCCTCTCTCGCTCGAAACATTCGGACCATTACATTTGTCAACGTCGGCGCTATTCTAAGATTGACAGACCGGTGCGCCGATGCCGAGTGTTCAACAAAGAAAATGGGGAATGGGGATAAAGCACAACGATCACGACAGAGGGTGAACTAGATCCCCTAACGTCTTTTTTTTATTCCAGCATGACTTTCGTGGAATCCCCTCAATTACCTCAATTCCAAACAGCTGTCGTGGCTCAAGGCCCCGGCAAGCTCGGTATTCAATATAATGTGCCTATTCCCACTCTAACCCCCGACATGACACTGGTGAAGACAGCCGCCGTGGCCATCAATCCAGCCGACGCCAAGATGTTGGACTACTCTGCTGCCCCAGGGGCCATTCATGGCTACGATTTTGCCGGAACTGTCGTTGCGTTGGAACTGTCGTTGCGTTGGGGGAAAACGCCCGGGCTGGACTAGCGGTGGGGGACCGTGTGGCGGGCTTCGTGCATGGGATGAATTGCCTACAGCCTGAAATCGGGGCCTTCGCTGAATACGTTGGCGCTACTGCTGATATCCTGTTGAAGATTCCTGATTCGCTGAGCTTCGAGGAAGGGGCGACTACGTGCCTTCGGAAGCTCAGCGGTAAGACATCGACTAGTCAATTTTCTATAGAATAAAAGAATATCATAAATGCAAGGGAAGGTGTTTTTTTTCTAGCTTTTTCTTATAGTTTACAGTGTTCTGTGGGGGATTATGCGTGGAACATATTTATTCGTATTCTATCTTCTTTATATAAAAGTCCAAAATATCAACTATATAAACTATAAACTCGATAGACAAAGTCAACTCCTATCCACCGCAACCCTGTGCAATTTAATCCATGAATATATAAACCAGTCATCAGGGGGTTCATCAGCATGACCCATGTACTCCGACAAATACCCACGAAACAAAATCAAGCTGCCCCTGCACCCTAACTATGGCGACGACGGGACGAAGGAGTAGGAGTAGTAGGACTATGGGCAGGAGGGGATGCAGGGCCGACTTGGCCAATCGGCTGAATATCAAAACGTATTTGTATGCTAGTTGACCAAAACCAAGTATTGATTGTAGTGATCCGATGGGTACCTCTGGGCCAAGCGGCTAGAACAAGACGAGATGTCGCCCTGCCCAGCTTTGATCCTAAGATTTGCTGGAACTCCGGAGTATGGATGTTCCAAGCATGCAGGTTTGATCCGTCTCTATGCTCAGGACCGGGAAGATTGTTATTTCGGTACAGTACCTTCCCCACTAAGGGTTGTGTTTCCTTATTATCAACATTCGTGTAGAAAACATATCGAAGAGTGTCGATTTCTTGATCATGTTTGTATAAAGCTAGAGCAATGTCAGTCCATTGGGGTCCCTGCTTCCTTCTTCTAATATCTTGAACAATGATAGCACCCGTTACAATGCAATGTTCGTAAGCGGGTACATCAATCGACTTCCCACTGCCTTGTATTTTTGAAAACCGGTAAACATCGTTATCTGGGAGGCCTGTCGATTGTAGACTCCCCCTGATTTCAACCGGCGGATAAACGAAATTGGTTCGCCATACATTAAATTCAGGCTTCTGCGGGGGATTGCCTTCGATTAGAGTGTTAAGGGTTAACGTGGACTGGATTACTGGACATGCAGGACCAGCTGTGTTGGTGTTGGCCATCCATTCTTCGAATTGAGCCCCTGTCGCTTGATAACGGTCGATCTTTTCCCTCGGAGGTGTTTTATGCAATAGAGAGATTCTGTCTGTATTTGCGTTCGAAATAGTATTATTCGTGTACATCCGAACAGTCCTGGGAGTTTCAGGTAAGTCGGAACTGGAACGGGTCCTTTTATGAGTTGTTTTGGGATCGACTTCGCCTGTACGTTTCCGTTTTGAGCTCTCGGGAGTAGACCGAGGGTCATTGGAATCATCTGAGCCATCTCCACCCTGTCCTCTCTGTCCAGTCTGTTCACTCTGTCCAGTCTGTTCACTCTGTCCACTCTGTCCAGTCTGTCCAGTCTGTCCACTCTGTCCACTCTGTCCACCCTGTCCACTCTGAGTCTTTTTACCAATACGTAACCAACTTTTGATTCTCTTGACGGGGGAAGATGTAGGCTGAGACATCTTGTTGAAAATTTCAAATGAAAATAATAAAAATAATAGATGTGGATTCGGATGTCCTGGAAGGTTTGTGATGTTGTTATTCGGGGGTTGATATACTTGACTGATTTGGCTAGATGCTGGACCAAGCAGATATTATATAGTTCTGGACATAGGCCATGCCAAGTCCATGACCGAGTCAGTGGTTGCATCCGGTCTATGTTAAGATGAAACAGACAAAGCAATGGATATGTATAGACTTGAAAGGGATTCAAATATAGATCGGGACAATGAGGGACTTGGACAAGTGATTTAACAAAGAAAACGGAAGGCAGAACAAGTATGCCACCCGACACATAACTCTTTGGTTCATATTGCCAGGCTTCTCACTTCACATGTACCAGGTTGGATCTATAATTACTTTATATAGTATTTTTATAAATGAATACTGTTGAGCACCCTGTTACTATGTAGAAAGCAGAGGAAGAAATATTAATTGATTAAACTAGAAATGCAGGGCGTTATATACCCTACTAAAACCATCTAAACTCTACTCGATTGTAGCAAACAAGCTAACAAGTAGCAAATTGTTAACGAACAATCTGAATTGAATCTGAATTGAATCTGAATAACCTGGATTGAATCTGAACTGAACCTGAATTGAACCTGAATTGAATTTTATTATGATGTGAAAGAAGGAAGACTTCAAAATAATAGCTATATATGTTCAAAACAATAGCTCTTGGCCCTGGAGAAATAAAAGAGAAGTTAAAATTAGTAAATGCTTCAAGAAGGCGGTAATGAACTAGACGGTGAGGTAGTAATCAGTGAGAGAGTTAGTTTTGGTATAGTTAGTCGCCCGTAAGCGACGAGAATTGCATTATGCCAACAGAACAGTGTGTGATATCATACATACTACCTAGGTAGCTAAATTTAGCTTGAAGCTAAGAGCCCACTATGACAATGAACCTGAGAATAAAGAGGTCGACCCCTGCAAGTCAAATCCAGAACATCCACGAGGTCATAACTCTAAGACTATTATCGCGTGTTTATTTTCCTGGGTTAGGCTTATCATTGACATTCGATATCATTACTCTGACCGAGGGCATGGGAAAGGAATCCATCAGAAACCGTTTCTGGCGTACACTTAATACAGGTGCCAACTTATATAGATATAGAACCGCTCTTGAAGCTAATGGTGTCCCTGGGAAAGAAGGCCTACTTTACGTAGAACAAACTGCCTAAGATCTCAGATTCACGAACCCGGTAATATTCATAGGTAGAAGTAGCGAATAGCGAACTTCATTTCACGAAGGATAGATATCTCATTGAGCAAAAGAAAAATTCTAAAAGGACCGACAGACATTCTGTCGGCCACCCTGTAGCATCAAAAGCCAAAAGTCAACCAGAACAGACTCACAAATTAGGAGTTAGCACTCCATCCAAAAGCAAACCTGTAAGCCTGCCTAGCCTCTCCGGTCCCTCTAGCATTATCAACAAACCTACCTTCACCACGAAGACCAAGCAACCGCAGCGTACTATACCCCTGCAAACGATCCGCATCCATCCTCGTCAAAACAGTATTCCGCAGCCGAGTCCACGCCGCCTGCTTAACAGCCGGAGCCCAGTACTCCGCCAGCGAAGACTCATTGCGACCATACGCGTAACGTTTATCCCGCGCAGAGCCAGACTCCTGTATAAGTGACGCATTCCAGCACGTGTGGACGGGTTCGTACCGCTTCTCTATGAAGAAGATAACCGGCCACGTGATGATCCAGAGCTGGAGAAGCACAACAACCCACCAAACGAACCGGTTCGTGCGGAGCCGGTTGATCCAGTGTGGCGAGTAGATTGTAACGGAGCGTTGAGCGACTGATAGGTCGAAGTCTATGCAGCCGCGGTATTTGAGTTCGCGGATGTGGGAGTAGAGGACGCTTCTCATGGCGTTAGAGTTGAAGCCGGCGAGTTTACGGTGCATAGTGAATCTGCATGTGGTTAACCGAGTTTAGCTGTGTGTTTTATGCACGAGTCAGGGGGTAGAGCTACGATTTCACCGAAGCGGGGTCAAGACAGAACCGCTCGCACCACATCATTAGGTTCTTCGCTTAAGGAGAGGTGTTAAACTCCTCGTCGGCGACATCTCGGGATAGGTTAGCATCACTGTCCCCCGTAAGACTATATGCAGCACCCGACTTGGGCGGTTTGTACGTGCGCGAGCAAAGGATTCCTCCCCGATATGCGGGTTTGAGGTCCTCGTCTGTGAGGATTTCCGTTTCCCTCCAGTACGTGTCTTTGGAGCTGCGCTCCCAGCCGGTCAACATGGTCTCGGCCAGATCCAGCCTAAAGCAGAAGTCTGTGTAGATGTCGTATTCGTCTTTCTTGTTGTCATTTGTCGATACAGCGTGGGTGCCATGGATACAGAGTAATGGCCGTGGCGGCAGCTTGAGTTGGCGGCGGATTACATCGTAGAGCTCGTTGGGGTTGCTGGAGAGCGATGGTTCGAGGGTGTGAGAGACCTTGTTGGAGGGTCTGACGTGTTTAGCGCCGGGGAGAACATAGGCTGAGTTGATTAGGCAGAGGGGTTGGGTGCTTGTGGGAGGCTGGACAGATTGGACAGATTGGACAGATTGGATAGGTTGGATAGGTTGGATAGGTTTGATAGGTTGGGCAGGTTGGGCATGTTGGATAGGCTGGGCATGTTGGACAGGGGCGGGAAGGGGTCCGGGACCATCTGTGTATGGAGGCGGCGTGCCGAGAGAATGGAGGGAGTGCGATGACGCAGGGGGATCGGCGTGGTGGAGCCCCATGACTTTGATATCTCGGGGAAAGTACGGAGTAATCAAAGGGATCAAAATGATCAAAGGAATCAAAGTAATCAGTGGTTAAAGTGATCAAAGAGAAGAGATTTGAAAGAAAAGAAAAGAAAAAGGATTTTTGGATCAAAGTTTGAGGCTGAAAATCTAAACTTGGCCGGTTTTTGTTATGATCACTTACCTACCTAGATAGGTAACTATGATGCAGTATACTATTAATGGAGGTTATAGATAGATTGGACTATCAAATACAATGGGCTTTCCTCTAGAGTAGGAAAGCCTAGCGTAACATATACAATCGTCTGTCTATCCCAACTGTCGTCTTCCCAGCACCAATCAAGTCTGCAGTATACAGTTTACCCCTTGGATAATCGTACGAGGTGTATCCCGATTCCAGGCCAGGGGTCGGAAACTAATTATTACTAATATTTCTGCCTTAAGATGCCTGAAGATGCCTTATTATATACCGCCTTTTGGCACCGCTCTTACAGTGTATTGTAAATGAACTCCCGGGTAATTATATTGAAGCTATTCCCACCGCACAAATCTTTGAAATCTTCCGTTTCTAGCCGTTGAAGCCCCTCATACCATATTCATACATTCCATCGATTCCAATGCCCCCTGACCGTATGTCACGATCTATTTTCATCGATGCTAACTGTACAAATGCGACCGTACAAATCGCCATCCATCCTCATAAATTTCTGGAACTACTTTACTTACTAAGGGATGTGTTATGGTAATTCAGGTATTTATACTTTCTGCCGGCAAATATTTAGGCAAATTCAGGCATGAATATTACTAATATTAGTTTCCGACCCCTGGATGGGATACACCTTCGCAGTCGTACTTTCTTTCCCAGCGCTAAACTAAATTCGGACAAGAAAAGTCCCTTCACTTTTTGAAGTATTTCTAGTACATACCTAGGTAGGTAGATCACAAAGGTTTCCCTGAGGCAAATGTCGTAGAGATTTAGGATGTGAAAATGTTGCGGGAAGATGCGACAATACCCACAGTTGTTGTGAGAAGGCGCTGTCAAACTCATATATCGGCAAGGGTGATAGGCCGAGTATTTTGCCCATTTAAATAGTCTAAACTGACATTGGTATTAAAATCCATCTTTTTCCTGTCTCCCCCACTCGAGGCGCTTTTCTATTGAGCATAAAACCTACAGTGTCAGTTCTTCCCAAAATGTACGCCAAAGGTGCAACACGCGCCTTTCATTCCAATGCCCGGCGATTCTCCACTGCCACAAGTTTCCAAGCACCATCAGGTCTCAAGATCAATTCTGAGAGGCTGTGGAACACATTGCACGAAACTAGCGAATGGGGTGCTGCACATAAATATGGCGAGTATGTAGATTCTCTAGACCAATGAATAGAATCTAACAACGACAGAAACCCAACGGATACTGGCATGGCACGGTTGACTCTCAATGATGATGATGCCCGTGTGCGCAAGTGGTTTGCTACCGAAGTTCAAAAGCTGGGATGTTCTCTTTCTATTGATCAGATGGGTAACATGTTCGCAAGACAGCCGGGTCGGCTGAACTCGACTGCTCCAATGATTGCAATGGGAAGCCACCTCGATACTCAACCTCGTGGCGGTCGGTATGATGGCATTCTTGGTATTATGGCCGCACTAGAGGTCCTTCGGACGATGAATGAAAGTGGTTTCCGGACTAATTTTGATGTTGGAGTGGTAAATTGGACCAAGTAAGGATCCGTTTTCACTCAACCAAATATGGGAATGTCACTAATTATGAGTTAAAAAAGTGAGGAAGGCGCACGTTTTCCCAAGTCCATGTGTGCTTCTGGCGTCTGGGCCGGTGCTATTCCAATTCGAAAAGCTTGGGACTTGCGCGATATTCATAATGCCAATGTCACCCTTCGCTCCGAACTTGAAAGGCACGGTTTTCTGGGTGAGATTGCTTGTTCCAGCGATCCGATTACCGGATACCCACTTGGAGCTCATTTCGAGTTGCATATTGAGCAGGGTCCGATTCTCCTAGAAAACAACCGAGCAATCGGTGTTGTCCGCGGTGCTCAAGGATACAGGTGGTTGACTATGACCGTCCACGGGAAAGACGCACACACTGGAACAACACCGTTCACTGCCCGCCAGGACCCCTTGCTCGCATCCTCAAGAATGATTGCAGCTTCGCATGATATCGCTAAGAAGCACAATGCCCTAGCCTCTACTGGTATTATCAAGGTTCCCTCGAACGCATCCACCAACACCGTCGCATCGCAAGTGACTTTCACGCTTGATATTCGTCACCCACAGGATAGTGTTGTCCACGCCGTGCAGGAGGAATGTCTTAAGGCATTTGACACTATTGCATCCCAGGACGGCAAGGGAGTGTCCTTTGACTGGACATTGGATACGGACTCCCCGGCTGTCAAGTTCGATGACGACTGCGTGGCATCTATCCAGGCGGCCGCAGACCAACTCGTTGGTCGGGCGAAATCGATGCTCATGACCAGTGGTGCAGGACATGATACGGTCTACACCAGCCAGCACTGTCCCTCAGCTATGATTTTTGTTCCGTGTCTGGATGGTGTTAGCCACCACCCGACAGAATTTTGTAGCCCACAAGATTGGTTAGTCTTTCACTTCTACTCCTTGACATGTTTGAATTCTGACCTTTGCAGTGCCCTTGGCACCCAAGCTCTTCTTGAAGCGGTTGTGCATTATGATCAATTCCGGGCGAAGAAAGATCACTAAAACAGTATCATTCACTAAGACTTTCCACATTCTCGTCTTAGATACTATGGTTGATAAACGTGGAACTGTCGAAGTTACCACATGGGTTAGCAAAATGTAGTGGATTTTCAATCGAAAGAGATCAACTGCAATCTGAGTAACGGGAAATAGAATCAAGAGTATGTACCGAATCCATGTGATCGAAGGGATAAGCTGCGGGTATAAAAATATAGTGGTTGGTATTACCGACTGTCGAGTAAAGTAAAACATTTAGATCGATTGTTGAGAATAGAAAAGAAACTGGAACAGAGAATATCAGATTTCATAATAAAATGCGGTGAGAAGGCGCGAGAAACGGCTATACTTCTGATTCTCGGTCCCATGTTAAAACCTCATATGCATTCACATTCAATGCTCTAGTTCCTCTGTTGGCCTATAATAGCAGTCAAGCGTCACATTTCAAAGTAGGGTACCAGATTGCTGATATGTTCTTTGCAGTTGAGCTTATTTTGACGGTCATTATTGCCACAATTGAGAAGCGATGACCAGCTCGAGAGTCTGGTAAAAGGGAAGCAAGTATCTAGTACTGTATAATGATTTCGGTCGGTGATAGCTGTTTGAGCATCCCATATATGGTTTATAACCCCTGGTTTGCTAGATTGAATACAATAACTACAACAATGATTCTTCCTCTGCTTTCTCCCCTCCTTAGTAGTAGTCCTCCAGCAATAGCTGTTTATGATAATTTGATTGCTAGGTTCACAAATTAAGGGGGAAAAAGCCACAACGCCTTAAGCGCCTGATTTGAAATAGAAAATTTATATATACACCAATTTCCACCTTATCCAACATAACACTTCAAAGATCCAAATGTCGGATCCATCGTCTCACGATCATGGCACAAACCAGGACCCCGCCAGCCATAAGTTTGGGAAACATCATTGACAAGATCGCACTGCGTATTAGGAGAGACGGTACAGAGACCATTCGACATACGCCAAGATCTAGGTCTATTCAAAGCATCACTTTTACAGTCCCTCCACTCCCAATTACCACTTTTTGGTTTAGTCCACCAACGACACGAAACGGATGAGTCGGTAACATCGGTCTTGAGCTTACTCGCACGGCGGAACTTCATACAGTCACTGTCCTCCAAATTCTTGTTGTGGCCTTGAAGCAAAACGTAGCTGCCAGTGCAGCCTATGTCATCGAACATCTTCAGTGACCACCCGCTAGGTAAGGTGACAACACCATTCACGGTCTTGGTGACGGGGGCTTTGGTTGTGGTGGTTTTGATGGACTTCTTGGTTGTTGTAGTAGGTTTGGCTTTGGTAGTGGTTGTGGTTGTGGAGTCTTTTGAATTCCGAATTCGGCTCGCCAATAGAGCGAGCTCATGAATCTGTTTGAAGCGGTCAACATTAGTTGGAGCGGCAGCTGACGTGGTGGACATGGTATCCTCTGGATGTAGAAATGTCAAGGGTACATCTACCAAGGGTACATCTGTCGTGAAAGCGTGTGGATTCGCGTTCTTTTGCGCAGCTTTGGCTTTGGCTGTAACTGTCACAGCTGCGGCTGTCATTGTTACAACACTTCTAGCTGACAATGGCGCATTTTTTGTTTCAGATGTAGCTAATGTAGCTTGAGTTGTGGAAGTAGTCTTCACCGATGTAGCTTTGGATGTAGTAGATGTAGCTTTGGTTGCAGCTTTGGTTGCAGACGCAGGAGGCACGGCAGCTGCGGGTGCAGATGAGCCACAGAAGTCTGCACCAGTGCCACATTTACCCTTTGTAGAGCACTAAAGATATGGTCAGTCTGAGCCGCGGTATCAAAATCAAATATTGAGAAAGCTTACACATTGACCCGCAGGGCATGGATTCAAAGAAGCAATCTCAGTCCACATCTTGGGACGTGCTGTTCCAGGTACTTGGGGACCACAGACTGCATCACCAATTGCAACTGGCATTGGGGGTTGGCCGTCGCTGAGACAAACCTGGCCCCCAAGCTGCAACTTCTTGCACCCGTACCATGCCGTGGTATGTTTGTTCCAAGTCTCTATCTTAGCCTCTGTGATCTTGTACCCCTCGGCAATCTTCGCGCAGGTATCGCCAGCGCGGATAGTATAAGCGTAGCAGTAATAACCACTGTCGGGTGGAAGGACAGTTGTTCCCGCCCCGCAGCATACGGGTGTTCCGCGAGACAAAGAGGAGCACACAGTTTTCAGGTTGAAAGAAGTGAACGATGCTTTCGAGATACTACATCTGGAAGCCAAATCGTCGCATGTATCTCCAGTGCCAACAAGAATAGAAGGGCAGGTGTAAGGGTAAGTGTACTGGGTCCGGTCTTCAATTTGGTTGTACTATTTTGGTTTAGGACTTGAGTGACCGGTGATGTTAAGTGTTAGGGGAATTAGACACTAACCTCGGGTTCAGCTAGCGACAACGCAACTGTCCCATGAATCAAACGGAGACCACACAGAACGAAAAATGCACCCTTCTGAAAAAACCCCATTTTGTGTTGGTTTGCCTGAAAATGAGGGTCTTTGAAGAACAACGCGCGGTTTTATATATAACCTTCAAAGAACTATATCATGAATGTCGCATTCAGAGCAACATCGCGGAGGCAATATACATTCATGCAGCCAGTGAATCATATGAAACACAGACATGCTCTTTACAGTGACATACAGGGTCTGAGAGTCTCTTAAGAACCACTTAAACATTCGTTCTCGAGGACATCCTTCTGGATTGTTATCAAGAACAAGCCAACGTGTGCCCTCTGCCACAGCCAACAAAGAAAGTTGTAACCCCCAGTGTAGATGTGACCCAAATGACCTTTGTTTGAGTATTTCTCTTTCCCTTTTGGAGTTAGGATGACAGTTTCCCTTTCCACAAGCGATCTCACACATCGTGCCGCTAAGGTGTTCTAGGCTACCGGGGTGGCTGATACCTACATCAAAGCCACCGGTTGGTGGGGGTTTATGCCACCAAAAACAAAGAAATGGCCCAATAATAGGAGGATAGAGATACTGCGATCGTCCATAATTCAATTCAAAACTGACCTCAAAATATTGCTTGTGTGGGGTGGACACCACCAAAGAATAGCGCTCATTCATGGGAGGAGTTTAAACGCTGTATCTATATTAGACATCTTGAATATCAGACAAGATCGTCAATCCTATTACCGATGGGTTCAGCGCATGTGACCGAGTCAAAGAACAAATACTAAGAGTTGAAGTAACAAGATTGGGTTATCTTTGTACTACTGTTCAAGGATTCGCAGGGACATGGTTTCAGAGATTTCATTGAACTTGAGCCATGCTAATGGTAATATTAGAAACCTTGACCTACCCAAGGCAGCGACACGAGAGTATAATGCTAATATTCCCCAGAGCTGCGTCAAATTGAAAAGTTTTAAACCCTTGACAATGGGGAATAAAGAATGCGACGACGTATAGATTTTCCCTACAACCAACAAAAACTTCAAAATCTACTACAACAAGGGTATATACTATTCAGTGACAGCTTTATGTAGGTACCAATCCAGGATAAGTTGACCGTATGCGAAGTGAGTAAACTTCAAAAGTGAGCAACATTCAAAGTGAGTAACATCCAAAGTGAGGAATATTCAAAGGTGAGTAACATTCAAAGTGAGACTATACTTATAGATAAGTGAACGCGATGTCAGGACAACCCGCCTTACTATGGAAACATATTGGATGGCACTTCATTCAAAAGCACCAACCACTTGAACTCGAATGCTATAGATTTACACTCACACATGACTCAGCAAAACAGAATGAAAAAGGAAGTAGCACAAAATGCGGTGACCTATAACAGATTTGTGATATCGAAAAAGAAAGGTGGCTCCGGCTGACCTGTAGCATCAGACATAGTACACCCTTGAGCAGTGGCCAAGTTGCACAATTTGTCAAACGAGTCCGAGTCCGAGTCCAGTAGCTCCAAATAGGTCATAGCTAAATTATTCCCACCCTGCAAAACACGCAAAGCTTTTTTCAAATCCTCCAACTTCTGCTGTTTATCCTCCGACGCGGAGACACACGTATTCAATTGATCGGCATGTGTCTTGAGAAACTTTGCCGAGAGATAGAGTAGCATGGGAGAAAATGCATGCGCCTGTGCAACATCGTAAGACACAAAAAGCCACCGCCAATTCACGGGGAGGAGAAAGGGGGAGGTCTCACCTTGAAAAAGCTGGATCGGGTGAGGGGCTTCGCCAAACCTACGATCTCGCACGCGGAGTAAAAAGGAACTAGGATAATCTCCTCGTCAATTTCCACCTGCAGGGTCTCCATTATGTTGTAGAACCATATTACGGCGGCATTGGCGAGCATGTTTGTAAAGAGACGCATGGGATCGTGGAGTTCCGGCGAGGATGGGGGTAGTGAGACCAGCATCAGTCGCTGTTGTACCATTTGGTATAGCCGGGTATGGCGCTTCCAGGCATCTCCGTCTGTCGGAGAAGTTTTGTCGCCGTACGCCGCGCGCTGGAATGCAACGCTGTGCCAGCATAGGGTGATCAAGACGATTGTCTCCGCGAAAGGCGGTAGCATTTTGTGTCCGGATGTCTCGATCTCGTCATATAAGGAGTCCATAAGGACGGGCCTGCTGTGTTGGAAGTCTGACTCCGAGACGGGGAGATATATGCAGAGCTGGGGTAGATGTTAGTGTTACTCGGAATATTCTGTAAAAGAAAAAGAAAACGGAGTAACTGCTCACTGCTTCCTCGTGTAGACTGAGAGGCCACTCGTCAGAGATATTGAGGAATCGGTCTAGACAATATGCCAACCAGTATGTCCGACGTTTTTCCTCGGCCTCGGCCCATGCTTCGGGGTGGGCCATATTTATGCTAACGTCATTGAGCCGATCGATCTCGTGTAATTTGGCGAGTTGGATAATTCGAAAGGCGCGTCCTGCGGTAAGCCATGCTCGGCGGTAGCCCATGTAGCGGAACTCGTAGTGGGTTAGAAGAAGCCATGCTTGGGCTACCTGGAGACAGGCCACACTGCTGGATTGGATATCGTGATCTAGAGCGTCAATCGCAGATCGTGCACGGGTGTAGAGAGATTCCCGCATGTGTTGTAAATGGGCGGATGAGGCTGCTGCAAGTGCCCACATTGCAAATTGTAAGCAGATGTGGGAGGCTGGTTTGCTAAAGCTCTGGGACCAGGAGAAATACCGGCCCTGGTGGAGCATGGGGGCGACAGGGTGTACTCTGTCGAAATATAGTTGGTCCCTTCACTGGGTGTTAGGTATATCTAGATTCGGAGGATATGGTTTACGTACAGATCTGCCTCGATTATATCTAAGCTCTCATGCTCAGGTGGAGCTATTGGTGTAATAGGTGAGGTTATTGTTGATACCTCGATGGAGTAGGGGGTGTCGCGACATTCGGTGTTCGTGAGGTTGGGGATATACTCGTGAGGTGGACTCAGCAATTGAGCTGTCTCGTCGGAGTGATGTTTCTCACTGCCGTCCAATAGTTCCTTGGAACCAAGACTGCCCTGGTCACAATTTATGATGTTTTCTAGCGTGGCTAAGAGTACAATTAGCAGGGAATGCGCATAGGTCATATTTCTAACAAACCAATGCGATTTCGCAAAGCCTTGAGATGTCCCTTCTTGGGGCCCCGTGGTGACCGAACTTGATTTACCAGGCAGGTTGTGCCAGAGTCTTCGCACTGGTCACATTGAGGCCGTCGTCTATCGCATCGAAGTTTCTTTTTGCGGCATTCCTCGCAAGCCTGAATTATCAGCGCCAATAGTCACTTTATGAGCTACATGGCTATTGTCTCACCAGTCCAGGTTGCTGTCGTGATGCCGACATAATGAGGAGTGGAACGGAGTGCTGATGTTCTGATTACCACGTCTCTAGGAAAAACAAGACTACCTGAGTCAATAAGACAAGGTATTTGTAGTGGGTATTTATACCCATTAGCTGAAACCATTCAGTGCACTCGAACTAGTGTCGCTCAAGCATCGGCAATTACAAATTAACTGTTTGGTTCGGCAGACACCCTCCTTTGTAGAAAGGTTCTTTCACGATCTTCCAGATTTAGGAATGTGCACTTATCGAAAGTCCACCCTTCTTGCTGGATAAAGCCCAAAGATAACACCATGCGCATGGTGTGATCAGCACTAATCCTAAATGATCCTATACCCATGACTCTCTTACTATTTCGAGGTAACCAAGATGGTGCTTTGTCAAGGCTAAACGGCTAATAATCTTTATAGCTCTAAATAGACTTCCGTCCCTGCGCTGGCTGCACCGTTAAAATTTTTATCACGCCATTTGGGTAGTATAGATAAGCTGTATGGTGGTAGAATGTACCAGCCGGTTGGCCATGTTCGTCGATTGTTGAGCAGATGTTGAGTGATCCCTCATTCCAATTATGGGTTCCTTTGCCAAATTGGTTAGTTGCTGATCAAGATTGAGGCTCGTATTCCTAATTTGTTCAAAGTGTGGCAGGTTGTCGTGTGGATATGGTACACCGAATGGCTGTTACATATCGTTGTCAACCGCGGCACATGCAACACGTGGACAATTATTTGGAATTGTGATTCCAAATAACAACTACGGCAAGACAAGCTGAACTCGAGCTAGCACTGGTTCTCGGCATAGTAAAGCCGGGAGTGTAGCACGAACAAGTTATGGTCCGTGCTTTGACAAGCCAGAATGTATGGGGCATTAATTGTGTCATTGACTGTTTTCGGAATATCGTTATTATACGACGCAGAGAAGTATAATGTTTACAGTATTTGGTACACTCCGTGTATCTCCTATGGCTAAGATAAGAGCTTGGGGGATACTGTATGTTTATATGTTTACTTGAATTCATGGCTTTGGTCAGGCACTCGTTGAGTGTATAAAAGCAAATCAACAGAATTGGGATCTAGATCCATGTGAGCTTATCAGAAAATGGGTTGGGTTACAGATAGATCAAGTAGAGCCGAACAGGAGGAAATCTCACACCTTGACCTGCTCCTCCACATGGAACCTAGTACACTCCCGTGGTGGCCATGGAAGACAACACTTGATATCGTTGCAACCAGAAACATCGGCCGGCTGTGCCTTGAAATAAACCAGCTTGGATGTGACTTAACCTAGTCGACTGACCGTAGTAACAAGAAATATGTGTACATTGTACTACTCCCTTTGCCCGACATTGCAAATTTAACTCCTCTATTATTGGACAATAATCCCCTGAAAGAACCACGCGAGTCTGTCGCATAACTGGGGGCTATACTAACCCAACATGGTAGCTACAACAGTGCAGCATAAATGTATTACCATGCTGTCACCGTTATGACTAGGCCGGGCTTATCTGCAGGGCTGGTGCACGGCAACTACTCACGGCAGCTGGTCAGAACTGTAAATATTGCGAGACGCCAATGTCGATACGCTCACTATCCCTCCCCGGGCCAAACAAGGTTGTATGTATTTGGAATTGTTAAACGGTTATAGTCCCTGAACGCCATGTGACCTCCGGAACGCGGCTCTGTTCCCCATCGTGCTTCTGGTCAGTAACATGACGCTTACTCATCGGTCACTATTACCCAGGTGGAATCTCGACTAACCAGACTCGGTTTCTGCAGGATCTCAGTCGATATGAGTGTTGCAATAGGGGATGATTCGGCCATCCCATTGCAATTCTCGAGTGTGCGTTACTATAATATCTGCTTGTGCTCTGCTACTCTTTAGCAACATTTTAGTAAGTTCGTGTGCGATATGAACGTAGTTCCTAGTCAGTATCAAGACTATCAAAATCCAAGTTTTTCACGAAATAACTGGCAGACGAAACCAACATTTCTCCACCTATTTGTGCGAATTGAGCTTACAAATTCCTAGATTGAGTATAGCCGCCAGCAGAAAATAACCATTTAGTTTGCGGTTCTTCTATGTGAGCAAAAATACCTTTTTATGCAACCATACTTGGGAGGAAATGCCGCCTATTTTACCACTAGAGCACAACGATAACCTCGGTTCCTGTTCAGCGCCTAGGCGGCCGTAGTCCTAGTTTGACACATAACATTGGTCGGCGTTCGAATGCAAGAATTGCCGGGTGATGCTCCTTAATATAGCTCCGGTATCTAACAAGTCGATCGTTGGCTAGGAGGTCTGTGCGTGGGTAAGCTTAAAATAAATGTTCACGTGACCATATGTATACTATGTAGATTGTCACGTGTTGCTTCACGTGACGTTTGATGACATCGTTGGTGGCAAACAGAGCAAATAGATGAGTCAGCCACAAAAAAAGTTGACTCGAAGCCCTGGAGGCGGGGCAAAAAAATTACATTTGATTCTCCCATCACTTCAACATTTTGTTGCTCCAACTTTTATTGGATTCGCGATTTGCATCTTGAATCCAAGATGTCAATGGAGTTGGATACCCCAGTCCCCATGGTGGGACTACAAGATCAGCAGAATAGTGCTGCGACGTGAGTTTCTTATCGCTACGATTATTTTACTGCCTGACTTGATCTAACCGGCTTCTATATAGTATTCTTTGCTGTAACTGCGGTGCTGCCATTGATGGAACCACTTCTGCTGGAGCAATGTGCCATGATTGCCTGAGGCTCAACGTCGACGTTTCCCAAGGGTAAGTTGAGAATCACCCCACGAATCACCCCACATGGAACAAATATTGATTTATCTGCTTGGAAATTTAGTATTCCCCGCGACGCAACTCTTCACTCGTGTAGAGACTGTGAGCGATGGCTCCAGCCCCCCACCAGCTGGGTGGTCGCAGCCCCCCGAATCAAAGGAACTACTTGCGGTCTGTCTGCGCCGTCTTCGTGGCTTGGCGAAAGTCCGCATCATCGATGCCAGTTTCATCTGGACTGAGCCACATTCGAAGCGCATTAAAGTCAAAATCACAATCCAGCAGGAAGTATTCCAGGGTACAATCATCCAACAAGCATTCGAGGTTGAATACGTCGTGGCCTCCCAACAATGTCCCGGTAAGTTTTGCTATAACATCCATTAAGACCTCGCTAACGACTCAGATTGTCAAAAAGTTTTACGCATAACACTTGGGCGGCAGCGGTGCAAGTTCGACAGAAAGTGCCCCATAAGCGCACTTTCCTATACCTAGAGCAGCTTATCCTGAAGAGTGGCGCTCACAAAGATACGGTCAATATCAAAGAGGCAAAGGATGGTCTCGATTTCTACTTTTCGGCGCGCAATCACGCGGAGAAGATGGTCGATTTCCTCTCTTCAGTCGCCCCTTGCAAGTCGCAGAAGTCAGAGGAGCTGATATCTATGGATATCCACACCAGCTCTCGAAAATTCAAATTCACGTTTTCCGTGGAATTGATCCCTATCTGCAAGGACGATCTTGTCGCTCTACCTATCAAACTCGCCCGTCAGCTAGGAAACATCTCGCCCCTCACATTGTGCTACCGCGTTGGGAACTCCGTTAACGTTCTGGACCCGACCACACTTCAAACTGCGGATATCCCAACAGCCATTTACTGGCGATCTCCGTTTAGGAACCTATCCGATGTCACAGAGCTAAAGGAGTTTATCGTCTTGGACATCGAGCCTACCGGCCAGTCAAAGGGCAAATTCCACCTCGCCGAAGCAACCGTCGCGCGTTCCTCAGATTTGGGCTCTAACGATATCACCTACTTCACCCGTACGCATCTCGGTGGCATCCTTCACGTCGGTGACGCCGTGCTTGGCTACCATCTCAGCGGCACTAGGTTCAACGATGACAACTTCGAGGCCATTGAGGCGAGCAACCAGTACGGCTCCACAATCCCTGATGTGGTTCTCGTCAAGAAGTCCTATGCCCGTAAGAGAAAGCCCAAGAACCGCGCCTGGCGCCTTAAGCGCATGGCCCGCGAATACGAGGAGGAGGCTGCTCTCGTTGGTCCCACTCAACAAACCCGTCGCCAGGAGCAGGAGGCCAACCGTCTCGAGGAGGACTACGAGATGTTCTTGCGTGATGTCGAAGAAGATCAAGAGCTAAGACAGACTCTGGACCTTTATAAGGTTCAGAGACAGGCTGATGCTATGGTCGAGGACGATGACAATGAGAGTGAGAATGAAGTTCCGCAGGTCAACATGGAGGAGCTGCTTGATACCTTTGATGAGATGAACATGGGTGATGAATGATTTTTATACGAGTGATATTCATGGTGATCACGGCTGGCGTTTTATGTTTCGATTTTCTGGTGGGTTCCAAAAACTGAAAAGGGATTATTGATATTCTCGTATTTCATCCATTGGAAAAAATGCAAATGTTTTCATCATCGAAAAAAATGTGAATATCTTCAATTTGGCACAGTGTAAATGCCGCCTATCTGATTTTATTACCTTAATGCCTTATTTTGGCCTGGCATAAAAATAAACATACACGAATTACATCCCTTGATAAGCAATGTACACTGCCTAGGTGGGCAAGGTAGGAATGGAAATGAAGCTTTTGATTCCCATACAAACGGAGACATCCCCATTTTTTTGGCGGTTTGCAAGTGTCAAATATGAAGCTTTTCATCCCACACAAATAGGGACATCTCCATGTTTTTGGACGGTTTACAAGTTTCAAAAATGAAGCTTCTCACGGAATAGTCAGCGTCTTCACGTGGCTCTAGCTCCTACGGTGTCGGTAATAACTTGACATCGATATAGGCGCTCATACATATAGGTTCGAGGAGCTCGATACCTAGTGCAGAGAGTCGCCAAGCGTAATGTCCGCATGCATGGTCATATTAAAGCTATAAACGATGACAGTCAGGACGGGATTTGCTCTGCCGAGGTAATAAACTGACAAGTTGGTCTAAATCCACTCGTCGACCGCACAGTATTCCAGATCCGTCCTATGCAAGGGTGGCAAAAATTCCCAGCAAACCGCCCGCCAACGGTAGAAGGCTTCGGAAGGAATTGAGCGAGATCCACTTGCTGACAAGCTCTTCAATCTCCATACTAACGTGGGCAGTTGGTTCGGAAACCAATTCGGCCTTAGCCAATAGCGCATTGTTAGTACTGCTCATTGCGGCAATAGTGTAAGGCATGATGCCGAGGATTAAAACAGCCGCTGTGCCGTACAAGGTAGTAGTATTGCGCGCGACTTGACGGAATAAAGGCACGCCGGAGCGCGTAGACCAGGCAAGATAGAAGAAGGCAGAAGCGGTGAGCACGGCAATGGGGGGATTCTGAGATTTTCCTGATTCATAGAAATTCCGCCACAGCTTCGCCACGTTTGTGATAGGTAGACGGTCTTCACTCCGGGCACGCAGGAGTGCCGGTGCAGCATTCATGCTTAAAGCGGCAATGTTGCCTACATGCGCACCATATCAGTCAGCTTTTGAGGAAATACATCGAAGATAGAAATATGTATACCAGATAGCCAAGCCGCACCTGTGAGGCCGATGGCTTGGGCGACACGATATGCAGGAGGAATCATTGCGGAACAAGTTACAAAGACAAGACGTGGGACTTGAAGTTGTAGAGAGGGGTGCAGAGACAGAACACCCGGGCAGGTTAATGTTTAAATAAGTTCATCAAACGGAAACCTTCCTTTTAACTCGTAAAATAAATACAAAAGCTTATAACCACCACTGGGCTTTTTGTGGAGTTATAGGAACCAATCAAATCATCTGCCGGCAGATCCCAGCAATCTACCAAGAAAGGGGCGAATTTAATTGGTGGATTTTGCTGAAGTTTCCAAAGTTGTCGGGTTTTGCCAAAATGCGATTGACCGATGTAATTCTGCGGTAGTTCTGATAGCAGATTTTGAACCGGTTTTTCCGCATGAATACTGTAAGCCGAACTCATAGTATCGATAACAAACTCTTTAATTGTAGTATTATAGACCATAAAATGGTGTGTTATATACGGTGTAAGGGATATATATATTTTGAGGACGGACCCGAAAAAGTTGGAGTGGTCTACGATAGGTGGAAGGTCCCAATGCTTTTGTGTAGGAAACAGTATATTCCAAAAGGACGACAATTGCGTAGTAAGACAGTATATAGATACAGGAGCCCGCCAACCCCGGCAACATCGGAGGCTCTGACATCGGGGCCGAAACAACCTTGGAACATACTGACATCGGGAAGTGGGGCCGGAAAATAGGGTTGGCCAATGGTCTATCGGCATACACAACCTTACAAGGTTGTATAGAGTTGTCAAGAGTAAACAGTGTAGAGGTTAATGTTGAACATGAGAGAAACGAGTATAGGTATGTAGGGAAGGAGCGTAGTCAATACTTCGGGGAAGTCACGATCGGTCTCAAACCATTGCGGTCCCCAAATTCCGACAATTATCCCAACTCTTTGGCAAACCTTCCGAGAATGCACCACACTTCCTCTCTGCCCCGCTCACAGAGGTCCCTTCTACGCAAGCATCGAACTTCGTGGCAAGCATGAAGCTCATCATAGCTGGCGCGACCAGCCTATTAGGCACCGAGATCATGAGACAAAGCTTGCAAATCCGCGAAATCACTCAGGTTGTTGCTTTGGCTCGCCAGACGGTGCACCTCGACGAAAGTATCGACTCATCAAAGGTGAGAACCTTTGTCATTGACGATTATGGTCAATACCCCGACGACGTGAAGGCGGAGTTTGCCGGGGCTGACGCTTGTATTTGGTATGCTTCAACACCCTCGTTGTCTTATAAAAGGTGACAATAACACTTTGTGGTACCCTAGGACTGTGGCCCTCACACCCCTCCAAGCCGACTTTGACTTTACTGAGGTCAAGCGTGTATGTCAGGACTGCACCAAGCTTGGTTTTGAGGCCATGTACGAGGCTGGACCAGCGCGTCCCTTTCGCTTCATATACCTGAGTGCGGAGGGAACACCTCGAGACCCAACAAAGGATCCAGTAATCCTACCAGACTTCTTCATTATGCGGGTAATAATCAGATTCCCGTGATATTCTGTGGATTGTACGCTGATATGTCTTTTGATTAGCGTAACACAGAGCTTATGGTTCAAAGATTTCCCACAGAAAAGGAAGGAGTCGAGGTTTGCATCGCTCGGCCTGGTGTTATTGCTAACTCCACAACTTGGTCAAGAGCCTTGGTGGTCAATCTGTTTCGTATCATCAATCGCTTTGGACGGACCCTTCCGAGTATACAACGAAGTGAACTCGCTGCGGCAGTGCTAAACCAGGTCATGGATGGGTTCGAGAAGAAAACTCTCTTGAATGCTGATCTTGTTCGACTGGGCCGAAGGGAGCTGAAACTTCGCAGTACGCCTCGACTCTAAATCATTCCTCGGGAAGATCATTGGATTCCGCTGTCGTTTTATGCTTTTTATCTTGATTGATAGAGCCTATGAGCGTTGACACCTCTTCGGCAGGGATCCAAATGGACTTTTCGAATTCAACAAACTTATCCCTTTACCAAAAATGTCACTATTCGCCCGGTGAAAAGGAGGTGGCAAGCCACACGACTGAACCCTTTTTATCATGACCGCCCTTGTTCTAAAGGAAACAACTGATTTTGAGGTGCGGAGCCTCTAATAGTGAATTGTTCTGCGATTCATCTGAGTCTCGTACCCAGACGTGCCACGAGCATATCTGAACAAGTAGAATGACTTGATGAATTGGTGGCCAATTTATTTGAGGCGAATGTACAGATTGAATTTCATGACTTACCCTTTGTTATGTTGCAAGGTTTCGAACATCGACCACGGACAGTCTATATTGAACCTAAAATCACACATTATAACAGCAAACCCATGAATCAATTTCTACTTCATACAATCTTCCCTTCTGAGAGGCGAGTTTCACGCGGGCGACCTGTAAAAATGTCATGAATAGTCATGATGACGACGCAGAACCATGCCAACATATAACTATAGCCACATCTCCATACAACCATCTTATTCCCAATTCCCAACATAGTTGTACATTGCGGAATCCATATTGCACATCTGACGTTAAATCAAGTTCACAAGATGGCCAACCGCATGCAATCCGAAACCTCCAATCCCGAGAACGATGCAAATGACGCCCCAGAGCTGAAAGACCCCGTCCAAGCCAACTCCTCCGACATCGACGAAAGAATGAGTACGCAACTTCCCTCACACCATTCATTCTCTACATATTCCCCATATTTCGGTTTTCTCTTTTTGCAGACCTGCTAACAAACACCAACCCCAGCCCGAGATTATAAGGAGGCCATTGATAAGACAGACGTCATCACCGAAGAAAGCATTCGTCGTATAGTACCCGAGTCCTCAAAGGCCTACCGCGAACCGTCTGAAGAGGAAATTGATATTTCTTGGCGGCCTGATCCATCTGGACATCCGCGGAGGACTTTCTAGGTGGTTGTATAGGAGTACGGTTGGTTCTTTCTCTGTTGGTATTAGGGAATGAATGACATATCTCTCGTTTTACGCATGCTGGTATCGTCTTATGGGAAGGGTAGACAGCTGAAAATCTGGGGACTCCGTTGGCCCGTACTGGTTATAAAACTCCTGGTTCTAGTAAGAAAGGTTTAGTGACACAGCTTCCATATCGTGATTGATGGGAGAATATTTAGTAGCCAAATCGACGTTAAATCCTGTTGGTCCATATGTTCTGACCCCAGATTCCAAGCTACGTAGGCGGGTACATGCAGATTAAGATTTCGCCTGCATATCGGGAGATCTACACGATCGAAAACATTACACGGGCCTAACCGGGGTGCAAACCTTGAATCCTTTTAAGGTGATAACGCGAGCCCTTCTACGTGACATTGTAAATATGGGAGAATGCAAATGCGGCAGGAGAGACAAATAAATCGTGAAAACGTGAGATTATCTCGTGGAAGTTCAAGTAAATGCTTATGTACATGTGTCATGTCGAACGCCGTCCCAATTGTGCAATCGATTCCCATCCGCTCAAAGCTTTCCCTGGGCCTGGGACTCCTTGGCCGCCTTAGCGTGACGCTCGAAGGAGGACACGGGGGGAGCGGAGTTGGGGTTTGGGTGGTGCTTCTTGAGTGCCATCTTGACGTTGTACTCCAAGTCGAGAGTAGCCTTGGGGTCATTGGTCTTGGGCTTGAAGTCCACGACGAGATCATCCTTGACAGCGAAGACGGAGTCGATAGCGAGGTGGGGGTCGTCGCTGGGGTAGATCTGGTTGATGACGGTCGCGTATTCCGGGTGGGTGATCATGAGGTGGATGTGAGCGGGACGCATGGGCGAGCGGTCCATGAGCTTGAGAAGGACACCGGCGGGACCGTCGGTTGGCAGAGAGTAGGGAGTGGGGTGGTAGCAGTACCAGTTGAATTCTCCCTTCTCGTTCGAGCGGAACTTGCCGCGGAGGTTGTTGTCGGTCTGGGTGGGGTCCTGGAAATCGTATTGGCCGTTGGCCGAGGCTTGCCAGATATCCAGGACGGCACCGACGACCGGCTTGCCGGTCTCCATATCCTTGATCACACCGTGCATGAAAGTAACACGGCCATGGGGATTCGGGTCTTGGATAATGCTGTCGCCGAGAGCGCGGAAGGGAGCGTTGGGAGACCAGAAGGGGCCGAGAATGACGTTGGAGGTGGGGGAAACACCATCCTCGGTGACGATCTTGTTGGCGATCTCATCGACAAGACTAATGAGATCAGTTAGCTTCTTTTCTCGAAGTTCTTCATTTTCATTTTCTTGATAACAAATAAAAATAAAAAATAAAAATCCAGTCAGATGTGAAACTTACGATTCGAGGCCAATCACGTCACAGATGCGGTGACCTTCATTGCGGATGGGAGTACTAATTTGACCGATCGAATTGATAAACTCAACGCCGAGCATCCACTCGGCGGAGGTTAACTCAACCTCACGAGCGAAATCGTGGATGTGCTTAATCAGAGAGCCCAAGATCACGCGAGCACGCTCGGGAGTCTGGGGGCCCATGCCATTAATGACAGAGGGAGTGAAAGTAGGGTCAAACTGGCGTGTGGAAGACATATTGTATTATTGAAGAGAGTTGTAAAAAAAAAAAAGAAAATTAAGAAGTCAAGAAGAGAGCTTCAAGGGTCTATATACATAACGCGCGACGGCATATCTTTCGGCTGGTCATGGATGTGGGGGGAAAACCGCGATAGTACCAAACCGCCAAAAATCCCGTTGCCACCTGCCGAATATTGTGATCGCGTGAATTCCAAGATGGTTCCATTTTGGCATCGGCCCTCAACAGCCGAGTGGCGGCTGGTCCCCTATTATATCAGCGCGGGGGGACCGGGGTAGCTCTTATCCGCCGGTAAGCCCCGGGATATGAGCCCCCTTTCACATACCCGCTTTCACCGCCTTTTGATTGGTTCGGCTTTTACTTTTCCAGCACTTCCGGATCACGTGCCGGCTGGTCATTCTATGTTATATCCATGGATACAGCTATTGTTTATAACTATATGTTGTAGATTAGATCTCAAACAGTCACTGTGGATTAAAATAGACCCACGTCTCCAGTGTATATAGAATCTCGAAAATCTGAGGGATTTTCTTTGATGATCACAGCGAATGTTAATATTGATTCGAGGAATCCCTACAATCATCTTTTAATCACGATCTCATCACAGCCATAGTCTTAGCAAATAATAAGGCTAAATCCAATTTAATAAAGTCCAAACGTCATGTAGTAACCGCAAATAAACTAATGCAATAGAAAAGCCGCTTCTCAAAACAATCACCAAGCCAAAACCTCCTTCTGCGGTCCACAGGCCAGAGAAGCACAAATCTCCTCATCCTTCTCACTAACATCTGCATTGCATGCTACTTTCGGTTTCGCCGGCCAGATCTCTCGTCCCGCGGCTTTCTCACGCTCAAAGTGCTCTGTGACGACATCGCGGACTGTGCTCTGGAAGAACAGCGGCGCCTTCTCATACTTGGGGTGAAGCTCGCCACTCGTGAAGACATTTCGGTCGAGGTTCTTCTGTGCGTTGTTGCAGAGGACTTTGTCTTCTCCCATGACACGCGCGTACATATCACTGATAAGCTTGAAGTCGGCATCGGAGGAGTTTCGGTTTCGGTAGACTTCGTAGGCCATCTTGGAGCTTTTGGGGCTTGATGGGAGGAATTTCTGGACCATGATGAAGTGTGGCCTGTATATGTTAGAGGATGTTCCATTTTAGAAAGAATAGGCTAGGAATACTTACGAGACAACCATGGCAGACATGGGGAAGTAGTAGGTACTGGCGGTGTAAAGACCCTTCTCAATCTGCTCTGGTGTGGACTCGCAGTGGTGTTGGATGTGTCCATCTTTGAGATCGCTGTCGAAAGACTCAAGGTTGAGGAATTCTGGAATATCGGCATGTGTCGTGGGACAGTGGTAGCATTCGTTGAAATTATCGGCCAGGATCTTCCAGTTGTATTCGCCTTCAAGCGCATAACCATGGTCAAAATCGTAGTTGTCAAAGTTGTAGGCTTTGTAGCGTTCTTGTTTGTCCACGTCGCGGAATTGATCCTCCCATGATACTTCTGGGACTTCATTCGCATCCATGTTGACCCAGATAAAGCCATTAGCGTCGACCTTGAGGTGGATTCTGTAAAGCCCGTTCTGCTCCTTGTCGAAGTTGCTCAACTCTTGGTATTTTGTAGCTTTGGCGAGTTTTCCATTCAGTCCGTAAGACCAGCCGTGGTATCGACAGGCGAGGATTTGGGTATTTCCTGAACCCTCTTTCTCAACGACCGGATACGCACGGTGTCTGCACACGTTGTGGAATGCGTTGATGTCACCCTGTCGGTCACGAGTGATGATGAAATCGAAACCTGCAAGCTCGTAACGAAGCCAGTCGCCGGTTTTCTTCAACCGCATGCTGTGGGTGATGAAGAGCCATCTCTTCGAGAATATAGCTCGGCGCTCCAGCTCGTACATCTCCGGTGAAGTGTACCATGATGCAGGCAAGGCACGAACGGGGGCAGCTTTAGTATCCTCCTTGGAGGCAGGGGCATTGAAGCCAAAGTAGTTGAACATGGAAGACATGATGAAGTATGAAGTAAGAAGGAGGTACAATGGAAATGGTCTTTGTTGCTTTACTGGTCATCATACGGACCCCTTTATATGCTCTGGTACTGTTTATTATCAGACTGGTAACCATGTCTATACTCCGATCATATGGACGGCCTGGTTCTAGTTTGGTAGGGCAACCCATCACCTGGCGGGTGGATCTTCCAAAAACAGACATCGAACCCGCCAACCCGCCAACCCGCCACCACAGTACTACAATTCTTACTATAAGGCGGGGGATTTGACACCATGATACTATTATTTGGTCAAAATGTTATCAAACCCGACATATACTCGGGCTGGTATTTCTTTTCCCACGCTACAGCGCATTGTTTGGAGCTGGGCAGGCATACTTCGAAAGCCGATCGGATCCGGTAGCCAATAGAAGTAATAGAAGTTCACATCAATAAGCTGCATAAGCCCTAATTGTCAGGATCTACTCCTGACGAAATCACGAGGACTCGGGTTCCTCGAGTTGTGGAGATAAGTGACTGCTACAATTAGACAAAAGAACAAGATGCCAAGAATTAGCGCTGAAACTCACAAGCCAAGGCTTGACTGCGTCTAAAATGCAACTCTTGCTAGTGAACACCCCTGCCAAATTCACCTTTTTCGTAAAATTCAGGGGCTCAGACAACATAACTTCTCATTTGTGCCAGATTTTGTCTTATTGTGGATTACCAGTACTAAATTCTCATCGTACAATGTATTTCCTTGGGCTTCTGGTGGCCCTATCGCAAGTCCTATGCTGTTGGGCAATTGACACTCGAATATTGGAAGTGGATTTGATCCTACCGCGAAATGACACCTATCCACCTTCGCCAATCTTCCCGATTATATTCGCTGTTCAAAACCCGAGTCTCGCGAAAAGCTTCCAACCTATGATTACCTTGCAGGTTGAGCAGGTTGACGGAAACTTCAGTACTACCGATACTTTCAAACTATGGGAGTCATCAAATGATACTAGCAACACCCGCTTTCTGACTTGGGGTACCTCGAAGTTTGACTTTGAAGGAAATTTCCGGTTTACCTGGGACCTCAGCATGGATCGATGCTCTCTTGACAAAGAGACAGACGAAGTGAATTTCGGAAGATTTAGTGAATTCCAATCTCTCTATTTCACCACCAAGAATGGCACCTCATCGGCGGATTTCGTCGCTGCAACAGACGATGATACTTGCGACAAAGCGTTAGCGCAGGCTATCAATTACGCGGATGTTTCTAAGCTCCCAGCAACAGAAAGTACCTACGGACCCTCCTGTCTAGTAGAACCGACTACGCTGCCCAAGACTACCAATCCCTGCAATGCCAAGATTAACTCATCAGCCGCAGCAAGTATGTCTGCAGCCATGACATCTATTGCATGTGCTCGAGATCGACCTGGGGTAACTTGCCCAACTCCGTCGTCTAGGAATGCAGCCTCTAAGACGCATTTGAAGATGGGTGGCGCATGGATTCTGGCGACGGCTTCCCTGCTCACTTACTGTCTCGCATGAACCCTTCTAACCTAACTGTGACCAGTTTGCAGTGCGTAACAGGTTGCCCCCATGACTGAACAAAGTATATTTTGAAAGCATTTGGATTCCAACACCTAAAATTGAGGTCAAAACTTGAACCAAAGAGAACCCATCCGTATCATTCAACAACAGTAAACTCGACAAAATTAGATGACGGGACCATTATGACCGGCCTTCCATCGTTATCAGCGGGGTCGACGACAAGACCATACAGCCAACATGGTAATTTCACTACCGTCTTCGCATGCTCTTCGCAATCACCCCAAATCCACCAGTCAACGCAGCCACCACAGTACTGGTATCGATATGTGTCGCCGACCACTGTATCGGGATGCAAGTCGAAAAATTCAAGGTAATTCTTTCTGACAAAAGATTCCCCTGGTTTGAGGCTGCGGAAAAACTCGGGATCCGTGACGTTGACCTCAACGTCAGGTTCATCTACAATCCTCCAACCCTGATTGCCTTCGTCTTCAAAATAAGTCTTCCACTGGATAGATCTCCCGTTTGAATCTTTCGACGGATCGTAATCGAAGCAGCGGCGTTGTAGTCGAAATTGATCATAAGTAAAAGGGTAATCGTGTATGATTATCGGCTTTATATCATCATTGATAGCCTCATGGTCCTCATTCGTTGGACCATCATAGGTGATCTTCATTGTAATATAAAAAAGCTTTTCCGTTTTAGACATTTCTGATGGGCCTTCTAGAGACACACTCATATAAGGGGCTCTAGGGCTGTAGAAAGTGTATCAGTCAGGATAAAGACGGATATCAGGTTGAAGAATTTCTCACATTCGGTCCGATTTCTCCACCAGAGGTTCGCCGTACGGCCTATGCTCCAAAGGTTCCTGCACCTCTACGCAGAGAAAAGAACAGGAGACTCCCCCGGATGACAACAAGGAGTAGCCCGGAGTTACGCCCAATTTCTTGCTCCCAATGCTCGCGCAAGGTGCCCCAAGCCCACAATGCATATTCAGCCCCGAGCCAGACTAGCTCATATCTCTCACCAGCCACCATGTGGTCCAAAAAGGGACCCGGGGCGCCTATATTTCTTCTGAGAGTTTGTCCAGGAAGAAGTTCTTCTGTCTCAACTTCATATCCTGTGATCTTGATAGTGTGAGGAGGTGGCCGCTTGGGCGTTCCTTCGATCCTTTTTAGACCATCTGGCGTGTGTTGAAAGATTACGAAGCCAGAGGGACCCCATGCATCATACAGGCCGCTCCAGCGAAAGATACAGGGCTTGTCACAGTCATCCTCTGCCCGACGAATAGTGACATTGAACCCTCCTGTCGGGTCGGCTAAAGATATAGCTGGGAATGTCGGCTCCACCTCCATGGAAAGTCTAGGCGTGTTTGGACTAGGATATTTGTTAGTTTGGAACAATAGGCAGGTAGGGGAATCTCACGGTCTATCATGTTCAAAGAATCTAATAATTGATTGAAGCTCAGAATCCATGGCAACTTTATTGAAAAGTATGAGGGAAAATAAAGGTAAGAATAAATAAGGAAAGAAAAGGATGGCAGAAGAGAGAGGGAGAGAGAGAGACCCCCGTTGAACTAGTAGGTAGAACTAGTAATTTTCAATTTCACAGGCACGTATCTAGTATCCTCCCTTTGTTTTTTCCACTTTCTTTTCAGTAGATATTTAGATATTTAGAAACTTCGTTATATTCGCATAAGGGAAGTAAATCAGTTTCTCAAGGCCAGCAGATACAATGCATGCTATACTCTCGCGCTCTACTAGCAATTTCTATAAAAGTAACTTTGAATAATGTTATGCCAAATCCCCATTCGACACCAAGAGTCTCATTTCTTTGCATCACGCAATTCACTTCGCTCCTTCACTAAATTCGAAATTGCAGTCCCGGTATCACCTCCAAGCTTCGCGAAACCCTGGATCACACCCTCACGATCCCCGGGCCGCATTTCCTGGCTCATCTTAAACTTCCCCTGAAGCTTGGTGATTCGAATCTCAATCCCAACAATGTTCTTCTTCAGCAGGTCAGTGTATGACTGAGGCGCATCGGACACCTTCCACGGCTCCGGGTTCTCGCCACCAGTGTATCCCATAATTGACTTCTCGGTATGTTGCGAAAGATCATGCAGTTGCTTGGCGAGGAATTCGCCGGTCTCGGGTGTTTTGGAATCATAGTATAGCGACATCTTGCCATACGCTTGAACGGCGGAGTAATTCCATGTGGGCACAACCTTCCCTGTATCTGGCTTTGTCTCGACGTAGTATTTCGGAGTCACGTAATGGTCGTGCTTGCCATTGAAGAGCACTAGGACGTCGTCGTCGAGTTCAAGAACATTCGGCGGCTTATCATCCACCGCTTCCATCATCGTCTTGACTTGCGGGTTCTGCTTGGCGATGTGGGCGCGAAGATAGGGATCTGTCTTGCCTGTTTCCTCTGGGAAATCTACCACGAATGGGGCATGGGTGCACTGTAGGAAGTCTTGCTGGGAGGAGTTCATGCCGGTGATTAAAACCCCAAGTGGGTTTTGCCGGATGAAATGGAGCAAGACCTCTTTGTCTTTCTCCTCATGGGCGCTTTGGAAGAACATTTTGAAGAGCAACTGAAGGGTAGCTGTCAGAGAAGGATGGAGGGGAAAGACAGGGAGTTGTGAAGCCAATTGGGCCAGAACAAAATAATGACCAAAATCAAAATCCCCCCAAATCTCACATTATCGCTGATTTGTTATCAGTGGCCAAGGATTCGTCCACTAAAGGCATGTACACCCGGCTGCAGAGACCCAGCGGGGCAGGAAAGCGCGACTTTCGACATTTCCCCACCGGATTATCAAGTGCCCGAGAAAAGGCCACGAGAATTGAAATGAAATTCAGATCACGTCCATCACCATCATTCAATGTTGACAATCTAAGACCTGAGATTCATGATTGCGCTCCAAAAAGAAAAAGCAGTGTGGTCCTGGGTAGTTGGAGTCTAACCCAATTAGGTATAGCGTAGTATTTGGGAAGATGACTGGCTGCTATTGGCTACCTCTCTTGCTGACCCACCTTGCCCTATACTTGGAGAACTTCACTCGCATAGAGGAGCTTTTCGCCAATGACCTCAAAGTCACCTTACCATATTTGGACTATCAGAGCAATATCTATGCCCATGTTTGACCAAAATACGCTTCCTTTTCGAGGCTTGTCGAACTAACGGCTCAAGTTGTAAAAGGGAGACAAGGTCCAGACCTCGGGATGGTGAGATCTAAAATAAAAAGCGAGGATAAATGGGTGTTAGGTATTCCAATGGATGCTTGGCACAGTACATGAGACACCACTTGAGTTACTACCAACAGAAGTCGTAAGAAAATCATTCATTCAACACATTTATATAAGATGGGGTAATAAAAGGAGGGTATAGATTGAACGTTGCAGAAATAGGAAAGAAACCATAATAGAAGCCCCAAGGGGACTAGAACCAAAACTCCATCGCTCCAAAACAGAAGCAATTTGCGTAAAACAAAATGATGCGCCGATTTTTGATGGTCAGGAGGTCGCAAGACCTCCCAGCATATAACAACCGAATCCCAATGACGATTAGTCAATGACACGAGAGTAGAATATCAATCAAACAGAGAAACATGAGGACGTTCCGGCATACGGGTCCACGTTCAGAAGGTCATGGACGCAACTCGAGCGCCACATATCGTAATTTGTTGACATCATCTTCGCCGTTCTTCATAGAACATTACATTGATGCAAGACTAGCAGAACCTGCAGCCGCAGATCCCCAGCGCAGCTTTCGAAGTCCGCCGCGGACCGCTTCCTGGCCACACGCTGCTGAGGGGCGAGGACCAGGAACACCATCTCCCATCATCCCAACCTCGGCTCGACCGACCTCACGGCCGATCATGTACCCCGCGGAAAAGCTGATCGCAGAGAATAGAACGACAACACCGGCGCTAATGACCCATGTCATGATCGTGGGGCTCACAGTCATTGTTGAATCTGTCATGCTCACACGACGACTCTTCTTCGAGGCAGCACCGCGGTCTTTAGGGGAACTTGAACGACGCTTTCCTTTGGCGACAGTGGGGTCAGATGATACCGTTGGTGCTCTTAGATGCCTCTGTGGTACTCCTATAGACGGACTTGATTCTGGATACTGCGGCGAGGATGAGTCCTCTTCGTCGCTGCTCTCCTCTCCCATAGCAACTGATGGGCCTACAAGTCGGAATGAAGCGGGTTGTCCGTCTCCAGAGGGAGCAGCTGGGGTGGATGGTGGTCGGTTATCATTCTTCGGGAGACCTCTGGCGGCAGCCGCACATGAAAGAAGTGTGGATAGGCTAGCACGAAGGGCAGCATCGTGGTCAGCATGATGGGAAGGGGAGATCATATTGTAAGGGCTGTGCTGATATTGAGTTCTCCGCGATGATCGTGGGCTAGGGTATGATTCTCTTCGAGGACCTGCACGGTGAGTAGAGGTAGACGGTACACCGGATTGAGGGCGCCGTGCATTCCATCCAGGTTCTGACGTGGCTGGTGGGTGTGTGAATATATTCGGTTGAGGTACGAATGGTGATGGGCTGATGCCCATTCCTAGGGCAGTAGAACTATCGTCTTCATCATCGCTGAAGGCAGCGTCTGAACTTGATGATAGCGGTGCAGAGCGCGCAGGTAATGCAGCTGGGAGCGTTGGACAGGCTATATCTTCATTTGAGCTGCTGAGAACGCGATCAGACTCGCTTTCGCTCTCCTCATATTCCTCTTGGCTGCTACTGGCTTGACTAGCCTCCCGCGATGCATAGTCCACCTGGGCTGTGGTGATAGCAGCAAGATGTTGTAGGCGGCGTCGCCGATTACGGCGCTGATATGTGCCCACTTCTCCACGCTCGACCTGCAAGCCAGTGGTAATTATGTCTTCATTCGTGGCAGCAGAGGAGAAGGAGGAAGAGGACGGTTGCGAGGACACGTCGATCCAGGAATCTATGTAGTATCGTAGTGAGTACATTATGGAGATGTGAGGGGGATTTTGTTTGCATATTAAAAGTTCCTCGGCAGGGGAGGTACCAGTCAGATTATAAAAAGGACTACATACCCTCTGATCTCATGGGCACCGCACCGGATTGCTGAGGCTGACCGTTATCTCGAAGCGGCTGATGGCCATCGCGCGTCATCCGACTTGCGGCTCTAGGCTCGCGCACCTGACCTAGCAGGTCGCAGTGCTTTGGTTGCATAGCCGAGGAGTTGCAAGAATATAAGAGAAGGGGGTATATGAATAGAAGTAGAAATATAGAAGAGAGGGGATCAGGCCACCCTGGAGTACAAGAGAGCGGTCAACGTGGGTGGGGGGAAGATTATCTTATCAAATGTGGAGTCGACGATCACTGATGCCCAAGGGAGTTTATACTCCTTTCTGCTCGCAAGAACAAGGAGATAAAAGGAGAAAAAGGAAACTAAAACGGTTAGATTAATCTTGCGGAATCAAAAAGAAGAGTGAGAAGAGAAAGATGAAGATCCCCCAGGTGGAAAGATTCGAGAATGATGAGGTGATCAGCAGACCGAACAGGTGATTTGCAGCCCGTGACGAGGCAGAGGGTGAAAGACGATGCGAGAAGCTGTCAGTGGGGAAGGGCGAATATTGAGGTTCTTATTGTAGAATCTTGGGATTCAAGACACTCGCAATGAGACCTTCTTTCATCAATAGTCCGATCAAAGAAGCAATAGACCAATGTTCCAATGTACTTAGGAGGCAAAAACAAAGAATATTGCGGGGAAGTCGGCATCCAGCGGCAATATACTCACCGATGATTACACAAAACGAAGATATAAGCGGTCAAGTTGGACAAAATGAAAATTGAAATGTATCAAATTAAAGATACCTGGAGCTAGCTAAGATCATATTACACGTAATTAAACACGAACTTTTCTCTCAAAGAAAACCTGAGACCCATGGACACCATATGTTGCGGAAATCAAACGTATGCAGGAAAGAACCTCAAGCTTAGAAGGTGACCTTGGTACCCTTGTACTCGGGGATGGAGCCCTTACCCTTGTTGAGAGCACCACCACGGCCGCCACGGTCGCCGAAGCCACCACGGCCACCGCCGCGACCACCACCACCGCGTCCACCGAAACCGCCGCCGCCGCCGCGACCACCGAAGCCACCACGGCCACCACCACGACCACCACCACGGCCGCCGAAGCCACCACGGTCACCACCGGCAGGGCGGGGAGTAGAGAAGTCAAGACGGATAGCACGGCCCTCGAGCTCGTGGCCGTTGAGAGCGCCGTGGGCAGCCTTGGCCTCATCGATGGAAGAGAACTGAACGTAACCGAAGCCCTTGGGGCGGCCGGTCTCCTGCTCAGTGGGGAGACGGATTCCGAGAACGGAGCCCTGCTCGCCGAAGACCTCGTGGAGAGCATCCTCAGTGGCGCTGAAGGGAAGGTTGCCAACGAAAAGAGTGTCACTCTCGGGGCTGGTCTGGTCACCGTAGGAGCGAGCACGATCCTGGGAGCGGTCGGCAGGGGGGTTGGCCTGACGGGGAGCGGCGTAGTCGAGGTTGATGGTGCGGCCATCAAGATCGGTACCCTTCTTGGCCTCCATGGCCTTAGCGGCATCGGCGGCGCTGTTGTACTCAACGTAGCCGAAGCCACGGGAGCGGCCAGTCTCGCGGTCGGTGACAATGCGGACACCGGAGAGCTCACCGAACTCGGCGAACTCACGCTGGAGCCACTCCTCATCAACGTTCCAGGACAGGTTGCCAATGAACAGGTTGGCGACAGCACCTTCGGGGACCTCCTCGGTCTTGGACTTCTTGGCAGTGGCAGCAGGCTCCTCATCAGCCTTGCGCTTCTTGGAGACAGGGGTCTCCTCGGAGTCAGAGTCAGAGTCAGAGCTGTCAGAGTCAGAACCAGACTCGGAGTCGGAAGAAGCCTTCTTGGCCTCGGACTCAGACTCAGAGTCGGAAGAGTCGGAAGACTCGGCCTTCTTCTCGGTCTTCTTGGGGGCGGGCTTCTCCTCCTCAGACTCGGAAGAGTCAGAGTCGGAAGAGTCAGAAGACTCAGCCTTGGCAGCGACCTTCTTCTCGGCCTTCTTGGGGGCGGGCTTCTCCTCCTCGGACTCAGAAGAGTCAGAGTCGGAAGAGTCAGAAGACTCAGCCTTGGCAGCGACCTTCTTCTCGGCCTTCTTGGGGGCGGGCTTCTCCTCCTCAGACTCGGAAGAGTCAGAGTCGGAAGAGTCAGAAGACTCAGCCTTGGCAGCGACCTTCTTCTCGGCCTTCTTGGGGGCGGGCTTCTCCTCCTCGGACTCAGACTCAGAGCTGGAGGAAGCATCCTTCATGTCCTCATCAGACTCGGACTCGGATTCGGAGGAGCTGGGAGTAGGCTCCTTCTTCTTGTTCTTCTTGGAGGCCTTCTCCTTGGAGGCGACCTTGCTGGCAACGGCCTTGCTCTTGGCAGCGGGGGACTGGGAAGCCTTGGTGACACCGGCATCCTTGACCTTGTTCAAGGCCTTGCTAGCCTTACCGGCCTTATCGGCACCCTTGGTAGATGTCTTGGACATTTTGAACTAGAGGCGAAATGAAATGTTAGCCTTTGCTCTTTGATAAAATTGAGGGGGCTGATGGGTAGAGAGGGCTTGGAGGCAGGCTTGTAGCTTGGGTAGGGTGGCACATACTGTAGTGACAAGTGAAATTCTTGTAGTATGTGCGGCAAAGCCCACGATCCCTCAAAGCACCCGTGTTTTGGATGTGTAAAATGGAACAACAGCCCTCAGAAGAACTGCCAGAAGTGAACTAAATCACAGCTGGACGTTAACCCACTACCCACGGACGGACAAGTTTTCAAGCCCACAAGCAACCGACAGCCAATACTGTCTAGAATATGTAACCCACGAGGAAGATGTCCCACAGAGCCCACAGAATAGATGTATGTCAAGCCCACAGCCCTCAGAGTGATAAGAAGCCCTCGGAGTATCCAAACGAACTTACGATATGAAACCCACGCGACTGCGTTAGTTAGTGTGTATAGAGATCTCTTGAGTATTCAAGAGATGATATAAAATAAAGCAACCTGAAACAGACTGCTTTTTTTGAAAAGGGAATAAGAAAAGGAAGTAGAGAGGATGGGAAGAAGAAGAAGAAAAAAGTGAAGAGCTGGGGGACCATCAGCTCTGATAAGGAAAATTTTCTGAAAAAAAAAATTCGGAGGCTGGCAGAACCACTCCGCCTTCCAAAGAGGGTTAGAACAGGCACTTAGTCTCAGTAACTATGTGGGTACCTGTCCAGGGGCTGTTGACCACTCACAATCGCGTGTCAATTGGCGGTATCTTCTGCTTTTGTCTACGTTGTACTACATATGTTACAACATATGTCAATTCTTCTACTATCACTTCTACTCCTTCAGACACTGTTCAACTTATCTTGACCTCGGTCAATGGGAAGATAAGTTCCCTTTTTGGCCTTTATCGTGATGGCCCCTCCGACACCCTCCTCGCACCGCCCCCGCAAGAAGAGAAAGGTTGCGATCTCCTCCGGCTCCAATAATAACCTGATCTTGGATCTAGGCGAGGGGAAGCAATCTCCAACATTTCCACTGGTCTCATTCTTATGGGCTGCTCGGGCCGGTGTGTCTCAATGGCTGATCCTACCACTTGTCCTTATGGCCGTTGGCCTGTTCCGATGGGCTGTGAGCTTGTGGGGTTACTCTGGTATGCGACATTGTCTCTCTTTGGATATGTATCCAATAATTGACCCCCTTTAGGCTTCCAAGTCCCCCCGATGCACGGTGATTTTGAAGCACAGAGGCATTGGATGGAAATTACCACACATCTGCCTTTAGCGCAGTGGTACACATACGATCTGCAATATTGGGGTCTCGATTACCCACCATTGACCGCATATCACAGCTGGCTACTCGGAAAGATGTATATATCCCTACCTACCATTCATCGTAGAATTATTCTGGCCTCCTGCTGACCTGTCGGCCTGTTTAGTGGCTCTTCCTTTGATCCAACCTGGTTCGCCTTGGATGCCTCCCGAGGTTTTGAGGACCCCCGTTTGAAAGTATACATGCGCGCCACCGTTGTTGTATCTGAATACTTTGTCTTCATCCCGGCCGTGGTCAATTTCCTCCGCCGCTACACTCGGTTGCAGGGTGTTCATGCATGGTCCGCCTCAATTGCTCTAGTGGCAATCCTCCTTCAGCCAGCGAATATCCTCATCGACCATGGCCATTTCCAATACAACACAGTCATGCTGGGATTGGTGGTTGCGAGCTTGGACGCTATCTTGGCGGGGCGTATGCTCTGGGCTTGCATTTTCTTCGTTGGTGCACTGGGATTCAAACAGATGGCGTTGTATTATGCACCGGTCATGTTCGCCTACCTTCTCGGTGTCTGCACATTCCCTCGAATCAATATCCCCCGCCTTGTGAGCATAGCCCTTATCACATTAGCTACTTTTGCTTTGCTGTTAGCCCCTCTTTTGGTTGGTGCCTCCAATGCCGAAGCTCGAAAGGCATTTGCATCTTCTCCAGTTCCACCTCTGTTGCAGGCACTTCCTGTCCAGATGAACAAGGACTCCGTTACATATGGCCTGTTATTCCAAATAACACAGATCATTCATCGGGTGTTCCCCTTTGCGCGTGGGCTCTTCGAAGACAAAGTTGCCAACGCTTGGTGCGCCATTCACACTTTCTACAAGCTAACCCGCTTTGATGCTACGTTGTTGCAGCGAGCATCGCTCGGTGCCACATTAGCGTCAATCATTATTCCCTGTGCTATCATCTTCCGCCACCCCCGGGCCTCGCTTCTCCTCCCCGCTTTATCGGCCGTCTCCTGGGGATTTTTCTTGTTCTCTTTCCAGGTCCATGAAAAGAGCGTGTTGCTGCCTCTGTTGCCGATGACCCTGCTACTTGCTGGTAACGGTGGACTGAGCAAAGAAACACGCGCCTGGGTGGGCTGGGCCAACGTGCTTGGCTCGTGGACCATGTACCCCCTCCTTAAGCGCGATCAACTCCGCGTTCCTTACTTAGTTATGACTTTGCTTTGGACTTATCTCCTCGGCTTACCTCCTACTTCTTTCGAGACCTACCGAAGTCGGGCATCCCCTGAAGACTCCAATGCTCACCTCGAGCCCGGTACTCTCACAACTCTCTTACACTTTGGTTTCTATTTGGCCATGATTGCCTGGCATATCCTTGAGGCATACGTGCCTCCGCCGCCCGGAAAGCCAGATCTTTGGGTAGTCTTGAATGCCCTGATCGGAGCAGGTGGGTTCGGGATTGCCTATGTGTGGTGTATGTGGAAACTATATACCCAATGTCGCCAAATCAGTCAGCAGGCTACCGAGGAGGGAAGCCAGAAAAAGAAGCAGTGATTATTTGCCTAGGTGGATGGCTGTATGATTTTCAGTGATACCCCATATTATGTGATTATCCAAAATGAGGCAGTGTAGCTGCTAGATTACTTTATTAATATGATTGATTCGTTTTGAAATTCGTTTTTTATAATCGTTTTTTATAAGAGGTGAGATGTTGTATTGGGAAACTCATCCCTTTCATATAGAGTCCAAACTCTAGGTTTCAATATGTCACACATCAGCAAACTTGCCTCAAAACAGACGATATCTAAAGAAAACAAGAAACTCCCGCCAATGAATGCTATGGTACAATGTTGTATAGTGATAGTACAGCCGAGGCCATTCGGTCAGAGATCGAGTCTAGACCTTGAAACCAAATCCGGCCATGCAAGTCTTGTACTGCTCAATGGTGGACTTGCACTCCTGCTCAGGGTTGTCGGACTTGGAGAAAAGCATGCAGTCATCGCGAGCGGTCTTCTCGGGTTTGCAGACGCAGCAGGGCTAGAATGAAGGCATTATTAATCGCTTGCGCTTGTTGGACCGGTAGTGTCGGGTCGTACCTTGGGCTTCTCGGACTGGGCAGGCTGAGCGGGCGCTTGCTCAGGGGCAGCGGCGCTTTTCTCTGTGAGCCAATGTGTAAGCAAGGGTCGATGTCTTTCTTTGATATATAGGGCCGGCGCATTGCGCAAGTATTCGGTTTAGGTAGATGGAAAGAGACATTGGTGCTTACCATTTGAGGAACCGAAGAGCCAAGACATTGTGATGGATATGCAGATGTACTTAACGTGTACTTTGAGTAAATGAAAGACAAAAAAGGGAGTGTCAAGTACGAGAGTTGGGAACAAGTCCTTACAGGTGACCTCCAGGGCTGACACCATCGGACATTATTAATGGTGCATGTAGCGTAACTGGTCTCTATGCTACGCCGTAGTTATTATTATTTTTTTTGTTATCAACAAACTTGCCTCTTCGGGGTCATCTCTCCTTTCCTGCTACACTACAGACTGTTTCGGTTTTCTTCTTTCTATCCTTGGGTCTACTTGGTTTCCTCATTGCTGGGATATTGTCTGCCATTGACCTCACGTTCATCTTATTTTATTTCTTTTTCTTATCTCAATATCCCACTTCAACAACTACCCCGCTATGGCCCCTCCCAAGGTCTTCTCCCTCGAGGGCAAAGTCCTCAAGCTCGACAGCGCCGAGGACATGAATGCGCACATTCAGCCCTTGATTGACAATACCGACTACACTGAAATCCGTCTCGGTGGAAACACCCTGGGCATTGACGCCTCCAAGCGCCTGGCCGAGGTCTTGCAGACTCAGAAGTGCCTCGAAGCTGCCTACCTCGACGACATTTTTACCGGTCGTCTCCTGACTGAAATCCCCACTGCTTTGAACTCGCTCCTGAACGCCATCCTCAAGATCTCGACCGTCCACACCGTTAACCTTAACGACAATGCTTTTGGTCTCAGAACTCAGGCCCCTCTTATCGAATTCCTCTCGCGCCACGTGCCCCTCCGTCACCTCATTCTGAACAACAATGGACTGGGCCCTGCCGCCGGATCTCAGGTCGCCGATGCGCTATCAAAGCTGGCTGAGCGCAAGGAGGAAGCTCGCAATTGTGGCGAGGAAGTTGCGCTGCTGGAGAGTGTTGTCTGCGGACGAAACCGCTTGGAGAACGGCAGCATGGAGGCATGGGCTCGGGCCTACAAGGCCCACGCCGCCGGCCTGAAGTCGGTTAAGATGACACAGAACGGTATCCGATCGGAAGGTATCTGCCACTTGTTGACCCAGGGTCTCTACCACGCGCATTCCCTTGAGGTTCTCGATCTGCAGGACAACACTTTCACCAATGTGGGCTCCACTGCTCTGTCAAACGTTTTGTCTGGCTGGCCCTCTCTGCGCGAGCTTGGTGTAGGCGACTGCCTGCTTTCTGCCCGTGGTGGTGTGAAGGTTGCCCAGGCTTTGGCCGCGAACAAGAACCAGAAACTTCAGACTCTGCGTCTGCAGTACAACGAGATGAAGGCGGAAGCCGTCAAGAGCTTCACCCACGCAGCCAAGACCGCGCTTCCCAGCCTCCGTCGCATCGAGCTCAATGGAAACATCTTCTCCGAGGATGACCCTAACATCGTTGACCTGCGTGAGCTCTTGGAGGCTCGACAGGAGGAGCACGGCACCGACGAGGACCCCGAGGATAGCTGGGGTGTTGATGAGTTGGATGAACTCGAGGAGGAGGATTCGGAAGAAGAGGATGAAGAAGAAGACGAGGAAGAGGAGGAAGAGGCCAAGGCTGAGAAGGACCTCAAGGATATCGAGCTTGCTGAGGAAGAGAAGGTTGCTCAGAGAGATGACCAGGACGTCGATGACCTGGCCGATGTTATGGGCAAGACGGCTATCTAAACTTCTGGAGCTGTTGGACAATTGTCACTCCCATCAGTACCTGCCTTCCATCACAGATGGACCATGGATCCAACGCCACGTTGATATCACCAATGGCTGCGACCCGCGCCCTTGGCTTATTGGTGTCCTCCTGGCCATCCATGGTCCCTTTCTGTGTCCACGGCCACTCACAAGCTTCGGGTATGAGGATCTGACTGACGACGCTTACGCTTTACCTTCAAAAAGACCCCCATTTGTTATACCCCCAATCTACAATGATGAAACCCTAGCTGCACATAATTTCCTTTGCTTTGATCCATATTCTGTTTGCATAGCCATGGACTCTTCCTGTTTTCATCGGAAGATGCACAACCATATAGATGGAATACATATCTGGACAAGCAGGACCATTCAAATAATTATAAATTTACGAAAATTAAGCAAGCATTTGTCTATAAAACTCGCATATAAAATTGAAGGGAAAATACTTTCCAAAAATGGAATGCCAGGCTTGGCGCAAACCTTGGACATCGCAGCTCATCAAATTCCCTTTACCTCGTCGGCTTTGACATACCCCATCTACCATACCTGTCATTACTGGCGCTTCAATTGCCGTCGCCTTTCCGCTCTTTGTTTTCTTTGCCGGTCCAATTTCGCAACACTATACCGTTGACGTGACCGTGAATTATCTCTAGGTGAGTGCCAGCGCAAAACACCCCTCACTACATCTTGCTTCTACGCAATTCCCCATTGTTTTATCTGGCGCAATCAGTATAACAGCTCTCATATCATTGTCTCCAAGCTTTTCTGCTTGTTTTGGTCAAGTTTCAGAGAGCAAATGGGGGAGAAGGTGGACACGTGCAAATTGACAGCATAGCACCTTTCGCCGCATGAGTCTCTATGGTGGGGTATTTGGATGACCATGTTTCGCGTGACATTTGTTGAAAGCATATGTGCTCCATAATCTGTGATCCCAAAGGCACAAATGTGCATGGCGTAGTTCTGCAGAGTGCGCCGGCATCCGGGACTTATAAAGACCCTGCATTCTAAGCTTTTGAGATGATACGCTGACTGTTGTGGCTTATAGGTCTCCTAGAACTTTCTCTCCCGGACCTCCATTGACCCCATTACGCACTCCGATCGCGTTATCCCTCTACCCCGCACAACATGGCGATGGACGCCAAAGAGATCGAAGCTAAGGCCAAGGCCCTGGGCAAAGCCGCGACATCGAACGAGTCTTCAGCTGTGATCCTGGGCCTCCTGAAGGACATCCAAACCGGCGTCCGGGCAACCGAAGACCTCCTCCGACAGACGCGCATCGGAATCATCGTCAACAAGTTCAAGCAAAGCAAGACCCCAGAAGTCGCACGGCTCTCCAGCGAGATCGTCTCCAAGTGGCGGACCGAGGTCAACAAGCAGAAACAGGGCGGTGGTACAGCAGCCAGTCGTGGCTCGAGCGGATCTCCACGACCAGCGCAAAACGGCACAGGAGCGTCCACCCCAGCCGCTGCAACACCCTCAGACAAGGCGTCGAAGCTATCCGTGCCTCCGGATAAGCGAACCTGGAAGGCAGATGGGGCAGAGATCAATCATACCGGGAACCGAGTCCGTGACAGCTGCACGGGACTGATGTACGATGGACTATGTGTTGGATCAACCGAGTCTCCGAAGGTTGTTCTATCGCGCGCCATTGCAGTGGAGATTTCCGCGTACAAGTACCTGGGACCGGAGACGAAGGAGGAATACCGCACGAAGATCCGCAGTCTTTTCCAGAACCTGAAGAACAAGTCGAACCCAAAGCTGCGGGTGCGCGTTGTCGAGGGAGAAATTACCGCTGACCAGTTCGTGCGCATGACGCACGACGAGCTGCGCTCCGTTGAGCAGCGGGAGGCGGATGCCAAGATTCAGAAGGAGAATATGGACAAGGCTATGGTTGCCCAGCAGGAACGCAGTATCAGTAAGAGCTTGCAGTGCGGAAAGTGTGGTCAGCGCAAGGTTACCTACACTGAGGCTCAGACTCGTGCGGCTGATGAACCGATGACTCTGTTCTGTACGTGTCTGAACTGCGGCAAATCCTGGCGACAGTGAGCTTAGGGGGCATTTGAGAGCTAGAGCGGAAATGTATTATTCTTTGGGGGACTCGGTGTTTCCTTTTTTTTCCTTTTTTTTTCCATTTCTCTTCCTCGTGTTTTCATCCTTTCTATCATGCGAAGGCTATGAAAGCCGACACTGGAGTTCTACCGTGGGCCTTTGATTTATGTCTTCCTCTACATCTGTTTCCCTTTCGGGGGCGAAGCTCGTCTGGGTAAATAGATAAATAGATGGACAACAAGTCGTGAACTATCCACCAAAATTCAGATATCCCACAGATATCCCAATGATTTATCCCGACTCTTATCCAAGTATAAATTGTTGTTGTTGATACTGCATACATAAACAATAGTACTGAGATATCAACAAATATATATCAACGTCATATTGATATCAATGCTCACCCCCATCAAGTTACCCGCATCTATATCTCCAACATCTATACCAACTACATCCAAGGTCTACACCTTCAAACAAAAATCCCTAAACATGACAACACGGACAGACCTCCTAAACCCAATCCACACTTTCCTAGAAGCCCTAACAAACCCATCCCCAAACCCGAACAACCTCCTCTCAGCCTTCACAACTTCTCCAAAACCCCTAATCCACGAACACGGTCTCCCCCAACTAGCCCCCTTCCTAGGCCGACCATTCACCGGTCAAGATGGGATAGCAACTTACTTCGAAGTTATCTCGTCGCTGCTGTCTATCAAGAACATGGTCTTTGAGCCCGAGGAGAACTGGGTGGTTGATACGAGCTGTATGGCTGTTTCGCTTCGTGGATCCGCCACGTTCGGCTGGAAAGAGACGCGGCAGGCGTGGGATGAGACGTTCATTTATCGTATCCAGCTTGCTGTTGATCGTCCTGGGAGTGGGAGTGGGAGTGGGGAGGGGAGGTTGGCGGTTTGTGAGTATCAGGTTTGGGCGGATACGGGGGCTGCGTATCTTGCTAGGCTTGGGAAGTTGGGGGATCTGGTAGGGTCTAAGGATGGTGAGGGTGGTGGTGAGGGCATTCATGTTGATATTGACGCAGAGGGTACCAGATAGGGTAGGAGGATATATATATAACAGCCAACAGCCAACAGCCAACAGTGAGGAGTGCCAATCATAAGGAGAGTGTTATTATTTGGGAGATTTTTCTAGATAGATCCGGACGGTATATACACCTAATCTATACCGACTCTTGCTTTCACAATTATTGAGAAAAACCAAAAGAAAATAACCAAAAAACCGGGGTCTATCCCTCGAAGACGCTGTGATTAAGCTCAACCCCCATATCCTTAGCCATGTTCTGCATCTGAGCTTCAATATCATCCTCCATACCACCACCCAGATGCAAGAACTGTCGCACCTTGGTAAAATAAAAGAAGATATCAGTACTAAACAGCACCATGCGGAAGATAAAATGGCGACCGATGTTCCGGATCTTCTCGGCCAGCGGCAGATCCGGCGACTCGATAAGCGCACGCGAAGCCCAGATACCAGTAATCTTAACGCGGTTCACCGGCGAGCCCAGGAACTGATTATTTCCTTGTACGATGCGCAGATTGCGACCGATGAAGATCAACTCCTGCGGCCACTTGGTTTCATCACCCAGCATATCGCGGATCGCCTTTCGCATGGCCTGCTGCATCTCGTAGTGTCGCTCTGCACGCTCTGACTTGCTCAAGCCCTGGAAACCGCGCTGCGTAGACTTGTTCCCGCCACTGTAGGGACGCATTAATGTTGCCGACGCGAAGAAATCTGGGTTGTTCACGCCCCAGCCCTTGACAATCTCGCCCAGCGTGCGATTGTCGAAGGTGAGGAGCGCTTTCCAGAAGCGCGCGTATTGGTGGCGGAATCCCGGTTCCATGTGGATGTACAGGCCGTGGTCGATTAGAACCAGCTCTGGCTCCCCGGACGGCTTGCGGCGGATGAAGATGTTGCCCGGGTGCGGATCGCAGTGGACGTATCCCCACAAGAACATCTGGGCAGAGAACAGGTCTACCATAGTCGTCATCACGTCTTTGACAGACAGTCCCAGTCCACCGCGATTGTTGCGGCCTCGCCAGTAGTCACGCCCTGGCTTGGTCATCGATGCGCGCGGGTTCCGCTCCGCAGATTTTGTTTCCGGTTGGTCAAGCGGTGTACCGTGACAGCCTGGACTTCCTTGACGCCAGCCGCCGCGCCAGGGCCGCGTGATGGCGTCTTTGTCCCAGAGCCGTACGCCTTCTACCCATTCGGCAGTCATGACGCGCTTGGAGCTCAGTTCGCGGTATACACGAGGAATGTACACACGATCGCGGAGACGAGGTTCACCAGCCACTAGCTTGGCCATGTTTTCCGAGTTATCTGCTTCGTTTACAAAGTCTGTTTCGAGTGATAGTCTTTCACTGATGTAGGGAACGAGGCTGTAGAAGGGGATGTCGAACACTTTGCTGTAGATAAAGGTCACAACTCTATTGATTTCAATGTCAGCGTAACATCCTCTCGTGGGTCGAACTCGGACAAACTCACTTGAAAGCCCAAAGATCCCATGCCAATTGCTGCACGATCTCCCGTTTTTGGATTTTGATGGCGACCTCCCTGCCATCCTGCAGACGAGCCCAGTGGACCTGCGCAACACTGGCACTGGCTCGGGCTTTGCGCTCCATCACACCCTTGTCAGGTGCACCGGTAAACGAGATACCGAATACCTCCTCAGGCGACTTCCCAAAGTCCTCACGGATAACCTTCTCGACGTCCTTCCAGTCATTCTGAGGCGCATCATCGAACATGCGGGAGAACATATGCTGGAACTCAGGGGGCAGGATGGCAGATTGCATCGCAATCGCCTGTCCCATCTTCAGGTAAAGACCGCCATTATGCCTCAACAGATCCGACAAGCGCTCTGCGTTTCGGGCGTGCACGGCAGCAATAGAGCTGGCCAGTGGCGGGTGTGGGCGGAAGTTGATTTTGTAGTCGAGGGCGACGAAGAGACCGAGAGAAAATGTTCGGGCTGTTCGGGTCAGCGACGAGGCATAGAACTGGCTGTCGATGCCGTAGACGACGCCTGTTGCTAGTGAGACATAGATGATTCGGCGTAACCATTTGATGGTTCGTTTGTAGGTCTTCGCTTCTGTGGGTTTCCCTAGGGAACTTGGTGACGGTGGTACGAAGGGTTGGAATTGGCTTGAGTGGGCATATCGGTGCGGGCATCGGATTGAGGGACGGATGGTGGGCCGCAGAGAGCGGAGTAAGATCGCGTGCGCCATATGAAGTTGTGGAGAGGCGAGTGCCTAATCACTGCATGGCGGTGTTTACGATCAAATCGAGTCTTATATTTGAAGTGTAAGGCAGAGTAGTGTTGTGTGTTGTGTGTTGTGTGTGTCGTAAGCCCTGGAGATGTTTTGTCGTCCGTAACTCCGCGCGGAGTCGGAGTCGGGGGAATTCAGCGTTCTTGTTACTCCGTACCTACACTATACAACATACTCCATACTCCGTACTCGCATCCAATTTCCGTGATATAGTTGATACAGAGTGAAATCAGTATATATGTGATATTAACTACATGTAACTATAACACTATTTACAGTTAAATCCAGACATAAATCATAATTCATCATGGTCATTAGGCCCCAAAATGTCACACACTTTCGCATAATCTCTCATATTCTGAGGAATCGTAATATCCCACAGTTCATCACTCTCCAAAAACCTAAGTTGTTCCTTGCACGATTCCTCCGAGGCCATTGGGATCAAAGCAGGAAGATGTTTGATCGAAGCTTTGAGGAAATTGCGTTTGAAACAGTTGCCAAACCCAGCCAAAGTCTCCGAATCAGAGCAAATATGTATTCCACCACCTAGCATTGGTCCACAGCTTTCCTTGATGTTGAGCGCAACATCGTCGCCCATCTTCAACAGAGTCTCTTCTTTGTGGGGTACATTCATGCGCTGCACCAGACTGCGGACAGCGGGAACAAAGGTGTTATTGCGCGTCCATAGATCCCAGTGTGGGACGGTCGGCTGACATCCAACGTCGCAGATTTCACTCTGGAATTTATCGAAGAGGTGACCTGGTCGGCTAACCAGTGCGGAGACAACTTTGAAGCATGATGTACCGAGTGCTGTGGCGGGGGAGAAGAACAGGACAAGGACGAGGAATAGGCGATCGAGGAAAACCCGCATTATGCGAGGGGAAGCCGAGAGGATGAGGAACAGAAGACCGAGATCGATTGAGGTCTTCTATTTGCAGTTTTGTAGTTTTGGAGTTTTGTAGTTTCAGGGGAAAGGTGAAGGTCATTCCCCCGCATTTGTGGAGAACTCGGAACGTCTGAGGTTCAACTTTCATTGTGTGGACTTAACTTTTGGTATACAACACACATAGTATCTGCAATGAATTTGGATATTCGCCATGATCCTTTCAGGTATTTCTTATATTCCCTTCTCAAGGAGCCAAAGTCTCTAATTATAAATCTAGTGATGACTCTGAAGAAATGTCCTTAAACCTAGAAGAGGTAGACTCTCTCGAAGCCATTGTTATCATCGACAATGAGCTAGATCCGCTCTCTCCCCCAGCCCCGGGCACTGTCCAAATCTCGGGGAATCTGGGGGCAATTGGCATGGGCTCAAAGCATACATTGACAGACCGTGGGGAAGCCTGCAAGGAATTGAGGCTGGAAGATGTCTGTTGCGCAGCACATGGCTTGTCAATTCTGGTGGTAAGGCAATGCTCTGCCATTGGACTCTTGGATATGGTTTCGTATTAAGCCTACCCTATATAGACTGCCACTAAAGGCGACAAGAAGCACACTATTCTCTTCGATGCTGGTCCTGAAGAGGAGGCTTGGGAGAGAAATGTGAAGCGGCTGCGACCAAGTCTCTCCTCTGTGGAGGTGATTCATCTATCACATTGGCATCGAGACCACTCCGGTTCGTTATTCCGAGCAAAAAATGGACACATTGACGTGTATTCTCTTCGGTTCGGCTGATATTCGGGTAGGTGGTCTTCTGCGAGCAATCAGCATGATAAAGGATGCCAAACGAGCCGAGAGCCACTCTGAAGACCTGGTCGCGGACTTGCACCCAGACCGACCGGCCTATAGAGGTATTGCTCTGCCCGAGCATATCATTTCCCTCGAGGCTGATCCTACCTTTGAGGAGATTAAAAGCGCAGGTGCGGTGGTCGACAAGCGGAGTGAGCCACACACCGTACTTGATGACTTCTTTCTCGTCTCTGGGGAGATTCCACGAGTGACGCCGTATGAGACAGGTCTGAAGAATGCAGTGCGATATGACCCTGATGAGAATGACTGGTTCTCTGACGAAGTTATCCTCGATGAGCGTTCCCTCATCTGCAATCTCAAGGGTATATGCTCCTTAAACCCCGCTCACAGCGTTATTGAGCTAACATGTTCTTTAGGAAAGGGTCTTGTTGTCTTCACTGGATGTAGCCACGCTGGGGTAGTCAACACCACCAAACACGCCGTCGAACTGACTGGTGGGGGATTACCCGTCCATGCCGTCGTCGGTGGGTTTCATCTCGCCACAAGCGATGCGGAACAAATCCAAAACACCGTCGCCGATCTCAAACGGCTCGATCCCGCCGTACTCATGCCGGGTCACTGTTCGGGCTGGCGGGCCAAGTTTGCGATTGAGAAACACATACCCGGGTCATTGGTGCCCTGCACCGTCGGATCAAGAATCACATTCTGATACCTGTCGTATTGGTTTCACCCGGGACATTGATGCTTTCTGAAGCTGTTCCTTGCAGTCTTCTTCTCCACGTGGATGCAGGGTCTTGATGCATGGCATGGGTTGCTCGGAGCAACGGATCTCAAAAAGGGGTTATCTCGTCATCGGCTCGGCATGACTGGTTTCATCGATCAGATTCCGATTCCTGACATCACATCACTTTATCTCCTTGCTGCATTTTCTTGCGATCGGGAGAATGCGGGATGGATGCGGATGACTGTTTCTAAACTTATGGTAGTAAGCGTAAGCGTGATAATGGTAATGATAATACTGAAACTCATACAGTCGGCGTAGGCATTGATGATTCTGAGTCTGGTTGTAGCGATAGCTTATAGGGCACTTTTGAATATTATATATTTCGTAATAACAATTGCAATTGGCATTAATTCGATAGAATATTGAAAATTTAGAGCCGCATAAGATCTGTAGTTGAAGAATCGAATCTGATATATACCTCCAATATTTAACAGCAATTATACAATAACGCTACTAACATATATTTCCTTTTGGTGGCAAATTTACTACAATTGATATATAATTTTGTGCGTCTTCTAAAGAATTGTCAATATATATGTGTTCTATAACCATGCATAGGATACTATCCACTACATCAAATCTTCAAGTTCCACAAACTGATATTTCATCCATGTACATTTCATCCCATATCCTCGTCCAGATAAGTCAAAAAGCTCATCATCTACAAGATACAGATAGGATACAGTGTAACCATCAGGCCAGCAACTACATCCAAGCACGCCCGAGGTCAGCTGGACCAATCCTTCACCTCTCTGCTGTGCATTGTTCTACAGCCAAGATCCCTTAGTAGTAAATATCTACCGAATCCCTACGATACAGCCTACAGATATGAGCAAAACAGTCCGTCGCCGTCTTGGCCTGAGAAAATCCCTCAGCGACAGAGTCAGCCCAAGCATCGACATATCGACGTACGGAGTAAAGCAAATCTAAATGCGCCCCTGACAGCACCACGCCCCTCACAGACGAGACACATCTGATAAGAAACACTGACTCTACATTTCACATTGCTACATACTCATGTGCATTACTCCACGTATGGAGTACTTCGTACTCTGTACAAGCATGCACACTGCCCCCGCCAAGACGCAAGCACAACAAGCATTACCACCAACGACCCTTGCGCGTGTCGACTCCCTCTCCTCTCCACCCCGCCCCACGATCACCGAAGCCCGACTCAATGACCTCACGCCGACTCGACAGAAAAAAAAGGGGCTGGTCAGAGGTCAAATTCTCGCCAAGACGATAATGCGGGAGGAAGGGATGCACGGCGTGGCTTGGCGTCGGTGGACAGGTACAGGATGAGATCAGCAGATCAAGGGGGAAATTCCTCACATGGTGTTTGGTGCGATAAGCAAAAGACTTGACATCATTCAATGACTTTATCGTGTTGTCTATCATATAACATTGTAGAGGCATGCCAAGAATATATTTGAATAGCGTCTTCCTTTTTTTTTGACACTCGGCGCCAAGATAGATTGTCAAGAGGAAACAGGGATGAAACGCAATATTCGGGATGATTTGTGCGCATTGATTTTTGAGACTTGTCGATGGTTCCTGGTCGCTACAATATATGTTGTAGTTGGTGTTCTCTTTGTGATATCTGGACACATACCCAAGTGTGATCTATATAGTTAACTAATCAGTTACTAACTATCAGTATCTTTCCTTATGGGGTAAGTCGGATTTGACGATGCATGTCATCGATCCTGCGATTCATAACGAACTATTGATAGTCCAAGACAATGAGAACAAGGATGCGAAGTCGATCATACATCCCGTTCTAACCTCAGACTCTCATAAATGGGCAATGCCCAGTATTGATGTAGCCGAGCCAAGAAACTCTAGTGAAACAGAGCAGTGAAACCCAAGCATGATTGTGCTCTCCGTCCGTTGTTGGATCTTGGCTTTTTACCTATCTGTCGTCGATCATAGAGTTTAATCCCACATTGGTGCCATCACTGCATAGTCCACCACTCACCGCGACGAATGTTATCTATGTATAGACAATAACACACTGCACGCCAGGCAGCACGTCGATCCCCCAGCATCCCCCACGAATCTATCCCTGTCTTGCTTGGCATACCCGGACCAGGTACAGTATTCCCAGGAGTACCCCAGGTATACGGTATCTGTAAGATTTGGAACACAACAACAAACCCACACTAAAACCGCGTTTGAGCTATATTATGCAGCTTCGACTGCGCCCCCAGATTTCACCAGGCACCGGCAGATATTGATATTCGGCACTGATCGGGGAGTTTAACGGTGGCTATGCAGATCTGCCGACAGGTGCATACAAAGAAAGAGCGAGATATCTCGTAGCCTAGCAGGCAGTCTTATATCTCCATTCTAACAATAGTAACAGAGAAGCAAATAGCAACCGCTATACTCTATTCTCTATCCAATTCGTCATACTCATCATAATAGCCTCCGATCCTGTCTGGAGGGAACTAGGATTAAGCAGGTATCGTGAACAGCGCCGATCATTTGTGCCCGAGTGGCAGTGACAGCCAGCCCGAGACAAAATACTGTAACGTTTAATTCGGTCTGGAGAAGCAGTCTACACTGTATCTATATTGTATCGATATAACACAGCCAAGAGGAATATCAATACTCCCATACAACATACAATCATTGAGTACTCCGTACATTGTCACTGCAGCACGGGGAGACAGGGAGCGTGTGCATTGCAAAACAGGCTGTTTTCGCGTATAGTGTACGTTCGGGATACCTACCCTACGCAAAACGTCTCTCTCACAAGGGGACAGGAAGCACTATGCGTACATATTCTACGAAGACTACTTGACTGGGTGTATTACCCCGGAGCCATACTAACTAAACAAGGTAATTATGTTCTACGTGCATACTTGCCTTGCGTCACAGGGGGCAAAAAACAACAACAAAGTGACCGCACGTCTTTTCTTTTATAGTGATTTAGTGATTTGTTATTTTCCCATCTAATATGGTAGGTATATTGTAGATAGATAGCTGAAACCCTTCCCGACACCGGACACAAGTCGCGCTAATCCCGGTTTTTACTTTAATAGTGATGTGCAATTGTTATATATGGGGACCAGTAGTAAGCGCGGGAAATATCCCTTTCTATGCGCACCCCCGAGAATACCACTTGCCTATTGTGAGGGTTCGCGTCCAGCGAGTGTGGGGTGTTTGTTTCTCCTGTCGATCGCGACCGGAAGGGGAAGACTAGCTAAGCATGCGGTCTGGATTGTTTTGGATGGGGTAATCTAGTCTCTTAGGGGCTCTGGATTATCATTTTGAGGTTGTGTGAATTGTCATAGTAGTTAGTGCGGTGATCTGAGTATTGTTTGTTTATTGCTTATTTGGGTATCGTGCGGTAACTAGGGAGGGAGTATAATATAACTAACGTATGGCATCATTGCTAGTTATCCATTGCTACCCTTGAAAAGGTTTAGATGGAGTGATTTGTGCGTTATCACACGAGCTATCCTATATAGTATATTTCTCCGTGCAATCTCCACGGTCAATCTCAAACACCGTCCAAAAGATTCGGATTTGCAGTTCTCTCGACTAAAAGTGTTCAAACTCCGAAGCTAGAGACGGAGAGAGAGATGGAGGGTTGTTCCAGGATATTGCTCATTGCTCATTTTCGCTTTTCCCAGCGGACTGGGCGTATTGGCAGGCGTGTGTGTGTGATTGCTAGGATCTGATCGACACAGGGTTTGTATGCAGCCAAGAGAAAGGTGTAACATCGCATACGATCTCGACATATAATATATACGGTGCACACGATTAAATCGAGGACGGGTAAATACTTCAGGTTACACGATTCAGCTTGGTGAATAGGGCTGATTAGGGCAAATAATTTTCCCACTATTAGTTGGTGGCGTACAGGAATTGATTCGTCGATAAATGAATGTGAACCAGGAATCAACGAGTTATGAGCAATTAAATTGTGATATGTAACCATAGTACTAAGTACACCATACTCCATATATTGACCCGATCTCCTTTCAGGATCCCAGCAAATCTCCAAAACTGGGACGTGGACGTGGACGTGAAACTGTGACGTGCCGAATTCCCGCGTGCCGTGTCGCCCGAGTCGGGGGGAGCATTGAACACGGGATCACCGAGGCTGGCCGATTTTTGCACCTCGGCGAGAAACACACAACACACAAGCCAAGACCGAGAGGGGGGTCCGATATAATCCCAAATCACTAGCCCAATGATGTCTCCTGAACGAGAAACCTCAATAGTCGGGGGATTAGCTGGTTTAAGGTAACGTCGAGACATTCAATCCTGAACGGGTAGTAGTCTTGAAAGCACAGACACGCGGGGCTATACGAGGTACGTATGTTGCACTCTGTTAGTTATTGATTCCATGGGGTTCGAATTGGCTGTTCAATTCAAATAATACAGAGTGCTACGTAGCTAACTAGGAGGGTGAAAGAGAACCCCGGTGATAATCATAATCATTTCTCCAAGCTATGACCATCACCATCACCATGTCCCCGGGAAAACTCCAGAATACCTCCATAACGATAGCCGCCAATTCTGGAGATTACTCCGTACAATTGGGATATTTTTAATATATTCCATCTAGACTATGTTCAATTTCCATTCGAACACAAGTAGACAAGATATTTCTCGTTTCAAAAAAAAAAAAAAAAGACTTAAAGCTCTCCTGCAGGTGCGGGAGCCACATGAGACTATTCCTAAATCGGCTTTGGGGTGAGGTACCCCCGTGCACGGGGGGGATTGACTGTTCAACCCGCGTTTTTTTTTCCTTTTCTTTTATTTTATTTCTCCTCGGCCTTTGTTTCTCCATGGGCAATCAAATTCTGGGGTGACCAACGCTGAGATGGCTTGGCGAACCGAGTTTCGTACTTTGGTTTACTCTCGATATATTATTCAAACTTCACTAAAATCCATGGATACATACGCAATTGGGAGAAGTGAGAGTGACAAAAATTGGCAGTAGGGTCGTCAAGACGGGGGACCTCCGCGGACAGATAACAGTTTAGGTCAAAGGATGATAATAAAGTGAACCCTTGTCGGTGTGTGTGTGTGTGTGTGTGTGTGTGAAATGAGGAAGAAAATGACCGAAAAATGCCTCACGATCTGAGATCGGCAAAAGTCCTCGGAGACAAGTCCCAGTTCTGACCGTACGAGGTACGCGGAGCGAGGCGTACTATTATTATACACCGTATGTGGTAAGGTATACTTCCCGTAAGGAACGATTTTGGCAGGGCGATCATTCAGTGGGTCCCCACCGGTGAGGGTTTGATTCGGATGGTAGGAGCTCTTCTAAGCGTATTTGGGGACATTTGATTGCTGGATGGAGCTATGCCTCCATCGCACTACTCGCGCTACTGTAGGTACACGGCTGCGAGGTGAAAGCCAAGAACCGAGTTAGGATATTTGGTCAATACCTGACCAGTAGATATCGATAAAAGTAATGCCAATGTAATTACTGTGGATTCGGGATCTGGATTTAGATCATTTAGACGGGGAGGGAGATTAGGTTGTGTTGTTCTCATCGTCCCATGTAGTTGACATTTATATTTATATTTCATCCTTCCAACAATATACAGACTTCATTGTATTTCTTCTTAGGGCTATGTTGTATGTAGAACACGGCATGTCCAAGCCGAGTGTAATTTACAAGTTGGTACGTATTTTACATATTTCCATAAGAAATGTACCTGAGCTTAGCCGCGGTAATTAACTGACTCAGCTGTTTATAAGGACTGTGATTGGTGGGGAGACTGGGGTAATCTCGCTATTCGGACTTTACCCGAGTGGGAGGTTTCATTTTAGTATTCGTTTTCGGATACGGAGTATTTGCAATGTGGTGTGTGCGTAATAATAAGGAACAATTGGGTTAGTCTAACAAAGGCATAGCGAAAGCGGCATGATAAGAGTCATGACGTGATACTGTTATTCTTATCATCCACACTGTTTTGGTGCCGATATCCCGTCAAAACGATTTTAAAAAAAAAAATAAAAAAAGAAATTTAAAAAGAAATTTCACGCAGTACGGAGTAAGCTGCATTGCATCCATGGTACGGTGACCTCCAGGGAAGCCTTCTAGAAGACGTCCAGAACACCCTTAATCTATAACCACACGCACCGAACTTCCTGGGTCCACTCCGATGTTCCAAATGGAGATTGATCAACTCGGCACCGAAACCCCATTAGGGCCTCCAGTTTACAATATACTCTCCACGCAGCAGTTTTGATATCGGAGAAAACACGGCTTCACCGTGCTCACCGTCCTTTTACCATAGTTAAACAAGCCTCAATTTTTCCAACTTTGCCCCGGTCCGGTCCGGGGGCAATCCATCAACTCGGAAAAACGCAAAGAAATTATTTTGAGGCATTTTGTTGCATGACGCAGGAAAAAGACAACACGATCGGAAAAGCCCGTGCTTCTCGCCGTCAGCACACTGAATAACTATTGATCCTGCGGTACTTCCCCAGATCAACCCCTCTCCAAGCTAGACGGTATCAGCGGCACGATCGCCCGACAATGCGAGGAATGTCCGCTCCTCCTGTCTCTCCCGCTTGGGTATGTGGTATCGTGCTTCACGTGTAGAAAGGATTCCTGGCGGCTACGATTGAGCACATGTCCGACCGAGGAGAGATGTGGTATTGGCCACGAGCAAATGTAGATTAAATTGTGTAGTACGATGGGATTTAATTGTAGATACTTGTTGCTGCGGTAATTGTATCTGTGGTAGCATCCGATGGGATGGGAGATCGTGAAACATGTTCCCAGCCCCCAAAAAATCGCAGCCACATGCGGACATACCGTGAATCCCCGATTGTTATTAACAATCGAGTTGGCTATTACTCCGTATCTGTACGGAGTACGGAGTTCAAAGGATCAGTAATAATGACAGGCTACGGTGACTCCGGTCAATTTCTCCAAATCGAAATTGATTGTCGACTTGGTTATGACATGATATTTTGATATTGTGCACGTGTGCGTAGTATAATTTACCTCCTACGGAGACGGCTATTGTCCCACAGCATATGATCCACGGGTCGCGGCGTGGGGGAAAAGAAGAGAAAAGGGGCCATGAAAAAGATGGAAAAATTTCCTAATACAAACATATATTTGTACATAAGGAATTCTCGATGCTTCGACGGCCCCGTTCGAGCCATTTTTTCCATATTTAATTGGGGTTGAAAGAGAGAGCTCTCCACTTATGCGCCTCGGTTTTGGAGATTCTGAAAGGTCGTGGGCCCAACAGAATTTTCTATTTTTCTATTTTTTTAAAAAAAATCACAAGATACATCTGGCGCAAACTGATCCATCAAAGGAAAATTCGTTGCTATGTACAGTAACCTCCAGTGACCTCGGCGGCGCTGAGGACTGTCCATCCCCAGGATCGTGCACTTGCCAGCTGGGCTTGGCTGACGTGTGTTATTGAAAGGCTAAACGGCGAGAATCCCCCGGAGTGATCGTAACTCAATTGGACTTTTTTTCCCTCCTTTTTTTTTCCTTCTCGCACGGGGCTGCAGGAGGACGAAGCGTAAGCGTTGCATCGAATAGGGGCCAGTTGCGGATTTCAGACTCCACTCACGGCCGGCTTCCCGAAAGAGTTTGGGCTAAGAGCTATCTATCTTTTGTAGCTATTCCTTTGGCTGATATGGAAAGATCTGAGCCAGAGGGCTCCAGAGTGATGACAGCAGGTTAGAGAAAGTGGAAATTTGTATCTTTCAGGTCTCCTCTTTTTGTCGGAAAAGCAATAGCTCCTACGGCGTAAACTTCTATAGTGGAAGGTAATATTTATTCGATATATATTATCATGGCTAGACTCGGGAGCTCCATAATTACCGCTCGTTCAGTTGCCCGCAATTGGTTCGTATCGTGAACGGCACGCCTGCCGCGGAAAGCGCCTTCTGCTTGAAGTATATGTATGTACTCCGTACAAAGTACCCCCAAGGGACGGGAAGACCGACAGGGTTGTTTGAGTGATTATCGCAAGCCATCTACAACGTATAATCGATCGACAATAGCGCCTCCATATTGTACTATGTACGATGTATGGAGTAGACGAGAACGAGAGGGATTTGTCTAGATCGCATAGACTCGGGCATAATAGGATCTCATCTTTCCCGCGCCGTTGTTCACGGCGCGTGCACGATCAAGGGAAACCCCGGCCCTAAGAAGTTTCGTCTTCTGGGGAAGACTTTGCCAAGGGCACTCACCGGAAAGCCGGGGTGCGGGTGTATCCTTCAAAAGTCTGGGAAATTCGCCGACATACCGTGGGAGGATTGTGATTGACTGGAGTGACAGTCCTAACTGAGCATATACTTTTTGGGCTACAGTGTGATTCGAAGACGAGGTTTCCATCCAATCGCCTTCAGCCTTATTATGTTGTCTGCACCGAGAAGCTTGATGTGATCGATGGAAGGTTCGGTCGCGGATCATCGCCGATAATATGTGTCCAATGATCCCTAGGCTATGTCGAGGATTTGCCCGCACTCGAGCAACGAGGGTTTGGCATCGCGAACTAGGTTCCCTGTACGAAGTATATTGTCGGCGCAAAGGCATTTCTTTTTTCCCTTTTTGGTCATGCACACTGTCAGACGATCAATGGAGCTGTGTGCTGGCCGGGAGGGTAATAACAGTCTATCATAATTAAAACTACCAGTCTACATGAAGTAGCATCGAAATTAGCCTTGCTGATGCACTCCCATCTCGGGCAATTTCGCCATCTTTTACAACATAGACGAGCCAGAAAGATTGCCACTTGAGATATCATGAAGCATTCCAGCTGTATGAAGCAGGGATTACTTTGTACAGACCATATTCGAGTCAATGTTTGGAACAGCACCGGCGATCAAACAACGATGAAATCATCGGACGGCGTCTGCACCCGGTGATTTGATCGAAGCCGCCCGGTTATTACTAGGCGTTAGTGGGTGGGGGCTTTCACGGCCATGTCGACCAGTGAGGAGCACCGAATTAAATGACGCTCCTGGGGACTCTTTCCACGAGGGCAAGGATCGACTTGTGGGCAGAAGTACGAAGGAGGCAGCTTCAGCGAGGGCGGTGGAAATAAAAGACAAAGTGCGTATTGATACGAGAGTTGAACGAGATCCCGGGAACATATTAGCTAACAGATGAGGTAACAGATGACATAATGGTAAATAAAGGTAAATAATTGTATTTTACTGGTAACAAGGTACTCCGTAATCTTTGCTGGCTCGGCATGCTTCCAATAGCATTGGCATACATATCAATAAAAATCAAAACCTGTCAACCGCTTCCGGACCCCTTGCTATGTTTAAAATGGGTTGGGTGTGACGGCCATGCGATACTGTCGTCACCGTAGTCACTGTGGCATTTTTGTTACTTCACTTTGGTGTAAAAGCCGGACTCGGTCGAGGGAAAAGTGAAGTATATGTACGGAGGATCAAGAGGACATCTGGTAAAATGAAAGCGTGCCTGTATTAATACAATATAACTAGACTGGTTATCTTAGGACTATCTTAGGACTATCTCGGACCATGTCGCTGAATATAGGAACATTCTCCTGCAAGGGCATTCCTGTCTATTCCCTTTTATTTTTTTGGCCATGACCGTGTGAATTCTCCGTTTAAGGTCCTGCCAACCAACTAATTGCAAATCGAAATACAATATACATCAGACTCGCAGTGCCAATTCCATTAGTTTATTTTATTTTATGTCTTGGGGTCTCGGGACACAGTAAGGATCCAAATGACCCCAGACACAAAAATCGCGCATAGTTAGAACTGGGGCAACATCGGCTAAGGCATAGAAACTTGTGTAAAATTTATGTACTCCGTACCAATTCATACGAATGTGATGTCTGTGGAGGCCAACTCGGCAGCTCAGTGCCGGTAGCAGAGACCTCTAGAGGGAGAGTGGTATCGGTATCAGGTATTTTCATTGTTTTGATACTAACCCGAACGCAGCCATGGATCCACTCCTTGTACTGTACCTTGGACATGACTGGCTGTAGACGGGTATCCGGTTGGAGCTTTTTCAGTAGGGCAAGGGGTAAAGTTTGGTATCAACGAGGAAAACAAGACAGGAGTAAACTACAAAGGGAAGGAAAAATGGAAATAAAAAACGAAAAATACACCTAAAAGTCAAAATCATCCCAAAAGGAATGATTGAGGAGCGATCAAAGAGTACCTAGCTTATACCTTCCCCAGCAACCATTGTCAGAAGTATTTCCCTTCCCCCCTCAACTTGACAAACACGGGATTTCAGGCAAAATACGCAAAATACCTTTCTTTCCTCGTTTTATTTATTTATTTTAAAATTTAATTATTTAATTATTTTTTTCTTTTCAATTCCGGAATTTCAATTTTCAATTTTCAATTTTATTTTATTTTTTTTATTTCCCTCACTCTTTTCTCTCATTATCCACCTACCCACTCCGTTCCCTCTTTTTGACGACCCCCCGGTAATCCATTATAAAACAGACCTTCCTTCACTCATCTTGTTTTTCTCTTTTCCTCTCTTTACATAGGATCTGTTCCGACTCTGTCATATTGTCATTTCGTTGTTTTCACTCATATCGTTGGGTTCCAAGGCTGTGTGAGCCGAATCAACAACAATGGCGGAGCGGAGAATTTCCTATGCTGTTGACGTCGAAAATGGTGAGCGTCACACCCGTGAGGCTGGTGATGAGGGCAATCTCGACGAGTACTCTGCTCTCAACCGCTACATCTCGACTGCTCAGGCCAACCGTCGTGCCTCTACTTCCAGCGCTGGTGCTCTGAGCACTGGCTCTGAGAAGAAGAAGCCCTGGTGGAAGTTCGGTGGTGCTGCTGCTGGTGGTGTCGAGGATGGTTTCGTTACTCCCGATGAGTGGCTCGAGACCGACCTTCGCAGTGGTCTTAGCTCTGCCGACATTGAGCCTCGTCGCAAGAAGACCGGCTGGAACGAGCTGGTTACCGAGAAGCACAACATCTTCCTTCAGTTCATTGGTTACTTCCGTGGTCCTATTCTCTATGGTAAGTGGCCTCGACATCCGTCTCAATTGACGCGTCTTGTGCCAATTGGTTACTAACACGCCTCTTTTTTTAGTTATGGAACTTGCTGTCCTCCTCGCTGCCGGTCTGCGCTCGTGGATCGATCTCGGTGTTATCTGTGGTATTCTTTTGCTTAACGCTCTCGTCGGTTGGTACCAGGAGAAGCAGGCTGCCGATGTCGTTGCTTCTCTCAAGGGTGATATCGCTATGCGTGCTATCGTTGTCCGTAACGGCCAGGAGGAGGAGATTCTCGCCCGTGAGCTCGTTGCTGGTGATATTGTTATCGTCGAGGAGGGTACCGTTATCCCTGCCGATGTCCGCCTGATCTGTGACTACTCTAAGCCCGAGATGTTCGACAACTACAAGGAGTACCTCGCCAACGCCACTTCCGACGACCTCAAGGAGAAGCACGGTGATGATGATGAGGATGAGGGTGAGACCCACCAGGGTGTCTCTCTCATTGCTTGTGATCAGTCCGCTATCACTGGTGAATCTCTCGCTGTCGACAAGTACATGGCTGATGTCTGTTACTACACCACTGGTTGCAAGCGTGGCAAGGCCTACGGTATTGTCACCGCTACTGCCCGTCACTCTTTCGTCGGTAAGACTGCCGCCCTTGTCCAGGGTGCCCAGGACTCCGGTCACTTCAAGGCTGTCATGGACAACATCGGTACCTCCCTGCTCGTTCTCGTCATGTTCTGGATTCTCGCCGCCTGGATTGGTGGTTTCTTCCGTCACTTGAAGATCGCTACCCCCGAGGACACCGACAACAACCTGCTCCACTACACCCTGATTCTTCTGATTATCGGTGTTCCCGTCGGTCTCCCCGTTGTCACTACCACCACCCTCGCTGTCGGTGCCGCCTATCTCGCCGAGCAGAAGGCTATCGTCCAGAAGCTCACTGCCATCGAGTCCCTCGCTGGTGTCGACATTCTCTGCTCTGACAAGACTGGTACTCTCACTGCCAACCAGCTCTCCATCCGTGAGCCCTACGTCTCTGAGGGTGTTGATGTCAACTGGATGATGGCCGTCGCTGCTATTGCCTCTTCCCACAACATCAAGAACCTGGACCCCATCGATAAGGTCACCGTCCTGACCCTCCGTCGTTACCCCAAGGCTCGTGAGATCCTCTCCCGCAACTGGATCACCGAGAAGTACACTCCTTTCGATCCCGTCTCCAAGCGTATCACCACTGTCTGTACCTGCGACGGTGTCCGTTACATTTGTGCCAAGGGTGCCCCCAAGGCTATCCTCAACATGTCCGACTGCTCCCAGGAGGAGGCTGTCCTCTACCGTGAGAAGGTCACTGAGTTCGCTCGCCGTGGTTTCCGTTCCCTTGGTGTCGCCGTCCAGAAGGAGGGTGAGCCCTGGCAGCTTCTGGGCATGTACCCCATGTTCGATCCCCCCCGTGAGGATACCGCCCACACCATCGCTGAGGCCCAGGTTCTCGGTCTCTCCGTCAAGATGCTTACTGGTGATGCTATCTCCATCGCTAAGGAGACTTGTAAGATGCTTGCCCTCGGTACCAAGGTTTACAACTCTGAGCGTCTGATCCACGGTGGTCTCGCTGGTTCCGCCCAGCACGACCTTGTCGAGAAGGCTGATGGTTTCGCTGAGGTGTTCCCCGAGCACAAGTACCAGGTCGTCGAGATGCTCCAACAGCGTGGTCACTTGACTGCCATGACTGGTGACGGTGTTAACGATGCTCCTTCTCTCAAGAAGGCCGATTGTGGTATCGCTGTCGAGGGTTCCACTGAGGCTGCCCAGGCTGCCGCCGATATTGTCTTCCTCGCCCCCGGTCTCTCTACCATTGTCGATGCTATTAAGCTTGCCCGCCAGATTTTCCAGCGTATGAAGGCTTACATCCAGTACCGTATTGCCCTGTGTCTCCACCTCGAGATCTACCTGGTTACCTCCATGATCATCATCAACGAGACTGTCGACTCTTCCCTGATTGTCTTCATCGCCTTGTTCGCTGATCTCGCCACCATCGCCGTTGCTTACGATAACGCTCACTTCGAAGCCCGCCCCGTCGAGTGGCAGCTGCCTAAGATCTGGGTTATCTCCGTCGTTCTTGGAATCCTTCTCGCTGTCGCTACCTGGATTATCCGTGCCACTCTTTTCCTCGAGAACGGTGGTATCATCCAGAACTTCGGTTCTCCCCAGGAGATTCTCTTCCTCGAGATTGCTCTGACTGAGAACTGGCTCATCTTCGTTACCCGCGGTGGAAAGACCTGGCCCTCGTGGCAGTTGGTTATTGCCATCTTCATCGTCGATGTCCTCGCCACCCTGTTCTGTGTCTTCGGCTGGCTCGCACCCGAATGGGAGCAGACCTCTCCCCGTACCCCCGGTGGTCCTGGCTTCTCCAAGAACGAAGATGTCGACATTGTCACTGTCGTTGTCATCTGGGCCTACTCCATCGGTGTGACTGTCATCATCGCCGTTGTGTACTACCTCCTGACCATCGTTCCCGGTCTCGACAACCTTGGCCGCAAGACCCGCTCCAAGGCTGACACCAAGATCGAGAACATGATCGCTCACCTTTCCAAGCTTGCTATCGAGCTGGAGCACGACTCGGAAGGAAAGACTCGTTACACCCTCGGTGCCCGCGCCGAGGAGATCGAGGACAACGAGTAAATGCTCGTTTCTTAGCCTTTTTTTTTTGCAACTCGTTACTGATTCGAGGTCTAATTTCTTTTTATCTCCCTGCGATTACCCGCAAATTTTGCCGTGCCACCTACTTGAACATGCATGCCGTGGGAGTATGAAAAGCCGAGTTCCGACTTTTTTTTGCTTCCTTTTACCCGTATTATAGACTTTGTGTGTTTCATTTACCCCCCTGGCTGTGGTTTGCTTTCGAGTTGCTAGAGTCATGTTTTTATTCTCTACGTGTATGTATGTCGTTAATAGTGGCACTTAGTCAATCTAAGGGATTCTAATCATTTTTGTTCTTTGTAATTTCAATTGTAGTCATATAACATTCCTTATTGGTCTTTCTTTATTCTTGTTTATTCCTGCTCACCATTGTTGATCTACTTTTACTGTCCTGTCTCTTGCCCAACGCTCACAGGTGGAAGCCAATTCTCCGTCCCCATACCTTTTTTCCCCGGACGAATTTCCATTTCGTGGAGACAAGCTTTCCCCGTGAAATCCCCCTCTCTCCCCAGTACTATGTATGCACCAAAATATAGAGAAATACCACTATCTTGGCATTAGTCTTTGCTCCCGCAGGAATCTTCTAAATTTTCCGTCTCATGCCGCAACTGGCTGTGATTTCTATACCCCCCCTCTCTCCAAATGTCCTATAAAAGAACAGTAAAGCCCCCCCCGTAGACCACGCCCATCGCAATTGAGCAATCACCCACACCCACGCAACTGCGATGCTTCCATCCATCCTCCCCTTACTGTGTCTCCTCCTACACACCGTAGGAGCCAACAGCATCGCCATCCACCCAATTTCCCGACAAACCTGCCAATCAACCGGAACCCACTGTCCGCCAGGAACCCTAATCGTCAGCGCAACCTCCAAAAACGCCTCTCACAAAACCATCCAATCCGCCATAAACTCCCTCCCGGACGACGCAACCCCGCAAACAATCCTCATCCTAGAAGGAACCTACAAAGAACAAGTAAACATAACCCGCTCGGCCCCAATAACCCTACTGGGCCAAACAACCTCCCCCAAAGACGCAACCCGAAACCGCGTGCGCCTCACCTGGGCCGCGGGGAACAGAGACAGCACCGGCAGCATCGACAATGTCTTCTCCAGCGTGCTGGTTGTAGCACCCACGCTCGAATCGAGTCTCACGGGCTCCGGACCAACGGGGTATCCCGTGCCCGCCGATACGCCGTTCGGGAATAAGAACTTCCGCGTGTATAATGTCGACTTTGATAATACTTGGGCAGAATACTCGGATGGGCCGGCGCATGCGCTGAGTCTTAGTCGGGCTAATGGGGGGTTCTATCATTGTGGGTTTTATTCGTATCAGGATACTGTATGTTCTCTCCGACTATTCTATTCTCTCGGTCTCAAATACAAACCATAACCACTAACGACTAACTAACTAACAACTCTACAGGTGTACATAGGCAAGCTCGGAAACGCTTACTTCTACCAAAGCATCCTAGCCGGCCAAACAGACTTCCTCTACGGCTTCGGCACAGCCTGGATCCAATCCAGCGCCCTGCAACTCCGCGGCTGTGGGGGTGGTATAACCGCCTGGAAAGGGACGAACACAACAACACCGAACAAGTACGGCGTGTACATTGTTGACTCGAGCGTGCGTGCGGCGAACACCTCCGTCGCGGCTGATATCAAGGGCTCGTGTGCGCTCGGCCGGCCGTGGAATAGTCAGCACCGCTCGATCTTTGCGCGCTCTTATGAGGACGGTAGTATTGATGCGCGGGGGTATGTTGATTGGGTCATTGATGGTGTTGGGAGGTTCGAGAAGGGCGTTACGCTTATGGCGGAGTATCGGGTTTTTGGACCTGGGGTTAATGAGACTGCTCGTGTTGAGGGCGGTGTTACTTCTGTTCTTGGATCGGAGGAGTTTGAGACGTATAGTACTCCACAGAAGGTTTTTGGAGATACGAAGTGGGTTGATTGGGAGGTTGTTAAGGGGAACTAAAGTAAGATTCTCGTATAAACATTACTAAATAGCTAGTATTTCATGCACCACTCCTATGCACGATGAACATGATGAAAATATTAGTTAGAGACGGCAATGAGAAGATAGATGTAGATCTATGAAAAAAGAGCAGATCTTCGAACATTAGGATACACGTATGTGTATAAAAGAAAAAAAAAAAGTATATAAATAAAACTCCATAAGGAGGACAGTGGGTATCATATGCGCTCTAATCAAACATGCTACAAATGCACGGGCGTCCACTCCTGTCCGGGGTAGGACGTGGGGGACATGAAGATCTCCTCGCTGGAGTCGTCCGCGGTGATGGCAAGCTCTACTGGCTGAGGCGGGTCGTTGACGATACGAGCCTCGCTCTCACATCGATGAGGATGGGTGGATATCGCGGAGGCGTTGGAAACGGCGATATTGCGGGTTGCATTGTTCCCATAGGCTTGGGATGTCGAGTCCGAATTCACTGGCTTTCGGGATCGAATGCTGAGCTGAGGAGCTAGACTTTGTTGCTTGAGATCGCCTTGTAATTGGTGTTGTTGTCCGGGGTGGTTCTGTTTGTTTGTTGGGGCCCCGGGTGTTTCCCCATATAGTTCGTGTCGAAGGCGCTCCCCGTGCCTGCGATCTTGGTGTTCCTCCTGTTCCTCCTGTTCCTCCTGTTCCTCCTGTTCCTCCTGTTCCTCCTGTTCCTCCTGTTCCTCCTGTTCCTCCTGTTCCTCCTGTTCCTCCTGTTCCTCCTGTTCCTGGGTCTCGCTCAGTGTGCCTAGCTGCGAGTCCTGGTTTTGGTCTTGTTGGGTTTCTTGCTTGCGCAACTTCTCTTCCTGTATCTGATTGCCTCGTAACTCCTCCAGCGGCGATAGTGGATGTGCAGCTCTATTCTCGGGGAATGACCCGGGAGACGGGGACCGGGAATGACTTGGGAGAGGCTGGCTGAGATGGCGAGAGCTGGTGGGGGTTTTATTGTTGGATCCGGACTGAAACTGCGAATAAAATCGACCAGGCGCCAGGGAGTTGGATGACGAACTGGATGGGAGTGATATACTGGCACGTTGACGATCATCGCGCGGTATAAGGTTTGCGTCGCTCGGTGGTGGCGGTGGAGGTGCGCTGGGGTGGGTTGGCAAAAGCTTTTGTTCAAACGGATTGCTGAGGGCCGGCGGTGCATCTTGTGCAGCGAAGCGAGTATTTATACTTCCATTGGTCGACGGGCGTTTCGGCAGATATTTGCTCTGCAGCTGTTCTGACACAGCCCTTGTGTGGTTGGTCGGTTTTCTCTCAGAGTCTTGAGCGTCTTGCCGGCCAAATAGCACCTGTTTAAGTTAGAAAAAGAAACTAAAAGAACAGCCTAGACTTGACTTACACTAATCCTGCTGAATGTTCGTTTCTGCTGACCTGCCGGGGGCCCCTGAAGCCCCTGAGTTTGAATACCAGAGAGAAGGTCTCCCATCGAAGTGCGTCGTCGTCTCCCGAACTCCTTGAGTCTTCCAATAGTCGACTCCCCATTCTCCGCGGGAGACCCGGATTCCGAAGGCTCCGAAAGACCATTAGCAGGCGTGGACGGGCGAGTCCCTTTGCCATTGGTGCTCTGCTTTCCGAAGCTACCAAAGCTCAGCATGCTGCTTCGGGTTCCCGGCGAGTACCTGACTTCGTTTCTCAAGGGGCTACGAAAATCTGGAGCAGATGGAGGTAGGCCGCTGATCGATTTTCTTTTGGATTCGAGGATCTCGGCAGAGCTTGTAAACTCTGACGACCCTGATGGATAGAAAGGTATGAAAGACCTCCTTCTCTTCCCTCGAGCAGATGAGTGGGAGCTACCAGGAGGGTCATCCATAGAATTTTCAGCCTTGTTTTCACACCGTGGTTCTGGTGCTATCTCGTTTGCTGTCTCTTGCAAAGGAGAAGGAGGTTCCCTGTCGAGATCCTCATTCGACGTACGTCCGGGTTGCTCATCAGCTCCGAGTGTTGAGACAGATAGATGGTATCTAACTTCCTGGCGAGGTGCAAGCCCATCATTAGTATCCTTGGGAGGAGGCGAAGGAGGTTTAGGGCTTTCGTCAAGCACTGGACGGATTGACGGAGTAACGATCTCCGGTGTAGACTTGCTTGGCCGATGTCTCTGGCTGTTGCTAATCGGAAAAGGGACGTGGAAAGGTTCATCAGGAATGACTGGTAGACTCTTTTTTACGACGGAAGCTTTGTTCGCCGGCACTTCAGCATCGGATTGATTGCCAGTCGTGCTTTCTCCCGGTTGTGGCAGTGGCTCTGTAAATTGCCGTTTCCCGCCATTTACCTGGCCGAACGCATTCAACGCCATCGGGGTACTTGCGGCCCTTTGAGGATGAGGACCCGTGGGCGAAAGACCTAGCGCAGCTATCATCTCCTGCTCCAAATCTCCAGCTAAGGCGGACTTCCCCGGAACTTTAGGTTTAGGAGGGATACCGTTGGGAACTGACAGTCGCTTTGGTTGCACAGTTGTTTCGCCAACACGGTTGTGCGACAGGTCGTCATTCCCCGATTTGGTCGCCTTGACGGGTTTGCGGGCATTTTGTTCATCCTGTGGATGATCTAGACAGAAACGGACCCCCGGTGGATCAGGATCAGAGTTGAGCCCCGTTCGCTCGGATTTGAAGATGGGCAGGCTGCCAAAGTTGACAGAGTTTCGTAGAGAAGAGCTACCTGATGCTTCACCAGACCCTGAAGGGAATGAGAACTGAAAGCTGCGGCGAGAAGCAGTTTGAGTTGACTGAACCTACAACATTACCAACATCAGAATATAAACAAATAAGGGCGGGGTGTTAGATTGTAGAAAAATGGCGGGTGCATCAATCATGTCTCATTCTAGAGCTCAATGCCAAAAAGAAGTGCTCGGAATTACATCGTGGTATCCAGATAAGTGAAGCAATGCAGCGATATCAAAGGGAAACATTAAAGCGACGGCCTGTACCGTGCTTACCCAACTCGCTCAGACGAAGAAAAATCAGATATCTACCTTCTCAGAGCCTCCACTGGGTCGGAACCTGCTTCTGCCCTTGGCAAACAATCCCTTGGCTGCCCCAGTTGCCTTGCCACTAAACGCTCCCGCAGTATGGAGGAGCTCCTTTCCTTTCTCCCCGACTTTATCCTTGTTCATCACGGTACCGATATGGCCCGACGGGCGTCTGATGTGAGTGGCGCCGGTCGGAGTACCGTCATTCAAGGAACCGAGGTTTGAAAGAGCGCCCAACTTTGGGAATCTGCTGCGGGAGGGATCTGATGGTGGTGGCACGGTAGGGGAGAGATTCTGGCTCTGTCGGACTACGTCGGCATGCTCGGGGTGATCGTGAACAGTGAACTGTAGCCAATGATTCAAACCGGTGTCAATGGTGGCGAATTGATCGCGGGTGTGCTCGAAAGACTTGATACGCTGGTTGATAGAGGTGATACCAAGAATGTCACGGAAGCCCAAAAGTTTAGACTCATCAAGAGATGTGCTGCCGGCGTTGGAAGTCACTTGAAGTTGTGGAGGTGGCGTAGCCCCTGGTCCCATAACTTGCTCCGGTGGTGTAAGGTTCTCTGGGATAGGTGGAACAATCGAAAGTCGAGGTCTTTCCACAGCACGCTGGGTAGTGGACCTTTCATCTTCAGAAGCAATCGGGTCGTGCGACACCTCCGACACCAATGGGGCAGTCTCCTCACGTATAGGCTCAGGCTCTTGCATAGATAACGATGTGGCTAAAGGAGGGGGCGATGAATAGCTGCCAGGCATTTGATGCGGCTCTGGTTCTGACGAATCAGAAGATTCCCATGAGAACCGTCTTTCTAACTTGGGCTTCTTTGGCTGACCAATGGTTGTGGATGAAGAGTTCCCGGCCGCACCTTGACTGGTCGCATAAGGGTCTTGAGACACCAAAGGAGGCGGGCTAGTCCAGTCTGGGTGGCTTTCAGAAAGAATAGCCTGGTGCGGGACGGACTGTGCGGGTTCCTGCGACTGAGGTTGGTTGCTGGGCTCCGGGTCGTCCATGGGGGTGGTTTCCCGGCTTAATGACCGGATAATCTCTTCCCTCAAACGATCATTGTCGGCATTTTGTGGTGATTCTTCGGCTCCCATGATGGTGGGTATTTCGCCATGGAAGGAATCAGAGCCTGAAGCGCTTCCGAATTTGAGAGGGGCAGGCATATCCTGCCCATTGTTCGCGTATGGTTGCATCGATGATTTTTGGGGAGAGATTCCCGCATCAGATGATTCTGGTGAGAAATTCTGGAGTAGAGGAATGGAGGACAATTCTGCACGGCCTGCCGTTGGGGTGTCCTGGTCTGTGACTTGTGGTTTCCTTGAAGGACTGTTGTCCGAACTAGGAAGGCTCAGGTCCCGGCGATGACCAGGGTTAAACGCTGGGACCGCATTCGTGGCTGCCTTCGGAGTGCTTGACTCATTAGGCTCCTCGAGAATGGTGGGTGTTCTTTCATCAGTAATAGTACGAGCACCCATGATAGGGCTGATTGTCGAAGTGCCATCACTGTTCGACCGCGCGACACTAGTGGTAGTGGATTGTGGAGTTTCCGGGACATCGAAGGCCTGATTCACTACCGATCTGAACCCCGTCGAGGGGTTGTGGTGCAATGAGGGTTCCTGAGCTGCAGGGCTATCCTTTGGCGGGTTGGAGTCTGCACCACCCAAGAAATCGGCACCAAAGCTCGACATGCGCTTGACTTCCGGTAGACCCAAATCAGGGCTCTGTTGATTTGTTTGAGGTGGAGCTCCAAACCCGTCAGGCTTGGGATCATTGCCACCAGGGATAGGAGACTGCTGTGTCGCTTTCTCCTCGCGCATCCGTTTATAGAGGTCGGCCGGCCTTACAAAGGGAAGGGGCTTCTGGTCCCCTCCACTACCACTAAGGCTTCTACCTTTGCCATCAGCCAAATGCGGCTCACCGGCTCCGGCTCCGGCTCCGGCTCCGATGCCAGACAAACGTCTCGAGGACAACTCGGAGGAACTGGCAGTGTTGTGGGTAGCATAGGGAGGCCGAATTACTGCGGGAGGTACCTCCTCTTCCTCCTCTTCCTCGTCGTCACTACCCCAGTCACCTCCATCATATGAATATTGTTTCGCTTCCACCCAGCGTTTTGTTTTGGAGCGATTCACGTTTGTTTGGAATGAGATCGGGGTTCCGCTGCCGCTGCCTGACGAGAGCGGACTGCGAACATTTGGCGGACGAACATTTGGCGGGGAAGGGCTAAAGCAGGTCTCAGTATTTGTGCGACTAGATATGCGACTGAGTCTGTATGGATAGACTTACAGTTTTGGGGCTCCGCCACCTTGCGATTCTTGCGATTGGGTAGGGTCTGCCATCAGGGGAACAGGATCAAAAGGACCGAGGCAAGCTCGATTACCAGCATCGACTATTGCGTTTGGTGATCTCGGAGTTGGCACGAGAGCAAAGTTGTAAGGGTTAAATGGAAATAAATGAGAATGTGAATAGTACTGTTCCCTTTAAAGATAGTTGTGTATGGGGGAAGGACGAAGGTGGCAATTTGGGCGAAGTTGGGCAAGGCACCGATCAAATGGGTTGAGATAATTGGGAGGAAACAATAATTAGTGTACGTGTACAAGATTGGTGTACAAGAATGATGTGTATTCACAGAAGAATACAAGAATATCAAGTCAGCTACTCTGTATATCAAGAGATCATAAAGTGAATGAATGTATTAGAATCATAAAATAAGCTACTCCGTAGATTCTCCCCTGATCGACTAAATTTAGGCGGTGCGGGGCTTATGTAAGGGCACGTTTCAGTTGTTACGTGGACCAACGGGGTAAATTTAGATACGTTGACCTTGAACTTGCTTGATCTTGAACTTGACCTTTCATCCTTCTGACTTGAACTATACGGAGTATATCGTACGGAGTATATCCAGTCTCTTTGTTTTTGTTTCAGAATTTAATCCCAAGTCACCCTGTACCCTCTCGGAGCTCTCTCTGCAACCGGACACTTCTTCAACCTCGCCCCCCCCTTATCGATTGCAGATAGAAATCACACTTCAGTGTCCAAGACCGAATTCGGCCTCTGTCGACCTTAGTTTACATTTGGTTCTCCATACTGGTCCTACTTGAAAGACTATAGCTACTTGTCTCCCATCCTCGATTCACATACCTTCACATCGCAAAATGACCGGCCCGTCGATACAAGACCGGACCAGCGAGTTCAGCGCTATCTTGGGTCACGCCCAGAAGCGTCTAGGAACTTCAAAAGTTGGTTCACAACGCCAGGCCCTGTTGACTGATGCGCAAAAGCGACAGGCCGATGCGTCGCCCCAGGGTGCCGCACAGGAGAAGGCGGCAAGATCGGAGTTCGCGCGGCGGGCGCGAGATATCGGAAGGGGGATTACTGGAACAATGGCAAAATTGCAACGATTGGCTGAATGTGAGTATTGTCACATTGGTAAAGATTTCAGCAATCTAACCAGGAAACAGTGGCGAAGCGGAAAACACTCTTCGACGACCGACCTGTCGAAATCTCCGAATTGACATACGTGATTAAACAAGACCTAGCCGCCCTGAACCAAAACATTGCCTCGCTACAGGCTCTCACCCATGCGCAACACCCCAAATCGAATCGTTCAAAGACAGACCAGGAAGGGGAACACAATGATAATGTGAGTGAGACATGCACTGTCGCGCGCGGACAAAGTCGCTGATTACCCATTACAGGTTGTTGTCATGCTGCAGGGAAAGCTGGCCGATGTAGGTGCCAGTTTCAAAGAGGTGCTCGAAGTCCGGACGAAGAATATTCAAGCATCCCGAACTCGAACCGAGAACTTCGTTTCATCGGTATCTTCCAAATCACACAGCGCCCTCGACGCACAGCGCTCAGACTCGCCTTTGTATAACACCTCGGGACGACGAACCCCCCAGCCTGGATATCAAGGCAACTCCTCCGACCTTTTGACCCTCGAGCCCTCAAACCCTTCGCCGTTAGGACGTCCATCATTCCAATCAGACCAACAGTTGATGGTAATGGAAGAAGGAGAATCAAGTAACACATATGTTCAAGCTCGAGGCGAAGCCATCGAAGCCATTGAGCGAACCATTAGTGAATTAGGTGGTATTTTTGGTCAGCTGGCGCAGATGGTCAGCGAGCAGTCAGAAATGATCCAGCGCATAGATGCCAATACCGAAGATGTCGTCGACAACGTTGAGGGAGCGCAGAGAGAACTAATGAAATATTGGACGCGCGTCTCCGGGAATCGCTGGCTAATCGCCAAAATGTTTGGTATTCTGATGGTATGTTCACTAATGTTGAATTTCCTGCCTGCACATCCAACTAATGACCGTTATAGATCTTCTTCCTTCTCTGGGTCTTGATTTCGTGATAGACATGAAATCCGTTCCTTTCTCAATGTTTATTCATACTGTATTATAATACCTAGCCGGTGTGCTTTCGACAGATCATGGCCCTTCTGCATATCCGCACTCGCTGAGCATTTCCCTTTTTTTTGAATTCTGGCTAGACTCTGGGATGTCTAAACCATCACGCTCTCTATCTTCCTTTTCATTTTTCATTTTTCCCCAGTGCTTTTTGCTCTTTGTTGCTTGGGACTGTGTCCTCAAGAGTCACCTGCGTAAATACACCTCATGTACTATTCGAATTCAATGAACCGAGATCATGGGATACCCATGAACCACTTTAGAAACACCTCCAAGCTAGTATTCTATTCTAATTTCACGAATCAAACTGCGACATCACATTCCATAGTTCTGAATCTGCCCACCCTAACGACGGCTGATTATCGAACAAATCCCACACAAGACTGTCATCCCATCCCTCCACAGACGGTGGAGCAGTAGGACCTCCTCCAGTGGAATCTGTACTCCCAAGACTGACCAAAGCCTGATCGGCATTTGCAGCACGGCCAAGTATATCTGTGTGGGATGCCACCTGGCCCTCGGTGATTCCAGCCGTGTGCGCATCAGAGAGTGCAGCTGCTGGCTGTTCTGAACGGGAAGGTTTGGGATTCCCTTTCACCAAAGGTGCACATAGGTCTAGGAATTTGGAGAATAGCTTGTACAATTTACCAATTGAGGCATTCGCCTCTGCGAATTGGCGTAGGTCGTCAGTGATGTTTTTGATCATATGGAAGTCTCTCTCGTTTGATGTTGCGATCACATTGCAAAACAGGACAAAGAATGGTGCTAACGGGAATAGCAGCATTGTCCTATTGAAGGGTCATTAATTTTCACTGTGCAAGGTAAATATGTGTTAAAGGATGACTGAGATGTCTGTATCATACCAGGTAAGAAAGTGTGGATATGAGTCAATGGAATTGGTGTGGGTGGAGAATGCTTCCTGTAAACCTCGGAGAGTGATGAGAGCTTCTCGGGCTGAGTATAGACAGTTCTCGCAAACCAAGCGGGACTTGAGTACCGAGGAGCGGGCTTGGATAATTGTCGTGAGAACGGAGTAGTAGTTGAAGTCCATTGATGGCCATTCGCGCACAATTTGCCGCCATAATTCTGGGGATTGCTCTTCTTGGCGACGACGAAACTTGAAGGAAGTTGGATTAGCGGTTGTTTGCTGGCGGATGCTCGATCTCTCTTACCATTTGCATACTGGAGTGAATTATGTGTGCTCGCGCCACAAGATCAGACAGTATATTGGCCTTCTCGGTGTCTCCTATTGTCTTCTTCGTATCAAGCAAGACGTTCAGTAGATCACCTTTCAACTCTGAATACTCGACTATGCCTTTTATCATGGCAGATGTTGGCAGGTCAGGGTCAAGGTGGACTAATTGAGTTGGTCTAACTTTCAGATCCGGTAGAGACGATGGTCGGAGGAGCAGCAGACTGAGGGTTTTGTCAAAGAAATAGCATGTGTACACACAGTCATGAATATTTTCCTCTATCTCAGTTCGAGGAATGGTATCTGTGATGTTGTGGTAGTTTAAGGAAACGATTATCATGGAAGCTTGTGATGTCAACATCCAGCTGCGTGTCATGTTTCCTAAATACCGCATCAAACGGGCCTGCCGCGAGTCAGAAAAAAAGTCGATATATATGGAGCCACACGAAAAGGACAAAAGGAACACACCGCAGACAGAATGGATTGAAGTAAAAGAAGGCTAGGTTCAGCTGCCAGCGGAATTTGATTCAAAATTTCGACGGCAGCGGCTTCATATCTCTTTTTGAGTGACCGAAAATGATCCCTCAAACGTTCGCTGGTGAGCAGAGGGGCCATTTTTGATATAAATCCCATGGCCTTTACCCAGACATTGATTCGATAATGCTGGAGCACTTGCTCACATTCTGTGCCCTCGATAATTGCAAGCCCCATTTGCTCTAGAACTTTGTCGGAGATATGATCAGGCCAGTTAATTGTTCCCTGGGAGTTTGTTCTCTTATCGTGCCCTAGGTATACAATCAGCATTGCTCACATCTGCCCGACTGTTAGTGACTTACCAGGTAGCATCATAAAGAGTAATTCCGGTGTAAGAGTAGGGGATTCTAGGTTTTCTTGAACATCCATATCATGCACAGCCGCAGTCTCCTCGAAGTTTAACGTCGGATTGGATAGCTGACTGACGAACTTGCGCGCTGATTCAAGTGCAGTTCGTCTATCTTTTGATAGAGCCTGGTTGCATTTAAGTTCATGCTCAATGTATTCTCTAGCCTCACAAGCATGATGTGTTGAGCTAGGAGAATGTGTCTGGTGAACATTTTGTTGCGCCACAGTCTGAGACTTGCGGTGCTTGCTTAGTGGTGGCAGCAGGGGAGCCGTATCATGGAGATCATATGCTCGATATCGCTTCTGCTTGTCATTGAGCACTTCCGTAATACTTGCCCGGTTAGCCGAAGGCGACGAAGAGGTGCTGCTAGCGGCGTGATGCCTTGCTGGAAAGTATGCTGCCTCTTTATTGGTTGACTCTTCTAACTTCGCTAATCTTTGGGTCAATGTTTCCAATCTCGGAAATGTCAGCTGTTGAGTCTGAAGACGTGCAATTCACATTGCACGTACCGAGAGACACGCGGTCTATGAACTCGTGCATGGCGATTGCGAAGACATTCTGCGCCTGCATCGGTGCAGTTCATACAAGGATCCTGGCGATCGCATTTCACCTACAACGACTGAAGATGAGCCCCGGGACATCAAACGATCGAATGCGAGAAATGAATGAAAGGTCATACCTTTCGAGTATGACATAAATCGCACTGATAACTGATTAGTTGTGCTACATATTTCAGAAACTGTGTATGCCTTTCGCATTGCCTTTATTCCAGAAAACTTACCGCAGACATATTCGGAATTTGGAACGGAATTTCGGAATCAAAGCAGATTCATTCCTGGGAAAAGTCCAAGTAGCTCTGGAGGAGCCTGGTTGAAGTCTTGGGTTGTCGCCCGAAATGCCGGGAACCGACCGAAAGCGGTTTAGTGCGGAGCTTTCTATTTGTATGTTGTATACAACATACAACAGCCCTGGAGGCTTGTTGATTCGTACAATTCCTGGAAATCACAACTGGTTGCCCAATAATTTTACTGAGATTTGAGCTATCATTCATCATAACAATCATAACAGTATTCACATTCCAATTTCACAACAGACCCGTGGAGAACGTGCACCTCTGAATCCTCAACGGTATGGGGAATAGCCCCCCGTTCGTCCATCTCATTTCGGGCCGCTTGGAACCATACGTGGTTAAGCTTTGGCTCGAGGAGTGTTTGTTCGTCATGGTCACTGAAAGACGCCATGTACTCATTCAAATCCTGTCGCATCGCCCACAAAAACTCTTTTTTATGAGACCACGTATAATTATGTTCGCCCTTTTGTTTCCTTTGTTTATCCTTCGCAATGGACACAAAGAAGCCGAGGATTCTCTCCATGGTTGAAGTGGTGAGAAGGAGACTAAACCAGCTTTCGGCGGTGGAATGGGGAATTTCCGGTCCCATCAAGCGCCGGACCGTCGAAAAAAAGAAGCTGCATGCAGTGGTGGGTCAAGAGAAATATAAGTATATCGTCAAAAGGCGCATTTCGAAGAATTGATTGCTGGCGTTCAATAGAACAAGCAATATTTTTGTGGTGATGACCCGAGTGGCCAGAGTCGGAGGCAGAAGATGCAGATGATTCCAAGAAGAATACCACATAGGCTCTATATTAGAGTAAGTATGCTTGTCAAAGAAAGAATAAACGTAGTGGGCCATACATGGGATACAAAAGCTTGGCTTGGAGCGAAGCCACAGCTTTGCTGTAGACAACTTCTTTCTCTGTCTTGGAAGATGACCACAAAGGCTGAGCAATTGTATCAGTCTCCAGATGATGTTCAACCACATGAGCAGCCAAGTGATGGGAGAGTCGAATGCAAGTGTCCCAGCATCTTTTTAAATCGCCGAGATATCCCAGAGAATATTCCGCGTTGTCATGAGGCATGCCTCTGCTATACTCAGGAGGCGGGGGAGGAAATAGCTCGGAGATGAAGGCAATGTCATCACCCGGCGACAGGCCTCCGTCAATACAATGTCTTCGGTGATGCATCTGCTTTCGGAGTTGAATATATGCCCATGCTATGGCATATTCCAGCTTGGAAACCCGGTCATGGAGTGCTCGACAGGAAAGAGACAAACTGCCGATATCCTTCAGATCACAGGAGGCTAGAATCTTAACAAAGACATGAGATGGGAGCCGGTTCCACGCTGAAGTTTTAGGCCCAGCCGACATCGAGTCCCGTTTACCTTTCCGAAGGACTGTTCTGACTCGATTGAGAAAATTCATTATGGCTCATACATTGGGTGAATCATTTGGAATATCCTTTAGCATGTAATTTTGGGATCCTTGACATGAAAACGACCGGTAAGAAAGACAAACGGATGATAGAAATACTCAGATAGAATCGCTCCGGTTGATATTTTGAGTCTGTTGAGACTGCAGAGGCACAAGAATGGGACCAGATATAGTATTGCAAAAATACATTCGAAATACTTTGGGCGAAAATGTGAAGTTTTAAGAATAGGAATAGCAACCTGAAATCAAGACAAGCCAATCGAAGCACATAAATGTGAAACAACCGAGATTGGGGTGATGTCGGACTTTATGCCTTATATCCAAGGCATCAAACCCCCCCCACCGGGACCGACCTTTCCGATCCGAACATATCATATCCTTTGCTCTCAATGCCACCAAATGTCAAATTGCTCAACTATATACACCAGCTCACTCATGCCTATCTCGGTGGTATTCCAAGGAGTGTGCTGCAGCGATGGCTAACCTGAATGGCTTCTTCGCATGACCGAGCCAGCCTAGTTGATCAACGGAGCGACGAAAAGTCGTCACCCCCAGCGGCTTAGTATAACCATCCGCTGCTTGCTAGTGTGTAGCAATGTATAGTAGAACCACTGAACCAGATGAAATCTCTTGTCGCAAGAAGTGGTATCGAACTCACTACTACAGTGGGGCGTGGCTCCCTCCGTTGCCCTTTGTTGGTTATTAACATTCCTATATGCCCGATGTTCATCCATCTAATCTTTGCTTCTTGCGATCTAAAATATTGCCTCGTGTGATAAAATCTATCCGAACTGCCAACTGCCATTGTCCTAATGAAAATGAACCGTTTATTTTCCTTGCTGATGTCACGATGATCGCTTCATACCTAATTATTTATATTTCCCCTGTAATCAGCTCCTTGTATTATATATTCGATTATAATCCTCTGATGAGATTGACAGGACATGGACACTGAATCGCCATATCCCACGGTGCCTGTATCCAAAACAAGCCCATGTGCTGATCTTCTTTGCTGCTCTTGTTTATCGTTTTTCAAGCCCGATTATCCTTGGATGGCAAGTTATCGAGCGGGTAAGTTCAAAATTGGGGGGGGAGGGGTAATTATTCCATCAAACTGAACATTCATAGTGTATTTAACCCCCGACGGAACCCAGTTGTCGGATGTTGCTGTAACCGACTTTGACTGGCTTGAGGAATTGTTTAGGGATTCCCCAAGTCCGCTGGATTTCGAGAAATTTGGCCCTTGGTTTGATATGGCACAGGATCGTGAAAAGGCTTTCTTATTCCATGAGTCCTGTTGGTCGGCCTTGATTGAGCACTTTGAAAGCAGAGAGGTCGATTTAAATAGGCTTTTCGAGGTCTGTAAGAATATCCCTGGCTCAGCAGGACCTAGCGGAAGTAAGGTTTCCATTCCTACGAGAATAATCATACTGATTGACACACATGCATATAGTCTTAGATTACGGGAGGGAAAGGGAAGATCCATGGCATCCTCTAGAACGGCCTATTATCCAGGGGATTGAAGACGCCACGAAAAAACTTCCTAAAGCGAAACGTGAAAATATTTACTCTAGCAACAACCCGACTTCTACGACTCACTGCTTCGGCTTACTCGCGATAGAGATACGGCCTGAAATCGCATCTTACCTTTCTACTATCGATTTCTTTAGCCTTCGATATGCCTCCCGAGCGATGGCACCTCTTTTCCAACTCCAGTCATTATGGAAGACAAGATTCCGAGTAAATGGAGACCGCGGGTTTCTAGCCTATCTAGCCGAGGCACCCCGAAGCCGTGAAAAGAAGAACTGGCGATTGATCTACCATTGTACGGCAAGGATCGACGAGCCACATCTTCAACTCTGGACCTTACGCCGGATTTGGAGACACAACCAATGGCTAGCAGATAGATGTTCGATGGTTAAAGCCTTAGACGATCAGTCTAGTTCCGACAATAATTTGCTTAGTGAATTATCCTGGGAGGAGGCTTCTACTAAGATGCGATGCGATAGGACTTGCCGACAGGGGCAAGATCGTACTACGTGCCGAAGCTGCTGGGCATACCACTATGCCGTTATACAAACTGTTTCACTACAAAATATAATCGGCTTCGCCGTATCGATCTTACCTGAAAGAACGAGGACGTATATCACTAGATTTGATCTGATAAGTGCAGATGCGGGAGCCCAGAACATTCTTTTTGGCTATCGGCTACCAGGGAAGCAAATAGCAATCAACTTCCGCGGCCAGAAACTACGGGGATTTGATGTTTTCTTAGGTAATAGTGGGATTCAGGCAATAAGTCCTATCTTCAACACCGACACCGACACCGATACGAGGTGGATAGGTGATATAGAGGGTAAGTGTGACTACAGCGTAACAGAGACCATTACTACACAGCTCATCTTGGAGGACGGAATCAAAGCTATTTCGGGAAAGTTTGATATAAGTCAGTTCTGTCACTACGTGCCACATATAGCTCGAGTCCAGTTAACCCCAAAACAGTATTGCAAGATGGTTAGTCTGTGCATAGCATAGGTCAACCAGGCCTTTTCCGATCAATGACTGTTCTATCGATCATGGGTTACTCATATTGCTCATATTGCCAACAGTAATTTAGATCCACTCTCACTTTACAAAAACTAATGTTGTAATTAGATGCTTAAAGATGTCTGAATACCTAAAGTATAAGGTTAATAAAATTGATGCCTTCTGATATGGGCATAGGGACTTTTAAAGTAAATTGAATCTGAATTGAATCTGAATTGAATCTGAAGTGAATCTGAAGTGAATCTGAAGTGAATTAGCAGATCTCTTGGCCGCTAGTTTCAGGAGAGTTATGTGCCAGTGGCATACTTAGTCGTCCGTAGTGGAGAGAGACTTACTCGCTGGGATTGGTGGCCTTGCTAGGCATACTAGCCTTACTGGCCTTACTGCGCTTGCTTAGGTTGCTGGATTCCCCAGGCTCGTTCCGCTTGCTGGGGCCACTGCGCTGAGACATTTCTTCGGCTTGTCGAGTACTTCAGATGCTTTGAAGTATACCGTCGTGATTAGCTTGTGGTGGTATTAATCAGTGAAATCTGCTCGCCGTCATGAGCATCTGAATCGATGTATGAACTTGTTGTATGGAGTCAAGATATCAAGAGGAAGGACAATCGACTTCATTTACAAAATTATTTATACCCTGTAGCTTTATTGTAACTTAACGACAAATAAACAATCCATTAACTCGGAATGATCAATAGGGGCTAAGATGAACGAATAGCATACAAAGTGAATACCTAAATCATCAATAGGCATTGACTATATAGTAGCCTGGAGGTAACAATGCCCAGACGTGGTTCTCAATGGCATTGGGACCTAGTCAAACATCCCTATTACTCTGTGTCGGAACTTGAGAAGTGGGCCCGGGAGAGGAATGCGAAGGCCTTTACTTTCCACTGGCACGATCAATACGGCAAAGTCGGCCTAGTCAAGAATGCCGTCTACTTGCTGCGACCTGATCAGTATATTGCGGGCATTTTTGAGCGCTCCTCTGCGAAGGCGGGGTTGGACGAGTACTTCGATACTCGGGGGTTTTTTCCACATCCAGGTAGAGACTAGACTTGTTTCAAAATATTACCCAGACCATCGTTATTCTACCCTTATTTAACCACGTGCATTATCATATGTCGCATTTTCCCGTAAATTTCCCGTTTAAGGTGCGGAATGTAACCGACTCAAGACTACTCCAAGATTGCTCCAAGATTAATCCAAAGGATAACGTGAACGTGGGATATGGGAGCCACATGGTCTTCACACCCCTCGGCATGCGAAAGGAACGAAGCGTGATTGGTGACTTGGCATATATTAAAGTCCATTGGGTGAATGATTTGATTGGTGTACCTGTGGGGTTAACCATGGAAGCTCAAGTCAAAGTGGATTCTATGGGACCCCATCACCCCACTTATGTACAATATACTTCCACTTGGACATGCCTTTGCCAGGAGTCTTCCAAAAGGTCATTCCATCCAATCTCTACACGGGAATTGACAACTGGTACTCTTATACAATCAGTCCGGTAGCATCCGAGCTATCTCAACTCCACCCGCACACCCACACGGCCTTTCCAAGGCGTGCTCGCTTGCCATCGATAGCTCGTTGATCGGCCGTTGAAAGCTCACAGGCTGAACATGTGGCAAGAACGGCCACCTTTCATTTGCTATGGAGTCTAATTTCCGCCTGTACATTTTCCCAGCGCAATTATCTCTACTCATGCACACATCATACATGTAGAAGATAATATAAAAGTCGTCCAACGACCGAGGAAATGATTTTCGTATTCACTTCAGTCCAACTCTCTCTACCACATCATCTACAGGCACAATGAAGACCACCGCTCTCATTTCCTTGCTTGGCCTGTCCGGCAGCGCCCTGGGTGCCGCCGTGGAGAAGGGCAACGGAAACACGCCCTTCGGCTATAAGTCTGGTTCGAAGGAGTCTATTGACAACCTGAAGGGCAAGATCGAGAACGTTGTCTGGGTTCTCTTGGAAAACCGTGGATTCGACAACATCCTGGGTGGTGTGAAGAAGCAGGGTTTGGACAACGTTGTCAACAATGGTCCTTTCTACAACCTGGAGGATATCGCCAACCCCAAGAGCAAGAAGTGGTCCACTCAGTCCAAGAACTATGATTCGGTCCTCAATGACCCCGACCACACACTCACTGGTACCAACTTCGAGCTCTATGGTCAATATAGCCCCAGCAATGAGGCCATTGCCAATGGCACTTTGACTCCCGACCTATCGGGCTTTGTCAACCGTCAAATTCTTCGGCACCCCAAGGTCTCTGCTGAGCGCGCAACTGATGAGGTCATGGGATATTACTCTGAGAGTCAGGTCCCCACCATCGTTGACATTGTTGATGAGTTCACTACCTTCAACAACTGGCACTCCTGTGTCCCTGGTGTAAGTACTGTCCATTTTTCAAACCAGCCAAAGATATCAAACTGATCATCAACCAGCCCACCAACCCCAATCGTCTCTGTGCGGTCTCTGGTGTTACCGATGGCCACGGCAAGAACGATGAGGACTTCGATGTCTCCGCCATCCCGGCCACCAGCATCTTCGAGGCTGCCTCCGAGAAGGGCATCTCGTGGCTCAACTACGACGGCACCAACGGCGCCTTCCTTCCTGATTCCATGTTCTTCGACTGGACCGCCAAAAATGCCAAGAGCAACGTCGTCCCGGCCGCGAATTTCTACCAGGATGCCTACCTGGGCCTCCTCCCCCAGCTATCCTACATTAACCCCTCCTGCTGTGGCCTGAACACCAACTCCATGCATCCCGCCGGCAACGTCTCCTTCGGTGAGGTTTTCCTGAAGCAGATCTACGATGCCGTTCGCACTGGCCCTCAATGGGAGAAGACTCTCTTCCTTGTCTCCTTCGACGAGACCGGTGGGTTCTTCGACCACGTCGCTCCCCCTCTTGCCGTTCGCCCCGATAACAAGACCTACACCGAGACCGCGTATGATGGCAGCTCGTACACTTTCAGCTTCGACCGTCTCGGTGGTCGTATCCCCACCTGGTTGCTCTCTCCTTACGCCCCCAAGGGTCACGTTGAGGGCTACGGTTCTGACCCCGTCACCGGCGAGTCTGCCGCATACAGTGCTACCTCCGTGCTCAAGACCCTCGGTTACTTGTGGGACCTGAAGGATCTGAGCCCTCGTGTTGAGCACTCGCCCGCCTTTGACCACCTCATCGGCCCCAACTCCCGCACTACCCCCAAGACTCTTAAGAACCCTCACACTTTCCCCGATGCCATTTGAGAGCCTGTTGGACAAAATCGCACTGGCTTGGGATTTCTGTCTTATGTGGTATAGATAAATGGTTGAATAGCTTGTTAATAGTTATTAATTATCCTTTTTCTTTCTATATATTCTATTTATGCCTTTGATGTCATGTTTGAAACGTTAAAATTATTAAAATACTACTACAATTCATTTTTCTAATTTCTTCTTAAGTGTCTTATTGTATGTCCTTACATGTCTCCTGAAATGATCAGTCGTAGAGCACGGGAAACGCACAACTTGTACAAAACAAGCTTTCTAGATATAACTTGTTACTATTTTGAGAGAAACCTCAACAGAAGCCAGCTCCAAGAGTTCGTTCCGTCTTTTGTTCCTTTACAAATTGAGTGTCAAGCTGCACCCCAGACTTACTGTAGTACAAGCCTGCACCAGACCTTGGCATATCTCTGGGAGACAATATCACCCGAGATGGCCTTGTATGCATGTACAACTTATATCTTTGTTGATTGGTGTGTGGCTGGACGTCTTGGATTTCCATTGGAAAACCTTGGCGACCAAGTGTAGAGTGCATTTCTTTTTCTTCTAAGAAACAAGTGCCCGTGTAGTGCATCTAAAATTGGAGAGAGCAGTTATGTCGTACAAGAAGCAAAATGGACGATTAGCGCCTGAGGCAGCCACACTAAACTTGATTGGGGTGCCGATCTGGAGATTCTCGAATTCCGCCCGGAGTTGCCAATTGATAATCAACCTCCCCTTCAAGATCTCCCCCAACCACAGCTTCACAACAATCAAAATGCCTTCTCCCATGAGATTGGCAAGTGGGCTCTTAACCCGAGCCACCCGCAATATCGCCATTGAATCTACCCCAACACAACGTATCCTCCCTCTCCTCCGAAACAACACCGCATCACAATGCCGAGCCTACACCCAAGCACAGCGCCCACGATGCAATCAAAGCATGCGCACTATGATCTCCACACAGAACAACTTTTCAACCTCCGCCTTCCGATCAGGCCCCAAGACAATGGGCCAGATGCGCCAGCGCAACTCGACCGGCCCATTCTCGTGGAAGGCCGCACTTCTCTTCGTCCTGACTGGTGCCGGTATGATGCTCTACTTCCGTGTTGAGAAGGCCCGTCTTGAGCGCAAGCGCATGACGGAGATGAGCAAGGGTGTTGGTAAGCCGAAGGTTGGCGGTCCGTTCGTCTTGAAGGATCTTGATGGGAACGAGTTTACGGCAGAGGACTTGAAGGGCAAATACAGCTTCGTGAGTTACCCTGGACAATGGAACAGGAGAGGACCAATGGATCTGATACACTAGAACGGTATTCGCTAACAAAATCTCGCTTTTTTTCTCTAGGTCTACTTCGGCTTCACGCACTGCCCCGATATCTGCCCCGATGAGCTGGACAAGATGGCCGAGATCATCGATAAGGTCAACGCCGCTACCGGAGACAAGAAGCTCTTCATGCCCGTTTTTATTACTTGCGATCCCGTCCGTGATACGCCCGAGGTGCTGCGCGAGTACCTGAAGGAGTTCCACACCGGTATCGTCGGCTTGACTGGCACATACGAGCAGGTCAAGAACGTCTGCAAGCAGTACCGTGTGTACTTCAGTACTCCCAAGGATGTCAAGCCCGGCGAGGACTACCTCGTGGATCACAGTATCTACTTCTACCTGATGGGTGAGTTGATGAAACGTTCCAACCTAGGTTATATATCTTCAGCATGCTAACAGTTTACCATAGACCCCGACAATGACTTCGTCGAGTGTATCGGTCGCCAGGATACCCCCGAGTCTGCCTCCAAGGTGATTCTGGAGCACATCAATGACTGGAAGAGGGAGGGAAGGCCACTCAAGACCGAGTAAGAGTCTTGCGCTAGGTGTATGTATGGAAATTGTACAATATAGTCATTCGAATAACTGAATACCCTACTCACGCCGGAACCATGTTCCAAATGCTCCTGCTTTTTGTTCATGCTCGTATATCCGGGGTGTCCGACCAAACTTCGTCGAAACAAACAAATATAGAGGCCCAGGAAACCAATCTTGTCTGGGCAACACCTGTAGAAACGAACCATCAGCATTACTCCCAATCTACTCGCAAAAAAAAAAAAAAAAACCAACCAACCAAGTTCACCAATCATAAACTCCCAACTTAAACACCCTCAGACCCCCAAAACCCTCCCCTCAGCATCCCGATCCACATTAGCCCTCCACTCCATCCCTCCATCAACAAACTCCTCTCTCTTCCAAATCTCCGCCTTCTCCTTACAAGCCTCAAGCACCTCCTCACCAGCCCTCCACGCAGCACCCCGATGTCCCGCACTAACAGCAATAGCAATAGAAGCCTCTCCAATCGGCACGGTACCGAGTCTGTGCGCGATACTCACGCCCTCAAGCTTATGTGTCTTTACAGCGGCCTCGGCGATCCCCGCTAGCGTCTTCAGCGTCAGAGGCGGGTAGGCCGTGTAGCTGAGCTGGGAGACGGAGCGGCCTTCGAAGGTATCGCGCGTAGTGCCGAGGAAGAGGATGTTGGCACCTGCGGCAGGCGAGGAAGTTTGGGATAAACAGGTGGTTGCGTCGAGGGTTTCGTAGGTTAGCGTTATGTGGATGTTTTGTGTTGCGTCATGGTGGGAGCGTGGGTAGGTTTTTGGGTCGAGATGGGCCGGGAGCGGGGTTTGTTCTGAGGAACTCATTTTGTTTTGGACTTGGGATTTGGGATGAGCGATTATTCGAGTGGATTGGGTTCTTTTGAATGTTGAATTTTGTTGGAGTTTGTGATCGTAGGTCCCCCTCAATGCTTATCTGCTGCGGGGATCAGATAAGAGCGCGCCCCCGATCTGCGGAGAGCACCGAGAGTGTGGACAGCTTTGGATATTTAGGATTTGGGTGGATTCTATAACTCAGGTTATATTGCTTGTGGTTAAATCCATATCTCTTCATTGTAGGAAACAATCTAGGTACAATGTATGAGCGAAGTGGCTTGTGGTTAACCTCAGTTCACATATATATCACACATCACAGGAGCAGCACAACAGCCTCATACGGCCGAAGAGTCCATTTTCCACCAGAGAACCGTTGGGAAGCTTCCTCAACACCTTCATAAGTGTCAAGCAAGACCTGTTTGACACCAGTGATCCCGTTGCCCGCCGCATCCCACTCCACAGTCTTCTCCGTCCAGTGGCACACAACCAAGGCTTTTTGATCTTCGTACTGACGAGTGTATGCAAAGACCTCCTGGTTCGGCCTGTCCAGAAGTGTGAAGTCACCATACACAAAGATATCAAGGTACTGCTTGCGCAATTTCAGGAGAGTTGCCCAGTAATGGTATGTTGAGTTGGGATCTTTGACTTCGGCTTCGGCATTGATCCGCACATAATCGGTGTTCACAGACATCCAGGGCTTGACACCAGGGCCTGTAAAACCGGCATTCTCAGCAGCTGACCACTGGACAGGAGTGCGACCGTTATCGCGGGACTTCTTCTGATATTCTTGGAGAGCGATTGCTTGCGCAGCGGTGTCATCCTTTGGGATTCTATGGAATGTCTATAATTAGCCAACATGCACAAGCCCCACCAGGAGAGTGGAATTAATTACCTTTTCCAGTGGTTCAGACAATCAATGTCTTTGTATTCCTCAATACCCCATGATTTGGGCACATTCCTGGTCCCCAGCTCTTGTCCTTGGTAAACAAACGGAGTACCAGCCTGCAGTGCCAGCGCAGTAGCCAACATCTTGGATGCCACCAGCCGATACTCCCCACTAGTATTTGTGTAACGATCAATAGAACGGGGCTGATCATGATTCTCCCAGTAGAGCGCATTCCACCCATCATTGGCATACATGAAAGTCTGCCAACGCTCAAAGAAATCCTTCAAATCAGTGAGCTTCCAGCTACCAGGTTCAAATTTACCATATTTGCCATGGTCGATGTCAACATGTTCGAAATTGAAGATCATATTGATCTCATTGCGATCAAATTGCACCGCACGGAGCACCTCTTTCTCATCAGTGACGAACGGCATCTCACCAACACTGAAGGCATCATACTCCTTGAGAATCTTGCCAAGATCCGCGAGGTACTCATGCAAGCGCGGGCCGTTGGCATACCATTTGTCGCCCCACTGCCACGGAGTCCGCGGGTCCTTGATGGGTCCATCCGGGAAACTCTGCTCCTTGCTAATGAAGTTGATTACGTCCATGCGGAATCCGTCACAGCCCTTGTCGAGCCAGAACCGCATGATGTCGTGCACAGCCTTGCGGACGGGTGGGTGTTCCCAGTTGAGGTCGGGTTGCTCGACTGCATATAGGTGCAGGTAGTATTCTTGGGTCAGTTCGTCCCATTCCCAGACACTTCCTATAGTAGAATTTGGGTCAGATGGGGGTTTAATCAAATCAACTTACGGGAATATCAAACTACATACCTTGGAAATGAGAAACCCAGTTGTTCGGAGGCTGGCGGTTGCCATGTTCATCATACGTGGCGGGCTTCCAGACATACCAGTTACGGTACTCATTATCCTTCGAGCTGCGTGACTGTTTGAACCATGCATGCTGGTCGCTGGTGTGATTGACGACCAAATCCATGAGGAGTTTCATACCCCGCTGGTGGCAGCCGGCAATCAACTTCTCGACATCTTCCACTGTGCCATACTCATCGGCGATGCTGTAGTAGTCGGAGATATCATAACCCATGTCCACCTGCGGGGATTTGTATGACGGACACAGCCAAACGATATCCACGGCGAGGTTCTTGATGTAATCCAACTCGGAGATAATACCGGGAATATCACCAATACCATCATCATTTGAATCCTTGAAGGATGCAGGCCAGATTTGGTACACAGAGCTTTCTTTCCACCAGGCGCGGTGGTTGGATTTTGCTGTAGCCATGGCAGGTTGAGATGCGGTAATTGAGAGAAGAGATTAAGGATTTAGGAAATTCAGAGAGGAAATATGAAAGAATTTAGGATTCTGGAGCACTTCCTATATAATAAATAATATGGTTATTTGCTGTGAGAGCTGTGCTGGCAAGGACACTTGGAGCATGGTCAATCGCTCATGTTTATCCCACCGCGGGGTAGGACCAATCAATCAGCTTTATTGATATGTCGGGCCGAGATCACTAGGGGCGAGATGTACTTTGGAATTTGGTGGCTTGTATATCTGTTGAATCAAGAAGCCATACGATGTGGATCGGAAGTACGATGATGCAAGTGAATTGGCGATCTATTCCGACCGCCCAAGTGGCCTTGTCAATGTCTTTTTGTGGTCTTTTAGGGGTGGTTATAAATGTCCCTTCAGAATGTATACTTCATAGCACTGTAGTAGCACTGACAATGACTGTAGCAGCACTGTAGGCTATAGCAGCTCTGTAGGCTATAGCAGCTCTGTAGCAGCTCTGTAGAAGATCTGTAGCAGCTCTGTAGCAACTCCGGACGTATAGTTTACCTTGAGGGAGGGAGGGTTCACCACCAGTCAACTTTAAGTATCAGTGTCACCTGTCAAATCTTTTGCTTCGGAAAAAGGTAGGGCCGGTTGTGTAGTAACTAACATCGCCTCCGCATGGGTAAATTATCCGTTATCGTTATCGGGAAAGGCACAAGGTAAGACATTCACAGCCCTGGAGATCTTCCTGCTTTCACTTCTCACTCATGGCGCCTCCGTATCATAATGAGAAATTTGCTTCGGCATCAAGTCGTCGTCGTCCCTTTCCTTCGCGAAATGATCGCGATGGTCGCATGTATGATGATCGTTCGCGATCTCGCTCGCCTGGTAAGCATCTCCCCGCACGTCAAGGGTGTATGAGGCCATACGCGCCTTCGTCGCAGGACCAATTGGAGATTTCTCCAATGCATGGAATTGTGGCTAACTTGAGTGTCATTTGAATCGATGGATAAAGATCGTGCACGATCGCCTCCTCGAAGACTAGCAGCCGATAGCAGACTCGAGTACTCCCGAGACAGAGAACCTGGACAAGGTTACAGAAGCCGTGATCGCGATGATTATCGTCGAGACTCGCGCTCATCTCCTCATCGGGGTAGACACCCATACAAAGACCGTGACCGTGAGGGCTATCGAAGCGCGAGCGGCAATCCAAGCCGGAGTCGCAGCCCTCGTCGAGGTCAGCCCCATATGGGGCAGGTGAGCCGAGAAGTTATGATGAGTGGACTTCCGGTGGACATGACGGAAGAACATGTGAGTTGTCAAAATTGACATTTGAATATCTGTATTATTGAGGACAAATGCTGACATTGTGCTCATTTATTCGTGAACAGGTCGCTGTTGAACTCAGAAATGCTTATCACATCGACGGCCTAGATCGCATTAAGGTTATTCGTGACCGAGAGACAAGTATGTGGAAGTGGAAGTCCGCTTGGAGAGTTTGCACCGTTCTAACCTGGTATTGCGTCCAACAGAGTTGTCGCGGCAACTAGGGTTCCTGCGATTTCCCACAATTGACGCATCGCGCGAATTTGTTGAACGAAACTTCCCTTACATATTCTTTTATGGTCCCACCAACGACCGAAGTACACAAGTGCGCATCGCTTACAGCCGCGAGAGAGAAGACCACCCTCGTCCAAGTGACTGGAACTGCAGGAACGTAAGTCAACGCGGTGGCTCCAGGCAACCTGCTTTCCCACATCGGAGGGGTACCTAGTTACCTTGCTATTGTTCTGCGCTTACAAAATCAGTGTCACGTCCTGAACTTTTCCTCACGAACAAAGTGCTTCAAGTGCAGAGACCCACGACCCAGTACGTACACCATCACCACCCTTCACACAATTCTCCTTCTAACATTAAATCATCCAAGCAGATATGGATATTTCTGGCCCTCCTGGAGTTCCGGCTCCCAAGATACCTAACGAGGGTGACCATGATGTCGCTCCTGAGACCGAACCCTCCCAGTTCCTCCTGATCCGTGGCCTGGAGGCATCTACCACGGAGGAGCTTCTTGCAAAAGGAGTTTCCAAATTGTATCGGCCTTCCGGCAACAATGACAGTGCCCCTGATAATCAAAAGAAGGGATCAAAGGTAGCCTCTACCACTGGTGACAGCAACCTGGGGGCCCGTGAAGGCTCTCTCCGTCGCGTGCTACTCGTACGTGATCGCAACACTAATGCAAGCTGGCGTTACGGATTCGCAGAATTTGTGACAGTTAAGGTACGTTTATTGTATTCACCTCCTTACTTTTTTTTCTCCCCCTAATCTTTGACATCATAGGATGCACAAGACGCAATGATGCGACTCAACTCTTTCGAAAAATTTACCATCTCCTCCAAGCCGGTGTTGGTCACCTACATTCACGGCGGAGTGTTTGTTCCTATCACGAACGCCCCATCCGATGCTAGCAACTACACGTTCAGCCTGTCAAACAACACCTCCGTGCGGTTGAAGTACTGGGATGAGGAGGCATACGTGTCAGAACTGGTGCTGTCGACAGCAGAGGACGATGCCGCACAGGAACAGAAAGCCAACAAGATAACTTCGAACCATGGAGACGGTCAAGCCAAGGACACAAAGGACTCTGATAAAGGAAAAAAGAGGAGAGCTGATGCCACGACCAGTGCGAGTACCAAGAAGCTTGCAATGCCACCCCAGCTCCAATTCTGGAGTGACCGCCACGCTGAACTACACGGGATCAACAGAGATGCTGTTGGGAATCCTGCAGAGGGCTCGAACTCGGCAGCTTCGACCACCGACACTGCTGCCCTGACCACCGACACTGCTGCCCGGACGACTGACTTGGCAACTCAGACTGACTTAGTTGCTTCAGTGGCTCCATCATTTGCAGACTGGGGCAACCTCCGCTGCCTCTTGTGTGAGCAAGATTTTGTGAATGAGGGACATCTCAGAACGCATGAGAACGGCAGTGTGGCCCACTTCGAAAAGCTTCAGGATGTCGACATGAGAATAAGGGGTGTATGCTTGCTGATTATCTACGGTGTCATTCCCATGCCGACGCCAAACTACGAAGGCAGCCATGACGAATATCGCGACGAAATTGAGAAGAAATATTGGATTCCACCATCACCCCGATCCTTTGCCGACCTAAACCGGGGCTGGTGCTTGTTGTGCTTCAGCAATTTTGATCCTCCGGAAGAGCTCTTCGCACACGACCGTATCAGTGAACACCATCGCAAGCAGCTGCAAGACCAGGATGAGGTGGAGTGGGGCCTGAAAAAGCTCAAGGAGGCCGGTATCGCCCAGGATATTGGGCAGGCTGGCCCAAGAGCTCCAGGAACCCCCCGAGTACCGAGACCGCGCAGAGGAGCGTCGTCAGGCATTCGGACATAACGATGCCAATACCCACCAGCGGGCCCCCGCGCAAGAAGAGGAGGGCGAGTCTCCAGTACAGCCTACCTCGATCGGTGCCTCCCTTCTGAACAGGATGGGCTGGACCGAAGGATCTGGCCTTGGTGCCCAAGGAACCGGCGTCACCGAGCCGATTCCCACCGAAGTGTATGCCCAGGGTGTGGGATTGGGGGCGCCGGGAAGTCGATTGGGGGAGGCGACCGAAGAAGCCGGGCGGAACACCAGGGGCCGGTACGAGGAGTTCCTGGAGAGGACCAGGGATACCGCGCGCCAGCGCTACGAGGACATGGACCGTTCCTAAGCAATTCTGAAAGCGGTTGATCGGGGGAGTTGAGGGGGGAATGAAGTGGGTGAAGGGAAGGGGGATGACATGCGATGAACACCTTTGAGCCACAACTGAGTGGCCGATCCCATGTAAGATTACGACTTAATGAACGTGTACTAGTATCATTGCTCGCATCCGTTTCGGGTGTCATTCCATTTGTAACCGGTAATCCACGCCCAGTAGATGCATGTCTAATGTACAGTTGGTATCAAATCATGAGTAGAGTGTGGGTAGGTGTGTGTGTCCAAGTAAGTAGTATTTGCAAAGTCCATAATCAGTTACTCTCTTTAGTATCCTGATCGACCTTTTCGTCCCGGAACGCCTTCTTCATCTTCTCCTTCTCCAACTGCTTCTCAAACTTATCACCTAGGATCTTAGTAACCCACTCCGTGACCTCCGTCTCAAGCTCCTCATCACTCTTCACAGGCGTATCACTACCACCCTTCAACCCATTGCGCACGAATCTCCGCATATCCTCAAGCCCATTAATATTCAATGCATACCCTACCGCACCGCCAGCCATCAGTCCAAACGAGATCACATTGAGAGTCGCCAGATTCAGAGCCTCGAATGCATCGCCTGCGGAGTTGGAGTGCGGCTGGTGGTAGATGGAGCTTGTGTAGAATGGCGGGATGCAGGCGATACGTTTTTATGAAACGCGCGACGTGTGACTAATACCGACAGCGCGAAGAAGGTCATTCCTCCGAAGAGGAGTTTGAGGTTTGTGTTTGTTTGCGGCGAGGGTGGTTGCGCTAATTGCGTTTGTGTTGGTTCTGGGGTTGCGGATTCATCGGGTGTTCGATTGTTTTGGGGAGGTGTTGGCTGACTCGACTCCGGGGTTGGGCTTGGGCTTGAGCCCCAGCCGAATAGTGAAACCATTGCTATGCGCGGTGTGTGGGGATGAGGGTTGTTTTGTTGGTGATGCGAGGCGGAGCTGGATGGGTGGGAAAATGAGGAATGGTGGAAGATCGAGGGTTGGAAGATCCAATGGAGAGGATTGAGAGGATGCTTGGGTATGGGTTTCTTCCGCGAGGGTAAGGTAACTAACTCAAAGCACTGTATCGGAGAGGTTGTCCTGCTGTTCGCGTGGATGAAGCAAATCCGTGGGGAGGTGGAGATGACATTGCAGATCCACACGTGACCCGAATCTCACCGAGGATTTCCAATGTCGGGTGCCTTCATTGTTGACATATAACCATTTGGTGGAAATTGGACTTATCAAATAGAAGGCAGGGCTAGAGATCTACCATTCTAGAACCGACCACACGAAGTAACAAATGGCTACATCATAGACGAGGCCGAATTATCACCAGAGTTTTTAGGGCTCGGTCATCGGGCTGACTCGGATATCTCATTGTATAAGCCCGATTGCATAGCAATTGCGACGGCATAGGGCAGAAATCCAAATCCATGATTGAATTCGTTAATCGTTGTGTGCTTTACAAGTTCTCACATTTCTCATGCGTAGAAGTTCGAGATACCTCTTTGTCTAAGTATAGTCTGAGCATTGACCTCAATGGTGTACTTGAGCGATGAATTCAAAGGGAAACTGTATATCCAGACTGTTATTGAACGAATTATCTTCTATCTATTACCAAAATATAACGCCAATCAAATCAGAAGTATATAAAATATGCAAAAACGCCGAGTATGCAACTGTCAGAATAACAATAGACCAAACCGAAAATCGTTCAAAAACATTTCAAAAATCATTCTCATATGTTCATAATTCAGCGCGCTTCGAAAGAATCGTCAATATATGCTTATAAATATGCAAATCATAATAGCATCGCGGAAGTTGCTATCCAAAAAGTCGTGAAGGGGAAGATTATTTCATATTACCCGTGGTAATGAGCATATCAGTGCGACCAGGGCGTTGGAAGCGATCGATACCAAGATGCTCCTTACCATCGCGACCGACATAGATGCCAAAGCCATACAAAGGCAGCTGACGTTCCGAGGGCGGAGCAACAATAAGACGAGTGACGAGGTCAGTCTTACTCCTGGGCTCGCGCAGGATTTTATCGGACAGGAGAGGTGACTGATAAAGATAGCTCATCAGATCAGCCAAGGTGGTGATATCGTGTGGGAGATAGCGACGACGACCTGGCCAGATTGCCACGAAAGATATGGCATATAAGCCACAGAAGCCGATCAAAGCGTAGAATGCTGGAAGAAAGGTAGCAATGCGGATTCCGTCGTGAGAGGGGAACCAGAGGGCGATGAAAACGCCGCCGGCGAGGATGGGGATGCCGATGGATAAGAGGCTCATGAGAGAGATGAATGCGACTTTGAAGTGGCGGTTGATGATGGCCTGGATGGTGACTTGGAACGGATATGAGGATGGGTAGGAGAGTAAGATGCTCCGTTCGGCGGATGCGCCGCTGGGGGATGAGAGCTCGGCATATGGCTGGAGGGCTCGGAAGTATACGTCGACGGGTTGCCAGGCAAGGAAGAGGGTGTTGCCGATTAATGCGGGAATAAAGCTGTATACAAAATTGGAGGCGGAGAATGCGCTTGTCGATGGGAGGGTTGGAAGTCTAGGAGGGAAGCCGCTCACGATAGCGTTGTTGATAAAGCTAACGGCGACAAAAGCGACGAAGAGGGCGAAGACGATGATAATCCAAATAAATACCGGGATTTTGCGAAGGAACCAAGGTGTCCAGCGATACCGAGCAGTTGGCGAGTATAGGTGGTGCTCGTTTGGGTCATTGGCAAGTTCACCGTTGTGCTCAAGATCAAAGCAAACCTTGGCAAGTCCGTTTGGCTGATTCTCTCGACTTTTGCCAGCCTGGTGAAGAGATGGGGTGCGCACGGGAGCATCTACTTCGCCGATTCCGTAGAAAATCTCGGTCTTGCTTGAGAGTTTCCAGTAGCCCAGTCGGAGGACTCGGGGATCAAGGGATTCTCGTACCGAGGGGAGCGTCTCGGAATGCTCGAAGTCGTGGAGGATGTTCGATCGCTGAATGATCGAGACCAAATCTGCCAGGCTAACGGGATCCCACATCAAGCCAGACCGACCACGAAGGAAACGGACGAAAAGCATCATCAGACCTAGAGTCAAAACACCATATAATCCCACCAATGTCCAGCCCACAGATTCAACTGAAGCCCATTTCCAGACACCTTCTCCGTCGATGATATAGTACTTTGCCTGGAAAAGACAACTGAGGAGAGGGATGGCGAAGAAGTTTGAGAGCCAAATTGTGAACAGAGAGAATCCGAACAAGGCCTCACCATGTCGGAAATGGGAAAAGTCGGGAAAGACGAAATTTTTCGAAAGGATAGGTAGGCGATTCATTACTAGGCCTTCCTTCCGCTCTGCTGACATCATAGAAAAAGGTGCTATGCGATATACTGCCGCCTGAATGACGAATGACCAGATGATGATGGGCGCAGCAGCAATCTGTGGTAGGAACTGAAGCACAAAATACCTCGAGTCCCCTTGACGGAGGTAGTTCCATAATCCGCCCTCGCCACGGGACCAAACATTGCAAAACAATATAGCCGCCATCATGGCCAGACAGCAAAATATCGTGAGTGCCAAAGCCCCCGGTCGTAGAGCAAGAGGCAAGTAGTCCAAGGAAGGATACAACAAGCTTTGCTCCGGCGCATCAACGGCTGTGAAGGACTCGGGGTCCACTGACATTGGCCTTTGCGGCAAAGCCTGTGGTGAAGGAGATGTATACGATGGTCTCACTGGAGGCGTGTCATGTCGAATCGGGGTGCGTGTGCGGGTGAAATAACCGAGTCCCTCATCCCATACAAGTCTATCAGTTGGATAGTCACTTGTCGTCGTGGTGGAAATAGAGTCTGTCCTTTGGACACCGCGAGCTCTGTCTTGGGTGATCTGATCGATTGCAAACCGGACGTATGGTGAATCATCCAAGCCTGGGGTTGGAGCTGGTCCCGGGTAGTCACTGGGAGATCTGTGAGAAGCCTCGTTTGATCTTGACCCGTTGGATATGGGACTGATGTGACCCGGTCTGTCTTCTACGAACCGAACTGTGCTGGACGTTGGTGGGCGTTGAGACTCGCGATCTTCTTGGGCAAGATTTATCTGCGACATGGCGGGTGATGGTGCATGAGAGTCTGGAGTCCTGAATCGCATGATTGTTGCTAGACTCTCAGGACTAGAAGGAGCTCGATCTGAGAATGAATAGTAGTCGTCTGATGCAGCCACAGATTGTTGAGATTCTGTTCGGGCAAGTTGCGGCTTGCTTGCTATATAGGAGTCAGTTGACTTGAGACTTCTGAAAGCTGTGCGATGTCTGTAATTAAAAAGACAACGGGGGCGGGAGGTCTTATATGCACGTACTGTTAACGTTGCGCAGGCTGAAGTTTCTCGTCGGGTTCGTCATGCTGGCTGGTTATTGATCCCACGCGCAACTATAATCAATCTAGAAGCATTCCTCGACGCCCTTGAGATCCGAAGGGATTTTTTTGAGGACCAGCAATCGCTGCCCAGCGGGTTTTTGTCTGCCATCGTGCTGGGGTGACGTCCCCCAGCCACCCCAGCCACCACGTCGAGCTTTGCACTCGACAAGCCAATAGGGATGGATTAAAATAAGGATTTTCAACTCAGACACTATTAATTTGATGAATCACAGTCAAAATGATATCGAATCAAAATTCGAGGAACAATTTTGGAAATGGTTGAGTTGTTTCGCGGCCCGATCACCAGCACATCCATCGCCTAAAGCTTGGCCTTTTTGCGATCTCCCCAAGTCTCACCAGGTCTCACACCAGATCGTCTTCTGTTTTAATGTTGGTGTTTCAATTTCAATTTCAATTTCAATCAGCAATAATCTCCATGGTAACAATTTCAACTATAGTCCTGTATGTCTTGCTAGACCCCCGACCTACAATGTAACAATCTGGACTCTTCTGCCTCGCATCTCCAGACGAGTTCCACACTGGGTCCTAGGCAATAATTGCCAACAATTGCTACCCTAGATGACTGCTGTACGCAATACACAAGCAGGGTGTGTCCCAAAAATTGTCAATGGTCCCAATTCAATGATGCAGTGTGGTGTTCCAATTGTTTTTTCTCCCTTGCTGGTATGAGTGGCTGGAACTAGGGCTTCGCGGGCCGAACACCACATAAAAGCATAAGGCTGTATCCAGGGGAGCATGAAACATATGATCGAGTTCAATTTTACTTTATTAGACATTGTTTGGGATACTCCTATTCATCATGATTAAAAATATTTATGGCTTCTAACTCAGTTGCCATGGATAAACAAATTTGACAGATACCATCCGCTATGAATATGAATGATTGGTTCAAGGGATTTGGGAGTTGAGAACCACAGTGACTATATACTATGTAACATGGGTAATTATTCCGTTTGTTATCAGGCACTGAATTTGAAAGTGGCCTGGCTCTACAATAATCACAAGTGCTTCCCTAGTTCTGTTTGAAGGTTGCCATTTACCACTTGGGAAAGCTGGCTTATAGGTTCTAGGTCGATCAGCTGCATTTGGTGGTCTTGTTAAGTTCCTTACCTATTTAAATTTCCAGCATGTCGTGGCCATTTACTAATTACTTGGACTAAATCTTTGTTGTAGCTGGGTATACCTGTACCAAGCACATTGTTTGCGTGGAAATCCGACAAAGGAGGTTGAACGTAAGTGCTTTCAACTTGACAATAAAGGCCTACGTACTGACATCCTAGATAGAAAGGTATGGCTCTGCTCTAGTTCCGCAGATTCATATTTAAAAGTATTTTCTGGATATTACTAAGCTCCTTGCTCTTCTATATATATATTGTCGGCAATACTAAATAAGGAGCCTGAATTGTAACATATCGGGTACTTCTAGGGCTATAGGCAATTTTGTGAAACCGGCTTGCCCCTTGAACTGCTGTGCACACCAAAGAAAGTATTTTGATGCAACTAGAAATGGTAAAATACAAAATCGGATTAAAAATTTGAAAGCCGCACCGATGAACTTGTTGCACTTAGGTCTTCTAGCCGACAATCGCTTGGATTATTGGCCGCGAAGTTATAAGTTGAGAGAACATATCGAGAGTCAACATGTTCCAAATATTAATTAACTTCTTTCAAAACCACTGTGTGGATGTATTCAAACATTGACAAACAAGGACTTTACCAAGCCATTTAGAAATCCCCGAAACTACTGAGAAAGAAGAAGTGCTCTAGTAGAACTATAGAGCTAATTAAGGAGCAGCCAAAGAAAATCCACTTTTATGATGGAAGAAAAAGGTATTTAGTAAGAAATTCTTATTTACCCCGCATCTTAAGTCGTTTGTTATAGAGGACCCTTAAAAAGGATTTATCTATAACGTCTGACAGTCTCTACTCAAGTAGCCGAATCAGCTTTAAATCGGGATTCTCTGCAGCCAATTCCCCTCTAAGCTCTCGATCAACAACCCCTGGGCTTAAGGTGATTGACCCAAAAGTCCCTAAGCCCACTAGGTACAGCAATAGAATTGAGCAATAGGCTTGTGATGAAGCTGTCGCCGGGTCGAACTCACTAAGTCTCTCTACCACCGATTTCGACACCAAAAAGCACAATACGATCCAATTCCCCTGCCTCAGACCTTATCAGAGGGTTCGCCATGAGTGCTAAAGAATTCCTCGCTGACGTCGAAGGCGGCGTGGTGTCGGTGGACTGCCACGAGAAAGTGCTGCGGATAGCATTCATCTATATGGACGAGGGGCTGTGTCTCGGCAGCGGCATCTTTGATGTTGTCGAGAAGCTGCACGCGCGTGGATGGTCGTTTGGCGAGGGCGAGTTGAGGTTTAATCGGTACGTTCCAAGGTTATGTATAATCCCGTGGGTAATAGCACTGTACTGCGAGTATAGATACTAATAAATCACAGTACCCTGGATATATTCTATCTCGCCCAGCTCACAGCGACCATCTACCGCTCCACCAACCAACTCGAGGACGACTTCCCTGATGATTTCCAGTCCTTCTACACCACACACTACGCACTCCTCCACTCCTCCGCATAGCGCTCTTATTACTCTACTGCCTTCCTTACCCAGCGCACTACAGCGCGCTTCTACCGCCTACCTGACCTCCAAGACCTACCCGACTCTGATTCCCCGTTGACGCTGCCACGCCAAAGACCCCCCCGCATACGCAATGAAACTTCCCCGCTGGGCCTACAGCGTCGCGCGCACACACCGTAGGCAGCCTTCCCTCCCGCTCGCGACTCTTACTAGATTAGCCCTTAGCACGCTCGAGACGAGTATCACACGCCTACGCACGGCACATCCTAGTGTGCCGCTCTACTCGGAGACGCAAGCGCACTTCTGGCTTGAGTATATGGGGCTCGGTTCCCCTAGCCAATCTGGCCCAACCAAGGTAGTTTCCCGGGAGGCGTGGGGCCCGAACAACTTCGGGATACTAGTCGCGCAGGGAGCGTATGATGTATACGCGTGGGAAGCAAAGTACTCGGCGCAGCTGTGGCAGGCGAGTGAGGCGAGGAGGGATGTTGTTGAGCCGGATATGGATGGCGTGTGGAAGAGTGAGGTGATGTCGTGTGGGTGGCCGGATGGTGGGGTGGGGTGGGAGGCATGGTGTAGGGGATGGGAGGCAGAAGTTGGGAGTGAGGAAGAGGTAGAGTTTTTGGCTGCTGTTGCAGTGGAGGAGACGGCGGGGGTCAAGGCGGAGGTGGGTGAGTTGGACTTTATAGTGCGGTCGCATATATTGGTTGGGGTGATGCGGGCTGCGGTTGAGGGGGGCGGCAGAGGGATGTCTTTCTGGAGGAACTAGAGAGAGGGATGGTGGGGACAGGGAGGATTGAGGAGGGGAGGGCAAATAGGTGGCTTAGGGAGGTCTTGGGGGTCATGGAGCCATACGTGAGGATATGGGAGGGTGTGTGGCCTGCTGCAGAGGAGGGGAGAGGGGAGGTGCTACGGCGGATCTTGGTAGATAATGGGCAGCTCTTTGCAAGGTGGAAGCTTCCGCCGGGTTTGAAGGAGTTCAGTTTTGCGCTAGGTCCGAGGGAGTGGAAGTGACAGGCATGTGTCTATTCAGATATCCATGTCAATAGTGAGGACTAGGTATATGCATAACCTGGATCATCATGCTAGATGTATATTGTACGCTAGCTTAATACAATAAACTATATTGGCTTTTTCCTCGTCGACTACGCTGAAAGAACAATCCGGGCACTGAGTGATGTGTTTTGGGGTCTCGAGGATTGCTTGTCTCGTTTGCCTTTTGGCGACGGCTTTGCTTGTTCATTTATCCCCATGAAGCTAATTATATAGCTTATGGTTTTCTCTACCTTCAACAATATCTCCACACGGTCAACCAGGACTTATTCTTATTTCTCGTCCATTATGGGAAAGTACTCTGTTCATCCAATGTATGTCAGTAAGAGGTAAGTCCAACACACTTAAGAGCCGATAAACACCCAGGAAAGGGAAGCAGGACTTGCGCATATTGCCAGCACCTCCAATTCCAAATCTAACGTAGTGCTCTTGAAGACCAGATGTCGACCGAGTATCCTGGCCCCCACTGACACGAGAGTTCTCCAATGACCGCATCAGAGTTACTCTGTCAAAGGTTTCCAACGGTTGCCCCTCCTCATCCTTAGATTTCTGGTATTTCGGCCAACTAAAAAACCTCCGTAGGCAGCGCATGTTGTTTCGCAAATAGAATAAACGAACAACTTCGGAGCGAGTTCATCAAGTCAGTCCTCTAGGCCTTGATATCTTAATGGGCTCAACTTACCCTTGGCTCAAGGCAACCAACAAACTTAAACGACTTTTTGCATAACCCTGTCATATTCGGGAATGGGAGCTACCTAGGTAGTTATACCCCTAGCTAGACAGTCCCTTGCCGTGATTCACACGCTGGGTTACGCAGACACTGTACGACTCATGAAGCTTCAATTTCCCCAAAACGTCAGAATACCTACGGTTATATTGAGATAGGAAGATAGAAAAACCTACAAGATATCAGTATACATTAAAATTTTGTCATCCTTTGGGGATAGATCAGTCACACATTTGGAATTTGAGTAAAGTGTCCATGACTATTACTGATAAGGACATGCACCTAGGTCCAAGAATTGTAACTCTATTACGATGTGTAACAGCATATCCCCGTGGCTTTTGGACGATTTATCAAAATCCCAAGAAATCAAGATGAGGCCTAGAGAACTTCCATTCTATATATTTAAAACTAGCGTAGAACACTAATATTTCTAGGCGTAGCTTTCATTCTACTAAAAGCAGTTTCTCAGGGGTTAAATAATGTAGTGGTGTGTCCGGACTGTAAGTGGTCACACTACTGTGATACAAGAGTGAAACCCTACCTGGAAGGTATAGGTCGATGAGATCACAAGTTTAAGCTTATTGACTTGAAGATATCAACTTCGTTCAGGCCGAGCCTGTGCAGTAACTTGCACCAGCAGGAACACATCAACTGGCCATGGCCAAAGGCGATTAACCTTATCTGGTCTCTAGCAAATGGAACGAAGTTTGACAATCGGGTTAGAGCTTCGAGGTGGAGACTGCCTGTTTCATATTAAAAGTGGAACTGTGGGCCTCCAACGGCGTTAGAGTCCGGTCCAAGCGTTTTCTGGGGGCCGAATTTCGCGACTGAAAGTAGAAAGTGTTGTGCCGCATTAGTGGATCAAACGGTGGCTGGCGAGATTGCGAGTTCTGTTTGAAGGGTGTGTTCATTGATGGATCACGACATGTGACTTCATAGGAAACATTTTCAAAACGCGGATCTCGTTTCACCACGAATAAGATGACGTTTCTGAAACTATGCGCATATCTTAGTCCGAAAAGAGAAATGAGCTTCATGGGTCACTTGGTAGCAAAGCCAGGACCCAATCGAACACGGCAGAGAAAAAAGTCTTGTTTCCATCGAACAAACAAGGATTCAAGAAGTTGGTAAATTAGCCAGCAGACATAGCCAATGGTCATGGGTACCAACGGAGCTCGATATTGGCCTCGCCGTCCAGAACTACTTCGACGCCAGGGCTTGGCAACCTGTCCCGATGCGGCACTTCGACCGGACAGAGCGAATGAGAAGGCAGAACAGCTGTGCACCATTAACCCCGACATTCCACGGAGGGGAACCGTGCAGCAGGCATCTTGTTTAGCCTCACGTTGGATTTTCAAGGGGGCATTGAAAGAGAAGATCCAGATGATAGGAAACTTCACATAATAGAGAAATGATGAAGTAATGTAGATGGAGTAATGTAGACAGAAAGTCAGACGTGGAAATAGAGTCGGATCATCTGACTGCTGCCTGAGGCCAGACATCCAAACCTCCTCTCCTCTCCCCACAAGACTCTCTTTCCCCCCAATGGCTTATCTGCACTCTTGTCATTCCTTTATTCCTTTATTCTTTTGATTCTTTAAATTTCCTTTGGTTCTTAACTTCTTGGCCTCCCCCCTAATTTGCTTATTTTTTTCCTTCTACTTCTTTGCCTTGAAAGCTTTTGTTTCGATCTCGTGTTCAGATGTTTCCTGCCAATGCGGTGCTAGACCCTCAACTCTTACGTCGCGTGTGCCATTAGGCCATTGAAAATAATCGCATATTTTGTTTCTATCTGATTTCTGCTTTGGCCTGGAAGTAAACACAAGGTTGACTTCCAGGGTCTCCCCTCATCATGTTGCTCAAGCCTGCGACACCCCTCACCATCTTGCTGCTGATCGCATTTGTGCTTTTGCTACTCTCATGCCTTTCAACTCCTATTGTTAAGGGAATTCCTGTAGCAAGTTTCAAAGATGTCGATTATGGTGTTTTTGGATATTGCAAGGGTGACACCTGCACCGATATCCATGTGGGATACACGAGCAGTAAGTCTCTCCCTTACGTTTCTGCCTGCGCTCTGCTAAATTTCATGCAGATGATATAAGTAGCACCGGCAATGACTTCAATCTCCCTTCCGGTACTCGGGAGTCCCTATCTGCGATCCTCATCATCCACCCAGTCGCCGCCTTCTTAACCCTCATCTGCCTCTGCCTGGCGATCGCGGCCCACTTCCATGCGCCCTCCCACTCGCCGCGCTTCCTGTTGGCGCTCCTCATATTGTTGCTGCCAACACTCCTCGTCACTCTCCTCGCATTCCTCGTCGATATCTTGCTCTTTGTGCCACATCTAGGATGGGGTGGTTGGATTGTGCTGGTCGCGACCATCATCCTCACCTCTTGCGGAGTCGTCACCTGCGCCATGCGCCGAACCCTTGTCAGCAGGAAGGCGAGGAAGCGCCGGATCGCGGAAAATGCTGAGATGAGCGGGGAGAACTATTACAACCGACAGAATGGCACTGTGGCTGTGGCCGCGGCCCCTATTCCGGCTCCTGCCGAACCCAAGGAAGCCTTCATATCGAACTCTCTCAACTCCGATTCGGGCCCAACATTCGCATCCTTCCACACAGATACACGCGACAGTGATGACGATCGCACACCTCTCAACTCGCGGACACCAATGAGCGATATCCAAGCACCTCCGGACCATCGCGGTGCCCCCTATGGCGCTGCGCAAGATGAATTCGCCAACATCCCGCCTCACGGACCGGGCCAATATGGCGCTGGTCCGGTGTCACGGAATCCCTCCGATCCGCGCATTCGTCCCCAATATTCCGATGGTAGTATGGGCTCTCGAAGAGGAGGGGCGCCGCCTGGCTTCAACGGACGTGGGCGGGGTGGATATCCCCCCCCGAGGTGGACGCGGAGGACCTTACATGGGACCTCCTCGCGGTCCTTCTCCCGGCTCCCGGGGCGGATACGTGGGGCCGATGCTTGGCCGTGGAGGTCGCGGTGGAATGGTGCCACCTCGAGGACCCCCAGTCGGCTATGGACCCGGTCCAGGCGACCCCAACGGCGGTTTGGACGCATACGGTCGACCTGTGTCGCCTCACATGGAAGACCCTTACAACTATGGGCGACCGGGCCAGACGCGTCAGCCATCTCCCGGGCCCATTGGCATGGCCGTGTCACCGGACACGGTAGGTCAAGCCATTGAGATGACTCCGCAACATCGGCCGCAGTACGATATGCATGAGCCCACTCAACCAATGAGCAGTGTACCACAAATGCTCTCAGCTGAAATCAACAGCCCCGTCCCTGAAAGCCCAACAAGCATGTACAGTCGACCTGGGTAAGTCAGATGTTACAAAATACGTCACTAAATTGACCACTGACCTTCTATCTTTAGTTCTTACGTTCCTCCTCGCTCGGGCTGGACTGCAAATGATCCTCGTACATCCCCGCGGCCGCCGGGACAATCTCTGCAACCTAACAACGGCGGACCCAACTACTATGAAGACGTGGATCCCCGTTTCGCTCATCGACCATCGCCCCCCAATGACTCTGCTATCCCCCCATCCCTGACACCTGGAGCTGGAGCTGCTCACTGTGCGTACTCTCACCTATCACACGCGCTGGCGGAGCCTTGCTGACTTTCTTGTAGTTTAATGAAATCTATTGGCTTCCAAGTGTCAATGACGCTTGACACGATTCTTCCACCTCTTCTACGCTTTGCGATACCCTTTCTTTTACTTTACTTCTCTGGCTAAATTTTGATTGGAATTTTTTCTCACTTACATGGAACACTCGGTCCTTTTGAGGAATGGAGTTACGGGTGGGCTTTTTCTCTTCCCATTCCTCCACAAACGCTCTCTCCCTATGGACGATCACTCGACGTCTCATCTCTTGTCCTCAAACATCCGCCACGAAATAGTGGCGTGAGAACGAGAGGTTTTTTTTTTTTTTCCCGTACTCCGCCTGAACTTTGATGTATAGCAGCAGGCGGATACGATGTACAGAACCCGATCCCCGAGATCTCTGGATTTATCTGAGATCAAAAGCACTGGACACTGCTACTGATCTGATCACCTTTTTACCTTCTACTGTGTACCTTCTTCCACTGAGTGGACAGTGAATTTATTATACTCAATTCAACATACATTTCTGTTTCCCGGTACATCTGGCTTTTCCTCGACTTAGTTCTCGTACGTTACATGTCAAACTCTCGGGTGATTTTACCATTACGATCGTACTTTCCCTGCCAGGGCTCGAAGAGCCAGGGTATCCCTGATATCATGTTCAACCAACGGAAAGCCGAACAATAGACCCTGGCCACCGTGCATCGCTTGAGGTAGAATAACAACAGAAAGGAAAGTGCGCCCAAGAGTACTGCAATATCACACCCTAAAATACTCTCTATCAAATATGTTGAGCATCATTCCAAGCATGCATGTTTACTATTTGCTAGTTTGCTTGTTTGCTACAGACTAAGCCTTTGTTCAGATGGTTTTAATAGGGTATATGAACCCCTGGGTTTCAAGCATTAATAGATCATGATTCTTCTTCTACTCCCCTACTTGGTAGTAATCTATATACAACAAAGTATAACTGTCACATCGGTTGTGGCTTATTATGGTATTTCTTCATTGCTGTATTGAAAAGATTATTCTATGGCCCCTGGGAGTCTTTCATTAGTCTGCACTGGCATTTGTTATATTCATTTTTTATAGACGAGAATGGCCATCAATGCGGTGACTGGATTGCTACTGAAGATCCTACCTCGCTTTTTTTTAGTTTCGACTTCCTCAACAAGCACCTTGCTTGCATACATAGTGCAGGCCGAGAACAATAAGAAACAAGGTATCACCCCCTCGCCCACGACCAAGATGTGGGACAAAATAACGAACTGACGACCCTGATTACATTGCAAGACTTTCACTCCAACTTACACCTAGCTAGTGAGATAAACCCTTGTCCCCCACGTTTCGAACACCGAGCTAACAAATATAAAATGACGGATACTCACCCTTTAGCTCGAGGAGCTCCCAAAGCTGACTAGCCGAGCAAAGGATGTGCGGGCAGCCTTAGGCCAACTCATCGGTCATGAGGCTCATATTGGGGAGGCGTGTGTCCCCTAGCCCGTGGAAATGATCCGTTAGACTCTTGTCAGCTCGTTTTCTTGGCCGGTTTGGGATTTCAGTGGTCTTGGGCTTGTGATTGTTGTCAGAATTCAGGCGCGGATAACAAATTCTCCCTTCGTGAGTCTTTCTGGGTCGGCTTCTTTCCGTGTGTGGTCGCCAAGGTATGTAGGCGCACCCGGCAATGTTTCCAATACCCCTCGTTGGGTATATGATCTCCTGTATCGGTTCCAACCAAGCAGTGTTCTCATGAAGGAGCCCAAACTGGCCCGTTACGTGATCGCTCGTAAGCCTATCAAGAAGGACACGCCTGATGGGAAGGCTCCGGGTATTGGAAATGGACGAGGAATTGGAGTATGTTAATCGACAATTGCCTCGCATGCAGACCAAAGAGCGTGAAGATGCCATGCCCGAGAGCGAGATCTGCAACCTGGGAACAGAGCGGCTGAGCATTTGGAAAGTGGGAACTGGGATGTTGGAAGTTAGGCCACCTATGATGTGCAATGGTTGGTTCCCGGATACATCCCGTATACCCTACCTTTGATCGAAAGTAACGTGCATCCATTCATTCATAGAACCGTTTCTCTTTGTATTCTATCAATACAGCTGTAAGATCAGTCTTTCATATTCGGCCGAAGCGGATGTCGATTTGGCTTCAGATTCTGATAAGAAGCTAGGAGAAGAGAGATCCATGAAACTGTATTGGAGGTCTTTGCTGCTGGAGAAAGGGGAAAAGAAGAAGAGGGAGAGGAGACTATCTAGCTAGCAGTCCTGTCAAACAGGGTCAGGTGACACTGATCCTACCGGATTCTGTCTCTCATTTCTTACCTAGGACAATAATACTGTCAGGAGGGACTACGTCGAAATGGATGGTAGAATGTGAAATACTTGATTGAGTAGAGAGTTGCAGAAGTTAAGTTGAGAGCTATGAAATCTGAGAGATACCTCAGTCAACGGCGCTATCATTTCCCTTTAGGGGCGCCAATCATATCACAGTATAAATAGCTATTTCCATTCCAACTTCTTCGACTTCTTCAACAATCACATTGCTTGCTTACTGCAACACAGAACCCACAATCAACAAGGTATGACCTCTTACCCCATGGCCAAGATTCGGGACAAGACAGTGGGCTAACTACGACTCTGGTTACATTACAGATTAGACATCATTATCATCTCTCGAAGCTACAGCGAGCACCCATTTAACAACTACATTAGCTACATCTTTTCAAGTGAGACTGAACCCATTCTCCACCCCACCAAACACATATCTAACAAGTATAAAGTGGCTGACAGTCGCCCCATTCTCACACCCAACGATGAGCAACTTGAGGGTCTAACAAACCTTACAAATCGTGCACATAGGCGAGCCCAGGCCCGCAACGGCATAGATGAAAAGATCAAGGAAATTGTGGGCGAGAAGGAAGCTATCATGGCCAGACATCCATATTGGTACAATACTCATCGAGTCCAGTTGGCGAATATGGACAGGGAATTGGCGTTTCTTGAGGGAGAATTAGACAATTTACAGACCGAAGATGAAAAGGATGCCGTTAAGGAGTGGGAAACATGGAAACAGGTCATTTGAGGCAGAAGGTGGAACGGGCATTGGCAATTTGATTCTCTTACATCTATCTTACAACTAGAATTCGTTCACCTCACTTTGCTTTTAGATTTCCCTCGGTTTAGCATATGCAGAAGTGGATAGATACATAACAGTGTCGAACATATTGGTTAATGGGCTATCATTGTCCTTGAACAATACTCAGGCTTGGGATGCGGTAACATCTTCAATAACCTCCAACTACCTCCATCGCACATACATTCACTCCAGGAAGATCCGGACACAACCCAAAGAATCTAGATCTTCTCACAGTTTGGCGCGGGGTTTTTCGTAACCTCAAGTGCCTGAATTGGGAATGGGGTGTTGTTTCGCATCTCCCATTGTTGGATGCATATCGTTCTGCGTTATTTATATTGACCGTAAGCACGATGTTGACCTGTCCATAACATTCGTTTAACCAGAACTTCACATCTCTCATCATCTTCGCCGGGGTCTCTGAGTATGCGACCTCGACTACGATAGTCGGGAATTTCCTGTCGAGCCCGGAATGATCCGGGACCCATCCACAATCGGGACGTTTCTTCTTGTTTGAACTGCCTCGAAATAAGGCTGCTCCTATGCCGTCAAGCGGGTAATTTGGATTGTCTGGTTCTAATCATGTGTTGAATAAACGTGTGAAAGCAGTGATTCCTACTGCATGGGGTTGTGACTCCGTGATTTTGATGAGAAGCTCGTTAATAGAAGGGTAATAAGCCTCCCAAGACTTTCTGAGGGAAATTTCTTGTGAGTTCGTTCCTTACCTGCCTCTTTGCATATTTGAACTCTTTATCTGTTGAGCAACCTGTAGAACTAGATTGCTACTGTGTGGGGAGAAAGCAGAGGAAGAATCATTAATTGATTAAACTAGAAATTCAGGGGTTTATATACCCTGGTAAACCATCTAAACTATGCTAAATCTGTAGCAAACATGCAAATGGCAAACATACATGCATGGATTTCAATTTGTGTATTGAATATATAGCTATGATCTTGAAATCTTCCTTCTTCAACTACTCTCTCTACAATACAATACAATTCAGATTCAGTTCAGATTCAATTTACTTTAGAATCCCCTATACGCATTTTAGGGCGCATTGATTTTATCAACCTTGTAATCTAATGATTGACCTTCATCAAGGTGCTCTTCCATCTGACGTTCTTCCACCTGGTGATCTCCAACCTAGTGCTCCTCAATCTGGTGCTCTGATCCACTGTATGTGATACGAGATACCCGGAGAAGGTCCCTCTCCCGGCATAGGCCCATCTCGTAGCACGGACTTGTATTTGATCTAGCTTTTTTCTGTAGGTGGACTAGCTGTTCCTAGCCATTTTATTGTCAGCTTTCCGTTTAAATGTAGTTGTGTTTGTAGCAAAGGGATTGAAACTCACTGGTCAAACTATACCGTATTGGACTCTTGATGGTTGTTACATAGTGAAATCAAGATGATCAGCGGAGGAATAGGGTCGTCGTTCACGATCAGAGCGTTGTAGTGAGTTCGATGGTGCTTCGCCCCTTTGTCGTAGTCCTTGTATTGCCCCAGGAAGTGACTATCCGACTTGCGTAGGTGACTGGCCATCTAATCGGTCCTCCAGCTCTATGATGTTGATCGAATCAATGAGTTCTGCCCATTTATATTACAAGAATCGGTCTACCGCTTCTAGGTGCTCGGGCGAGAATAGGTGTTGGTTGTTGCGATATACTCGTAGTAGCCGTTGATACTTCGTAATCCGCGTAGGATTCTTGTGCGCGCGAGCTAGCTGAATGCTTCGGACCCGTAACTGAGTGAGTTGTTCGTCGTTGGTGGCTCCCTTGATGGGGCGATTGTCTGCTATTTCTTCTTAGTTAGCTTTGTGTTTGGAGTGCGGTTAGGAAGAGGGTGTATCTCACTGATTCCTTTAGGACTCTTTTCTAGTGAATTATGGATGGTAGACGCTTTAACCTATAGGACGTAGTGCCAGTTAGCGTTTTGTCAAAAACTTCAGCAATACGCCCAGGGAGTTTACCTTTGGAGCTATTTTGAGGTGACGAAAAACGAATGGATCGTTGCGGAGGGTAAGAGGAAGGAGTATTGGGGATTTTGAATAGCAATCGAAATTATATAGACGTCTTTACAAGGAAGATAGGATTGTCGCCTCAAAATGGAAAGAGTCAGGTTGACAAATGTATATAAGTGCAATGATATACTAGCAATGATAGATACTAACCAATATAGTTGATATGAGTATATATCCATCACCTTCTCTATATGTTAAACGAAGAAAGATCTAAAAGCAAAGTATGCGAGGAAGTTTCCAATTGTGAGATAGATAGTTATGAGTTGACAAAGACCCTTAACAGAGAGAAATAGACAATCCAAAGTTCAGATGGTTTTATGAACACCTTTATCACCCATTTCATCTCCTAGCAGCAGTTGCAAGTACCACCATATTGAACAGGTTACCGGGAACATTAGAATTAATGATTGGGTGAACTGTTCCAAGAACCAGAAAGGGAGACGGATGATCACTATTAGCCAACTGGCCGAAGTTTGTTACGCCGATAGCTCAGGGGAAGGTAAGATGATTGCTATTGGTAGCAGGCCGCGCTGCCTAAGAGGGGCAGCGGGCACGTGCTGCTGACTAACTAACTGTGTTACGTAACATCTGCCGCCGCCGAAAGGCTCGGCCGCCCCGGCCGCAGCGGGAAAATGCAAAAAATATCAAATATCAAATGGGCAAGGTGAAGCATGGCTGCACGGAGCAATAACGAAGAAAGCAATGGCTGTTGTGCATGTGTCATAAGGGGGAATGTCAATGTGTAGCAAATATCAATGTGCAGCAATGATGTAAGCCTTCCCTCCATCGTCCGTACGTGTGTCCGGCAAGGAGTCATCGGCGCAAGAAATATTGAGAGGTGTCAATTGAGCTTCGTCTCCGTCCTAGCTGGTAGCAGCTTGGCCCATTCGTTACGCAGCCGTCTAAAGATGTCGATCGCTGGGCTGTCGCTCTCGTCACTGCTCACTGCTGCGGAAAAAATGGGTAGGCTTTGCGCAAAGTGGATAGCGTCCCTGATGTGTGCGGCGTCTGTTTCGGTCGCCATGCTCGACAGCTTATCGTTTATATATGTTGGTAGTATCTGTTGCGTTGTACGCTGGAGCAGGGTTGCCGCGTCTGTGTCGGTCATACGATTCTCACCGGCGAGGCGTAGGAACTGTAGGGCTTTCTTGCTCGCCGCGCAGCTGGCCGCGAGTGCTTCCAAACGGCTTGCAGCGGTCATCAGGACCGGGAATGATTGGGCTGCTTCTAGCCTCGCGAGGTTGTAGAAAGATTGGAGGGTCGCGATGTTTTGCTGGGTTTCGGTCCGAACTTCGGGCGCGGGGATTATAGTGGCTACATAGATACCCCTGATACAATCAGCATGAATCGATACCACAGCCCTACCAGGACAGCAATAATAATTCACCGACTTACGGATTATATCCAGTTTGACAAGGCGAGCGCAGGATATGGAGTTGACGGTGTCAAAAGCCCAGCTGACCTCGAAAGGAGAACGAAAACGGTCTATCATGGTGTCCCTGATGCGATTCGACACATATTGTCAATGTATCCACGTATATACCAGAAAGGCTTGAAACTTCTCTCGCTGGAACTTCCCGTTGTGGGTTTCCCTTGAGCTGGTTGGCGTGAGCTAGTCTTCCCGTACTTCACCAGCCTCCCCCAAATTAAGTTGGCGATAAGACCATCTTGTTCCTCCTCGACAGACAGTCCACCCATCTCTTCTAGGAGATCCTGCATGAGATGCTCTAAGTCCTATAGAAGAGTCCCTATCGGGAGCTGATGAGGGTATGGTTGTCCCATGATATCTTGCAAGGTCTGCATAATGAAAGAGGCTTCTGCAAAGATCCGCTGCCGAGCCTCCGCTCGGAAACTGGCACGGACTCGAATCCGTGTCAACATTTCAAGGTGGTCATCGCTGATAACTGCGATTGGGCGCGTATTGTTTGCCACTTCGTTTTGATTAGCATTGTGTTTGAAACATAGTTTGCAGCCGACTGTTAATGGGACGTGGGATTGACTTACTTTTTATGGTTCTGAATAGCTGATCCGCGCGTGGTAATGGGGAGTTTCGCAAGTAGTGTTGAGGCTCAGCGCGTAAATCAAGCCGAAGCTGTTTCTTTTTGGCTGGATGCTTTGTTGGAGATGTTGCTTCTCCTCGAAGGGGTTGTACCTTGTTGGATTTGGTAAGAAAGTTGTGACTGAGGTTGATTGATTCCAATCGCTCATCATTATGCTGCTCAGCGGACAGTTTGCCCAACATGTGCCGACGGATACGCATGAGCCTTCCCTTTTCGGCCACCAGTATCTGGTAGTAGTTTTCGACCACCCCCATAGCAGTGTCGACACGGTTAATGGCTCGAGAAATAGTGTGGTAAATCAATTCACGTCTTTCGGCACGCTGAGTAGCCCGCACCCGTAATTGGGTGAGCTTCTCAAGTTGTTCATCGTTGGGAACTGGAATGGGACGTGGTTCGGCCACTGTGCACTTGTCAGCTCGGTGTTAAGAGGACAATCCAGAATGGGACATCTCTCACTTGCTCGAAAAGGTTGGGTATCTTGAGATGAATGTGAGAGATGTACTGGTCTTGTTGAATCTGTAAAGTGACCTGTATTAGCTTATTGTCTCGTGACAAATCTCGTGGGTCGAAGGAATCATACCTTTGGTGGATTTAAAGGCCCAAGGTAGTTGTCAGATGAAGGGGAAGGGGATCTTAAATATAAATGGTTTTCACGAGAAAGGTGCGATTATCACAAGGGTAGGGTCACCACCTCAGGCACAACCAACCCCGCCAAGGCTTACGAATTGAGGGAAATTTACAATATTAGGTCATACAGACAGTGAGGTGAAATTAACCGGAAAGTTATATTGAATAGAAGGCCGAGTGGGGAATGATGTTAATGAGAAATGAAGCCAAAGTGAGGTTTGGGGATTCGTAGGAGTTGGGGGTTATACTAAGGAACGCAAACATATTCTTTCCTCTACAGCCCAACCATAGTCCTCAACATATTCCAGGGTCAACGTTTGGACTGCTCTAGAGGGCATATAATGTTGCTGGCATGGAAGCCATGGGATAGGCTAGGACAATGAGAGTTTCAGCTACGTTGATTCTTTAGCATGGCGGGTCAACGATCTCTCTACAGGGTTACTTTCATTTATTCTTATCAAGTCCCATTTGAGTGAGGAGTGTACCTGGGCCTCGTTGAGGGATGGAATCCACAGATTACCCCACCCTTAAGTCTTACTAGGTTCGTGTTTAGACGTGATCGAGGGCAGGCACAGATGACAAGGACATTGATTAACAGAAATATTGGTATCTGAGGATCCCTATGCTGCTGGAACTTCTCTCGCTGGAACTTCCCATTGTGAGTTTCCCTTGCGCTGGTTGGCGTGACCTAGCTTTCCTGTGGTTCACTAGTCTCCCCCCAAATTAGGTTGGAAATATGGATAGCCTGTTCCTCCTCGATACATAGTACACCCATCTCTTCTAGGAGCTCCCCCATACGCTACTCTAAGTTTTATAAAAGAGTGAGCTGATGAGTGTATGGTTAGTATATGATGTCTTGCAACACCTCTATGATAAAATAGGCTTCTTCAAGGATATTCTGTCGAGCCTACGCTCGGAAACTGGCATCGACTCGAATCTGGGTCAACATTTCGAGGTGAGGATTGCTGATAGTTGCGATTGGGTGCGTGTAGTTTGCCACTTCGTTTTGATTAGCATTGTGTTTGAAACATAGTTTGCAGCCGACTGTTAATGGGACGTGGGATTGACTTACTTTTTATGGTTCTGAATAGCTGATCCGCGTGTGGTAATTTGGGGTGTTTGCAAGAAGTGTTGAGGTTCAGCGTGTGAACCAAGCTGTCTTTCTTCGGCTGGATGCTTTGTCGTAGACCTCGAAGGGGTTGCACGTTGGTAGCGTCGGTAAGAAACTTGTGAGTGGGGGGTTCTTTGAAGTGAGGTGAGGAGAGGAAGGAAGAATTAAGAAGAGGAGATGGACGTCAACTTTAAATAGTAAACGCTGGAAGGGAGAATTCACTTTCACGAGGAAGGTGCAACTGTCACCTGGATAAGGAAGGAGAGAAGTAAGAGCTATATGAACGGGAAGTAAGAACGAAGCGAAATTTAACCCATCACCAAATAGTCAGGTGGGGAATTTCAAATAGCAATTTCGAGAGACAATGAAAGTGTTTATTCCAACAGTCAGTAGATTGGACACCATATTGTCTTCTAGCAGCCGCCAAACCAAAGGGTCATCAACTTTACTTAACAACCTTGACTTTCACTCCTCCATGGTAGACATGCGTTAATAAAGGTCACTATTTGTACTTGATGGATGGTACATATAAAGGAACTAGCTGGCGATATCTCAGAGATCACATATAACCTATGGGCTTCTATGAACTCTCAAATTAGCATCGTGGTATTCCCATCAAGTTAATCGGTGACGCACTGATCTGGGATTGCCATCTAATCTATATGTTGATTGAAAGGGCTATAAGCCCGTCTCGGCGAATGAGGCTCCGTCTGGTGGGCTTGAAACGGCAGTTGTCAGACTTAAGTATACCTCGGACATGAGATACCACCGATTTCTTACCAGATCATTTTGATTTCCTATAGGCTTGCTATTAGCGGTTGCTGCTCATCTACTTGAAGGTCGTATAGGTGCCAATTTTCGACAACGTGGAGCATGAACCCAAAAGTCTACCCAAAATTTAGACACCCACCGGTCTGGTCCCTGGAGCCGTGTACTCCTTCATACCAGGGATCCGCCGTCTCTTGGAGAAGCAGCTGTATTCTCTGTTCCATGGCGTACAGGAAGCAAGCAGTGAAAGTTTGATGATGGGTGTCGGACAATATGTCTTGGGCATCGTGCATCAAAAGGCAAGCCTCCCCGATATTTCTTGTTGGATGGCTTCCCGCGACTCAGCTCGGTTTCTAAGACATGTGAGCATCTAGATGCTCGTCCGAAATTGGCGATATAGGCAGGTTGTTATTCACTTTTTCCTCGTCAGCCTTATTCTCGAAACGTGATCAGAATCGGGTGGGTTAGTGCCAAGACACACGGTCCACATTCCGAGGAAGAACAAGCAAGAAGAAAGGATGTCTTGCCAGTTTGTACGAGTAATCGCGTTTGCACGAGGAAACGGCGACTACCACCTGACTCAGGAGTCTAGCGAGGCTCCCAGAGTTCTTCCCTACTAGGAACACAGAGAGCATTCTCGGCATATTCGCGCATAACTAGCGAGATATAGTGATAAATATAATATATAGGAAGTAACGCGTAAAATGATATTTGATAGAAGGGGTGGTGTATGAAGACGTACAGGGGTCTGAGTTCAAAACCGCTTTTGAGGGCGGGTTTATGCCTTGATGCCTTAATTTAGAACGGCAGAAAGTTTAAAATACCTGAATTTCTATTAGCCGTGCCAAGCGCCCAACACCAGGTTCCTGGTGTTGGTGCGCCCCACCAGATACCAGATTTTCACCAGATACCAGATTTTCACCATTGTATTCACTTTTCGTCAATTTTTTACCTACCCTACCATGTCGAATTCAATTGAAAACACTAAGGATCGAATCCAGTATGCCGTCAAAGCATACCATCAATCTACTAAGCCTAATATCGCCGGGTTAGCCCGTCAATTTGGGGTTTCAGCCGACCGTCTTCGGGGCCGGATTCGTGGCCGTATCTCTTATGCCGACCGTGCTAAAATATCGAAGGTATTAAATCCAATTTAAGAAAAGGCACTTGTTAATTAGGTTAAAGTCCTAGATAATGCGTATACCTCACCTACCCTAGAAATAGTTAAATATGCCGCTAATTCTATCTTAAAAAAGGCTAGTAAAGATCGGACCGCCGTAGGCTATAACTAGGTATACCGTTTTATTAAAAGACTACCCCTAGATCTAAACTATATTACCTAAAAACCTAAAGAAAAAGTAAGGGTTGATAGTAAAGATTATAGTGCTTTACTCCTTTGGTTTAATAGGCTTACCGAGCTTATAAACCGGTATTAATTCCTTCTAAATAAGATCTTTAATTGGGATAAAACCGGCTACCGAATTAGTAAAGGTAAGTAACGAAAGATTATTACCTCTCGTTCTACTAGTAATATCGCTAGTAGAGGTCAATCGGAATCAATTACCGGTATTAAATACGTCTCTATAGATAGCTAGTTGATATTACCTTAGTTTTTATCTAAAGGTAATTCTTATATAGAGGAGTAGTATAAAAATATTACTACTACCGATTTCCGTATTAAACCTACCCCTAAAGGCTTTATCGACGATAAAACTACTTTTAAATAGCTTTTATCCTTCTACGAAGCTACTATTAATTTAGTAAAAAGGGGTAGGCTACGGCTTCTTTTAATAGATAATTATAGTTCTTACCTTACCTTCGAATTTATCGATTTTTATACCTAACAAAATATTATTCTATTCTATTTTATATCTTATATAACCTACCTTTACTAACCGCTTAATAGCTAGGTATTCTAAAGCGTTAAATATCACTTCCGATCGATAAATAATAAGATCGTTATATAGGATAGAAGTATAAGCTAAAAACGGGATTTTTTCCGGATTATCTAGAAGGTTAGGGATAAAGCTTTAACCTAAAGAACTATCCGATCTTCCTTTAGATCTAGGGGAATCTAGCCCCTAGATCTAGAGGTAATTCTTAGACCCCTCCGGCAAGACTATATAGATCTTAAAGGGCCCCCCTTCGGTTTTTTACGCTATTACCCCCCCTAGATATCTCTAGTTCCGTTACTAACTCGCCGCTAGATATAATTAAGCGGGTTAATAAGCTTAATACTAAGCTTATTAAGGATCTAGAGCAAATCGAGTATATATCTAGGGGTATTAAAAGGTATATCTAACGAAGTATAGATACAAATATACTTTTAACCTAAGAGCTAGATTTAGTAAAGGCTGCTTTAAAGAAGTCCTAGGCCTATAAATCAGCTGCAAATCGGCCTAAAAATAGGAAATCACTTCTTAGGTCGAAAGGTAATATACTATTACCTATCTACGCAAATAGGATGATAGTAAAAAGGTAGGACGTGGATGCTAAGAAGCTATAGCGGCTATAGGCTAAGTAGGCTAAGGCTTTAGAAGTGTAACAACGGGAGCAAGAAGCTAGGGATTTAGCTGAAACTAAGCATGAAGCTAAAATGGGAGCTATATATAGGAATGGTCTAACTTGGTATACGGATAGCCGTGGGAGTTATTTGTAAATAGTATTTTAGTGCGTTGAGAAATTGAAAATCTGGTATCTGGTGAAAATCTGGTATCTGGTGGGGCGCACCAACAACCGGAAGGTTGTTGGTTTTGCTTGGCACGGCTACATGTGACTTAGTAACCAAATTACCCTGATTCTACTGGCGTTTACAAGTCCAAAAAAATGAATATGATTGGTCGATGTGCATAGATGACCGGTAGAGATAAGTGTCAAAGTGCAGGGTTGCATACATGGGATGATACAGATTATGTAATCAAGCTTAGTCATTACCGCACAGAAACAGCAGTTTCTATTATGTAGAAAATGCAGAGTTCTCCATATCAGCCCTGAGGTGCATACATTTCAATACGTCAGATTTCCACAGTTATGAGCCCGGTTTGCATTTCAAAACCTGAGTACTAGTCGTCGGTTCGAGACCCAGGGTGCGCAAATGAAATAGGTTCCCTTACCCTTGCAGAATCCTGTAATTCGCGTCCGAGGGAAGAAAAGGGGACGGAAGCGCCCTACCCGGAGCGTTTGAGACAGACTAAAAAAGGAATTGTGACGCAGGCGGAACCAAAAATCATGAAGACGATAGTATATGAACATGTTACAGGGAATCCCGACAAAAGTCGCCATCCACTGGGGGGGTGTGTCAGACTGGGATATGGCCTCCCTAGGCCCTAAACAGGAACCGAGGTTTTTGTTATGGTCTAGTGGAAAAGACGCCGTATTTATTCCCACAATAAGATTAGACCAAATCACGTGAGTGGTGCGGGCCCTATGTCTGGATACCTAAATTCGTACCGCTTTATAGACCGACAGTGTACGGTAAATTGTTAATACATCAACCTGCCTATATGGACATTTCTGCTCATGGTTGGGAGTGGGAATTTGGCGTGGTCGATCCACTGTCTCCTTGTCAGCTTTGTGGTTAAACCGCGGATGGGAACACTGTGTCGCTGGGTGTGCCTCACTAGTTTGGGTGGTAATTGAAGATGTGCACATGCTCAATCGCCGTCAAGGGTCCTCGAATTTCTGGAAGAGGAGCGCTCTGGCTGCCTTGTGCTTTGGTTCGCCTAAGCGGAAGACATTTCCTGGTGCTCCGAGAGCGCTATTAGTGTCTCGAAGCGTCCTCCATAGCAAAGCTGTACCAAACGCCAGTGCATCCCAGCTGTGCTGGGCTCCATGGATAGTGCACTGATGGGCTTATGTTGTTACTCCATAAACGAGCTTCCGGTTGCAATATTGTCGCGGTGGACAAAAGCCGGCCGGCCTCGAAGCGCCTCTTCATATGGACCACACTCTGTCATTCGGGGGGGGGTAGTTTCAGCAGCGGTGCAAAAAAGCCTGTAGGCGAGTGTTGTGTCGTAGACTCCCTTGCACGCGCAGCCGCGTGAGCAGGTCGAGCTGCCTGTTCTTAGGGGTCGGGGCTGGCTTGAAGTTAGCCACTTTGGACTTGTCAGATTGGTGCGCGATAAGAGGTAATTGAAGGTTCCTAGAAGGGCTGTCTCTCACTTGGTCTTTCGCGGAATAGGTGACGGTGAGATGGTTAGGTTTAGAAGTTTCAAATAGCAATCTGGATGGTCATCAGCGGGATTTGTTAGAACTTGCTTTGCCTTTGAGCTTCGGTATAGGATAAAGAGCCATACCTTCTTCCTTTATGGTTCTCATTGGGCAGGTGGGAGTGTGAGGATGATAGAGATGGAAGAGCAAAGAAAGGAAACTTGGTATGGAGGCCTACTAGAGAAAGAACGTTGTGACGAGGAAAGCGCGACTGCCAGCTTGGCCAAACAACAACACTGCACGGGTGGGAGTCTAACCAATACTTGCGAGGTCGGAGTAGCCACAATCCAACGCTGTTAACATCCCTATGCCCTTACAAGTAGGTAACTATAGAATACATATGGACTATGTCACAATTAACAGTGAGGTGATATTCGATTCAGCTACCATAAAGGTCGATGTCAATGAGAAGTAAAAGGAAGGTAAAACATATACGTAATGAAGTCCATGTAGGCAACAGAAGATGTCAGCAGAGGAGACGGGCGGTTGGGACGCGGAATTGATGGGATGGCTGTGTCTCACTTGTCCACTGACGAGGTCTTTTACATAATTACTTTAGCCGTTGAGACGGTCGTACCTACTTTCTCCTACCACCCCTCTATGAGTGATGAAGACACATCATGGATAGTATAGTTATTGGTGGTGGCCACCGAGGAAGCCGGTAGCTGAGTCCACTGGTAAATTGCTTTTGATACACCTAACGCACTCTGGAGAGAAAAGAGAGAAGAGAGGAAGCTATGGAAACAATCAATCTCGAAGTCCTGGGACGGTGCGGAGACGTGGCACATCACATGTTGGCCTGGAGTTTTCGGTAGTCCTCCAACTGCCGATTCACGTCCTTGAGCTTGTTTTGTAGTCGAGATGCTTCGGTGGAGGACTCGTCAGAAGATTCGGTTAACCGACCCATCCTGGATGTAGGGAATTTCTTGGTTGCGTGCGACCTTCCACTGGTGAATCCTTTTTGATGCGCCTAATTCACTTGATCCCATACCTGCCCTTCTATCTGCCGGTCAATCTCTTCCTCGGCCGATAATGCGATTATCTCGATGATAATAGTTCTTAGTTCATGCTCCAACATCCATATGAATTGGCGATATGGACCCTGGTAACCACGGGCATAACGCGCCACGAGCACGCGTAAGTCGCGTATTACGGTTGTCGCCCGTTGTTGGATTTCCTCTAGCCGAGCTAGTCTTGCAGTTCTTCGCTCTTGTATCTCGGATAGAAGCTCTAGCTGGTATTCATCTGGTACTAGGATCCTGTTTTGGGCCACTTTTTCCTTGTTAGCTTCGTGTTTGAGTTGGGTACGGTTGGGACGAAACTTGAATGAGAGCAGGTGTATCTTACTGGTACCGTGGTGCTCACCTGGTGCTTGTTAGGTTAGTGTTTGTTTGGAACCCGGTTGGGACAGGCTACTGATGGGAGGGTTGTGCCTTACTAGTGGCGATGTGCTTGGGATGTTGTCTTCGCTCGTGTTGTGTAGATGAAGGTTTGCCTCTGTAAAGGAACCAGTGTTAGTGAAGCCTTGGTTATAGATGTGAGCAATTTTACCTTTGTTGTCTGCCGTGCTGAGGCCAGACGGAAGAGTGGGAATGTGAAATATGGAGGAAAGGAGAAGGAGAAGAGATAGGTGAGGAGAGTTAATGAGGGGAGCCTTTATATCCTGTTTGCTACGAGGATACGCACTGGCGAGGAAGGAGCCAGACGGACTGCCACCCTGACGAGACAATCATCTATGCAATCGTGACAAACATCCTGTGAACTAGGCACACTGATATTATATTGATATTACATATAGCGCCGTTGAAAGATGATGTGAATGAAAAGCAAGAGCAAAGTGAGATCTATGCTAGGTGGGTAGTGGTCAAATATCAATGACCGTAGACGGAATGTAAGGCTGATGGGTTATTCTCTATGCTGTCTAGATGTATTATCGACGGGAGAAGTCCGGGTGCTGGTACAATGATCCCATTAACAAAGCCACCAAGTGCCTGGTGGAAGAAAACCCTCATTTGTAGTATGTCCCGAAATGTATGTGGTGTGCACAATCTGTTGTTCTCATGCTCAAATACGGCCATCACTTTGTCTTTACCTTTCGTTGATATCACCCCTCACTAGGCTTCTATAAATTACCATTTTCCTAAAAGTAAAGGCTCAGTCCATACATATACCATGATACCTAGCTAGAGAGATGTAATACCAGGCTTAGAATTTGCTAGGCTTCGTTACTTGGGCAGTTGTGCCCTTTCCTCAAGGTCCAGTCACACCTTCCTCGTGAGAGCACGGTTCCTATCGTAGTTCTGGGATGAGTACTAGTATTTCACATTCTTCTTCGTTGTCTTCCCTCTTCCTTCTTCCACAATCCCATGGTTTTTATCCTGCAATCGAAAATTCTGAGGTACGATCCATTCTCCACCTAGAAGGATCAATGACACAACAACCTGCTAACCCACATCTGGTTGATTTATAGCTACGCGATTACAAGCAATTCACCATAGCCATAAACCCCATAAACCTACTGCAACCTCCCAAGTCAGATACTTCCCCCTCCACTCAGATAAAATGTTGATAACCAGCCAAGTGGCTGGTGAGGAGATAGAGAATACCACCGAGCGAAAACTCCGCCAAGCTAGGCGAGACCGCCGACGCGGTGAAATAATGGGTGAAGCAATCGGAATTATGCGCTCGTTCTACATGATTTTGGGCCGGTATTGCTCTACCCGTGAGGCACTCCCTGCCCATATTCTATGGAAAATGGAAGTACGAATGCTGTTCATGATCGACGAAACAATTACCCTCCGGATCCAGGACACCAATGATCGTACCACGGAAGGGGAGATGAAAGAAGGTGCCTCATCTAAGTATGGAAGAACGATACGAAGAGTGTTGCAATCCAATTCATGGTTTGGCAATTTGGCACGGAGGTATCACATTATCAAGGGAATTAAACCAATGTGGAACAAACTTCGAATTTTACTTCTAAAGATTTACTTTCCATTGCTTCTTGCTGTTGATATTTGTGCCATATGTCATTGTTCTTCCTTTCGTTCATTCACTCGACAATGAAGTTGGAAGTTTCTGTCACAGGACTGAATGTAAATATAGCCGAGCGAGGACAGGGGGATTTCGCACGACCGCCACTACAAAGTAGGCTTTTTTTTCCCACGCTAGGAAGTGTAAGTGAAGCTGTAGAACGTTTGGGGTGAAGTTCAACTTTGAGAATAACGACCCTTGGTTAGCCTTTGTCGCTTGCTGAATCCTGTCGTGGGGCTGAGGAAGCTTCCCTTTGGTGTGAGGTCTAAGGTTGTAATGGAAAGCGTGGGTGGGGAACAAAAAGGGGAGAAGGTTAATGTGGATGACAGCAAAATTTAGTGCAACGCTAGTTGAGAGATGATATCGTTGACAACTATTAACTGACTGAGTTTTTTGCAATAGGTAGACGGTTTGCGACTAAGACAAAGGATGTAACAATGCTACGCGAGATCTGATGCTGTCTCCATGTACACTCCTCTTAGAGAGACTAGAACAAAAACTGGAATCTGACACTAACACACACTATCCCAGGTCTGCTGTTCCAGCTGGAGGTCGATTTCCTCGTAATTCGACCACCTCGGTGATAATACTTCTTAATTCATGCTCCAACATCCATAGAAAGTAGAGAGATGGGCCCTGATCTCCACGGGAATAGCTCGATACGACGAGGCATATCACGCGTATTATGATTGTAACCCGTTCCTGGATCTCCTCTAGCCGATCTAGTCTTGCAGCTCTTCGCTCTCGAAGCTCGTCAAGGAGCTCTAGCTCGTTGTTACCAGGTACCGGAATCCGGGATTGAGACACTTTTTCCTTGTCAGTTTCGTGTTTGAGTTGGGTACGGTGGGGACGAAACTTGAATGAGGAGGAGGTGTATATTACTGGTAGCTGGTGTGAGAAATGCTTTGGTGAGAGGTGCCTCCTGCCGCCCTCTATGAGTGATGAAGATATAGAGTGGATAGCATCGTAATGGGTCCAAGTTTGCCGGGGCCACTAGGGAAGCCGGTGGCTGAGTTGCGTCGGTCACCAATGCCCCCGGGATCCTTAATCTTGACCAGAAAGTCAATAATTTCAAGCCCATGTTGGTAAACTGCTATTCATACATGAAATAAAGGTTAATGATAGCCACTTATCCCCCTTGGTCTCCACCTACTGCACTTGATCCCACGTCTCCTCTTCCAGCCGTAGGTCATATCCCTCCTCGGCTGATAGACTAATCATTTCGATGATAAGAGTTTGCAATTCGACCTCCAACATCCCCAGAAACTCGCGTGATGGGCCCTGGTAGTCATGGGCATAGCTAGACACGATAATGCGTATTGCAATCATCGCCTGTTGCCAGATATCTTCTAGTCGATCTAGTCTCGTGGTTCGTCGCTCTCGTATCTCCGAGAGTAGCTCTAGCTGAGAATCATCTGGTACTGGAATCCTGCTGTGAGGCACTTGTTCCTTGTCAGCTTCGTGTTTGAGTTGGGTACGGTGGAGACGAAACTTGAATGAGAGGAGGTGTATCTTACTGGTACCGTGGTGTGAGATATGTTCTTTGAGACGTGGTTTTGCTTCTGAAATAGAACTGAACCTAGGAAAGACCAGTCTTTGTTAGCTTCTTATTATGCCGTGGATCACATTTATGATCGAAGGGTTCATACCTGTAGTGTGGTTCAGATTTGAGAAGAGAAGGTGGTAATGTGGGGAGAGAAAGGGAAGAGAAGAAATTATTCGTTTGTGGGATCTTAAATAGGAATTTACCTGTGGTAGGTGAGGAAGCGCGTTAGGAAGGCATGACTGTCACCTCGGGGAAAGAGCCACACTGGTGAAGCCATGTCTAATACTTCCAGGTATTAGTACACCAGCTTTACCTCTTGGGAAGTAAATATAATCATGGAGTATATATATGGAGAATGTGTAGAGGGTCAGATATAACTGATAGTAAGATGAAGCTTAAGAAAGGCTGGTGAGAGAATAATTTCAAATCAAGATTAAGAGCGAAGTGATAGTTGGCAGTGTCTATCCAATGATCATTTGTCAAGCGGTACAAGCTTTGACTGAAGTCGACCTTTAGGAATTTCAACAGTGAGATCGAGTTGGCCATGCCCACTGGTGAGTCGTCATATTGTTGATACCTCTAAACGCCTTGACGCCAGAGATCCGCTTCTAACTGGCCATCGATTCTGTCCTCGTCGGAGAGGGTGAACATCTCAATAATGAGACCCCTTATCTGTGGCTCATAGGTCCATATAAAGTGACGGGGTGGACTGCGGTGGCTTTCCGCATAGAGCGCGACGATTGGGCATACGACGCGGATGGTTGAGTGCCTCGTCGCGGATGGCTTCCTCACGGTAGGCCCTTATTGTATGCCGCTCTCGAAGCTGTATTAGGAGCTCTAGCTGATGGTCATCTCGGGCTGGAATCCGGTGTTCAGCCACTCTTTCTTTGTTAGCTTTATGTTTATGATAGATATGGTTGAGACAGAAGTTAAGGAGAGGGGTTTCTCTTACTAGCCACAAGGTTTTCGGTATAACCTGACATTTTTATCAACAGAAAGGGGTACACATTACTGGCTTGCCACTGGGTTATAGAGTCCGTTTGGTCGTTGAGACTGTTTCAAAGTCACCTGTAACGTAACTAGCACTAGCTTTAGTTAAATTTTGCTATTGGAGTGAGAGATTGTACCTTCTCTTGGTAGTAGAAGACTTCGGTTGAACGAGGAGGTGACAATGTAGAAGAAAAAGGGCAAATAAAAGTCAATGAGAGTGTCAAATAGGAATTGCGAATAGCTTTGAAATTATATAGTGAATAGGGGAGAGCTCAAGACTGGATGCTATTCAGCATATGGGTGCATTCATCACATACTCACCCTTGAATACAAAGGAACCCAGGATTAAGGGCCAAAATTTGATTTAGAGAGGTGTAGAAGTGTGTATTGTCAATGTGGAACTATCTCCTACTTATATCCTCCTGCCCGTGCATCAACGATTACATAATAAATTGTACAAACATCCACCATTAAAGGAACGGACAGGCAAGGCGGTAGAATTGTAGCAAACTCTTCATGAAAAGCAAATGTAAGCTAGGATGATGATGCCTACATCTGTAGCTGGGGAGTCTCACAACATTTGAAGCGTTCAAAGATTCGAGGTACCCAGATTAAGGAGTAGGATAGGATTCATTTTTATGAATTAACGGCGCCATGCCGAGTTGGTTGCAGTACACTGTATAGAGAGGCCTGAAAGCGGTCTAAACCAAGGCTTAATTCAGGCATTTATCATTGAGCAGTTTACGGGTAGGTTCAAATATAATTGTCTTTTGCTTCATTCTTACTTTTTGTTAAAATCACTCTTCAACTATTTGGTCCTCTGTTAACTATCACTTTGGTATCAAGGGTGCCTCTCATTGTCCTATGAGGTCATCAGGCATCCATGAGTCCTTTTCAACATAGGAACATTCAATGATATATTATTATGTGGCTTACTGGTTAGGAGGAGACTGCCAGGAGTTCGCACCAGTCGGGGTCCATGCTACCGTTTCTGCTGCTTTCTGTTATAGGACATTTGGGCATGCTGTACGGTCTCGTTGCGCCGCCTTCACCTCGACGATTGCGACAATTCCATGACTGTGTTGTCCTTCGAAATATACCTCATTTCCAAGGCAGGGAAGGATTGAGGATGGTGGTTTATAGCTACTGCGCTATGTGAGTGATGGCTACACTTCACCCGCCTTGCCCTTTCCGTTTGAAGGTGACACTGGCACCTTCCTCGTGAAAACGCAGTTTCTGTCGTAATGCGTACCCCATGGATTTGATTTCGTTTCTATTAACCTTCTCTATCTTCTTCCTCCTTCTCTCTAATTCTTTCCTTCTCCAAACATTGGACATCCCACCATAGCAAACCCCACGACCAAGGCTTTCGGCGAAATCATAACCTCATAGCGACTGGTGCTTTCTACTAGTCAGTCAAGACTATCAAGGAAGGGATATTACTTCAGTTATCACCCAAACTAGTGAGGCACACCCAGCGACACACTGTTCCCATTCGCGGTTCAACCACAAAGCTGACAAGGATACAGTGGATCGACCACGCCGAATTCCCACTCCTAACCATGAGCAGCTTGAGCTGCTCATGCAGCTGAGACTTCGCGCCGTTGAGCTATCCTTCCTTCGAGACATGGCCCTGCGAGAGGCCGCCTATCACATGTGTTATGTCGAGGCCTTAATGCATGCCAATGAATCATCTAATATCCTAGTTCTGTTGACCTTAGAACTCATTATTGCCAACCTACTTCACCGACTGATAAGCCTGTGCGCAGAGGAGCAGGCCTACGCGACCATTGAGCAAGAGTTGTGGCATCAAATCACAGAGTAAGCCAGCAAGGATGTGCTTTAGGCACAAGATTGGACCTTCCAATTCTTCACATGCACCTAGTTGATCTTTGTTCTTGTTTATGCTAAATCAACACCTGAATACAAAACATGGCTTAATTCATACCATCCTCATTCCACGGTATCGATGATCCAGCGTACTGTCCTCAATATTAAAATTACCAACAAGGAAGCCTAATGGTGTCGTTTGGACATCAGGCGATGTCCAGAACTTGTTGCCAGCACTTAACCCTTCAGGTCTGTAGCAAGGTTCACCTTCCCTCCACTCAACAAGAGATTTTCCAGGGAGCCCGGGTTTCCCAGTGGATGTCCAACTTCATCTCTCCCATACCTCTCTTTGGCCTTGACTGGCCGGGGTGGGGAATTTCATGAATATGTCACCTTTATTAGTAGACCCCTAGCTCCACAATGAGTGTTCTGAGTTAAGATAGAATAGATTTGTTAGGAGAGGTCTACGTTGAGGTCGAAGTGTATGGTGCAATGTGAGATGCTTGATTAAAGAGTTGAGAAAGTTACGCTACAGAGGCTATGAAAGAGACTAAGAAATCTGACAAGATTGAATTCCTTTGTAGTTTCTTTCTTCCGAGACTGCAAGCCACGATAATGCCACCCATTAGAATGTAAGCGAGAATACCTTTTGTGTCAACCACGTATGCATTTGCTTTCATTCATATCACGAGCACGGTGCTGCCCTGCAGGACCTTATCGTGTATGACAATACATTTTGCAATTCTTTGTTTGAGGCCTTAACCAGCTATATATTGCCAGACATCATTCAGCTCCCACTTTTCGTTGATATCATTGTTCAACACCTCCTTATATCCAACATCATTCTAGTATCAGTCATGGTCCAGTATTTATATATTCAACCCTCTTACTATTAAATAAGCATAGGTAAGGCTTTACTATCCAGCCATGCCTGGCCTTTCCTTCTTGAGGTGGCACTGACAACTTGGTGGAGATGCGCTTTCTCCCCTGGCCCTTAGATCATGTCACTCTTGCGTACCTTTCATAATTGTGGTAGACACCTGATAGATCAGGCATGGTTGTTAGGCTGTCACCCCATCCGACATAAGTAGCTCTCTTCAGAGGTCTCAATCAATCAACCTTTTCTCTCTCTCTTTTGCTTCATCAGGTTATGGGCCCTCTGCCCACGATCTATCAATCTTGTTATTCGTCAATCTTATCTTTACGGTGTAGACAGTATCCTTCTTAGGGAAGACGAAGCGATCACCCAAGTGGAACTGTCACATCGCATACGATTCACCTCATAAGCGGTCGTCTCTATCTACAGTGCTGTTAGCTCGTCTCATAAGCGGCTACCCCACTCCATACGGTTCGCCTTGTAAGCGGTCGTCGAAATCGAAATCGAAATGTCTGCCGAAGACGAGTGGAGCACCCTTCTTGGGGAAGACGAAGCGATCACCCAAGCAAGTGGTCTCCCGGATCTCGGTAGCTTTACACTTTACAAGTTTGAAGAAGTTCTCGAAAACAAGGATGACTTTGAGGTCTGCGCTCGTTCCATTATCGAAATCCTCCCAGAGTTGGAGATGAGAATGGTGATAGCTTTGGAGACTGTTCGGCCCATGAACCAGACAGGAGACGGATCAGGTATTCTAATGGGCTTTCTAGCGATAGGATATGGAAGTTGTCTATATGAGGCAGCCGACTGGCTTCGAATATTTCGACGCAGAAGGTGATGCCAATCAATGGGTTTGCACGTTAAATCAGGCTTTGTTTGGCCTACGTGACTCGGCTTACCTTTGGAACGAAGCTATGGATTGCAAGCTACGTCAAATCAGTTTCCATCCGATCGAGAATGACCCATGTGTTTATGTCAAAGGCAAAGGTTCACAGATCACAATCATGATGATCTATGTGGATGATTTCATCATTGCAGTTCCTACGGATCAAGAAATCGAATCTTTTGTTGATCAATTGCGCCAATTCTATGATATGAAGGCTCTTGGCGAACCAAACAGCACCTAAACTGTATTTCAACGTGATTACGTTAACAAAACGATTACAATGGCACAACACGCCTACGCTCAGAAGGTTCTCCGGATCGTATGTGTGCTTAGATTCAAAGACACCCCGTTACCTACAGCTTGGAGAGGGGATGACACCTCTGCTGTGCTCGATGATAATGGTTTTGATCACTATCAGAAGGTGTAGGTATACTTAATTGGCTAGCAATCAAGACACGGCCAGATATCCGGTTTGCTAAGACTAGGCTGCAGTACAAACTGTCTATACCAAACCTCCACGATCTTATTTTCGGACAGACAGATGAATTGTAGTTGAAACTAGGTTTGTCACGTGGGGGTAATGAGGCAAAGTTTGCTCACACGTGGGAAGCTTATGTGCGCCCCACTCGTGAACGGTGACGGTATCGTACAAGGTTTCGTGTATTTAACGTAGCTTCGTGATTGTGGAATAAAACACAACCTAGTATCAAACAGGAAGGAATCGTGGGCCAGCAAATTGCAAATTAAGTTTATTTTGAGATCATGTAGCCCAGAAAATCACGTATCGCAACAGCTCAGATGCAGAATTCTAACATCACAAAAAGGGCGTGTAAGGTAAATTTCTACATTCATTTTTGGGTTCTTCATAATCTCCTAAGTTAGAAAGTTGAAGACAATACATTTCCTATAGAACTAGGCATACTAGGCGCTCACAATTTAGTCCTATCTTCTGGAAACCTATAGGTTGTCGTATGAAGACAGTTCTGTCATTACTAACAGCATTTAGGTAGGTAGCTATATAATCAACCTATTTAAGAAGCACATTTCGGATGACAGCGATGCTCAGGAACAATCTCATTGTCTCACCACGGCAAAGCTATCATAAAGATCAAGCCCTAGCCTTTCTCTATTGTCTCACACCACCCATCTAGCGCAGAATTCTAGCACATTATTGTCTTTGTCGATCTTCAGATCGAACACCCATTTGCCTAGGACGACTATTGATCCAGATGGTGGCTGCGGTACTATTTAAAATGCTTTGGCGGCAGTGAGCTTGTCCATCTGAACTTCCATTGCTGCCTGTCATTCCTTTTTGTGCGGTGATGTCATTGCTTCGGCATATGTGCGTGGTTTCTTCACATTCCACGTCTTCAGTGGTTTTGGCATTGTAATCGCTGGCACATTGCCTTGATCTGTGTCCTTCTCAGTTGATGTGACTGGATAGATCACAGGATCCATACGTTGCTAAAACTTCTCTCACTGGAACTTCATTGTGGATTTCTTTGCGCTGGTTGGCGTGAGCTAGTCTTCCTGTAATTCACCAGTCTCCCCCAAATTAAGTTGGCGATAAGAGCATCCTGTTCCTCCTCGACAGATAGTCCACCCATCTCTTCTAGGAGATCCCGCATGAGCTGCTCCAAGTCCTGTAGAAGCGTGCCTATCGGGAGCTGATGATGGTATGTTTGTCCCATAACATCTTGCAACGTCTCCATGAGTGTCACCTCCATAATAGTGTCATATCTGTAGACACGTTGTGCCTCTAGAGCTCGGAGTTATAAGAGCGCCTCCAGATAGCGCCCACTACGTGATAGCAGTGGCCTGCTTTCGACCACTTTTCCAATATTGTTAGCTTTGTGTCTGGAGTGACGATAGCAACATGGGGTCGGGGGTTCAGGAGGTTTTTATATCTCACTTTTTCGGCAATTTCGAGGGTTTGTGATATCTGGTTTAGATACCGTTAACTTCAGCCCTTAAAGTACACAATTATTGGTTAGCTCATTGTGTTTCCGGCAAATTGAATGGGATCGTGCGGCCAGGTAGAGTTACCTTTCACTACTCGTTGATGGATGAATATTGAAGCAGATGAGTGTTTGAGAGGCGATTAAATAGGAATTCGTACGGGAATGTCCGTTTTCACGACTGAAGAGCGACTTTCACTTGTCACTCTAGAAGGCAGGATCAAGTGAGGCTCACACTATATATGTACCCTGATAATGATATTCAAAACTTCCGTCTCTTTGAAATTAGAGATCCTGATATATAGATCGTGAGCTGTGGATTAATAGCAAAATCAAGGCTAACGGAGAACAATGTAAATGAGAAACTGAGAGTAATTCCAGGTCATTTCAACATCTCGCTACAGTATGAAGGCGGTGTGTGGTCAATCAGATAGTTTATTCTAAATTCATTGTGTTTTACGGATTTGAGGACTTGTATCCGGCAGGCTTAGCCTGTTGTTTCGCCTTCAATGTTAGTGACAGACAAAGTGATCATTTCTTTCGGAGTTGAGAAGATCTCGAAAGTTGTGGGACCGTTGAAAATGGTAGCAGGGAGGAGGGTCGAATAGGTCTGGAATAGCTGTCGAGACAATGCAACTGTTGCCTATAGATAGAGCAAGGCTGTTGAGTCCTTACGCCTTTCAAATTAGGCATATTGATAGTAGGGACTATGAGAAACCCCTTCATCAGGAGGAAGATGGAATGATCACTCACAAGGAAACTCACAAAGCATGTGAGGTGATGCTTAACCAATACTCGACTGCTACCAATTAGTTTGAACTCAAACTCATTTCTGAGATTACAGTGTAGAACGTATACAAAGTCGTGAGGCAAAACTGATAGGAAATTCCTTTTTTAATATGCGCTCAGAGAAATGGCCCTAGCAAAAGATCACCGAAGACTCATAATATTCTTGCTTGATAACTCGACCATTTCCTCGAAATTTGCAAACATTGTCACCTGACGTTGGCCGGAGAATACTCACTCAACATCTTCTTCGACTTGCAGCTCAACCATCTCACTGATAAGCCCCAGCATGCGGCGCTCCATTGTAAGAAGCATGAGTGGGATTATTGGAGAGTAGCGGTAGGAGAAGCTAGTGCTTTCGTAGAGGTTGATCAATCCCGCACTAATGCCCATTATCATACGGGCGTCCCCCATAATCCTTTGTCTGACGTTCGCTCGATAAGTGCCTCGCACTCGGTGACCTAGGTTCCGATCGGTGGGTGACGGTAGTCGCCAATTGTCGGCCACTTTTCCAACGCCATTAGCCTTATGTGTGCAATTCGGGTGTAAACGGAGTAATGAACGGGGAGAGTCTCTCACTCACTTGCAGGGTTTGGTAAATGATGGTTGTAACGGGAGGAAGAAGGTTGCGAAGCTCGAACTGTAAATACCCAATCCTTGTTAGCTGCTTATTGCGTTGTGGGTATTGGTCATGGGCTAAGGCATCGTATCTTCGTAGTTGGTAATTGGAGATGAGATGTGAAATGGGTAGGTTGGAGAAGGAAAAGAAGAAGATCCTTTGAGAAGAGATAATATAGCCATTCCCAGAAGAATGCGCGTTTTCTCAGGGAAGGACCAATCATCAGTTGTCACCTTCAAAAGGAAAGAGCGAGACTGGCAGGTGAGGCCCAAATAATACTTCACTGGGTATCAAGTAGTATGAACCCACACGTACTTAAGTTGATAGTACCAAGGCATATATAATACGAAAGTCTCCTTCTGATCAGTTTTCAGAGAAATGTGAGCTGAACAAGAGGTCAGGGTAAATTGATATTATTTGAGGTGGTGACTACACCTCGATGTTTGAAATCCTTTCAAGCGTTCGCCATAATCCGATCTTCCGCTTACATGCTCTCGGGCTTGTAACCTACCCAGACCAGATCCCACAGAAGTCTTAGCATAAGTTTCTCCAGGGTATGCAGCATTACCGGGGATGGAAAAAGGGCGTTATGAGTTTCCATTCCCATATAGGCAGACCAAAGCTACACTAACTCCCATGACGATACAGGCCTCTTTCATTATGCCTGCCTGAGAGTTCACCCGCTGGGTGTCTCATATTCGCAGCTATGTAAGCAGTCCTTCTGGCTCATTACTTACTGGATGGTGGCAGTGGTTGGTTCTCAGGTACTTTCCAATTCCGTTAGCTTCAATGTAAACGAAGAATTGAGTGGAGGGATCGGTGGAGGGGTCTGGTGACACCGATCCTAACAAGCCCCCAGACTGGCTCCGAACCTCAAGCTTAGTCCTTCTGAAACCCCCTTATTTGACTTGTCGAAAATGAACATGCACACCCCCCTTGGTGTCCCTATGTATCACTTCTGTTAGAGTCTATAGAGCAGATGAGATCATGAAGCACAATGTGATGTATTGTGGTGGTTGTAGAAGTTGTTCAAAGTATTGGAGGAGAGACGAGAACTAAACTACTAATATGGCAAATTCCAATCATGCGACCCTGTGGGAGATCTCAACACCTTCTCGTATGTAGAGAGGAAGGCCAGAAATGACAGTTGTCACACTAGCCTAGGTCTCTCACAAAGCTGTCGAGTCTTTGTCGACACAGCTGCTTGACGACATCGATAAGCTATATTGTTGTTGTGAGGTCGGTACGCTTTGTGTTGTTGCGGCAAAACCTCCGTTTCTATCATCATTATCCGTTGTAATAGCTACTCCACCAAAGTCGTAGGAGCACTCAGTGGTTGGTAGTATTGAAACGGTTTCTGACGATGCAACGGCGTCGAAGTTGGCTTGCTTCGTACGATCTGTCGGGTTACCAGGCAGCTGTTGACCTTTGCCGATCTGGAGCTGTTCATGTGTCTTCCAGTACTATAAGCCAGGCCTTGGCTTCCAGTATGAAGGACGGTTTTCGGCCACAAGATATCGGCAATTTGTCTCCTTGGTCGGGACCATCCCACCAGGATTCAAGCCACGGTACAATCCCTTCGTCCATGTTTGAAATGTACAAGAGCATAAGGAGGTAGCAAAGACTGGATATTTTATAGCTTGCAATACCTTTCTTCCTTGGTTAGAAGCAAACCCCATCAAAGGCAGACGAGTAAGCGAGACGAACCCTGTTCGACAAGACTGCCAGCAAGATAGTTCCCCTCTCCTTCTTCTTCTTTTCCCCTTCTCCAACAGTTAGCACTTCCAATACACTTGCAACGTTCCAAAGGAAAGAGCAAGGTTACGTACGCTCTTCTTGTACAATCTCACCTGTGAATCGAGTCCACATTTTGATATATATATAGAGATAGTCACAGGAAGTGATAGATTATATCAAACCAAGCTGCAAGAGAAAGGTGGAAGTCAGCTGGTCATTAATTTATATATGAGCATGAAACGCAAATACAAAGTGAGGTTTGACAATGCCAGAGTTGCAGGTTACATATGAAAACCATAAATGCTCAGATGGTTTTATGACCTCCCAGGTGCGAAAATCTATCTAGATGTAGTTTACTAGTTTCTACCAACCGAAACATAAACTTTACTAAGGACCTCTATCTTGTAGTAGAGTAGACGTCTAGTATATATATCTTAATCTTGCGGCAGTATCAGGAGGGTGCTTGTGTGTAAGGTTTCGTATGTGACGATGGAGGAATTCTAGAAAGAAACAATTATCCCTTGTTAGCCTTTTCATTCATCATAAATCTGGCTCGCTGGCTATAGAATTTCACCTTCGGAGGACTGTTGGTGGAATTGTTGAAGAATCGAGAAGAGGACTAGATAGGATCTTAAATAGCAATCGAGAGAGACTGCCTCTTCACGAGGAAAGTGCGACTGTCACCTTCAAAAGGAAGGAGCGAGACCACGACTTGTGGAACATGACCTGACTCAACATTTTTATATATTTCAAATTAACCTTGGAATACCAACATTAAATAATATAACTGAGCTGCCTTTGATGAAACTTCGATATATAACACAGGAATGTCCGAACGAAAAGTTAGAGAAAGGTGAGGTGGGCTGGGCAGTTGATGGCTATATATGTAACTAAGGTGCTTGGCCTAGCTTAGTAAGCTGCGTGCAAGTGGGCAAGATTCAAACAGCGAAATGTAACATGAATTGTTTGAGTGATGTGGTTTTTGTTGCTACTCACATCATAGTCAATCGAGGTGTAACTAGGTCTAGCAACCCATTAAAGGTATTAAGACATCACTGTATTGCATTAAATCCAAAGTTAACACTGTCCACTATGCCCCTGCCGCCTGCGTACCCCTGTGGCATACTTAGTCGCTGTAGACATGCTTTGCACGCAGTGCGTGGCACGCACTGCCTGACATCAAACGTTCTATCATGGGCTACATTTGCAGTATAAGGTTATCCATAGTGTGGATAGTAGACATGACACCGGCTTTAACATGCGAGTACCGTGGAGGTACCGTGCGAATAACGTGCAGCGTCTATACTAATAACGTTGATAGCACACCTGGTGCCTGGTTCGTTGGGGAGCGCATAGTAGGTGCGGTATCAAGCACATATAAAACGTGTTCATGGCCGACAATCCCATCTTACCTTCTTTCATCTCCAAGGCTTCTGAGGGTACTTACTACTTAACATATGACAATCCATCAACGCACCGCACCCACCATGGATTGCAAAAGTCCTAAGAATTGTCAACCCGACGGTGAACCGCCCAAAGGAATCAAAATTCGATGTCCGGTGTGCAAATACCGGAAGTTCAGATCAGAGCAGGCCTTCTGTGACCACATACAGGACCAGCACAACCTCTTCCCATGCATGAACTGCGACGCAATCTTTGCATGCAAAGATGATCTAGTTCAGCACAGGAACGAGAAACACCCCAAAGTCCCTTCCAAACTCACGCACAACCGGAAAACCAAAGGCAAACTCAGGCCTGTAATCCGAAAGGTCTCATTGCCCGCATCCGAAAACATACCGTCGACTCAGCCGCTACTGCAACCTCGTCCTCCTACGAGGGCCCGTCCACCAGTCGCCCATGCCCGGCAACCATCTACAAAGACCAGGAAACCACCGGCACAAATTCGACGACAATCAACTATGCAGCCCCGTCAGTCATCCGGTTGGCCCAATCAAGGAAATAAGCTCGGCCATCCAGCACACGCTCAAGTCTTCCGGCCATCACACAGTTCGATCTTTCATTCACAACATCAATTGCATCAAATACGCCATCCACTGCCTCCACGACCAGTCAAGATCTATCGAGGACCTTCCCACGGCTTTCGGGTGCCTTCTCGAGACTTTGCGCCAGCCGCTCAATCCTTTCACCTAGCAGGACAGGTTACTCAAGTACCACTGGGATTCTACAAAGCATCTGATCAAGTCTTCCAACCAGTGGCAGTCCCTGGGCCCCCAGCAAGGTTCTATCATCCGCGTGCTACATCCTACGAGACACCGACTCCGCCCTATTATGCATCTTCTCCGGTGTATCAATCCCCTCCCCGGGATCAGAACCAGATGGCGAATTATCGAGCAGCCTCTGACGGCCGTCGGACACCAACTCCAATCCGTCAAACACATCCTCGTCGCATGAAGAACAAGGTACACGTCTATCGGGCCCCGCCGCAGGCCACCCAGTTCCCAAAAGAGAATCTTCAGTCTTCCCAAGAGTTCGCGGACTCTAATTTCTTCAATCAAGAGTCTCAGCATCAAGAGCCTCAACAAGTTGAGCAGGTCTTCCGGGTTCCGGTACGTTCTCCCGCGCGGGACTCACCCTCACCAGAACAGTACTCTCAGCAAGCAAAGGAAGTCGCGCGTTTTCCCCACCTGGACTCACAACCTCCACAACGCTCTCAGTCCTCAGAGTGGAACTCCCAAGACTCAGAGATTCCTCAGTCCCTGGAAGGCTCTAAGTCCCCAGAACAGGCCAACAATCAAGCAGAGCAAGTCTCTCAGTCCTTTTCGCAAATCTCTCAGCATCTGGAACACGACCCTCCCCTGGAACCCTCTCAGTTCCTAAGGCAGGTCTTTCAAGAAGCAGAAAAGGTTACTCAGTCTCGACAAAAGCACTCTCAATCCTTGGGAAACTTTCCATTCCTAATCCATCACTACAAACAAGCAGAAGCGGAGACAATCTCTCAATCCACACCACCCTATCAGTTCGCAATGCCCATTTTAGAAAAAACGGACCAAGTTTCCCACAGCTCACTGCATCTATCCGCCCACGACCCCGTCACCGCGGAAGCAAACGAATCAGACAGAGCAACAACCTCAACCCCCGCAACAAACATAACAACACCAACCCTCTCCAATCCACCCCTACCAAGAAACCGAACCTTCAGTCTAGTCTACGGCACAATGCCACACCGCTGGACGAACCTCGAACCCCTCGAACAAACCCTAATCCTCAGATACCTACTGGCAACATGCCACACCCCGAAACGCCTCCACTCACAAGGCTACAACGCGCCAAAGACCATCAAGACAGAATCCTGTGAGAACAACGGCCAACCACACCAACAGCACCTGGACCCCCTCCCTACAGATGCGAATACAACACACCGAAAGGCAATCGTGCTAGACTGCAAAATGATCGAAACAACAACCTGCACCAGCGAACTAGCCTTCATCACCGCAATCGATTTCCTCACCGGCGAAGTCCTGATAAACAGCTACGTGACACCAACAGCACCAGTGACGAACTGGCTGACACCGGTGAGCGGGATCACACAGGAGAAAATGGACGCCGCGATCGCAGAGGGGAACGTTCTCGTCTCGAATGCCGATGCACGTGGTGCACTGCGGAAGTTCCTGAATCGCGACACCGTTCTTATCGGCCATACTCTTCAACATGCTCTGCGGACATTGAGTTTGATTCATGGTCGGATTGTCGATACGTCTGTTGTTACGGGGGAGGCTGTGTTTTCGAATGCTGCGTCCAAGACCACTTTGCCTCGTATTTGGGGTCTTGAGACTCTTGCGAGGGAGTTGGTTGGGATTCAGATTCGGGGTGGTGATGAAGGACACAGTTCGCTTGAGGATGCGTTGGCGACGAGGGAGATCTTGATTTGGTGTTTGCGTGGTCCGCAGTGTCTTAAGGCTTGGGCTGAGAAGACTCGGGGTTCGCTTTACAGGCGGAATCGGAGAGGTGCGAGGGGGAATCGGGGGAATGAGGGTGGTGGTGCTAATGCGAATAATGGTCAGGAGAATACTTCGGGATAAAGGGAGCTTGACTCTCATTGCGCTGAGGTGGAAGGGGAAGTGATTTAGTCAAGGATGGTGAATATGGCCGTTCCTCTACTGGTCATCATGCCTGGTCGGGCCGTTGGTCGGACTGGGTGGTGGTTGATCGGTTTGGGTTTGGCGAACATACTGCGCTTTATCGAACTGTTTGATGTATGAAAGTGATTTTGATTATCTCTGTTCTATTGTAGATGAGTAACTTGTAGAAGGATAAGCACCTCCATATAGTACTACGTAGGAAAGTAGATGGGCAATTAAGTATTATCGCCGTTGAAAACAACACTAAATCACAAAGGAAACAAAACAAACAAGGAACACAGCAATATGGGGGATTGGGGGAATTAAACGCCAAATTTACAAGAACAGGTAAGGAAAGGACAGGCAAAGCACAAACAACAAGCAGAAAAACAAGCCAGTAAGAATAAGACTGCTTGGGAAAGGTTAATATAAAAGTAGCACATTCGATATGAATATAGGGGCGAACCTCTCTATGTATGCATCAAACAGTTCACGGAGCAAAATTAATCGCGAAACACCTTCGTCCGAGACCGGACACATCACAAGGCCAATAACGTGGTTTAAAGAATGCTCCGACTGGCCTGGCTACGGCTCGCCTGGCTGCGACTAGCCAAACTAGCGCGACTGGGATTCGTGCGACTTGGCTCATCTTCCTCAAGGACATCACTCAGGCGCGTGGGGTGGCGATGGCGCGGTGTCACAGACTCCCATCCAGTGCCAGGACCCCAGCCGGCGCCGCTGTAGTCCGCAGCGGAGGTGGGCGCTGGGGGGAGGGGCGGACGAGCCGGCAGAGGTATAGGCGCCGTCGGTCATGTAGTGACCCTCTGGCAGGGAGTGTTCATACTCCTCGCTTCCCTCTGAAGGGGGCCAGGTGGGTAGCTTAAGGAGTTGCCATGAGGGTCGTGGGAGTAGTGGGCATATTCATCGTCGCCCGCTTCACTGCTGCCGACGTAGGAGCGCGCGTCGGGCTCTGAAGTGGCGGGTCCTGGGTATGGCACGGTTGTATTTTCATGTTCATACAGTGGACGCGGGTATGGGGCTTTTGAGGTAGGTGGGTCAACCTTTTTGGGTTCGATGAAAGGGTCGGATCCTGTGGGAGACATGGGCGTGCCATCTTCGTAATATTGTCCGCCGGCGCTTCCTGCGGAGTTGCCGTGATACGCGTCGGTGCCCGTGGCTGTGGCTGTAGGGTCGCCTGGGTATGGGCCCTCGCGGGTCTGTGGGCGCGTGGTGTGGCGACTAGGGAGGCCAGAAACCATAGGTACAACCTGAACGCCTCCAACGAGCGTGGGCTCTCCATTGCGTAGGGAGTTGGTTCGGTCTCGCTCTTCTTGTTCACGGCGGCCAAGCTCCTCCCAGGCACGACGTGCCTCCTCCTTGGAGATTTGAAGCTCGCGGCGCATCTCTTTCAGCAGTTCCTCGGCCTTAATTTTGTCCTTTTCGGATTGCTGGGCGGCAGAAAAGGCATCAGCTCGGCCTTGTCGCTCTTCTTTAAGCTGGCGGTCTAGGTCAGCCTGCACTTCCTTTGAGCGTTCTTGCTCAGCACGGGTGTCGAAAAACCAGCGCTGGAACTTGCGTTCGGAGGACGCTCGTAGGCGTTGCAGTTCAACCACCGCATGGAATAAGTTGGCACCCGCAGCAGATAAGTCTGTGATCTGTCGAGCCAATTGTTGGCTCAGGGGATCACGCTCTAGATCGTCATTGTTTTGTTCGAGCTTACGCATCCAATAGCTGGTGAGACCCTCCCAGTGTGAAGACAGCGTTTCCCATCGCTCGAATGCATGCGGAAACCCAACTCGTTTCGGCTGCTGAAGGGTTTGGGGAGCACCGGGCTGTCCTGCGGGTAGGCCCTGGGCGGATTTGGAGAACCCACTAGGTCTAGGTTGGCCTCCAACTTCTGCCGCACTTTGCGAGCGACCGTGTTGAGGCTGTTGACCAGTTCCTTGTGTCGGCCGTGGCTGGTTAGCCACATGCCCCGTCGTAGCAGTTGGTGGTGCGGTCTGGTATTCTGATGGTCGGGTGCTCGGCGCAACATCTGCTGCTGCTAGTCGGTAACCGGACGGTGGCCCTGAAGCGACAGGCATGGCCTGGGGCTGTCCTTCGGGGCCCCTTGTTGGTCGTGGGGCTCTAATTCTTGATTGGGAGGCATTTTCGGCGGCAACGCCAGCGGCGTACTGTTGAGCTTGAGCTTGGGCCTGGGTCTGTTTCTGGGCCTGAGCCTCAGCTTGGGCCTGTTGTTCTTGCTCCAGTTGTTGTTGTTCCAATTCCTCCTGTTCCCTCTCTCGGGCCTCGTGCTCCGCTTTGCGGCGAGCCTCTCGATCCCGGCGTTGTCTCATTATATCTGTAGGTGTCCTCATCCCACTCGGTGGCTGTGATGTCCCTGAGATGGGGTTCTGGGGAACACGGGTTCCACCATTCTGAACACGGCTATTGCCCACAGGCCCAGCGGGGCCAGCGACGCCTACCATGTCTGACATAGAAGCATTCACCTCGTCCCAGTCGGTGGAGAGCTGTAGCGGTCCACGGATAGCTTCCTCGAGGGCGAAAAGGATTGCCGATGCGGTGCGCGACGAGACTCCGGTGGTTCGCTGCGGCCAGTATGAGGTATTGAGGAGCTGGTACGGGTCGTCAATGGTAGACCCGTTGTCGTCGGTCTCCGCTTCGGAAAGGGCCGGACGTAGGTGTGCGATGCCACTGGCTGGAGGGTGTGGTACAGAGACCGGGGTTGTACGCGCCGGCTGAGGTCGATTGGGGTGTGGAACCGGGGCGCGTGAAGAGACCGCTCGACGGTGGAGTGATTGGTTGACTTCTCTCTGGCGAGGGATACGACGTAAGAGGCGCTGGGAGTCAGAAGCGCTCGAGGGTCTCAATTGGGAATCGGCTGAAGCAGAAGAAGGTCGTTGAACAGTCGGCTGGCGTTGCCGCGCAAAGGTCGTTAACGTTGATGGGTCGTAAGAGTCGTGGGCTTCGTCAGACGCTTTTCCAGCGTGTCGAGACACCTCTAAGAATGGTCGGTAAAATTGCGGATTGGACGACAATTTGAGTGTTGCGTCACTGATCGAGGCAGCGGATAGCTCTCAAGGATCGCGATCGCAAAATGACCGATCGCTCCGAATTGGAATGTTGACAGCCCCAACTGCTGTACAAATTAATGCTCAATGCTCAATGCACAATATAATGTAATTGGGAGAAAAAATAGAGGCAATTCAAAATCAGAAGAGGTGAAAGGACGAGAATGGGTTGGGAGTGCGAGGTGGCTGGTTAATTGAGATGGCTGGGGTTGCCGCAGCTGTAGCTGCAGCGCACCAAACGTGTCTCGGGGATGGAGATGAATCGCCCTCAAAGTCCGGCTGCCCGGATTTCAAGTTCAAATGTGAAGAGATGAAGAAGAAGAATATTGAACCTTGGAAGCTGAGAAGTTGAATGGTAATGCGCGTTCTCCTAAGGCAGGAATGCCAGCGCGGTTCCTGCCCTAATCAAGCCAAGTCAAGGCTTTCGTCACTTTGCTTTTTTGTTTTTGCAGGATTATTATACACTACCTATGTTCCTATAACATATAGGTAGTATGTCAGATCTTCAATATTTCAATGTCATGCGTCCAGATCATAACGTCGCTGCGCAACCAATTTGGGGGGAAGCAATACCTCAATAATTAGCTGCACCTGAACCGATCGCACGGACCGGGGCTATAGTACGTAGGTACTCTGTAAATAGTGCGATTGAATAGTCCAAAACGATGCAATTTTTAGAACATGTGTATGTGCAGGTGTATGTGTAGTGTACGGAGTACCTAGGTACAGAGTAGGAAGTCCAAAGATAGGAGGTCTTCTAGGGCTACCTACAACATAGGTACAACGGAAGCTGATGAACTAGCAGATTTAATTTCATCGTGCCATGGTTGACTTTGCAGGCTAACAGGAATCCAACTAAATATATATCCTGATGTGTTGGCAGATACACACTGTTGTAGTTGGCGTTGGGCAACAACATAACTATATATATATATGTACGGAAGTACTGTAGTTCAAATATATATCGATGGCTTCAATCACTCGACACTCACCAGGCTATTTATTATGTTCATTTCTTTTTTGTTCTTCTATTATTTTCAGTCTATGGAGCAGTCTATGGAGTATTATCTTCACCATATCTTGGTTAGTCTCCATTTGATCCACTGGTTCATCGTTATTCCACAGTTTGGAGCGAACTACTCTTCCCCCCACTGTTTCCATTTGGTTCGATTTGTTGAATAACTAAATACCCCATAACTGCAACTTATGGCTACATCATTCTACTTCTAATAGGATAGTTACATCGAGTCCATCCATGGATTTACATGGCACTTGTTCAGCATCTCCCCCGCAGTGACATCGCCTCCAGCCTTGGGTGTTCCCGAGCGGATAAAGGGAAAACAGGTCCCGAGGTCTCCAACCAACCGGATTATTCAGGTACCTCAATCACCTGACTCTAATTGACAAACACCTCGAACTGCAAAGACCCGGCTTCGGTCACCACAGCAGATGCGCCCATAAAATCCAGGCCGGGCGTCGCGGAAGCCCCCCGAAGGGACCCGTAACACTGCACGGGGAGGATCTCGTAGGGGGATCAGGCAATTCTGGGTCCCGGGTAGTACCGTTGTCGTGGGGGATCACAGCTAGAGAGAGTATCAGTCTAACAGGAAAGATACAAAAACAAGTTAACGTTGTCTATATACATACCCACCGACCCCATTTGGATGGTAAAAGTGCACACAACAGTTAAAGTGGCTAGAAATTGCTCCGGGGGACAATTTTTGTATGGAGGTGGTACGTGCACGACAAAAACACCATACAAAGTGGGCCACTTGAGCCAACCCCTGAGTGACTTTTTGGGCACTTGGTTAAAAATGAATAAGTCAACTGGCTTGGAAGTATCTATGGGCTGTATATTTTCGTGATTATTGGTCAGTTAATATCTGCTAAGCCCTGAAAATCTATAACAGAAAATCTCTTAGATGAAACCAAGAGCTAACTAGTTAACCAGTAACTACATAGTACGAGTGTCCCACTGAATAGTTTCAGCTATAGTTAGCCTTTTATATTGCAGATCAGTTTTTTTTGGCGCAGCTTTTACACTCCATTGGCTCAATTGAATATCCAATTAAGTATAGAAGCTATATCCAAATGCAAATAAACCTACGTTTTGACGTGTCAAGATCAACCAGAAGTGGACACAGACATCTCTCGGGCAAGCCGTTCTCGGCCGCACCGAAGCCTCCCCCCGGTACTAATCTAATGCCAAAGCGATATTTCAGGACATTCCGACGTCTCCCCTACAAAATTAGACCTAATAAACTACCTAGACATCAATACATGTATGCAAATTCAAAATAGTTAACACAAACCCCTAGCTATCCCCAAATCCAATACCTAAAGCCAGGAGTCCCCCAATACAACACCCCACCGAGACCGCAACGAGACACCCCAAAACAAACACGAGGGCCCCAGAAGCACTACAACCTCAGTAATACTAGTGATAAACCCCCTGCCCAAGGTCTAGACTCTAGACTCCAGGAGCAAAAGGACAGCAAGGGCCAGCCCGGAATCGGAAAATTCGATAGCTCAGTCGGGTCCGGGAAGGTCTTCCCGCGCCGCGGACGCACGAATACGAAACCCGGAAACTCTCCAAAATCCCAGTATTGAGGTAGGTTTCAAGCATGCCTTGCAGTCTGCAGCTTGGGTCGGGAGCTTAGGGGTCCTAGATCGGGAGTGTTTCAGTTCTTCCTTGTTCCAGTTGGTTATTGGCCAATTGCAGTATGTTTTTTGCGAGACACTTCCGGAGATTGGGGAGTTGGATTCCTTTGGGTAGGGATCTGTTCTAGGTCTGTGAATTTGGGATATTGGATTTTGATGATCATCGTCGATATTTAATTTTGATTCTGATTCTCATCTCGGATGAGATGAAGTCCTTGATCGAGATGTTTGTTATTATCGAGGGATTGTGGATGTCCTGGTTTGTTGTTCCATTTCTCCCCTTGGATAGATAGTTACTCCCTTCTGAAGCTAGGTAGAACTCGATGGATGGAGTTATGTTGCACTCGAGAGGCTGCTAGTCCACTGTGAACAAATCTATTCGAAACTCTATGTGCCTGCACTCAACATCTAATGACAAGAATGTGACCGGGATGATGGGAGGCGAGGGCTTCTGCAGAGGATGCTTCCGCGGCGAGTCAATCGCTCAGAGATCGTGCACAGTGCATGAACTGGACGATAGAGAGGTATTGGGCCTGCCGATCAGGGGCACTACTGGGGGATGCGCCGATACTTATACATGGGCGGGATGGCTGCACTTCGGCTGTACGTATCGCGGGATGCATGCAAGTCACATTTTTCGATGGAATGTGGGGTTTATTGGCTTAGCTGAGCATATGTCTCTGCTTTGTTTTGTTTTGGCCTTTTTTGGCCTTTTTTGGCCTACTTGAGAGTTTGTAAATTGGCGTTATAGAATGATAGCAAATCCGGGCTTATACAATATGAAACTGGAACCCAATGAGATGGAGCGATATCTGGATTTGGATCCAGCACACACGATACACCCACAGGCACACCCACAGGCTCATAGGGAATTTGTATGGTCGGATCAGAAATCAATCAGAGAAAGAGTTCTTTGATGAACCAATGGCAGCACACTGTCAAGAGTTACAGATGCACAACATTTGTGATCTGTCCACTGTCAGGGTATCAGCCCAGCTCTTTGGGTGTCCGACCATCGGGTCTTTATTACGGAACGTCAGGATGGTTAACCCGACTAAATTCAATCTAGGTATAGCTTTATTATGAATTAAAGGCAAAGCTAGGAGATATAGGAAAACTAGGAAAACAAGGGAGTAAGTGTAACTCCTCTTCTTCGACCTTACAAAGATGCAACAAAACCTGATGTGACTATAGAAAAAAGCATTAAAGGTATCTAGCCAGCCACTACCCAAAAGCAAGAAGAACAATAAAAAAAAAAACAAAAAATAAATAAAATAAGCCCATGACGTATTTGCTATAAGAACAATTTCCGAGATGGAACGTTGTGGCATCGAACTGTGAGGCTCGGATTTTAACGTTGCTAGGAATGCGAAGAATGTACAACACAGTTGACCAAAGACCTGAACAGCACAGAAAGTACAAAGTACAAAGTCCAAATGTTTAAAGTGCTAAAGTGCCAAAGTACAGCCACAAAGTGACAGAGCAATTGACCCATATAGGTCACGGCGATCGGCAGCATTAGTGGCGGATCCCGGTAACTCCGCAGACTTGACTCTTGATATCTCACATTTTCCATCCCAGCCTTCTCTGTACAGGACTTCTGCAGAGTGCAGATGTAGGATTATGTTCTCTTTGAGATGTTGGCTGATGTTTCTGACAGGCTGAAACTTATTTCAAATGTTGAAGTGAGAAATCTAGTGGTACGAAATACCTAGTGTCACTTCCGTGGCTTCCATTGCACATAACACAGATCACAGATCACAGATCACAGACACGCAGGAAACACAATAGCACAAGAACACAAGAGAACACAACAACATGGGGCCATAGATACAATCCACATTGTACTCCGTATGCTTCGGGATGTTTCCTCGAGCTATTGTACGGATCGACTTCCGCGCACCCTTGCTGGGGGACCCAATCGAAGGGTCCTTGCTGCAACCCCATCCCTACGGAAGGGGACCATGCAAGGTCAGATAGGTTATGATCGTCTGTGCTTCTGTTGTTTACATTGTGCATTGGCATGCATCTGCTTATTCTCGGCCTAGCCACCGGGTCATTGTAGGGCTTCTAGGTCCTCGAGGTTATTTTTGGTATAAACATATCCCCTTCACCCTGGCCTCCACTTCGGTCATTTTATTCCTCATTCCATCTCTTTCTCTCCTGTGGCAATTCTCCTCTCTTCGATCCATTGTACTGTGCTTAGATCCTTGTGATCTTGCTTACTCGTGATTCCTTCTCTTTTATCTTACCCGAGCTCACAGTCCCATGGATCACAGAGGTCTTTATTGTCCAGGCGAGTTGGACGTGTTGTATCAAGATCGAAATAGATCAGAGACAACCATTTGTTACCCATCGCCTTCACCTGCAAAGCGAGGATCATCTTACTACCCGGCTGGCCCAAAGGTCCTGGAAGAGTCAAATCTCGATCCATTCTACCTCGAAGAATCGTTGGCTGCCACGCCATCTTGGAATCCTTACACATCGGAAATGCGTAATGATAGCTTTGAAGACGCAAACCAATACTACACCCTGTCCTTGAACCACAACAAGGACATCGGCAACCCACTACAATACCCCGGACCAGACCGCTCCACACTTGCACAGGTCGAGTTGGAGAACAGCTTGAGATTCCACCGATACACTTCCTCCACGGAGGAAAACAGTCCGCTGCATAGCAGCCACGTCTCGTTCAGCTCCGTTCAAACAGACAGCACTACTCCCGACTTAACACCAAGCAGCTCATTCTCTTCTTCCTACGATTCACCAAGCTGTCCCGACGCCGTTCTAGAGGCCACTCAGCAGCTATACAAACACGCACACGAGGTCCAGATCGAGCCCCGTCGGCGCTTCTATCTTCCTGCATCTACACCACCTACATATTCTCTTCCCCCTCCACCTCCCCCGCCGGTGGCGCCTCTCAACCCTCCTGATACCCGTCCCACTACACCTTGCTTCCAACACTCAAACGACTCTACTACAACCATCACCATGGGCTACGAAGATGTCACAGGATCCTGCTCCTCGCGGTCCCGCCGTAGGAGGCAGCCTCCTGCCGTCCTCAACCTGACGCGTACGGCGAGCTCCCCAAGCGCATCTCGTCGCAAACAATCCAGCCCTGGAACGCGCCCTCCCCTGGACCCTTCCATGATCTCCCCTCCATCGCTGATCAACCCCGTTACCATGGAACCCCACATGACTCACTTTGACCACCCTCTCTTCATCCCCGCCAACGACTGCCCTAGTCCCGTTCCTAGCCCCGTGGCTAGCTCCCCACCAATCTCCCGCCAGTGGACCGCAACCTCCATGGAGCGGCCTTCTATCTCTACTATCGATGCTTTCTGCGAGCAGTCTGTTTGGGAGTCCGACTCCGAGTCCGAGTCTGCTGGCCGTAAATCCATGTCTCGACGGCCCATCGACACACTGCGCAAGGTCCGCAGCCGTGCTAAGCTCCGTGCCGCCAAGTCACAGCCCAGACTTCACCAGACTATGCTTGATGGCCAGGCCTCTGAGCAGTTCCCGTGCTTGTCAGAGGATATCCTCGGAGAGCCTATCCCTGAAGCCTTCCGTCCCAGCATGGACCGCCCCAGCACTAGCAAGGACGCTGTCCGGCCCAACAATGCCCTGCAGACATTGCGCCTTGTTGCTCCTTCCTCCGCTTCTCTGACTCGCCCTCCTCGTTCCCGCAAGAACAGCAGCATGAACAGCTCAGACGTTGATCGTTCTGCAGCTGCCGCCTTCCAAGCCCAATTCCGACGGCGCCAGCGCTCCGAATCCCCGGAATACCCCACTTCAAACTCTTCTACTTCCGACAAGGGTGAGAAGGAGAAGTTAACCGCATTTTGCTACGACCAGTACGCCCACGCCCCGATCACAGCAGCTCGCGAGCAAAGGCCCCTCTTCGAGCGTTTCATGAACTCCCTACGTTCATTAAACTGCCAGAAACCCCAAAAGTCTCACAAGAAGACCAATGTTACCACCATCTGATGCATTTCCACTCGGCGTTCCGGTTCTCTGGGTTCAATTTTAACGGACGAAAAAAACGTGCTACAACATACCGACTTTACCAACGATCCCTCCAACGATTTCATATCACTGTCTTCATGTCTCCAATGTGTCTCGATGATTACGAACACGTCCACTCCCTAACGCAAAACTCCGATTCTGATTCCCGCGCACAAATGAAAATAATGAATCTCCAGACCCGATTGTGGCTGGACACCGACGTGCTCAAAGACGTTCTCTATTGCGCTATCTCGCGCCACGAAACGAATATCATGTCTGCTACACAGACTATGACTACCGACTCATGACTCGATACCCTCGAGCTAACTATCTTTAATTTTCCTACTTGTCATCTGTTCCGAATTGTTTTTCTTTCCTGTCTTGCTTGCGCTATTTCGCGTGCTGTATTACCATCGCTCTTGTCTTATTACGAAGCTACTACCAACGGTCTTCATCTATGCCTCACTGAATCATGTCTTTCTATCACTGCTGCGACAACTATTTTTCTTATTCAACTTGGTGTCCATAATTTCAAAATAGAGGAATACGGCGCCTTCCGTGGTCTGTGTCTCTATGACTCAAAATCTGCATTCTGGAACTTTGCATTCATCAAAAGTTGTTTCACTACCTCATACTTTCAACATAGACAAAATTAGAAACTACCACATTTTACCTCAAGTATGAATGGTGCTTTGTTACTTCGTTGTCTAGGAGACGGGGACGTTTTGCGGAATGCTGGACTGCAGATCTCAGACGATCATCAAAGGCATCTTCGATACTACCGCAGCCTCCTTAAACCATCCATTCGACCGAGTAATGAAGACTATGTAACGACGGCTCCCCTCTTCCACCTTGGTGGAAATGCATCCTAGTCCTACGCCGCCACGCACGGGGCCCCGGATTACACAGACTACCAACAAGGGCGAAGGGCGTCATCAAACCTTCCCCTAGGCCAGGCCAAACTAACACCTCAGCTAACTAGCAGTTTCTGACTTCTGCCCTGTAGCAGCCAACCCATTGGAAGAATATGCACAGCCGGACAAACCAGCCACGTATGTAGTGCGTCATGATCATTCCAAATTCACCGTCGACTTCTTGCAGCCGTTTCAGAAAACTAACATCGAGCGACAGAATCGAATCCTGGATCCCGGGTCCGCTAGCATGAGAACACGAATACACAGGTTACCTATCGAATTCTCGATGCGTAGCCATTCGTACGTTCCCCACAACGGCTGCACCGGGGAACCGCGGGCGGGGATGGGGGTCCACTGGCCGGGGATGTGGGATGGTCTTGGATCGACATGTCCAGGCGTTGAGGTTTGAGTATTTAGGGCTTGCGATGGCACATACCAACTAACACCAACTGACCGACAATTGCGTTCAATATACGGAGTACTCCGTACACCTCTCACTTACTTCATACCGAATTTCTTATTCAAATACTATCTCACTAACAGCTGCACTCACTGTACTTAAGTATATTGTACTCCGTACCGAGTGCACAGATCCAGATAGGAGGATAAGAGTCATCCCTTGCATGGGCCCCTCAACGTCCACCAAGAGCCAAGAGCTTCATTGTCCGAGACCTTGACTTTGCACCTCGGCTGGAAAGCCTCAAACTATATCCTTTTCTTTTATCTCTTTTACTCCCTGTGTCATATTGCTGTAAGTACACAAGCTTAAACCATCCTATTCGCGCCATAAACCCAAAATCAACCAGCGCCATCCCCGTCTTCCCCTCAATCGGCAATCTGCCAATCTGATATCACACGTCCGTTCTCTCTATTCAATACAACTCCAATCAACTGGCCGATCACCCTCGATCGCCGCTTTGACAGGTAAGGCTAGACAAGGGTTTTATTTGGACCGACCAAAGAAATCTCCTCCCTGTGCCGGGGCTCTTCCGCGGCCTCACACGCAAGGTGGTTGATCCACCGGCTGTGCACCCATTGCATCCCCGAGACCCGTCATCCTGGGCTGGTTTCAGATCTATCGGAGTTTGTGATGTGGGGCTGTAGAGTTCTCGATCTGGGAGTTTGGACGTCTAGGCCTTTGTGTTTCATTTGGTACTTTTTGATTTATGATGACTACTCCGTAAATAGGCTTGACGCGTAGGGCTACAAGGCGTCCACGGGTGACATATGATTTATCATTTATGCCTCGTGTTTGACAGGCAGGCGCCATTTGGTTGCTTTTTTTTTGGTTATGACAAATTCACTTTTATTTGTGGAATACAAATGTAATCGAGCTGTTGGCTATCCTGAAAGTCTGGCGAATGTCTCTGAAGTCGCAGAAAAGGTAAAATCGGATGTCTAATCCAACCCGCGACACCACCATGGCAACACCCGTGCCTACAGTAGTGTGCAGAAACCCCAGCGTCAGTGTCTCAGGGAAACACAACGAGTATATCCCAAACAACCCAGGACAGACAGTCCGGACCGGCCTTCCGCCCCGTCCGTCCGCTGCAACAACCTTGCAGTGGCAGCGGAGCCTGTTCCAAGTATTTGGATACTCGCATCACCGCGGCAGGGATAGACCCTGCCCTGCAGCGGGGAAGGAGCAGTGGACACGCCGAGAGACAGTCGGCCCATCTCTACAGGAACTCAATCCTGCATTCGCATCTGCAAGACGAGAGGAGACCTTTTCCTTCCTCCGTCCCTGTCTGTGTTGTGGATCTCCAGCCAAAGTACAGCTTTGTGTTGTATCCATGACAAACACATAGTGCAAGTCGAGAGCATGTCTGTAAAAATCCAAGACAACTTCAACTGTGCTCCACAGGCTGACCCTGGCCTTCGCCCTTGCCCTTGCTCTCCTCCTCCTTCTCTTTCTCCTTCATCTCCAAAGCCTCCATATTCTCCTCCCACCTCGGAACATCAACCCTCCCCTCCCACTTCGAAATAACAACATCCCCCTTCCGTCCAAGCTGTTTCTCCGCCCGTTCCTCCTCTCCGTCCTCAGCTCTGGGCGCAACCTCCGAAGCACCACCATCAGCCCCAGCAAAAACAGCCTGCACATCCAGCTCCTTAAGCGCAGCTTCATAGAGCACTCGGAGCTGTTCCCTTTTCTGTTTCCGCAATTCCCCAGTTTCACTATTGCCACCGCCATCCGTCCCCGTAGACCCAGATGCAGAATGGCCCGCCCGCACAACCGGCTTCTTCACAACACCCGGTCCACCCCGCTCCTCGAACCCGCGTAGCAATCCCTCCATAATACCCAGTACAGTACCGGCACGCATACCCAGCTGCGCGCCGACGGGGAAGCCTCCGTCGAAGCCGTCTTGCACGTGCGCGCCCTTGGAGGCGGACGTGCCGTCGCGGTAGCCTGCTGTGACGTGTTGGCGGCGGAGGCTGGGGAGGTCGGAGGGTTCGGTTGATTGGGTGAGTGGGTTGGTTGTTGATTGGAGGGGTGCGGTGTGAGTACTTTCGTGCGGTGGGGAGGAGCCGAAGATGTCGTCGAGGGAGTTGTTGTCGACTGCGGGGTAGTCTTGGGACATTGTTGTTGCTGGGGAGGGTGGAGCAGATTGGGCGGAGGATGAGTCTGTGTGGGTTGATGTCATTGAACTGGAATACCTCAGTATTCACTATTATTGACTTGGAGTTGATTATAGAGGGTTGTTGTGAGTGAGGCGTGAGTTCTACGTTGGAGAGAAAAAAAAGATAGCGGGTCGGCGGGGCGATCCGGCGATCCATAGTATGAGCACGGGATTATTAACCTTAGTATGTTAGTTATTTAATAATAGTTTTTAGTATATATGTTGTAGTTGAATATTACTTAGGTATCTGGGAGGTTGGATATGGATAGTAGGTGCACTGATATATCGTTGCATATAGCGAGATGGCTTTCCCTTTCCGCCTTAGACATCATTTCAACTTCCAAGGTTCATCTTCTGAGACCTAGCAACTCACGGAAGATGGCGTGGCCACTTCCCCCGGATATAACTGGCCGTATTGTGTCACTCCTGGAAAACCCATCGACTCATATAGATACCGAGCTCGGATTGGCTCAATATGCTTCGGTGAATCGCGACTGGCAGCCTATTGTCGAGGAGCGAAGCTGGGCGAAACTCCGCGTCAAGACAGGAACTCCATTGAATCTCGAGCGATTTGAAAAACTGACAAAGGACCCACGACGCCAATCATATATTCGGGATATCGAATTGATCGTGGAGCTTGAGCCTTACGATGAATCTGCCAGAGCTCATTTCGAGACAGAATCTGAGAATGAGCGCAATAATCAGATCTTCTCCGATGCAATCCGCTCAATCCTTCAAACCGTCGCGAAATTCAGATCATCGCGAGGTATCTCGCTCTCCGTCAAAGCTCAGTCGCCTAGTGATCTGGTTGCTAGTCCAAATAGACTTAGGCGAATAAAGGCCGCCCGTGCCGAGCGGACTGCAGATATTTTGAACCGCAGATTTGAGAGAAACTACCTTCGGCTTGATGCATTCGAGAGCCAGGTAGCACCAGTCGGCATTGTGCATACTCTCAAAATAGAGGCGTTAGCCGATAGACGACAAATCGAGGCGACTTCGTGCGCTCGTCTTGCCTCGAAATTTCCTAACCTCCATACGCTCAAGTTGGTGTTGAATGACACCTGCAAACACGATAAGGATCTAAGAAAACGCAACCGCGACGGTATGTTCTATTTACAGGTCAATTGACTATTTTTCATTACATACCATGTACATTTCCTTGGTTTACTAATGGTGTATTTAGAATTCGCTGCTCACATTCACCTTTTACCGCCCAGCATAAAAACATTCAACTTTCATTTTAATCATGAACCACCTAGGGATCACAACTTCTCCCCAGATGATATCACAGACCAAGGGGTGGATGCTCTCAGCTCGCAACTACATAAGTTCTCTCAACAATTAGAGACACTCAGTATCTACGGAATGACATTTGGAAATGAGCTTTTCTGGCCACTGGAATCAAACGGTAATCATCCATCATGGCCTGATCTGAAAACCATCGACATTGAATACATCCCCTCAACCCCGTCCGGGAAATGGCTCTTTGTTGACCGCTTTGATCGCGATGAGGACGATCAATATGAGTCCACGGATTCAGATCCACATGATGAATTTCCGGAATACGTGAGAACAGTACTAGAAGATCGCAGCGGCAAGCCCTTCCGAGAAGTCAGTGTGCCGGGTCTCTTCAATGAGCTATATATGGCCGTGGGCCAGGCAGCATTGTATATGCCTAAATTGGAGGACCTGCGTATGGAAACAGAGTCGGGAAGAGTCCATCATCGGTTCAGATATTCCACGGAAGGCGATATATGCGCAACATGGTCTGACGGTCTCGGATTCCAGACTGAGGAAAGGGTTCTGAACCTGTGGAAGCAAGTGGCTTCTGAACATACCGGTCAAGATCTCACAGTCAAATTGTGCGATGATTAAGAGGGCACAAACCAGAATATCACCGCTTGCCATTTGGGGATGTTCAAAGGTTGATGATATTGTATTTCAGCTTAGAAAAAGTGATTACTAACTTCTAGTCCCTGCCAGCTGGAAACCGGTACACTGGGTAATCAGCTTCGTCTACATGATTTCGCCGAAAAAGAGGCTCATTGACATACAGGTGGCGGTCGTAGAACTTGATAAGAATGACAAAAAGTGCTTACGTTCAGTGGAAAGATTATTGCTTGAAACACAAAAGAAGCTCGCTTTAAAAATAACGCGAAGCCTCATGATACCATTTCACGCGCAAAATTCCTACAGGCACTCGCGGACAGGAACGTCAAACCTAACATGAATTAGATCTCTCATTCAAACAGGCAGAAAACTATTCCCCATAAAAGAAAATTACCGTTGAGTCCGGGCCTTTGGCAGAGAAATTGAATGATTATACTTTGGTTGATTATAGCAGGGAGAAAGATGGAAACAAATACGTCTTAGTTGATTTATGGGAAGACTAACGACTGTAATTGAGATAAATATATAATATAATAATACTATTCTTACATCCATAGTTGTTATAACTTTGGCGATAGTTCCTATTCTTAGTCTCTCAATAGGACATATAGGGTATATGTGTAAGAAGATGTATGATATATAGTCACACCTAACAGAGAAGGGGAAAGTGTTCTTGACCTCTCCTTCTTGTTTGTCACTTTTCATCTCTTCACCTCCCCTCTTCACCTCCCCTCTTCACCTCTTATCTTCTCGTCTTCTCTTCACCCTGTGCTTCCTGAGCCCCCTCATAAAGCGGCACCCCGATCGGGAAATCCACATCCGCGGCCTAAAATCTGGTACAATCAGGTACATATGTATACAGATGAAGGTTATTTACTGAACAACAACATGAACAATATCTGGTAGCAAGAGACTTTCGAATTGATCCTCAACAGTTACCTTGGCCGAAGGCAACTGGGACATTATGGCCTGATGATCCGGCAGTGTTTCATTGATTGTTTCCGACGTACACTTTGGGCTAAGGGACCGTCATTTCTGATTGTTGGAATGGCAGATATGTCTCAATGGAGGAAGTCTATCGAGATATCGCTTGCCATTGTGAAAAGTACTCAGAAGAAGGACTGTAATGTTGGTCTGAGGTGGGAAAAAAGATCCACAGATGGAGGGGCAGATGTCTACTATGTCACATCGGTAGTACAGTTATATTCTTTTGAATTTGTATTATTATATCCTGAATATGCTGTCTAGTTAATTATGACATTTGACATGTTGAGATGCAAGTGGTAGTATGCACGTAATTACCAATGCGATATTGGGGCCGAGTCGCATCAGATGATGTGCCCAAAGTAGTTAGTAGCCCCCAAACCCCAGTTCTGTATTTCGAATCTACGTGGAGATCTCCAATCAACCTAAACAATACACTCACTGCTATGCCTAGACGCTCCCTCCGCCTACTAGGCTACACCACTGCCGTAACCGGCCTAGCTGGCTACAGCATCCACCGTGGACTCAACCATCTGGAAGAAAAGTACCCAGCACTTCCTCTCGCAGCGGGCAGTAGAGCCCTCCGCAAACCACAGAGCCCAGACACTCAGCGTTGCGCATATACCGACATCTACGCAGCACAAATACCCCTGCAAGCCCTCGAAGCCCGGGTCCCAAACCAAAAGACACCAACAAAAACAGAGCTCGAGTATTCCTGGGCTAGATCTGTCATCGGAACCAAGATCCTACGAACTGAGGGTTCTCTCATCGGACTCCTCGCGAATTTCCGCTTCACACCGTGCGATACAGGCACATCAGAGGGCGGATTCTCGCCGGATGAAACCACCGGTGCACCGCGCGTTCTGCTGAACGGTATGTTCCAAGTGCAGCGGCTCCCCGCTGCTGATGCAGATAGCAATGGACTACTTGTTTCGTTGAAATTGCCGGACGATCCCCGTGAGTTCTTTGAGAAGATTGCGCGGTGGGGATATCCATGGCGCTTGATGTCGTCTCTGCGACATGAGATGAGTGTTTCTGAGCCGTTCCAGGTGAATGGACGGGGGAGGTTTGTAGAGGTTCGGTTCTCAACTGCGCATGATTATGAGATTGTGGATGCAGAGGGGGAGTTGGAAAAACAGAAAATCATTCCAGCTTGGACTTTGAGGTTGCATCGTGGGTATGCTAGGTTTGTTCTTGATTCGGCTGTTCGAGAACTGCTGCGGGATGTCGAGAAATGATGCGGCCAAGCGGGGACTTATTCTTCCTTCGAAATACTTGGATATCTTTTCATACCATTCGTCTTTTAATCCGGGTAGTCGGGCTACCCTCTGGGCATACCCCAGGCCTGATAGCATGGAACACTTCGACTTCTAGGGCTTAGAAGTTCTAGCGAGCTTTCAGCGGCCATTGAAGGGCCTTTACTCCACCACTACATTCAACTCTTCGATAGCAAATATACATATGGTTGACAATTCTTCACGTGGGAAATTATTTTTAAGCGCTTTCAGTGAGCACATGCAATAAATATTTAACCCGGGAAGATGAAATACTACATTTCCTGTAATCCCCCATTTCCAACCATATAAACATTTGCCTGATACACACCATATTTAACACCCAATATCAAGATTTTCGCAATTGCAAGACCAAACCCGTTTATTCATCACCATCACCCGGATCTGGAACACATGCACCCCCATTCGGAATAATACTCCAAGACTCGAATCCATTGTACAAGTAGCATACATCCCATCCATTGGTAATGCTCCCAAGCAAAGCACCTTCCCCACCGGAACAGTCAGGCGATCTGAACATGCAAAGATCATATCGGTTCGCGTCCGACGGACTCTTCCACGAGATACTCTTGACATTTGTCGAGTTGAACTTGGCAAGATTTAAGACCTGACAGTCACGCCGTTGTGCGCCAGAGTAGTGGAGGATGGAGTATTCAATATTGTTCACGGAGCTGTTGCACACCGGCGGTGCCTGGCTGAGAAAACGGAAGTCCCACTATGAAACATTAGCGGGTTTGACTATGACTTCGGCTTGTTGCACGTACGGCTCGGTAGGCAAGGACTGTGAGATCTTCTGCCCTGGGTAGTGCGTTCACTGTCCAGGACGAGACGCTAATGAGCGTCAAGCACGCGGCGAGGAATTTCATTTTGCGGTTGTTGGTAGAAACAAGTGTGAAAATTAGGATTTATATCGGAAATACGGGGTAAACTGAAACGAAATGATTATTTGGGACATCCCGAAGCGCAGAATTGCTTCTTTTTATACACAACGTCCCATCCCAGTCAACCTATTTTAGTCCATAACTGCACCTGCAGGAGCGGAGTCGGCGTCTCCAATCACATCCTTCAACAGTCAGTCGAGACTCCATAGGCTCGAGGACAACTCCTTTTAGCTGCAGCTAAAGAGCAGCTGAAAGAACTTGGCCAGAGGAGTTTCGGTTAAGTTGCTCTTGGCGTCGGGGAAAAGCGTCAGGTTGTTGGGTTCTCATTGGATGGCAATATTTTCGAGACCCTAATTTCTTGAAGGACCTCGCGGTGCGGCTCCTCCGCACCTTGATTGTCGGGGGAATAAAAGGCGAGCCATTTTAATGGTTACTGGGTACAGGTGATTGTCTCGCCGATTCAGGAACACGGCGAATGAGCGTTGGCTTGGCTCAGGAACGACAGGGACCGGATACTGTCTTACGTGCAGCTTGCAGCTTGCAGTGCTGACATCCAGGGCTCAGGAGATGAGTTCGCTTACTTCGTTTGATTATATGGGTTGATTACTGTGTGGCCAGGCCATGACCTTCATGGCTGGTCATCCCGATTCCCACTCTTATTCTCGGCATTAAGCAGAAAGAAGTACGGAACCCCTGTGAAAGCCTTCATATGTAAGGGCAAAGAGACTTTGCTCTCTAACCTGTACTATCCGTAGCGTACGGTGCCTTTTCTCGATAAGCCATACAATAACGGATCATGCATTATGCTGTCTGGACCTTTTGATACTCGCAGAGAAACGAAAAGCATATGCAGGCTCTATCCATTCCAGGGGCGGAATCGACCTGTGACACCATAATATAGCAACCCCGGCTTATTTTCCAGCGTGGTACACATAGAAGGGAGAGATCATCACGGAAGGACAGATCGTATAGGTAAAGAGGCAAACACTGCGGTTGCATAACATAGAGATTGCCCTAGGTTGGGAGACCTAGGAGTTCATTTGGATGTTTTGTAACTTGTGCTTGTGCCTGCAAGTGACCCCATTAACCATTACTGAGGATGCGAAAAAGGAATGCTAGCTTGTCTAAATTATTTATTTATCCAATCTATAGAATATCCCAGAGGGTATACGAAGACATTACAGGCCGTCACGACACACCAAAACCCACAGTAAACGAACTGTATCAACCCCGCTGGGGACTAGACGACAACCGCCAAGCCCGAAGAGGCAGGTCCTGTAGCTTCTGTGCAGCGGGTTTGATAAACATAATGAATGTGAGCGTGCCAATGAGCACGCATAGCATGTTGGTCATATAGTACCCGTCACGGTCGACGTGGCAGGTACCGCCGCCGTTGATGCAGCGGTTCTTCTCCGGCTCGAGGGCGCAGGAGAATGCCGTTGTAACGAGGGCGCCCTTGAGGGATTCGACGGGTGGGGCAATGGCTGGGGGAAGACATGTTGCTTGAGTGAACATGTCGACGAGTTTGAGGACGAAAATCCGGGGGAATGTTCCGCCCAGGTTGGAGACGCTGGAGGTGATATGTTAGCTATTATACGCATTATTTGTTGGGGTGGGAAGGGTGGAGATAGGTTAGGACTTACGTTGCGAGGAGCGTCATGTATGTTCCGCCAATGGCCGGGTCGGCGATGCGGGCGTGGAAGGCTGAGATGGCGACGAACATGACTGTGTTCATGAAGGTTGAGAGGACATGCTCTCCAATTACGGTGAGCATATACCACATTGGCACTTCCGAGGCAGTGGGGTAGATCATGACGGTGAATTGGGCGAGCACGGCGGCTGCTAGTCGTCCGATAAAGGCCCAGCCCCAGAGGCGCATTGCTCCGTAGTTGGTTGACCACTGGCCGGCATAGTAGCCAAGCATGATTTCAAAGGGGAAGTCGATCAACACCACCAGGGCCATGTTGTCCTGGCCAAAGCCCTTGTCCAGGAGCTTGAGACTAGTGACTCCGTCATTGGCCTGGAAGCCGATTTTGGCAATGAGGTGAATCAGAATAATGGTCTGAATGTTCTTCAACTTCAGAACGCTCCACATGCTTTTATACACATCCATAATGCTGTCACGTTCCTTGGTACGTTCTTCCTTCTTGAGGAAGGCCAGACCACAGGTCACGATCAGATAAGCCCAGCCCCAGAAGTTGAGATAAGTGCCCAGGGAAAGAAGACCGCTCTCTCCGGGGATGGTTCGGAACCATCTGTTGGCAAAGTCCTTCGAGTTGAAAGCCAAGAAGACAGTGTAGGACAGGAAGTGGCCGGCTGTCAATCCGACCGTTTGGGCGGTCGACGCGTAAGAGATGTTAGGCGGGGACATCAAAGTAATCGCCCATCCATCCACAGCAATATCCTGGGTGGCACAGAAAAGCACCAACATAAACCACCAGTATGTGAATTTCCAGACTCCCGCGCCGCCATTAGCGCCGGCTTGTATCATCATATCCTCGATATGACCACCCATATAGATCATAGCTAATCCGGCAATCACCTGCACAGGGGTAATCCAGCTCTTACGCCGACCAAATCGCGTACTCCACACAGCATCGACAATAGGACTCCAGAACAATTTGAGCGAGTATGGGTATGAGGCGAGCGAGAAGATTCCAATCTGGCCGTAGGAGAGGTACGGTTTGAGCAGGAAGGGGACGGAGCCGGTGGCTAGGCCCATGGGAATTCCTTGGAGGAAGTATAACAAGACCAACAGCAGGAAGTTGCGGCGATCACTGCGTGGTAGGTTGTGGAAAGTTGTATTGGTCTGGATCGGGGTTTGAGGCACGGCGGGTTCGTCGTCGAGGGAAAATGAAGATCGTGACATAAGTTGGGCTGTTCTTTCGGCTGAGGTCTCAGTGGAGGGCGTGTCCCTCCTACGCATTTCGATGTTGTTATTCATCTTTCCATTCGCACGTCCGTTGGACCCGGTAGAAACTGTCAGGTTCGCCTTGGAGCGGCGCTTCGAGAGGGTAGCGTTCTTGCGTGTCATTGAATGCTCTGTTATAGTCGGGAGATATCGCCTTTGGCAACTTTGTCCCGATTGGATCAATTACTGAAGTTGGGATATTATGATAATTGAATAGAGACAGGGATGGATTGAAGGCTCCGACTTTGAAAGGGTAGGTGTTTAGATACCCCGAGTGTCCTGTATGTTTTTAATTCCACTGAGAATGAAGGAATGAATGAGGGATTTGAAAAGAAAGAAACCTCAATAGATGTTTGGTGGGGGGATCTTCGAACCAGAGGATGACAAAAGAGAACATGAGGCAAGCTGGCCTCTTGGCTGTGCAGATCCGGGGAGCCGGGGCAGGGTCTACTTTAGTCTTCTTCATATACAAAATGGGTCGAACATGGAATTGGGCATAGACATGGATCTGAATATGAATCTGATCAGTTAATATGTATTTTCTCTCTTGTTACACATATAACTATAGCACTTAACACTATGAGGTTACCACATCAACATAGTGGCACTTTACTTTGTACAGGGGTCAAGCATATACAATATATCATACCAGATCTATATAAACCAAGCTCCTCCCATCTAAGCACATTTGAGGCTTAGACCCCTCCATGGTCTGTTCAGATTTTGGGTAATAAAATAATCCCAGCCCAGGGAGCCCAAGCTTCTGCATAATCGCGTCAGATGTTGACGTGATCACGTGCCGCAAATAAACAACTCCAAATCCCCACTGCGCATCTACAACATAGCTTAGCTTCTACGACAACATTGCTTCGGAAAAGACCCATACCCACCTCCAGCACTGTATCAAGCTCTACAAACCAACATCCCAAAATGACAACAACCACATCTCGCCCCCCCACATCACCAGACCCAGAAGAAGTCGAACTAGATACAGAGATCACCTCAATCCGTGCCGAAAGTAAGCATCTCAATCCAAACCCCCGCAAACCCACAACTGAAACCCAAAACTAACCAAAATAAAGTCCAAACCCTCCAAAAACACAAGCGCATCCTCACATCCAGCCTCCTAACAACCGACCCAATCCAAAAACTCCTCCGCAAACAACAACCCCAACCCCCCACAACAACAAACCAAACCGACCCCCTGGCAACAATCTCCCCCCTAGTCCACGCCGCCGGCGCACATACCTCCTCAAACCACCACCGCATCGCCTTCGGCGCAACCGCCTTCCCATTCAAAGACCCATCCCCAAAAGCCAGCGCCACGCCCCTCCTCGGCGTGCGCATCGACGTATGCACCCGCAACGGCCGTTTCGCGAAACCATACTACATACTCCTCCAACATGAGCGGAGTCGCGCGGGCCCCGGGTCAGGTTCTACGAAGGTATTGAAGGTCCATCGACACACGGTTCCGGGGTTTATATCGATGACGAAGCTAGAGAGTGTTTACCTGCCGCGTCCTGGAGTATCGCGCGACAATGGAGACGGGGAGGGATCGTCCGGAGAGGATGAGGATGCTGAACCCGCGAAGCCATCGAAGAAGAGCGGCGGTTCTACTCGGAAACAGGATCTGCGGGGATTTGTGCGCGAGCTTCGGAGGGAGCTTGTTGCGTGGCATATGCGTGTTGATGCGATTGACTTCCTGCGCGAGAAATTGGGTCTTGTTGGTGAAAGTGGGAAGGCGTTGCCGTTTGATGTTTCGCCGGATCGGGATACGGGGATTGTGTCTTTAGCTGCTGTTGGGGCTGAGGCGCGGTATGTGCGGGTTGAGTGGGTTGATGGTCGGGTTGGGCGGTTTAAATTGTCTAATGCTGGGGTTGTGGAGCGGGCTGTTGTTATTGGTGATGAGGGGAGGGATAAGAAGGTTGAGGATGCGATGACTGGGGGTGGGGGGAGAGTTGAGACTGTTTTGGATAGGTTGAGGGTGGATGTGTTGTCTGCATCACCTGCCACGCCTAGCACGCCTGGAGTATGAGGGTGTTGTGTTTTGTTTCTGTTTTTCAGCGAGAGATACCCCGATGTGAATTCTGAAGTGTTCGAATCAATTTAAGTGTGAATTTCATTGCAGCTAAATTATAAACAGGGTTGCTATGTCTATCCAATGGTCTCCACCAAATGCTATGCAATCATGAGACCCAAAATCCGCCGCAATGCGTGTATGTGAAAGGTGATAGTCGATCCAAAAGCATTCAAAATTATTACAAGAGAAGTAAAGGGCATAACAGGGACAAAAGAAGGGGTGATTAAAAGGGTATACTGAGTAGATGTCGTGTCATCGTCTCCAATTAGAGAGGCACATAATCCTGGCTGGGATGGATTGTATCCGGTGTTGAAGTTTCGAGTGGTGAGTGTTGCACAACAGCATTGGGAGTATTGGGGGTGAAGGCGACAAGGGGCAAAGAACCATATGATTGGCCATGTCGCACTTCGAGATGTCGACGTAGGACGGCCTCTTCCAAATACCAGCGGTGCCGCAAAGTCGTCTTTTTCGTTCCCAACGCTTGCATGAGAGAGAATTCCTCTCGTTGGTGTTCGGCTTGCAGGGTAGCAATGCCCTGGGTGTGTCGGTTACACATTTCATCCAGTTCCTTTTCCATACGCCCCGTGGCTTCCTGCAGCTTAAGCTCCTGGCGGTCACGGAGGACTTTGATGCGGGCGTGGTGGAGCTGGTCCATATTTTTGTGGGAATGGTATTGTTGTTCTAGCTGCTCCATGTGTTGGCGAGTGAGTACACGGGCTGGTGAGGTTGAGTCGTATTCCGATAATGACTCGGAGGAGCGTTCGGATCGTTCGGCCCTGATCGATGTTCCGGCGGGAGATGGCGGTGGGCTGGCATTGCGGAGATAGCCCTCCATATGCTTGATGCGAGTACGCGAATTCATCTTAGCTCGATCGAACTCACGTTGTTGTTCGATTTCTACCGCCAGTTGTCGCTCTTCGATTTGGGTTATAGCTTGAATGTTCTGTACGAATGCTTGTTAGCACAGAAAAATAAAAAAGTTGAACGGCGGATTTTGTAAAGCGAACCTTCTCGCGCTTCTCATCCTCCTGGCGCTGGTTATCAGACTGCTTCTCTGAGATATTGGTCTGATGCCGACGCCGGAGGGTACTTAGAGCGGCGTCTTGGAAAGCAAGATGTCGGTCCCTTTCCATCCGATGCCGCTCGTGCATCTCACTTAGCTCCGGATCGTCCAGACTTCTTTGTAACTCCTCTTTGCTGAACAGAGGAATTTCCAATCTGGGAGGTGATGCCTCATTTCTCGCATGGGGCGAAACATCATGGGCAGCATCATTGGATTCCGGTTTAGGTTCGAAGAAAACATGTTCAACGCCTTTCTCGCTCGTGGATAGAGTCATCCGCCCTTCCGAGGGTAAGACAATGGCCGAGGATGTGCGCCTCTTGCGGAATTGAATTCTTCCAATCGCAGACTTCAAGCTGCTCCGTCGCCTCTCCTTTTTGTCGGCAGATGCGACGCTGAGAATTGAATGTCGGTGCGGCTTGGCCTCGAATGTATCACTATATCCGTTCCCAATCAGGCCCGACCTCCCCTCACTAGAGCAAAACGAGGTTGGCCGCGTAGACAGCGAAGCTAGTGATCGTGTACTGCGAGCCTTAATGTGATCTGAGCCTAGTGTGACATCCGATAGTGAAGAAACGATCTGGTCGAGCACGGATGGGACGGGGGAGGCCGGCTCGTGGGACGGAGTGACGGAGCCGCACACGGATTTCCGATCGGTCGACGATCCAGAAGACAAGACTGGGGAGGAGGGATCAACCATTCCCAAGGCGATCGTGGCAGCCAGTGGCGCTGATGCTTCGATTTCTGGCACTTTCAGACCCAGCTGTTGAGCCTCTTCGGCTAGATGTTGCGCCTGCGCTGCTTCGGATTCCGGTGAGGGGTAGTGGAGGACATCGGTGCGATATTGGGCCTCATCGAAGATGGGCCCAGTGGTCGACTCCATATGTACAGTTATAGAAAGTATGTGGCGCCTAACCAGCGGGCGCACATGAAATTCAAGATCGACCTAAGAATAATAGTCCACTTGGACGCATTCTATGACGGCATGGGAATTTTTGAGGGGTTGTAAGGACAGTAATTAGAAGAATAAGAGAGGTGGAGAGGTAAGAGGTCCAAGCTAAAGGGAGGAGGGAGAAGGTAGAAGGGTAGAAGGTTGAAAGTAGAAAGTAGAAAGTAGAAAGTAGAAAGGGGAAAACAAAGACTTCACCATTACGGTCTTGTCAGGCCCTCTTTTTTCTTGTTTCCTCATGTTCTGTCGTTTTAGGCAATTTGTAAAAAAAAAATAAATCAATTTGACCCACGAGTGGCCCTGATGCAATCCCATTTTGAAACGGACTAGTCTTAGATTTGAAGATGTAAACATGAACTAGCTATGTATACTATGGAGTATATTGTATAGTGAACGGTATATATTGTAGTTACATTACGGAGTAGTTAAAGAATTATGTTGTATATCGGAGAAATATAAACTATCCCAGTTCAAACACCCCGGCATTTGTTCAGATAGCCTTGACCTGCATTTCCCAACTATGCACTTGATCCCTGAAAATCCCTTGATCAAGCCCCAAGCCCCTCTATTCTCGCCAGATTAGGAAGGTAGGGCTTAGGGCTATCGGCATAGCCTCGGTCCCATAGAAAGGTCGCATCAGGCCATACAACGTAGATCAGCCCATTTAGAACAGCTAGCTCAATAGTCATGAGCTCTACTCGTTCAGCATGTTGAATGCCAGGTTATAAGCCTGCTCCTTAGCCTCGTATTGCGGAGTTCCCACCCTCGTCCTCTTATCCCATCCATGACTACAGCCCGGCATGCGCTCGCTGACCACATGCCAGCCTTGCAATTTCTTGATCTTCTGGGTCAGTTCCTCAGCCTCAAGCGCGAGAGTGTCGCCATCCGCGGTAATCATGAGAACCCGTCGTGGGAATCGATCTGCCTGGGCGTATAGCGGCGAAATGCGCGGATCCCGCTTGTCGAACGATGAGGGTACATAGCAGCGGTCGAAGAGACGCCTGACTGGAAGAGGAATCGCAAAGTCACCACGGGCCGGGGCAGTCTTCGAAGCAGGGCCAGGGCTTAGGTCGGTCACAGGATAGAATGTTAGCAGAGAGCGGAACGTATCGGGAGCGAAGAGGCTTGACGCAGCTGCCAGCGCGAGGTTGCCTCCAGCACTAAATCCAGATATAGATACACGGGTCAGGTCGAATTCATCTGGATGCGCGAACACATATATGATGGCGTCTTCCACGTCGTTCAGGGCAGCGGGGAACGGGTGTTCTGGTGCTAGCCGATAGGGGACGTCTAAGACCGTGTGCTTGGTTTCCTGACTGACTCGTCGACAAAACTCATCGTCGCTGCCATGGAGGGGTAGCACGAAGCCACTTCCATGAAAGTTGAGGAGGACAGGTGATGGACCCGAGCCGGAAGGCTGATACAGATGAACCTTGATGGTTCGGCCAGCATCCCGGGACTTTATATGACGGATTTCATCTGGACTAGCCGATATATTTGTGGCAAGGCGCATGAATGTTCGAATGATATAGGTGAAGCATTTATCATAATAATACAAGATAATATCCATGTTTGGCATGGAAGGATGTAGTATGTTGAAGCTGAGTCCCAGCCGAGGCCTGGGGTTAAGGATGCCACTGCTGATCTCCGTCCTATTTTAGTCTACGCCAATATCTTACAGTGCCTAACCTGGGGGTCCCAACTTGGAATCGACTAACATACTATCTTGATTATCGTTTCTAATACACTAGCTATCCAATAATAATCTGTAAGGAATCAGGATCGTCCATAAGGCACGATTTATGCCCGAATTTTAAGGCACCCATGCAGTATAGTCATAGAGTAACTTTTCCCTAATAATTGAACTGACTAGGGTGATCTTACCCAGAATGACACTGAGAGTACACTGACACTTTATATCCTCCATTTTTCTGCAAAATATCTTACTTCTATAATTTCCGTAATGTAAACCGTGCTGGTGCGTCGATATATCAATCTGCTAGTGGCGTTATTTAATGTTATTTAATCTCCTATCAATTAGCTCTCAATTCCCCGCATTAGGAGATTTCCACGCAGAGCCTCATTATCTTCCACGCACCTTGTCTGCCAATCAAAATGACCGCCTGCCGTCGTCACGCCCATCTCCAACGTCCACCGCCGTCGCCTCTATTGTATCCCTTTTGGAGTCTCAGGTTATCTGGGAAACAATCATCTAGTTTCTAAAAGTCATCCATTTTAGGTTTCATTAAGCAAGCAAGGACTGCTTATTGAGCTGGACAGGAGTGGTGGAAGATCTTGCAACATCGCAATCTACACGCAATCTACGCAATCTACGCAATCTACACAATTTACAGGATGTCCACCAAAGTCGACCCCGTCGACAATAATTTTACGGTCTTTATACGCTTACCATTTCCCAGGGGTGACTTTGTCGATCCGCCGCCTGCAAGTCTCCCCAAGAGAAACCCCTTAAGCATCCACTAACGTAAACAGGTGGAATGGAATGCATCCAAAGATCAAGCGTTATGGGATATACTTTCTCGGCCATCAAAAGGCGATATTGACTGTATGTATTGCTGTTACTTCGAGACTTTGCTTTGTCTTTGTTTTGACATCACTGACATCACCACAGGGAAAGCTCTGTAACTGCACTCTGCCCGGGACACATTAAAGCTGAGGGCTACTAATATGGTTGATATAGGGCAGAGAACTTCGACGTCACCTTACAGTTTCTTCTTCAGCAGGCAGCATGGCTCTATGATCGCCAGCTATCACAGGTTAGGGCTCAAATGCGCAAGGTCGGCACTACGCAGTCGAACTCTCCTTCTCCGGCTTTAGGATCGGTCTCTGGTAGTACGGCCTTGTCACAAAAGGAAACGCCATTACCAGGTATATCCCATGGTTGCTTTATATTCACTACAGTCTGAGACTAATATCAATAGGTTCTCGGGCGCCTTCACGGCAAGTATCTCACCAGAAGGATATCCCTCTCCGAGGTATGGACCGAAACCCTACCCGTCCCCACACGGGACCTTTGGTACCGCCGATGGATCGATCGCGTTTGACATTGACTGCAGCCCCTGACAACCGACGTACGAGCTTTACATCAACTACAGCTACTAACCAAACTCGCGGATCCCGGGATCCTGCACGCACTGACACGCCGACAACCGAGGAGAAAGAACCACGTTGGGATTCTTTTGGCCGCCGGCCTTCGACTGTCAGACGGGAACAGCCGCCGGTCACGTCTTTGCCCCGGTCTCCAACACTGGAGGAAGAGCCCCTGTCCACGAGCTCGTCGGAAGAATCTGAATCTGACGACGAGGACACGATGCGTGCACCCCTGTTCAAACGGTTTGGCAAATTTTCTACCCACCGCTCTGGTCTCCGGGATGACGAGGACGACGAAGAAGACACTCCAGCGTTCCTTCCCGTGGCCCGAGAACACCAACATACCCATCTAGATCGTCCAGGCCAGGAACTTAGCGCCACCCTTCGTTTAGATGCCGAGCGAGGAGCGGCGCAACGGCGACATCACGAGCAGCGGTCTGGCCCTATGGTACCGGCAGCTACAGAGTCATCCACCAGCTCTATCAGCTCCGGTGGGCGTAGCAGCCTACCTGGTGGACCCAGACGGACCAGCCAGGGGGCATCGACCCTGAGCTCCCAGCGCGCTGCCGAGCGCCAAAATTCCCGCAAGTCCACCGCCTCCGGTCGCGAAACTAGCGATGGTACCCCCAGCATGGGAAGCAGCTTCAGCGACCTCGACGGTATGTGTCCCAACCCCGAGGATTCTGGATTTCAACTGATCGACTGGTCAGATGCAAGCGTTACCCAGTCAGCCCTGGAGGAGGCCCTTCTAAGCAACATGCAGCATGGTGGAATGGCTAGTCGGATGAGTACCATCAGCCAAGCCTTACGCAGCCGGTATCTGCAGTGAAATATACCTGTTACATAGCAACATCAATTTTGGCAGATTGCACTCTACGATGTAGTATGATGTGTATGATGTGTATGATGTAGCTCATGTCAGATGTCCGCATATGGCATCCACGTGACCGAGTGGCACCTCGGCATCTCGGTGATGCGTACCGGTGACATAGACATTTGTGGATATCTTCACTTTGACCGGAGCTCTCTATACTCAGATATTCCAAGTATTCATCGTCACGGATCGGTCAAACGGGAGCGCTAGTGCCGGATCAGGACGATCATTCTCAACACCAACATATAATAGATGGGGAGCTCAACCTAGCTGCCTAGTTGCCTTGAAAAACGTTGACTGTACAACAATGAAGAATTCGGCATATTTTGAATAAACCAGACACTCGACCAATCGTGGAAAGCTGACCGGCAACAAAGAACATCCACACTGCAACCCCACCAAGACCCCAATCGCGGAGCGGCAAGCCTCGGCATCTCAGCTGCAGTTCACCTCAAAAGACCAACCTTCCATTCGCAATTGTTCTCCTCTTTTTCTCGGTCGCAAAGCATTTATATCATAATTCACAATGGCCGCCCCATTACTCGGCGAAATGTCCCCAGCAGAGGCAGAATCCGTCTATTTCAATGAATACCCCCCACCAAAAGCCCTATCACGACATGAAGCGCTGGCACGGGCATTCATTGACCTCCACGTGGAGCAGAATCGCCGCGTAGTACTCGTCACATCTGGAGGTACAACAGTACCACTTGAAGCACAAACCGTACGATTCATCGACAACTTCTCCGCCGGAACTCGAGGCGCCACATCAGCCGAGTACTTCCTGGAGCAAGGGTACGCAGTGATCTTCCTGCACCGACAATACAGCCTTCTACCGTACTCGCGGCACTACAGCCACTCAACCAATTGCTTCCTGGACTTCATGGACGAGGCGCCTGCCTCGGCAGACTCCTCCAACCCCAGCCACGGACCTATCATGGTGCGCGACGAGTACCAGGATCAGATGCGCAGCGTGTTGCGGAAATACCGGTACGCGAAACAGAACAACCGTCTCCTGCTATTGCCGTTCACGACGGTCTCGGAGTACATGTTCGAGCTGCGGTCGATTGCGATGCTGATGCGGCCGCTTGGACCAAATGCCCTCTTCTACCTTGCGGCTGCCGTTAGCGATTTCTTCATTCCGCGCAGTCGTATGGCTGAGCATAAGATCCAGTCTGGGGAGTTACCTCCACACATGCCTGATAGCGCAATCTCATCGGATGAAATCTATACGGGTGAGAATGAGGAAAAGTCCTCGTCGAATAGCAGGAAGCTTGTCGTTAACCTCGACCCCGTGCCTAAGTTCCTGCACCGGTTGGTCGATGGATGGGCTCCGGAGGGGAGTATGATTGTCTCGTTTAAACTGGAGACGGATCCATCGCTGCTTGTCTACAAGGCGCGTACTGCGCTGCAGCGCTACTCTCATCACCTTGTGATTGGCAATTTGCTGTCGACGCGCAAGTGGGAGGTGGTTTTCATTACACCTGATGAGCCGCATGAGCGTTGGCTTCGTGTTCCTAAGTCAAGACGCAGCAAGAGTATCTCTGGTGTTGAGGATCAGGTTGGGTTGGCGGAGGCTATGAAGGGAAATTCGGCGGCGCTGGAGCAGGCAGAAGCTCAGCAGATTAATGAGAGTACTCATGATGGAATTGAGATTGAGAGTCTTATTATTCCAGAGTTGGTTAAGTTGCACGCGAAGATGATTGAGAAGAAGACGCAACCTGCGCAGTGATAGTTATATTGGGGCTATACAATTCCATATAAATAAATAATGCATTCTCGGGTCTTGAAGGTATGAATTGATTAATACTGTTCTGGGGTATAATTCTATATATTTTCCTTATAGATGCTACTTTCAACTACAACATAGTTATAACTAGTTAGTTAGTTATGTTGTAGTTATTCAATGTATCGTGATATCCTGCACTGCCCGTGCTGATCTCGGTGGATCCTGACGTCGTGCGGGAACTGTTCACCCCCTGAGGAAATGAAGAAGCCTGGGAGATCTCTCAATTATAGCAAGGGATTACCATATCTCAAACAAGAGATAGTTATTTGATTCAAGGGGTAACTATTTTAAAACCCTCCAAATTCCACTTGGGCTACGCGTCCCGATGTGTCAGCGACAAACCTCGGCGTCAATCAACTTTAACCCCCGACTTCCCCAGTTCTTTTGCTCTTTTGGTTAACAGGAGAGGGGCAAAAGGTCTGAGATTCATCTGCCCTTAGCGAAAAATGACCGATTGATCTATCCTCTGTTTGGTGTACTCATATTTTCTCAGAATGGTGCCCCGCCGGTTCAGTCGACGCCTGATTGCAGTTGCAGCCGTCATCACACTCTTCTTCCTCTACAATATCGGCTTCCTCTCCAATAACAATCGCCAATGGCGTCCTCACTTCACAACAACGACAGAGTTCACCCCGACCTTCGACCAGAACGGTGAACCAGCCCCATTCTGTCCACCCTTACCAGGCATCGAAGATGTGCTCGTGGTGATGAAAACCGGAGTGACGGAATCGCGCGAGAAAGTCCCCATCCACTTCAAAACAACCTTACGATGCATCCCCCACTTCGTAATCTACTCCGACTTCGCAGAAGAAATCGAAGGCGTCCAAATCCACGATGTCCTCGCCAACATGGACAGCGCCGCAAAGAAGAACCCGGACTTCGACTTCTATCACCGCATCGTGAAATACGGCCGAAAGGGTCTGGAACAACATGATTTCTCCGATGAAGCCAACTCCGCCATCGGAAAACCCAACAATCCAGGCTGGAAACTCGATAAATGGAAGTTCCTCCCAATGGCCCAGGAAGCGCTACGATACAAGCCAGACGCGAAATGGTTCATCTTCGTTGAGGCGGACACCTACATCTCTTGGCCAACGGTCCTAACCTGGCTGGCCGGGTTCGACCACACAAAACCACAATATCTCGGCACGGAAACTCAGATCGCGGACGTTATCTTCGCCCACGGTGGCTCGGGCTTCATGCTCTCGAATCCTGCTCTACAGCGCGCCTCCGACGAGTACACCACCCGCGAGGTCGAGCTCAACAACTTCACAGACGAGCACTGGGCCGGCGACTGCGTGCTCGGTAAGGTCCTCAGCCACACCGGCGTCAACCTACACTTCACATGGCCGATCCTTCAAAACTCCAATATCGGCGAACTGGACGAATTCACAACAGATCTCTACCGGAAACCATGGTGTTTCATTGCCGTAGGCCTCCATCACCTCTCACCAACTGATATCGAGAACCTATGGAAATTCGAACAAAGGCGCTGGCGGGATGTAAGTCGACCAAACCCCAAACTCCAACTCCCCCATCCATCCATCCACCTACCCATCCATAAGATCATAACATTGTCCTAACTCCTTATCCCATGTAGAAAAACAAACGAATCCTCCTGCACGGCGACCTCTTCCGCGAATTCATCTCCCCAGAAATATCCGCACACCCCATACGACCGAACTGGAACAACTTGGCTAGCGAAGAGCAGCCGTTTGCACACAATTTCGAAGACTGTCGCTTGATCTGCGAGACGCAGAAAACATGTGTGCAATTCTCCTTCCGGGAGGGTAAATGCTTCACTAGTCTCAAACCGCGTCTCGGACATGCGGTGCCGAGTGGCGATGCGAAATCGGGTTGGATTACTACTCGGATCCGTGATATGACGGAGAAGAAGGGGTTGTGTCGGAAGCCTGATTTCGGGGATTGAGGTGGTTTGACTGTACTTTTATTTTGGTATTGCCTTTTTTTTTTTTTGGGCTTTTTTGGGGGAAGAATATTGTTTCTTTGCTATAAATTTGTTATTTTGTGCTTGCATCAAGAGCGAGAAATGGGTACGCTTTGGCATTTGCTTGGTTTGGAGCCCGGTCTGGTACTTGGGCATGCCGGGTGATTTGGGCTCGTTTTGGGAGAACTTGTGTTTTTATTCTCCTCTATTGCTGTACTACCATTTTGTCTGTTCTGTGGATGATCATGAGCTTGAATAGACAAGCTTTGTTTATGGCGTTGGTGTTTGGTTGACTCTTTGATATATTTGCTTGATTGCTCACACACATCTTGACACGCTTGGACGGATTTCCATTTTGCTTTATGGAATAGTAAGTATTGTTACTCTGTCATTGATTCCCTGTTATTCACTGTTCTAAAATGTAACTGAAAAAGAAAAAGTAAGAAACGACTGAAGGCTAGCATTGCTTGGACAGTGTCGAGACACCAGTTAGGAGAGAAACTATGTATACACTTAAAAATATATGCACAGGACAAGTGCTGCTGTGAGTCTGTACAGATTTCACGGCATTGTCTACTCACAGTGGTGGAGCGGACACATCCTCCAAACATTGATCGATGCGCATGATGTGGTATCCAGCACGCTTGATATGTCGAATAAACTCCGGTAGGTACCCGATGGTAGTCGGATTCAGGTAGTGCATGACAGCAAGATTCCCGCCCTTGCGAACACCACGGAAGAAGGCTTCAAGCTGTTTCTCCGGTGTAGACGTGTTTGCCCATAGCCAGTCTTCGACGTCGACACTCCAGTTCACAATGTACGGGTTTGGGATGTGTCGGGCTAGCTCCTGGCGCAGGCGGGCAGCCACTGTACCGAATGGCGGGCGGAAGTATGAGGCTGCAAATATTCAGTCAGAATAATTTTCAAGGACGCATCGGGAGATAACATACACTGAATGCCCAGCTTGTCTCTAAAGATTTCCATGGACTGGACGATCTCGTCATCAATATCACGGAGGGTTGGCAATGATTCCATCCTTGATCAACATGTTAGCCTCATCGCATGAAATCAAATGTTCAGAACAAACTTACTTCGGATGAGTGTTTGAATGGAGCGCCACTTGGTGACCCTTCTTCAACATCTCCTTATAAAATTCCGTGAAATTGCTCGTCCGATCCCTGAGTCCCGCCCCAACAACGAAGAAAGTAACCCGGATATCCTCCTCTTCAAGGATGCGCATGACCCGCTGAGCGAACTGTGGCTGTCCATCATCAATCCCAAAGGCAAATGAATTCGGACGTGAACAACGGAGAACCAATCTGCCATTGGGCAGCTTCCCAGGCAAACGATAGTGACCATTTTCCTCCGACGGCAGTGGAACATTAGGCAAGATCTCTACACGACGTAGAGTGATGGGCTCACTAGTATAGAACCCATGAAATGAAACCGACAAGACGCGATTGAAGTCAATATCGAAATGAGTCAGAGGGATATAGAGCTCACGACGGCCCGATGGAATTTTGGCATTTCCTTGGGGGTGCTTACGTCGACCTCCCTTGGATCTTCCATGCTTGTGCTTGTTCCTTCCAGCATCGGCGTGCACATCATCGTCGTCATCCCAGTCATCGTCATCACCATCGTCCCAATCGTTATCCTCGCCATAGGCCTCAGAGGCAGGATGAACCACATACCGCTCCGCTTGGACGGAGTCTGCAATGCCAGGGAAGGGACTGCGTTGAGGGTTGCATTCATCGTTGTGTTGGTTAAAAGAGATGCTGAACTGATCCGTGCCCTCAAAGATGACATGGAGGTACTCGTTGTACCAGGGTATTAGGCTGTAGCAGATTTGGGAATCGAATTGTGTGTGGAAGTTCTGATCGGGGTCTGTTGGGAATAGACGAATGAAATCTGGCCCGTACTGCAGAGGTAGGTTCTCACCGGAGCCGTGCCAGAATCCCAGGTTATTGCGAGTTGGGTTTCTGAAAGTGTCGATGACAAGAGGTGGGCTTGCCTTCTTTGCTCGTGAGGCGTTATACGAGGCGTTGTGGGTGAGCCCTCGGAGTTCATTCCAGTGACCATGGTCAACAATACCGTGAAATAAAGCTGAGGTTGGGAGGAATAGCGAAAGAGCGGCAGAACCTAGAAATAGCCAATGCATGATGAACAGTTTCCTCGAGAAAAGATCGAATGTGCTTTGGTTGACGGGGTCAAGGACTCAAGGTGGAAATTGTAAGAAGCATCGTTTATGTACTCGGAGTAATCCAAAGAGTCAAGAACGTCTGACTACCCCATTCATACAGGAAGGAGCTACCTAGGCATACGTCCTTGGTCTACAAGTCTCTACATCTCTACTCTTCACGCTCCAAAATATACAAAGGAAATGGAAAAAATGAAAACTAGATAGTGGCATAAAACCCATGAAATTCGTTATGCGGCACATCTCCTCGACCTTTGCATCCATATCACTGCATTAGCGCGCACGATAAAACCGATCCAGTCCTGATGTAACAAGTCAGGAGAAAGGGTCCTATGTTCGACAGATCCATATCACAAATTGTCGAGAGATCAAGCCCTCAAACCTTCCTCCGGGCCACTATGTGATGAGATCCGATCCTGATCATCCAGGATAAAATTGGGTACTCGGTAACAATCGTCTTCTCCACTGTTGGACTTCTTACGTTTCCATGTTTTTGATATTTTCTTGGGGGTTTTTGATCTCGTTCCATTGTCGTCGTTGCATTGTCGTTGCATTGTCGTTGTTCCATTGTCCTAGTTCCAGTCGTCGTTCCATTGTCGTTCGTATTTGTTGTCGTTCTGTGCTCAGCACAGCTAGAGCAAGGCGAGGCTCTACTCCCAGAACGAATCTTCGTCCTTGGGGGGAGGGTGTCTCGGGGCCCACTTAGAACCGGCCAGACCAGCATTGCTCTCCTTGCGCTTGTCTTCCTCTTTCCCAACCTTCTTGCGTTCGACCAAGGGCTGGGTAGGCGACCACCATGCAGAAGCTTCCTGCTCCTCGGATGTAACAGATGGCTTGGGAACAGTGCGCTTGGCAACAGCGGGCTCACCGTCATTGGCAGGGTTCTTGTTGACATCTTCAGTATCGTTTGCAACCACTTTGTCACTCTCCTCAGCTTCACCAGGCTCATCGGCAGCGTTGGATTCAGATCCCGCGGCGAATCCATCGTCAGAACCAGCGTTAGATTCAGCTTCGGCCTCGGCCTCGGCCTCAGATCCAGCGCCGAATCCATCGTCAGAACCAGCTTTAGATCCCTTGTCAAAGAAATCCTTATCAGAGTCGTCATCGAACTCCAGCACGTCACCCTCGGGGCGGTAGGGTATGAGGAATTCCGGGATCACTTGCTTGCATTCGATCAAGATCTTAACAAGATCCGGGGCAAGCTCCTCATCACGTTCATTGAAGAAAGAGGTGGCGATGCCTTCGTTGCCAATGCGAGCAGTACGGCCTGTGGATAGTAGAAATACGCATTAGTACTAATTTCATCAAGAGCATTGGAAATACAGTGGTATCAAGCTTGTAAGACATACCAATACGGTGAATATATTCAGTGATTCCCCCGTGCATGGCGCTGGGTAGATCGTAATTCACAACGTGCAGCACATTGATAACATCGAGTCCACGAGCGGAGACGCCGGTAGCAACCATCACAGGACACTTTGCGGACCGGAAGGCACGCCTTTTTTTTTTGTGACGGGTTAGCAAAGTCAAATAAAAGGGCGTAGGGAATACTCACATAGCGTCCTCGCGCTCACGCTGAGTTCTTCCACTGTGAATGGAAGTAGTAGGCATTCCAGAATTGTAGAGGTAATCATCGACGAAGTCAACCTGCTCCTTGCTGTTGACGAAAATCAAGGTACGAACAGGTGGCATGCTGATCAGAAGATCATAGATTGCGCGCATCTTCTTGTCCCTATCAACCCAGACGATCTGCAATTTCACCAAGCGTTAGCATTGAAATGGAACCTCACAAGTCTCTTATAATCTCTATAGTTCACATACATCCTGCACAACGTTGTGGTGCGAACTGCCGGCTCGGCCAACGCGGAGGCGCACATGGTCATCGCTGAGGTATTTCTTTGCAAGCGCCCGGAATTCTTTGTTGAAGGTCGCAGAGAACATGAGGTAGCGGTGATCAGCATCCTCGTTTAGATCTTCCTCAAGTCAGCAACACCGAAACGCAGAAATGCGCAAATGAGGGGTTAAGAGCGCGCGCCGCGCCCGGCGCATTCAATCACTTACCTCCTCCCGACATTATCTTCTTAAAGTCTTCCTCCCAGTCCGCGTCCAGCATCTCATCGGCCTCGTCAATTACGGTGTACCTGAACCGCCATTAGTATCAAGCATATGATACATGGAGGTATATCAAGTAAGTCACAAACATACCTAACTCGGCGGAGAGAAAGAACGTGAGTCTGCTTCATGAAATCGAGCAGACGGCCAGGAGTGGCAATCAGAATGTCACATCCCTTCTGAAGCTCCTCACGCTGGAGGCCAGTAGGAGCACCGCCATAAGCAACACACGGGCGCAGCATGGACCGGTAGCACAAACGACGGGATTCATCAAAGATCTGAGTGACCAATTCACGAGTGGGGCAGACAATCAGAACCAGAGGCTCTGCTCGAACGGCATGTTCCCTTGGGTTGAATCTTTCCGCGAGGTTAGGTCGAGGAGCAGCCAGCTTCCTCGCCTTGCCCATCAACTTGGAAAGAATTGGAATGAGGAAAGCCCCCGTCTTTCCAGAGCCTATGTTTTATTAGGATCAGCTTGTTTGCCAAACACCATACTCCGCTGCACGTACCAGTTTGGGCCACCGCAATAAGGTCTAGGTTGGCCAGAACAGCCGGAATCGCATATGACTGGACCGCAGTTGGTTGTTCGTACCCGCAGAGACGAACATTCTCGAGCATGACCGGATGCAAACCAAAGTTTGCCCACTATGAATTGTTAGACAGGTGTATTGTTGCTAACCTCTCTCGCAGACTGACCTCGGTAACCGCCTTGATCTCGTTAGGGCTCTCGATGTTGACCTTGTAGCTGTTCAACCTGCAGACGAAGACATGTTAGATATCGATCTGGTGTCCGATTATCAGATTCACGTCACTTACTCGTCGAGCTTAGCCCCCGGGCGGGCAATCAGCTCACCACGGAAAAGCTGGTCCTCGAGTTCAGGGACTGCGGGGCCGACATCACCATAATCGTCCTTCCATTCATAACGGGCGGCAATTCCAGCCCAATCACGATGATCCTTGTTATTAGCAAGGTCGGCGTACTCGAATGGAACTGGCTCCGTCCAACCCTTTTCACGGGCAACCTTATGAGCAGCTTCGGCGTTGGGGCCCACACCAGAAAGAACGCCCTCGACAGGCGGCTTTCCATTGCTGGACTCGCTCACAGAAGCAACTTCAGCAGCCGAGACGGACTCGACAGCCGAGGCAGCACCGGCAGCCGACGCGGCATCATTCTCGTCATAGGATTCCATGGTCTATAGACCTATTGAGTGCAATTCTCTCGCGTTCGATATCTGTCAAGATAGGCAATGATGTTGATGAGTTGGTAACGTTTGGAGGGGAAAGGGAAAATTGGAGAACAAGTAAGTTTTTTATTTGAAAACAAAAACACGCGGTGCGGTATACTTATGTATATCAACACAGCAATTAATTATGCGCGTAACTTCCTCGCTGGTCCGGACTGCTTGGGGGTACTTCTACTGGATACAAGTTATCTAAGGTGCAGCAAGCAATACCGAAGTACTCTACATGTACCACTCTTGATTAGGAAGGAGCGACTCGCCGAACAATATAGATGTAGGTATACCCAGGTATACATCTATATTGTTCGGTAGGTATACATCCATATATCAAAGGTGTGATCCAATCTTTCTATATCAGACTGTCTTTCAGGTGTTCATGTTAACCACATTGACTAGTTACATAATTCACCCAACATCTACACGGCTGATCATGTGCACATATTTTGAAGTACTATTCTCATTTCTAAAAGCGATTTGAGGCGACAAACGAAAAGCAGACGTATACCGGGCATATTGTGATCCTTTGAATTCCGGAATCTACCGGGCATATTGTGATTTGAATTCCGGAATCTACCTATGGTATATCCATTGATATCTTGGATAAGCATGGCCATAAGCGATCTACTAAGCCTCGGGACGTTAAGCTCCTCGGTTTTCCAATGGAAAAGTGGACCCGCCCACCCTCCTGTGGCCCGTTCCGGGTAGAAGGAGATATACGCAGTATGCCTGGGAACGGGTACCTTCTTTATCTCCGACTCTACCTCCTTTACAACAATTGAACATTCACCATGGCCTCCGAAAGGATGGAGGTAGATACCAATGCTCCGCGGAAGCGTCCGAACCGTCTGGAAGCTGCAATTACCAATCCCGGCGCCGTCAAAATCAACGTCACGGGCGCATTCATCGTCGATGACGAACCACGATCAAAGAGTCCCGTCGACGCAGAGGGTGTACACTACGAAAACAAGGATATTCGACTTCCGCATCATACAGGCGTTGTGAGCCATGTAGCTGTCGATGTGAGTTGCTCACGAGAATTTTATTTTCTCTGCCCCGCACCGCTTCCGGTTCCCCCGCAATCTAGGGACCGCGGACAATTCCTTCAGAACATCGGAAGAAAGCAGGGCTAACGGGGGATTGGGACTTGATAGATTGGCGGAACACTTGCGAAGCTTGTTTATTTCACGCGAGAGCCAGACACTGCGGATAATGGTGGCCGACTCAATTTCCTGAACTTTGAAACGCACCGGATCGATCTGTGCATCAACTTCATTCGACAGCTTAAAGAGGAACACGAGAAGCGTAATGGTTCGACACGGGAGGGACTGTGTGTGGTAGCCACTGGGGGTGGCGCATACAAATACTACGATCGGCTGAAAGACGAATTAAATGTTAATATTCTACGGGAAGAGGAGATGGAATGCCTAATCATTGGTAAGTCACCAAATATACCTAAGCATAGAGCATACTGTCTCACGTCTCCAAAAAAAAAAGGATTGGACTTTTTCATCACCGAAATCCCCAACGAGGTCTTCACCTACAGCGATGCCGATGCCGAGCCGATGCAATACGCCGAAGCCCGGCCCGACGTCTACCCTTATCTTCTCGTCAATATAGGATCAGGTGTTTCGATGATAAAAGTCTCCGGTCCAAGACAATTCGAGCGTGTCGGCGGAACACATCTCGGTGGTGGAACATTCTGGGGCATTATGTCTTTGTTAACCGGGTCCCGGACCTTCGACGACATGTTAGCAATGGCCGACCGCGGAGACAACAGCGCAGTGGATATGCTTGTCGGAGATATCTACGGCATGGACTACAGCAAGATTGGCCTGAAGAGCACAGCTATTGCCAGTACTTTCGGCAAGGTGCTCCGGTTGAAGAACGATGCGGAGCAAGGAGCCGAAGACGGCGAGGGATTGATCCGTGGCGACCCTAGTGAAGCTAGCGATTCCGGGGAGTCTAGCCATGGACCCAAGCCAAATCCGGAAGACATGAGCCGGAGTTTGCTCTACGCCATCAGGTATGTTTACAATATTTCCATTCTCCAACGGAGTCCGAACTAACCCGATTAGTAATAATATTGGTCAGATCGCGTATCTGCAGTCGGAAAAACATTCAGTCAAACATATTTACTTCGGAGGTTCATTCATCCGGGGCCACCGCCAAACGATGAACACTCTCTCCTACGCCATCCGCTTCTGGTCCAAGGGCGAGAAGCAAGCTTATTTCCTGCGCCACGAGGGCTACCTTGGTGCTGTCGGTGCCTTCATCCGACGCCAGCCGCAAAACTGGGGTCGCAGAAACAGTGTTGATGATGTGGTCGCACCGCAGGCGGTCCGAAACCTCGTTCAAAACAAAAATGTCCTTCAACAAAATGGCAGGGCGTCTAGTGAGCTATAACATTTAACATGCTGAGCTATTATGACCCTACCCTCCCTCCGCTTTGAGTCTTGATACCCCTTACAAGCAATCCGTGAACTCGCAATCTTGTGCTGACTTCCTCTGTGCACCCATAATGGCTGCTTTAATTGGCCACCTGTGAAAAGCCGATGTGGCGATTCTAGGCACTTGTCCATGTTGTACATTTAGATCTATCTGAAGTTTCCTAGCTTCCTGCTTGGATTTCGGACATGTTCGGTTATCATGTTAGAGAAATAATTCATATTTCGTTGCTTTTTTTGCTCCGGGTAAGTACTTTAATTGTCTCATTCCAGTTCCCTCGGTTTGCATATGATATTGGAACATTTTTGGCAGTCATAGTTCTACAGTTCTTGGCTAAGGATGATAGTTATACAGTGTTTTTAGATGCTCTGTTTAGACGTATACAAAGGCTGTAAAAATTATAACCAGGGGTTGTATTTGTTAGGATGGACACCTGATTCATCAGGCCTTGTTTGCTAGGCTGGTCAGCTACATGAGTAGCTCTCTGTATGTTCCATAGTAGCTTTATCAGGTTATGGGTCCTCTCTATCCCACGATCTCTTATTCCATAACTAGTATCTCCATTTGTATAGACATGAAATTGTATATTGTGTATTAATAATTATGTGGAGAACGGTGTGGAGAGCGGTGCAAAATAAGGCATTCAGGCACCAAATCCTTCCTTCAAAATTCTTCAACATCTTCCTGATCGGAAAATCGCTCGCCCTCCAGAAGCCTATATTGACGTATTAAAATAACAACGTCTCTCAATCTAGATCACCGGGTATATCGTCGCGAATATATCAACTACCCTCGTCTAATAAGTCAAGTCTTAAGTAGTACGCGTCGAACTCGCCGACGAATTTATAGAACAAGCGATCAAACTCTTCTACGGATAAGGTTTCTACGTAATGAGACGAAGAAGTCAAAATTCAATATATATAACCTTAGATAGAGTTTATCTAAACAATTTAACAACAATTCTATATAGTTAGCCAGCAAACGAACTCGGAGTTATTAGAAGTACTATACGTCGTAATAACTAGTTATACTTTTTAGCCAACTTGACGGAGAAGAGCACTTCCGTCACTTCCTTACCTCCTATTAGAAAAAACTCGAAATATAACCTGTCAACTATAATTACCGGAAGTGATCTCTATAGATGCTGTTGGAAATCCTTTGATAGTACGTAGAGCGGAACGTAGAGGACGGAATCTTGCTTCTCCTAGATCAGAAGCCTCGACTAGGCCTATAGTGCTACAAATAGAAGGGATCTCGATTATAATAGTCGAAGACAGCAGTTATAGAGGATGATACCGAGAATCACGGGGTAAGCACATTTGTAGGAGGAGGCAGAGTATGACCTTGGTGGATAATCCAGCCTGAGGGTGTGTTGGGATTGACACCTGATTTATCAGGCCTTGTTTGTCAGGCAGCAGGCTGGCCAGCTACATAACCAAGTAGTACAAGGTTTTCTGGCCGCGGCCTTCAAACCTTTTCGTACTTAGGGTATATAGAGAATATTAGCTATAAAAGATAATAGAATATATAGGGAGGATATCACTTTTATAAAGATATTAAAATTAGAAATAAGAATTAGAATATATAAAAAAGTATTAAGAAGAGTTTTATTACTTTTTAAAAGAAAAATAAAAAAGAAATCTAATTAAAATAAATATTATATATTAAGTATTAGGCTAGGGTACATAAAAATCTTATTATTAAATTATAATAAAATATAAGTGGTATGTTTGCAACCTTTCTTCTCTCTCTTTCTGGTCTCTAGTAGCTTCATCAGTATTGCTTCGTGGTCTCATCTAATACCCAACAACAACCTTGCTTTGGCAGAATCTAGGTAAGCTAATTTACTCTGGAGTTCTCAGAAACAGGTCGATTATGAATACTGATATAGTCAACGAAGCATTTAGTTGCCCTAACTCCCATACCTCTATCGCTTACTGGGACACGGTTTGCTTCAAACCTTATCACAAGCTTCGTCTGATTACCTCTTCGAGCTATATAGTCTTCGAGCCGCCTTTTATCCGCCTGGAGAATGAATTCGAAGCAAAAGCGTCAAAATCGCTCGAAAAAGCAGTGGAATGGTGCAGATCGTTCGCAATATAGGGCAAAGCATCATGGGCACCAAAGACTATCCAGAATATATCCCATGAGCCCAGAATATGACTGGTCTTGCCATTCGCCTACGCGAGATCGTCCAACGTGAAGATTATTAAATCAACCAATGCGAAAAGGCAGGGTAGCTACCCGATAACCCAAAGGGACGACAACGACAGTTAGACAAGTGGCATACGGAACTGCGAAATCTGGAGCAAAGTTACTGACTACATATGTAGAATTCAGAGCCAAGCCATACGCCAACAACATACTCTATCCCGTCGGTCCTTCCTAGCGAGCCTACCTCTCCCTTCGAAAATTACCACAATGGGTACCTTATTCCCTGTTTGAATGAAGATCGTGCACAAAGAGGCGGCTGCTGTGGTCGTAAGTGCGGATTCTGTTAGAAGCCACGCAGCTCCTCCCATTCCAATGGCCATGGACATTGTACAAAAAGTGCAGTTGCTGTCTTCCGGCCCGGCGCTTTCCCCTGGACAACCTTGGAAGGAACAAGAGAAGCTTTGTCAGCCGAAAATCGACCGGTGGACGTCAAGCGAGGGTTGTCTGGGTTTGCTGGGTATGACCGATCCATGTTGTCGGCTTATACTCCCATTGCCGAAAGGAAGGTTGGCTTGCGTTCAAAGGTTTTGCTTCAGTCAGATTCGCCTTGCTACCATAGACTTGATATTCGCTAATTGTAGAAGGTTAAAGATCTAACTGTGTTGTCTAGGATAATGATCGGCTATACGTATTGACGATAACTTAAACGTCAAAAGAAGGACATACAAAAAGACATACAAAAAGACATACAAAAGAACATACGAAAAGACATACGAAAAGACATACAAGAAGACATACAAGAAGACATACAAGAAGACATACAAGAAGACATACAAAAAGACATACGAAGAGACATAAAAAGAGACATAGCGCATAAGTGTAGAATGTAAAACATCACGCTGGATAAATGTCTCATATTCCTCTCCATCGTGCGGCGAACTATGTTAACGGTCTCATCTGATATTGGATTGCCGTGTTAGCAACCCATCCATATTATGTCGTCTAGTACACATCTTTTCAATGTCACTTTGCTGACATCGTCACCTTCCAAGTATGACATCGTCATCTTCCAAGTACTTAATGCTTCCAATGTTATCCTCATCACACGAATGTTCCTTCCGGTTCATTCTAGGCTTTCCTTCAAAATCCCCTTAGGTCCCTCCTATTATTGTTCCTCTGCCTTCTTCATCCCTCGTCATCATTTTTCCAACGTTTGTTTTTCCAACGTTTACTCATCTGTTTCATTCGTGTTCTACATCCATTTCATCTCCTCTATCCTCGTTCTCGTCAATATGGCGGAAAACGGGGTCCATGAAATTGCGGATCAGTTAGAAACCCCCACAGCACAATCTCCGGCTGCAATCCAAGTCCCTGTTTCCCAGGATGGCGCGACTGGGTATGCTCTCAGGACTCATTTCTCGATGGAGGGACTAACACATGCGTTCCTAGTTCAACTGGGTCTGATCTCACCGATATCGATGAATCACTCATGCAAGATGATGCCCCTGTGTCTCAATCGGTTCCAACCGCAAGTCACTTCATAGATCCTGCTGCTCCCCGGGTGAGCTACCAAGTTTCCGCATCTGGCGAACTCATGATTATGGAGGAGCCCCGAACTCCCCATTCAAAAGGCTATCCCTTCCTGGTCTAGCCCCCCTCCTGTGTTCCTATCACTCGATAGGCTTGTTCAGGAACTACCTGCAAAGTCGGCATCCTCACCCATCACCACAAAAGTTCGAGCTCCGTCCCTGGCCGTAGAGCGTATCATGGGCCCAAAGCAGCCAATTCCGGCCCGGATCCTTGAGCTTCTTGAGGAGTGGCATGAGGAATTCCCTCATACAGACCATCCTTCGGCTTTGACTGGCCGTGCGCCTTCCACTTGGAATAATTTCAAGGCTTTCAGCGATGATGGCGATGAGTGCGAGTTATCTATCTTTCAGATATCGGTCAAAGTTCCAGCCCGACGCGCAGTCACATATCGAATTATGATACTGCACTCCCAGAATGGGCCCGAGGAACTTATCGTTTATGGACAGCCCCGGCCAAAGTTCAAGGCACCTTTGACCAAGGGTACGAAGGGACTGTACCTGCTGGACTGGCTCGAAACCGAGAAGAAAGGTGAAGTTCAGGCTTGCGGTTTGAAACTGTGGAGAACCGATGACAAGAAAATCACGTTCAGTCCACGCATGTTTGATGATGGACGGAAATGCACTCGGCTCCCAGGGGTCAATGATTATTTCAACATGCGTCGGCCAACCACTACGCCAAAGAAGCAGTCCAATGCCAATGACGACAACGAGGATATCGCGTCCAACTCATCCGGATCGTCGCTTTCTGCCTTCTTGAGGTCTAAGCGCCAAGCTTGCGCCGCCGGTTATTACGAAGCAGAGAACGATGGTGGAAACAAACCCCCAATGACACCCCTGTTGTGGGGCAGGACCACCACGCCCATGCCAAACGAAAGTCGCGCTCACGTGCGTGTCCTTGGGAGTCCTTTTAATTCTCAAAAGAGGCGCCGCAGCACACTGAGCTCTGACGATGATGTCTCCGTCCCTATTCGCTACAAGTTGATGTTGGATATGTCTCCGCAGGTCCGCATTTTTAAGACCCATGATGCAAACGTTCTATTCCAAAGGGCTCAGGAGTTTTACAAAGACATTGACAATCGCACGGGACTGCTGTGCACTTCTTCTCGTATTGAGGGAGTCCGATATGTCGGGGAGGGCTGCGTGGATGAGTTGGATATCCTTCAGGAGGATGTTCGGAAATTTTACCGTCCTGGTGATAAAGATCCCGTTGTCGAGGTGAAGCCCGCAGTGGGTTTCTAGATTCCGGTGGGATTCGGTGTGGTCAAAAGCTATTTAAGTGATGATTTTGATCAATAGCTGCTCCTCGTCACTTTCGATGGAGTCAGCCTAGTGGCCATTTGTGACAAATTTGGCATGTGTATTATGTGACGAGAAAGCTTCATCAAAACCTGTCGCACTCCACGCATGCGTGTTCATGTATGTATGTGTATCTACATTCAAAAAATGCAAAAAAAAAGGACATTTGTCCGAACATCGTCGTCTTCATGTATCGAGATCGGGTCAAAATGGGGACTCTCAGAGCTAATTATTCCTAGGCATTAATATGCCGTCTTTGCTAAGCTTAATTGCAGTCTCGTTGTTTATTCCTCTTGAGGGGAGTGACTAGGGAGATTTTCTATGCGTTTAGGGCTTGTTTTGCTAATATTGCTGGTTTTATGGACCAATTTGAGGTTATACATAGTTCCAAACGAGGACAAATATATATCTCTTGATATTGCAATTATACAGATATTCATGCATTGATAACGGGTACATCTATAGCCCAGCTATACCGAATATACAAATCAAAGATTTTCAAAGATTTCCAATGTCAAGTAAGTGATTTGAAGCCTTGAATCCTACCTAAGAAATGAATCCCAATGACTCGTGAAGAAAGGGCTGATGAGGTCACGTGCGTGTATAGATAACTGCTGAATCAGCATTTATATGCCCGCCCTGTTTACAACAAGCCCGTCACATCTACATTACAACGGACTTATTTTCTTCTCACGCCATGCCCCGAGCCTAGTTCCAGTTGTGCTCGATGACGTCTCCTCCCTCGTTAGACCCTTTTCCTCCCCCGATTCCTGTCGACACCCATCCCAATCGCGTCCCGGGGTCCAAGTCTCCTGAGCTCCAACGGTCCCTCCCCGACCCCAATCGACTAGCGCCCGAGGATGCATACTTCGCACCCTCAGTCTCGCGCGGCCGGTCAGCGCCCAGCAATTATGAGGAAAATCTGCGGTCGATGAACGGCGACAGCAGTGCCCATATTGGGTCTGCTGCGACGTTGCGGAAGAAGTTGGGCGGCGCGGGACGGCGTCGCAAGCGGAAGAGTGCTTGGAAGAAGTTGCTTTGGGTTAAACAATCGTGTATGTCTGCTTGTGGACTGGACGCTGTACAAAGCTTAAGGTTGGTGTTGCGCTGTTGCTAACAGTTCATAGATCCGGATAACTACACCGACACGGAAACGTTTCTCGACCACCTTCAACGTAATCCTCGGGTGCGCCCATACGATTTCTGGCCTCTGGTGGCTGATTCGACTGTGATTGTTCAACATGTTTGCTCGGTGGTTATCTTCGTTTGCTGCTTCGTTGGCATTGTCCAAGATCGAGTGAGCCCTGTCTCCATTGTCTGCTGGGGAAGTGTTGGTACGGCAGTAGGCTGGATTCTCTGGGATAATTGGATCTGGAAGGAGCATGAGGAATCCGTGCAAAGTGTAGATGGAATCATTGGAGGCGATGATGGATCTAGTTCGACTTCCTTTGCTAGCGCCGTCGACACACCCGCCAATGACACACAATCCGACGATACCAGGATGAACGCCATTCACGGCCTTGGGCTGTCTATGAACGGCAATGAATCAAAAGAACAATTCGCCCGTCGCAGTGCGGATTTCAGCGAGAGCATCGACACTGTGACTCATTTGATAGGGCTGAATGGTGTACCGTCTGCTCCTGGCAGCTCCATCATTGGCACTGCGGACCCGTTCATATCGCAAGATACCCACCGTGTTTCGACGCTATCACCGCGCAACCGTCAGCGCTTGACTACGGTCAAGTCGGCGTTCCTTATTTACTTCGCCCTCCTGGGCCTCAGTCCTATCTTGAAATCTCTTACCAAGTCCACCGCCAGTGACTCTATATGGGCGATGAGCTGCTGGCTTCTAATCATGAATATATTCTCTTTCGACTATGGGAGCGGGGAAGGCGCAGGCGCCACCACCAAGTTCCCTGCCTCTTTGTCCACCAACGCAGCTGTGATGGCTTCTACCGTGCTCGCGTCCCGGTTGCCTTCTACGACACATGTGTTCAGTCTCATGCTGTTCTCCATGGAAGTATTTGGGCTGTTCCCCATATTCCGGCGTCAACTGCGACAAAAATCCTGGACTGGTCATGTGCTCTTGACACTGACCCTTGTGATCGTTGCTGGTGGCGCTGTTGGTGTCACGCTGAGTGGTGGATGGGCAGCAGCCATCATTGGATCTGTCCTAGGAGGCATCCTGACTGCGTTTGTGATGGGCGGATGCAGCTGGTGGCTTATCAGCTTGCAAAAGTACAAAAACGTTGTGATCGGTCCCTGGGACCCTGCCCGGCCGATAATTCGACGCCACTGGAACTAAGCCCCTACGTTTGACTATTGATGACTTTTACCACTATTGTAATATAGATTGTGGGCGTTTAGTTGGATTTTGTTGTTGCTTATACCCCTAGATTAATGTATCATTTTTGAAACATCCTGAACGTTTCAAGTTCCATCCTTCACCCAGTTTTGGCTGCGCCTCATGTCAATGCTTGTGGAGTTGGATCCGAAGGTGACCTATTTCCTTCAGGAAATACTTCAAGAAACCTTAATATATTATATTCGGGTTTCATTTCTATGATCATTGGGTATAACTAAGGGGGAATGCGGGTTAGGGTGGAAATGAATGCGCAGACCTGACATACCAACCTTGTCCATCCTACACTACTATCATTGACCATTTATTTACTTTCAAAGGGAAAAAAAAAAAAAAAAAAAAAAAAGCCCTCAAATTTGAAACGCCTCAATTGGAATCAAAGAGATCATAGACTCTGCACCTATTTTTACCGTTTCAATTATTGGGGGCCAATATCTACTTTAGGCAGCGCCCCAAACCTCTTGGCATACCACAATCTCACTCCTTAGCGCGCGCCTCAAATCCTTCTTTTCAGGGGCTTTCCTTACTGAATTATTTGATGGCACAGCTGGAGTAACATTCCTAAAAGGAATGGCCCACATGCCCCGCATAGACCGATCAAGGCACATGTTCGACAGCCCTGAGACGATCATTCCGGCATGTCTTTTTTGTTTGGGCGTTCTGCAGGACTCGAGGAAATATATACCTCACCTTATGTCCCTCATGTCTTACTCTATTCTATTCCTCTTTGTTCGGTTTACTTTGTTCGCGGCTTGAAGCTGCTTTTCGACTCGAGACGACAGACTGGGTACCTGTTCATATATTCTTTCGATCACCGGATACATTTCTCGACCTGTTTATAAACATATCACGACTGTCGTCTAATCATTTCCCATCATGTTCAAACGCCTTGCACTTGGCCTGCTGGCCGTTCAGTCCGTGGCTGCTACACACTTTGCCATGTACATTGACGAGTTAGTACAAACTTCTTCAACTACGCTACCCTCCTGACTCCCCAGCTAATACCCATCCTAGATACCATGTTACCGACCTACCGAGCCAGGACAAGACGGAGGGGATTGACTATGCGATCATGGGTTTCGCTGCCTCAAAGTTATTCAATTCAGACTCACCGGAGGCATACAAGCCATTCGAGTCCCCTGAGACCATGCGCAAGCGTTTCAGCCCCGATACCAAGCTAATGATCGCCATCGGTGGCTGGGGTGACACCGCTGGCTTTTCCGAGGGAGCAAAGGACGAGGCTTCGCGTACGCGATATGCCAAGAATGTTGCTTCTATGCTTGACGAACATGGATTCGACGGAGTCGGTAAGAAATCCAAACAAACCTTTGCAAATTTTAAAGTCGCAAGCTTATTAACTTTTGTTTACAGATATCGACTGGGAATATCCCGGCGGCAACGGTCAAGACTACAAAGACGTGCCGAATTCCAAGAAAGTGGGCGAGATCGAAACCTACCCTCTCTTCCTTGAAGCTCTTCGCAAAGCAATCGGCGACAAGGTTCTTTCTATCGCAGTCCCCGGTCGTAAGCAGGACTTCATCGCCTTCACCAAGGAGCAGGGTCCTAAGATCTTCAAGTCTGTCGATATGGTCAATGTTATGACTTATGATTTGGTTAACCGCCGTGATAACGTTACCGACCACGCTAGTGGTGTTCAAAAGTCCCTGGATACTATCAACGAGTATCTCGCTATTGGGGCTGATCCCGCAAAGCTAAATCTCGGCTTCGCGTATTACGCCAAGTGGTTCACCACCGACCCCGACTCCGATTGTGATGAGAACCCTCTCGGCTGCCATCTCGCCAAGCTCGAGAACGACGATGGAACCGACAATGGAAAGTCCGGCGCTCTTACTTTCGAGGCTAGCACCGTGGCTGCTGCACCTAAGGATCTGAAGGATAGCACTGATGGATTGTGTGGATTCGGAGCCAAGGCCAAGTGCCCATCAGGACAGTGCTGCAGTGCCTCCGGCTACTGGTATACATAAACATCACCTGCTTCTGATTGAGATATGAACTAACTTTCTACAGTGGTACTACCGATGAGTTCTGCCAGGCTGGTTGTCTCTCTGACTATGGTACTTGTAAGGGTCTCTCTATCACCGACTCATGGCGTAAAGCCCAGAAGGATGGCAAGGCCGACGATAAGGGAGGTGGCCAGTACTACTTCGACAGCGAGAACAACCTCTTCTGGTCCTGGGACACCCCTGAATTTATTGCCCGCAAGTTCAAGGAAATCGTCGCGGAGAAGAAGCTTGGTGGTGTCATGGCTTGGAGCTTGGGAGAGGATACCTACAAGTTTGAGCACTTGCAGGCTATGCAGAAGGGCCTTGAGTCTCACGCTCCCAAGGCCGAGAAAGGCCGTGCTTAGGGAACTAGATACAGAGTCAGTCCTTGGAGGTAAGCTTGCGAAATAATATACCAGATTGCTTTTACTGTCCTATAATGAGCGTTTGATTCCATGGTTACTCCGTGTTATCTCTACATCTCGCCTATTGCTCTCAGATTTCCTATCCATGTCTCTATCATCATATTAATCTTTAAGTGGGATACCAAAGTAAAATCCAAACCATCATTATATTCTCCGTTCAGTACTATGTAGTCCATCGACCCATCCACGACTCAATGTACCTTTGTATCAAACCGCCAGCAACGGGGTCTTCCACAAGAGCCAAAAAGGGGCAGTATTGAACCGTGTGTTCGGTTTGGAAGGTAAGTCCAACCTCTTCACTCCCCTCCGACTGGCCATAACTTTGATACTTAGACCTCCAGAAATCAACAAGCTTAACACTCGGATTCCTCTCCGGGTCCTGCTCACTACTCTCCAATCTCCTCAACCACTCCTGAGGAGACACAGCCTCAAACTCCGGTAAGACCGATCCCTCTCTCAAAGCAGGAAGCAAATCCTCCTTCCAGCTGAAAGTCTTGGGATTAACCAAATGGTATACCAAATTAGCATCGGAAGACCCAACGCCATTCATGGCAATATCTGAAATAGCCTGACCACATTGATCAACAGGCAACCAACTCAGCCGTTCATTAAGAACCGGTAATGCACCGGTAGTCAACGCACTTCGGAACATGAGCGCAACAGCCTCTGTCTCATTCCATTGCGCGCTTGCCGTATCCCCGCCAAGCTGGCCGATTCTCAGAACGCGAGCTTGAATACCCGTCTGGCGCATAGCGTTGCGGGTGATGTGTTCCGTTACCAGTTTTGATCTCCCATAGCCCGTCTTTTGTGCGTGGTCCAAGTCTTCAATCACGGTCTCGGGAATCGAGGCCGGTTTGGGGGTATTGCTTGCGGCGCTGACACTTGAGCAGAAGAAGAAGCGCGCTGGTGAAGGTAGACGGGAGCGTAGGCAGAGGTTGATGAGGTTGTACGTTCCGCGGATATGTTGCTGCTCGAAGGATCGTACACCCAGGTTGAAGTTCACGGCCCAGGCACTGTGGATGACGCATGTCAGGGATGAGAGTAAGTGTTGCAGATCGTGCTCTTTGAGTCCTAAATTGGACTGTGACATGTCACCAGGGACGGCGTGGAGCTTGGCGGCTTCGATATCAGTGAGAACGATATTGCGATCAGCTAGCGATTTGTATAGGCGAGCTCCTGCCGCTGCTTGTCCTGGTGCACGTACGACTGCCCAGACTTCGGAGACTGTTGGACGTTTGAGTAATTCCGAGATAATGAAGGCTCCCAAATTTCCGGTTGCGCCGGTGATCATTACCACCTCTGTTTCTGGGGTTCGGGTGACGGTTGGGAAATGTTGAGTGAAGTGGGAGTACTTTTCGATCATTTCACGCATGGACTCTAGTTCATCTTCCTTCTCAAATTCTTGACCAGTTCGCAGTTGGTAGAGGTGCTTCGCAAGAGCATTAATGGTGCCTTTCTCGAACACAATGTTCTGGGAAAGCTGATCTCCTTGCTCGCTGATATCAATATCGCGCATGATGCACCTCCAAATTTGCGTTGTCTGCAAGCTGTCGATTCCAGCCGAGAAGATATCGGCCTCAGCGCTAGGTATCTGAACACCCAAGTCTTCGCTGAATCTTGAAAGGAGCCAATCCTCCAATTCTGGAACGCTGAGCGCGAGGGAGCCTCCTTTCTGGCCACTCCCTTCGAACTTGGCATATATCTGCTTAATATCCTCCTCGAATTGCTGATAAACTTGCGCTCGTATACAGGTCCCTTTATCAGTTCTGGGGTATACAACATCAGCCCCCTTAATCACGACGAGCTCCTTGGGGATCCGGGAGAACGTCTCGGCGCGAGCATTTGCCGCTTCAATAGCTGGCCAGACAGCTTCCAAAAATTCATCGTCGCTTAAGTGAGGCACCTTACCAGGCGCGCGGAAAATGAAAGCCCCAGGCACAGTTCGCTGGAAGCCGAACATAACGCAGTCACTCACGATAGGTTCTTCTCTAACGCGACCTTCAATTGGAATAGGAAGCACCTTTTCACCATTGACCAACGTGATTCGATCATCCAGCCGACTCAAATACTTATAATAATTGCCCTTCTCTGGATCTGGGTGTTTGGTGAACAAATCGGCTGTTCTAAAAGAGTTCTCTGGATTCTTTGCGTTATATGGTGGCTTTGAGTTCGAAGGGCCCTTGCTGGGTAGGCCGTCCAATGCAACACATTCAAAAACCCCAGGCGAGATCTCATCCATCAAAGTGAGGTCCGCAACAGGACGGTGCAATCGCATATACTGCCACTCTTTATCTTCCGGGGCTCGGAAAGAAGTCATGATCTGTCCCGTTTCCGTCGCTCCATAGTTGGCGACCAGATTCACGCCCTGTTCCACAAGACGATCGCCAAGATCATCTGGGCAGCTAGAGCCACCATATAGCACGAGTTGCGGGCGGGCTAGTGCTTGGATACCTTCTTGCTTCTCTGCTAGTAGTTTGATGACATATGGCACAGCGCTGATTTGCTGTGGCTTGGCTACCTGAAGCGCATCGAAGAGATTTTGATACGTGACCGGAAGAGAATGGTTTCCCAGGTACGCTGGTGCTCTTGTAAACAATGCTCGTCCAAGCTCCATCAGAGCATGAGAGTGGAAAAGCGGGCTGATAGTGAAGAGGCGTAGGCCGAAGCTCTTCCGGAAATTGGCTAACGTTTGAAGGTTGGTAAGGAAAATTGGCTTCGGGAAACCGGTACTCCCGGAAGAGTGTAGGATCCAGGCAATCTTCTTGCCTTCTTGTGAGGGATCTGCACCGGCGCGTTCAAGTTCAAAGCGAGGGTTGCTAGCAGGACGGTTGAACCAGTCCTCCCTTTGTAGTAGAAAGAAGCTACTGCAAGCAGGGCGTTCGATACAAATATCAGTTACGACTTGCTGAAACTGTTTGGTGTTGATAATCTGGCAGCAATTTGCCATGTCCATTAGCCGGGCATAAGCCGGGGCTGTGAGACGTGTAGATAAGAAAAGCACAGCATAGCCGAGACGATTCAATGCGAAGAAAGTTACCACGACCTCGAAGCTAGATCCAGCTAGCATAGCAACGACAGGCGCTTGCTCGAGACTTGGGTCCTAGAAGCGAATTAGTTGAGTTTGATATGGAAAAGCGGAGTCATTCTTACTGCAGGTACAAGTCCTTGCTGCATGTAAAAGCGAACAGCGACATCAGTGTACCGATCGATGTCTCCCGCTGTATGCTCCTCGAAATCAGCCGCTCCTCGAATCGGGTAGCATACTAGAGGCCGTTGTGCCTCATCTGGTTGAGCAGCATGAGATTTCAAAAGTCCATCGATGGTTGCGAATTGTTCAAAAGCCGGCCACTGGGAGTGAAGCGTGCCGTTCAATAGCCGAGTGGCGATATCTTTGGTCTGGAGTGGCTGCACGCCTGCTTTGGTTGTTGTAATAGTTATTGTAGCCATGGTTGTTGTTTAAATTATAGTTAGTAGTTCATTTGCTCCTAGATGGGTTTTATATCTGGCGGAAAAGCCCCCATGTTGGGGTAATCCCACGCATTGCGGGTGCTTTTCCGGGTTTCCGATGTGATGTCCCCGGAAAACACTTTCCCCCGGTTTTGGATATCCAGGCTATTTCCAGCTGCCAATTTACGACTCATGTGAGCGTTAGCCAGATTAGGTCGTATGTCAACAATAGGTGCGGTGTTTGACAACTTTCGCCGTATGAGTAGACCTCAAGAAAACCCAATCCCACAGCCCAACCCAACCCAACCCACCAAATGGGTGGGCAATGAGAACCTCTAATTTTGCCAAAAGAGAGCACGAAGAAGAAGAAGAAGAAGAATGCAAGTCTAAATACAGGTCTAAAATTTGAAAGTTAGGTTTTCGGCTACGCTTGCACATTTTATAGTCCCATGGGAGAGTCCCGTCTACGAACCCGTTGGCGGCTCTGCCATGTCAAATCCGAATTGGGCTTAGTTGATTTTTATTTACTCCATGGTCTGTCACCTTCACATTTCCTTTTCCATCACTTTTCATCAGCTTAACCACTGGTATTGCTTTTCTCTCAATACCTCAACAGCCTATCACCTCTTCTTTCGTCCAGTTTGATCAGCCCTTTGTTTCCTTGTCTACATCATACAATCAACATGTCAACCCCGAAAAAGCCTGCCGAGCCCCCCGTGATCCCTGAAAGAATATCGTCTCTCATGGCACCCACTCGTCAGTCAGCGCTACGGACTCACAAGCAAAGGTCTGTAAATGCAGCATCCCGCCTTTCTGAGATGTCGGTTGAGTCGACAGCATCCGATATTCTTGATGCGAAACTTGCGGCAATGGAAAGTGAACTTGAGTACATGCGGTGTGTCCGAGACGGCCTTATCGAAGCAAGACAGGCTGAAGAGATCTCCCACGACGTCTTTCAGCGAGAAATCCAACCCTTCTTGAAGTCCTTCCGTTCGTCGTCGTCAACCATTCAAGTCCTGAAGACACAACGTCCATTGATCATCGAAGACATTGATGAAGAGGTTTCGGCGAAACGTCAGAGGATTGAAGGACCGGTTGACCAAAGCCTGCTCGAGCATGCTTATCGCGACGCTATGATCTCCCGTGTGCTGGGTGCAAGTGCAAAACAGAAGGGTCCTAAGTTTGATCAATCAAGGTTCAGGAAGGAAGTCTACACGTACTACGGTGTCAATGAGCATTGTCGCCCTGGCTTTGGGTGGTGTCATGTGTTAGGCACTATACTTCCCGAAAAGCATATCAAAACTGCCCATCTTGTACCCAAATCTATGACATCTAAGGAAATTTCCCACCTATTCGGAGTCAGTGATGGAGTTCTTGGTGACCCCCGCAATGGTAAGAATGTTCTCTTTATGGCCAAGGAAATGACTGACTTATACAAATTAGGCATCACACTAGCAGAAAATATTAAGCTACTTTTCGACCAAGGTACAATCGCGATTGTACCTATGCCCGGCCCAATGGAAAGTCCAACTCAATGGAGGTGTGTTATTTTGGACGAATCAAAAAAGAGACCTTCATCGGTGTCTCAGGTGGATCCTATATGAAATTGAAGGTCAGTATTACCAAAGCTATAGTTGAATATTATATTTATGATATAATAGGAGATTGATAATAAGCCGTTGACCTTCATTTCCGACAACCGTCCTCGCCGCCGGTATTTGTACTTTTGTTTCATCATTGCGTATCTGAATGCGAAGAGCCGAGGAGCCAGTGACGCCGTTGCGAAAAAGGTTGAAGCCACACGTTTTTGGCCCTCCGGCGGCGAGTACCTTAATCGGTCAACACTGGTTACGTTAGCTCGTTGTGTTTCAGGATCTGAACTCCCTGAATCCCTTGTTCAAGACAAGACTTACGACTTCGGTGACACCTCCACTCGTGACTCTGACGCTGGAACTGTGCTTGGAGCTGATGTCCGTGACGCAATTCTTGCCATGAGGAACCTCTAACCCAGTGCTATGCTGCAGCCCTGGAGGACAAGCCACGACTGACTCTAATTTGCTTTTTTCCTTTTTATTTTTTCCCGGCGTTTTTCGAGGCTTTTTCGGGGGTTTCGGATTTTTTTTTCTTTTCTTTTCTTTCGCTTTTGCTTTTGTTCCGCAGCGACTATGATTATTGCTGAGCGTTAACTAGTTAGCGAAGCTCCCATATCATAAGGGGTCCCGTGACCTTCTTTTTCTTCTTGAAGTCCTCAAACAAATAAACAAGGTGGTGAGGCCTGAAATTTTAATGACATGTGATCTAGCATAGTGTAATACTTTATACAGATACGATTTATAGATACGATTTATGCAAATAGCCAATAGCCTACTTGAAGAAGAAGGATATCAAAATGGGCCGAGGATCTACTCCAATTTCGGATATGAGGGGTCATCGCCAGGGTACATAAAGGGCATGGGGTTTCCCCTCTAGTTACAAACATCACTTGCCGGTGAAGTTAGTTACTCTACCTTGATCTTATATTCAAATCACTTTTAATAATCAATATGGCGACTCAGTATCAGCTACCATTCAAGGTATGGCTTCTATCCCTCTATCCCTGTCCCGCGGGGTACTCGGTGAGATGTCCGAAGTGTGGAACAAAACGCTAACTCGATTTTCTACAGTTAGCAGATCCCAGTCTGCTGAAATTCGACTCCATAATCGGCAAAAAATGGGTCGGCGCAAAGAGCGGAAAGCGGTTTGAAGTACTAGGTAAGTCAGTTTAAGCTCTACATCCTCCAACACAAAGACCACAGCTAACATACTCCCCTCAGACCCCGGCACCGACAAAGCATGGGCCAGCTGCCCCGCAAACGCAGCAGAAGATGTCTCCGCCGCCGTTGAAAACTCCCACACAGCCTTCGAGCAATTCCGCAAAGTCAACCCGCGCCAGCGCGCAAAGTGGCTCCTAGAATGGCACAACCTGACCGTCGCAGCCCGCGACGATCTCGCCCAGATCGTAACCCATGAAACCGGCAAGCCGCTGGCAGAAGCATACGGTGAGATTGACTACTCCCTCGGCTTCCTGTGGTGGTTCGCCGGAGAGGCAGAGCGCATCCAGGGCAGTGTATCAACAGCCGCGGCGCCGAACCGTCGCTTGTTCACTATCAAGCAGCCGATCGGCGTAGCAGCCGCACTCGTCCCATGGAACTTCCCCGTTGCTATGGTTCTGCGGAAAGTCGGCGCCGCCCTAGCGGCTGGTTGTACGATGGTCGTTAAGCCTAGTCCTGAGACGCCGATTTCGGCACTCGTGTTGGCGGAACTGGCGCAGCGCGCTGGTATCCCCGCTGGTGTGTTGAATGTGCTTACTACGGACTTGGAGAATACGCCTGCGCTGAGTGAGGCGTTGTGTAAGCACCCACTCGTTAAGAAGGTGACTTTTACCGGCTCGACGCGGGTGGGAAAGCTGGTTGCTTCGCACTGTGCGCACGGCCTTAAGAAATTGACTCTCGAGCTTGGTGGAAATTGTCCTTTCCTTGTTTTCGACGATGCAAATCTCGACCAGGCGGTTGAGCAGCTCATGTCGCTGAAATGGCGTCATGCGGGTCAGGCCTGCATTACTGCCAATCGTATCTACGTGCAGGCTGGTGTTTATGATCGATTCGCTGCTCTTCTGAAGGAGCGCACTGCTGCCATTGTTGTTGGTCATGGTGCCGTGGCTGGTACTACGATGGGACCGCTGACCACGCCTCGGAGTATTGACAAGGCCTCTGCGCAGGTTGAGGATGCTCGTCGGCTCGGTGCTGATGTTATCTTGGGTGGTAATCCTGTGACGTCGAAGCCTGGTTATTTCTTCGAGCCTACTATTCTGTCGGGAATGACGGAGGACATGCTAATCTCACAGGAAGAATCATTTGCACCTATTGCTGCGCTGTACCGGTTCGAGACCGAGGAGCAGGCTGTCAAGGTAGCTAATGATACCAGCATGGGTCTGGCTAGTTATGCTTTCACCAAGAATATTGATCGCATGTGGCGTCTCTTGGAGAACTTGGAGGCGGGCATGATCGGAATGAATACAGGTGGGTTTCTTATGAATCTTCCTATGCATAACATGTCTAACAAATCTGTGCAGGCAACTCATCAGCCGCCGAGTCGCCTTTCGGTGGTCTTAAGGAGTCTGGTTATGGCAAAGAAAGTGGAAAGGACGTGGCTGTCAATGAGTACTTGGTTACCAAAACGGGCACTTTGACAATTGAAGGGCAATATTGAACATTCCATGATCTGTATAGATCATCTCTATCAAATTGAAATGAAGTTTATGAATATTGTACTTTCTTAATTGTGATTGGCCAAATGAATCCACCTTTCTCCAAGCGTAGATCGAAATGGATGTTCTGATTGGCTACACACAATCTGGGGGAGATCTTGTCGATATCAGATTTTCTTCATTGCACACACCATCAATATTGTCAATATGGACAGCCTTAGTCCTCTACGAGATCTGATTCAGTCCCACCCACTCATCGACCACCATGCGCACAACCTATTGAACCGCGAGTCAGCGACCGACAGCGACAATTACCCAATCGAGGCCATCACCTCCTCAGCAGACGGTCGGGCCCTAGAAAATGCCCGCACCACCCTCCCCTCACTGCGGGCCATAACCCAGCTCTCCGAGCTATATGGCCGCCCCTGCGAAAATTGGAATGACATCCAATCCGCCCACAATCAAAGCGTGCGCGAAGACTACGACGACTTGATCCGGAACTCTCTATCAGGCACGCACGCACTGCTCCTCGACGACTACCTCAGGGACGACGAAGATATCGAATCTTCAACCTGGCACGATAGCTTCACCGTCTCACCGACAAAGCGAATCGTACAGATCGAAGCCCTGGCCGAGTCCACAATCCTGCAGGTCTCGAACGCGCGCAAGAACGGCGAATCCGTCTGGAACAATTTCCGACAGCTGTTCCAGGATGCTCTCGGCGAGGCTTTAGATGATGCCAATATCGTTGGGTTTAAGTCGGAAATTTCCTGTCGTACGGGGTTAGATGTTGATCCGTATTCCTCCGACGATACCACACTCGGCGGGTCATTGATTCGCATCCTCGATTCTGGAACGACCAGGTCAGGGTTCGAAGTCAATGATAAGCAGATCTGTGATTGGATTGTTCAGCAGACGCTGAAAGCCATCTCGTTTAAGAAGAAAGCAGGTGTTGCGAAACCTTTGTTGTTCCACACTGGCTTGGGAGATGATCGAATTAATCTTTTGCGCGCGAACCCGGCTTGTCTGCAGCCTTTAATCGCCCAGTATGCTAGTGCGGATATTGTCCTGTTGCATTCTGGATACCCATACACGCGCGAAGCGGGTTATCTCGCTTCTGCTTATCCCAATGTCTATCTTGATCTCGGGAAGGTCTTTCCCATGGTTAGCCGCGAGGCGCAGATGAAGGTCCTGAGAGAAAGTTTGGAGATCGCGCCTACCAACCGTCTGCTCTGGAGTACTGGTGGCCAGTTTCACCCGGAGACGTTCTGGTTGGCTAATCGGCAGTTCCGCCAGGCTCTTGAGACGGTTAGTTGGAAGCCTACCTTTTTGCTAGCCTTGACCGATGCTGATTTTCTGTCTTGCAGGTACTCGTTGATTATGTTCAGCAAGGCGACTTCACTGCGACTCAGGCCATGAAGATAGCTGCCGATGTTCTGTTCCATAACTCCAATCACCTTTACAGCCTCGACTTGACTCCGTCATACACCGCTACCGAGTAAATCGTTCACTATGCAACAATGCACAGGTATGTACATGCCTTTGATGTCTATTACTAGATGGATACTGACAATTACATCACAGCTGATCCTTCTACTCTCACGCTATGCCAATGCACAGCCGTTGGGTATTGCCAACGCCGTTGCCGAAGTCGATCACCGATCACCGAGGGTCTAAGTTCTCTCATACGCGATACAGGCCGGCGGTGCTATCGCCAGAGCAAGTGAAGAACTATGTAACAATCAAGCAAGCCACACCACCGCATTCGCTATCCAAGCTGGAAATAGCGCCGGTTTGCGGGTTTGAGAACGATACGGAGCACGAGATGCGTAATTATTGATGAGAAGTATGTATATTGAATTATCATATTAGAACTGAATGTGATCATGATTTCTTTCATGATTCTTCACGCCGTCTTGCCCTCATCCTAAATCGTATACATAACCCAAGGCCAGCAGAGCGATCTAGATCCAGCGCTACCTGGAGTAACAAATATCTATGTGCGCGTGAAATTCAACCACCAAAATAAAATCCCAAAAGGAACATGCAATGCATGTAAATGTAGCACCAGGCGGGTAGATCGTTGTATGTGTGGTCTCAAAGCGGAGGCCGGAGTCGTGGATCTCGATTGGCCGTGGGCCAGACACCTCATTACTTGTGTGGCCCACAGGGACGCCGGATGATGTCCACTGAGGAAGCAAAAGGAAACAACTCGGATTTTACCCCGGTGTAATTCACCGACTTGTGGCATAGAATGAGAAGAGCAGGCAAAGTGGCCGAGGGTGCAGTGCGTAATTGGGGTAAATCAGTTTCATCCATAAGGACAAGATCAATATGGGCTTCCGGTTTTCATGCGACGATCTCCATACCATACCGGTCTGAAAGATATCGAGTGATTTCAGACCAGTTAGAGTCGGTAGTCACGTCGACTGGGTCGGCACTCCAAATAGAGGCTCGTTTACCAGAGTACCTATCGCGTAGTAGAAGAGTTTGGGTCAGGGTCTCTCTCTGTTGAATAAGCTGCCCAGATGGTTCAATGGCCGGGCTTTCCTTTCCAGTAGGTCGCTCTAAGGGAAGAGATACATGTACGACAGTACCTTGGACTACGTCCCCCACTACAATATGTACCGGATACCGGATTGCTGCTGTTCGGCGACTCAGGCCCGCTCCCCTTCCCTGGAAAGCGCCCATAAAAAAAAGAAAAAAAGAAAAAACTAAAGTGAGCAACAACAGTCCAGAGTGTGGGCGTCATGCCTTAACTCTGAACTTTATAGCGGAAATTACGCAGCCCAATTCCCGGGGAAGGGCTTCTCGGAAGGAGGCCGTGTCAGTCTCCGGGAGTGATATTCCGAGGGAAATTACATAGTACAAAGTAGTTAGTTAGTTAGTTATATATAATGATAACAATGTTATTGCCCGGTGTATATCCGGTAACGAATATTCTCTTCACTCCAATTGCGCCTACAGATATCCATCATCCCTAAATGTCTAGACTTTCCTTTCCACAAAAGTCGTCGGAGGCTGTTTTAAACAACGTCATGACAGCCAAAGATTTGGAACTACTTGTTCAGGATCAAGCTTTTATTGATGGATGTTGGGTGAAAAAGGAGCAAACCTTCAATGTATATGGTTCGTCTCGAACAATCACTGTATATGACACTCAGCTCATTATTCACTAGAGCCATCCACGGCACAGGTTCTCGGGACTGTAGCAGACTGTGATTTGAATGACATTCAGTCGGCCATCGAAAGTGCAAATGTGGCCCAGAAGAACTTTTACTCTTCAACTACAGCTGCACAACGTGGAAATCTACTGCGTAACTGGCATGATTTGGTCATGCAAAACGTTGAAGACCGTAAGGATCTTCCTATTTCCAAGGCCCCGCTTTCACCTCTAACAGCTGTCTTTAGTGGGAAGAATTCTATGTCTAGAGAATGGCAAGACTATCAATGAGGCCAAAGGCGAAATAGCCTATGCGGCGAGCTTCATTGCTTGGTTTGCCGAAGAAGCAACGCGCTCGTATGGAGACACAATACCATCATCGACACCGAACACCATTGTACTGACCGAGAAAGAGCCAGTTGGTGTCTGCGGTATCATTACTCCATGGAACTTCCCAGCAGCCATGATCAGTCGGAAGGTTGCCCCAGCTCTGGCTGCTGGGTGTGCCGTGGTTATCAAGCCACCAAGTGAGACGCCATTTACTTGTCTCGCTCTCACAAAGCTGGCTTTGAAGGCGGGAATTCCTGGTAAGGCCATCCAGGTCTGCCCTACAAAGAATAGGCAGGTGGCCTCAGAGCTCGCCACACACCCTCTCGTTCGCAAAATTAGCTTCACTGGATCTACCCATGTGGGCAAGAATCTCGCCATACTAGCAGCTGGCACCCTTAAAAGGACTAGCCTCGAGCTAGGCGGCAATGCTCCTTTTATTGTCTTTGATGATGCCGATGTTGACGTTGCTGTCGAAGGAGCCATGATGTCCAAATTTCGATGCTCGGGTCAGACTTGTGTGTGGTGAGTTTACTTCTTACTATTTGTTATATAAAATCTAACGATAGAATAGTGCCAACCGCCTCTATGTCCAACGAGGCATTTTGGACAAGTTCACTCGAAGTCTGGTACAGAAGGTCTCTGAACTTCGCTTGGGACCCGGGATCGAGGACACGTGCACGCAAGGCCCGCTGATCAACGCGTCCGCCGTCAACAAGGTTAAAAGTCATATTGAAGATGCCGTGTCAAAGGGTGCGTCCGTGGAAATTGGTGGCTCGGCGCCAGAAGCACCTGGATTTTTTATGCACCCTACCGTCCTCTCTGGCGTAACAGTGGATATGTTAGTTGCTCGAGACGAGACATTTGGACCTCTGGCTCCGATCTTCCCATTTGATACAGAGGAGCAAGTCCTACACCTGGCTAACAGCACCGAATTTGGCCTTGCTGGGTATATCTTTTCTGGCAACGTGGCGCGTGTTATGCGTGTGGCAAGAAAGCTTGAAATTGGAATGTGTGGTGTCAATACGGGAAAGATTAGTGCAGCTGAATCGCCTTTCGGAGGCGTAAAAGAGAGTGGCTATGGTATAGAAGGAAGTAAATATGGAATGGCTGAGTATCAGACTATCAAGACAATTACTCTGGGGAACCTTCACATGTAATGTGAAGCCCAATACTTGATACAGTTACTTGAAAACAGAAGACTTCGAATAAATTTCTCTCCCTCTTAATATGTTAAAACAACTACATTAGCTCCACAGTAATATCTGGAATAGCCTCATAAATTTATGCTTTACCCGATGTCTCTTTCAGTCACCGTTCCAGACACTCAGGTCCTTATATTCCGGAAGTGTGAGTATATCTCTTTGTGAACTTTATGTATTGAACACCGGGCATATCAACTGAGCCAGATGTTGTATTATTGCAAACGTGGTCAGTCATTCAACACGTAAAACGAGTTCCGGGTCCGGGGTACCCCGGATTTCTGAGGTTTTACCCCCCGGGTGGAAGTAAGTTAAAACACTACAAGAACCAACAGAAGTTCCAGTTCAAGGTTGTTCCCCTACAATCTCGACATATCATTTTCAATTCCCACGTTCACTATGAACTTTGAACTCGAGGGTACGAAGCTCTCGCTGGGCGTTGCCTTCACCACTTCTTGCGGCTTCTTGCTCTTTGGTTACGACCAAGGAGTCTTTGGCGGCCTCATTGAAAACAAGAGCTTCCAATCAACCTTCCAGCAACCTAGTCAAATGATAATCGGACAGATTGCTGCAACCTATGACCTCGGCTGTTTCTTCGGTGCCATATTCTGCATGGTCTATGGAGATCGAATTGGTCGTCGGCTTTCCATCGCCCTAGGATGTATCGTGCTCACGATCGGGGCCATAATACAAACAGCGTCGTTCAGCGTAGCGCAGATCATCGTCGGCCGATTCATTGCTGGGCTGGGAAACGGTCTCAACACAACTGCAATTCCAGTCTGGCAGTCCGAGATGTCCAAGCCTCAACACCGTGGTCGCCTGGCCGTTTTCCACCTCGTCCTCAACCAACTAGGCAACGTGACGGCCCAGTGGCTCAATTTTGGTCTTGGATATATCGGCCATCAGCAAGTCTCCTGGAGATTCCCGATTGCCTTTCAGATTTTCTACGCCCTTGTTACACTCGTTCTGCTTCCATGGTTACCTGATTCGCCACGTTGGCTCATTCAAAAGGGTCGACTCGAGCAAGCCAAGGCTGTCACAGCCCGACTCCATGCCAAAGGTATCCATGATCCCGATTTATTGGCTTTACATGAAGCATCCGTTCAAAGCGTTCAACATGAGCTTGAAGTCTCCAAGGTCAGCTGGCGCACTCTCTTGCAAAGGGACAGCCTACAAACCAGAAGGAGAGTCCTCCTAGGAATGGGCACTCAGTTCATGCAGCAGTGGGGTGGCATCAATGCAATCAACTACTATTTGCCCGTTGTATTTGCCTCTCTGCAAGTCTCCCGCCAAATGTCACTGATCCTGTCCGCTTGCAATGCGATAAATGTTATGGTTTTCACTGCGGTCGCCCTGACAACCATTGAGAAGGTTGGCCGGAAACGACTCATGCTATGGGGCGCGGTGGGCCAAGGCACTTGCTTTGCCCTGTTGACGGCCGGCCTGGGTGTCGGAGGAAGTCAATGGTCAGCAGTTGCAATTGCATTTGTGTTCGCTTACTATACTGTGTTCGGCATGTCCTGGATTGCCATACCGTGGATGTATCCGGCAGAAATAAACACCCAAGCCTGGCGCAACCGTGGCGCTGGACTTGCGACTGCGACCAACTGGATCTGCAACTACGCCGTTGTCTTGGTGACCCCCATTGGTATCGATAATATTGATTGGCGTTACTATATAATTTATGTTATTTTGAACTTTTCTTTTGTTCCTATTGTTTCTTTGTGGTATGTGGAAACTGCCGGTTTATCTTTGGAAGAGATTGATAAAATCTTTGAGGGACAAATACACAGTGTTCCTCTGGATGTGTCAAAAGGTGGCGCTACCACTGACAATGAAGAAGGCAAGGCTAGACAGGATGAGGTCAACAGTGAATGGATTGAAGCTGTTGATTCAAGCAAGCGAGGCTAGAGGAATCTTGTTACTTGGCTTGGGGCGTTTTGCCGGTCACTCGCTTCACCGATCCAAATGCACCCCTCCGCATCCATGGATGACTAATGGGACCACCGATACTCATTGGATACTGTCTTACCGCCTATTTCATCACCGCCTTCTTGAAGCATATACGCTGATTTCAATTTGAATTATGGTGGCCTTAGGCCTCAATTAATGCCTTAGGCAGAGACCCCTCCGTAGGTGGCCTCCATAGCAATCAACTCTCTTCCTCCCCACTTTCTAGCATACACCTTGTAGATACCACAATAATATGTTCTCGCGGTATGTATTATACTCCAATTTTGTATACAAGACTTCAATTCAACATCCTTCAATTTGATGTATGATGTACTTAGTTTTTGTAAAGCGAGAGTGGATCGAAATTACTGCATGGCAATATTAACCAATAAGAGGGTTATGTATCGGTGGTCCACTTAGTCGCCCGTACACGTCTCCGGGATTCGAATCCCGGCCCTCAACCATCTTGAGTAAGAATTAGATTATGAATCGCTATCCCTCTAAATTAATCTGAATGAGATCTGAATAAGATTTGGCAATGCCTCAAGCCAAGACCGTCAAGCCTGTACGCAAACACGTTACGACTGCATGCATTCCATGTCGAGACGGAAAGATAAAAGCATGTAATCCCGGAATCTGAGAATTGCTCGTGCTTGACTGACTATCGGATTGGGCTAGTGCGATGGATCAAAACCCTCATGCAAGAACTGCGAGTCCAAAAACAAGGATTGTACATACAGACAGCGCAATGACAAAAGAAAGTAGGTTTTGATATAGCCGCAAAGAAAGAGATCTCTCTGTATTAAGCCATCAACAGGATCCCTGTCCGCGTTGCCGTTTCGCTCTTGGCTTCAAGAGTTGCAGTCCTATCTCAACATATCCAGAATGTGGGCTTCAGAGTTCCGGATATGGACAAGAATGACCGAGATACCCTAAGAGGCATTTTGCACAGCTTAGGAATTGCCTGCGAGAATGTGTTAAGTGACGAAAATACATCCCATAGCGCAGGAGCCAGCTTTCCCGGGAGCCAGAGACCTGTTGATACGACCCACTTCGTGGCCCATGACCAGACAAACATCACTAGTTCTCAACCACCGGCTCCAGGATGCGATAATTATCATCCTGAGGATGATTTACCTCCACTTCATGAGCAATCTGCTGGTCAGATATCAGCAGAAAATGTCCCAGAAGATGCAGTGCTGCTAGATTATGATGATAATATAGCCCATATTCAGAATGGCGCAGGGCCGAGTCAGCTTTCCGAATCATATCGCACGCATGTTGTGGCACCGACACAGTTTCCCCCAATGATGACGTGATACCCAGTGAAAACCCGGAAACCGACAGCGAGGACGAAGTCACCAATCAATTTGCATGTCGCTTGGGGCGTGTGCAGTTGACGCACGACGGTCACCTACGGTATTTTGGGTCGACATCTAACCTAAACTTGCTTGACGTTTCAGTCGACACTAGACATCTTACATCTTCTCTTTTTCAGAAAGATGCACAAGAGATAATCGAGGATTTGGATCTCAACATAGAAGTGGAGGAGGCTTTTGAGAAGCATCTACTCCAGCTTTACTTTGCCTGGCAAGACCCATGTCTGCATGTTGTTAACAGTGAAGCGTTTTGGAAGGCCAAGTTTCAGAATCGATATGAAGGCTCAACTTCAGCTTATTATTCGCAGGCTTTATGCGATGCAATGTGAGCATATCCCTTGACTTTGAAAACTTCATGCTGATAAAATCAATAGGTGTGCAATGGGTGCAGCTTATGAGCCCAAGTATCATCCAGATCTTGTCACATTCCCTCGGTCTTTGTCACAGTTTTTCGGGGATAGGGCCAAAGCCCTCCTGGAACTGGAGATTGAAAACCCTTCACTGGCAACAATTCAAGCGCTGGTAATATGCAGTAATTATGAAGCTTCAGGTACTAGAGATACTCGCGGCTGGCTGTACAGTGGTAAGTCAAATTTCTATCTCCTTGGCTATTGGAAACTGATTCACCTTAAAAAGGGATGGCCATGCGACTTGCATTTGACCAAGGTCTCCATTTGGACGTCACCCCTTACGTGGAAAAGGGTATCATCACGGCCGAGGAATATAATATTCGACGAACAGTTTTCTGGGGCTCGAGTCTCAACGACCAGTATGGCATCTCTACATGCCACTTATCAAGCCTTGCGGCCTAACTAATACTTCATAGATTTTGGGGATACTATTTGGGACGGTCTGTCCGAAGCCCGGTAGCTGGCGTCTCTGTTCGAAAACCATGCTGGAATGACAGGTCTCCTACGTCTCACCAGACACCACGTTGGAGAGCTTATGGATGCCCGCAAGTCAATATCCAAGGTATAGCTAACCCATCTGAGATGATATTCCAGCAGTGGGTCGCTTTATATGACTTGATGTCCCCTGTAACTGATGTACTGTGAGTTATTAGAATTCTGATGCGCATCCTCATCAAACAAAGATACTAATCTCAATCAAGTTATGGCTGTTTGGAAACTTCGAGGACAGCGCTCCAAGAGCTCACCGCTGACACTGTCGCACGGCTGCTTGCTTGGAAAAATAACCTGCCCAATGACCTTAACGTTGATGCGACCAAAGAGTCCTACTACTATTTGCCCCACGTTCTCACCTTGCAGTAAGTTGATTATTTGGTATGATACGCTCATGTACTAATTTAAGAAGCTTGCAATATTATCAGTTTATGATTCACTGTCATCGCCCCTACATATCGAAAAGTCATATACAGCCCAGACCATTGCAAGGGCCTGGACCTGGACATGCACACAGAATGTGTCTCGAATCGGCAATCTCGATAGTCAAAGTCCTCAACATGTATGAGCGGCGATACGGTTTTCGAAAGGCAAATGTTCAGATGGTGTCGTACGTGTTTTCAGCAGCACTTATACTCATGTTTGTCACTGTTCCAGGCCAAAGCAACACTCAGCACTCTGACCTAGTAAGGTACCTGAGTACATGCTTCTGGGCATTGGATGAAATGGGCACTTGCTTTGAAAATGCGAAGCGAACAAGCAGATTTCTGAGTACTATTCAGCAACAATGGCATAAACGCAAGCGGGGAATGGCACAAAAAGGCGCAAAAAGGGGTCCACAGAACGAGAATAGTCCCGGCAAGCATCCGAAAAGGTCGCGAAATACAGCTGGAACACAGAACTGGCTGGGTAACAATCTATCTGGCTCTGCAGAACTGGGCATGCCTGTTGCCGTGGACTCGCCAATGTCTCACGAGACTCACGAATTTTCATTCTTTGGAGACGATGGGCCTGATTTGGTTGAATTTATGGATCCGGAGCTGTGCAATATTTTACTGAGTGATGGAATACCGCGAGCACTGAATTAATGAGGTAGTTTGTTTTTATATTTCAATTCATTTTACAAATGCAGCTCATATTCTATCAATTATTTTGATCTGCTGATACTGATAGTTTTATTTTGCTTGTGCATTCATTCTCAATCTATATGACACTTCGATGGCCAGACTTAGATTGATTGCCAACCCATCTGTCTTGCACTGCGGCCGTTCAAGAACGTGAGGTATCTCTTAACTCGAAAGACAATTCCGCGCGTATCCAATCCGAAGCGCTCGTAGTTGCTCGGGCTAGACGCAGAGTAACCGTAGGATGTCATGCCCACACTGGCTGTAACATAACGTGCCCACGTGGTGGCCACATATTCCTCCACACTGATGATGGGGTTACCATCAAGGGGGAAAACAGACTCTCTGTATTTTGCGGGCTGCTGATCAAACAGATCTAAGCTAGGAGCACTGACAATCCGGCAACGAATCGAAATTTGCTCACTCAGCTCGTTTGCAGCACGAATGGTGTAGTGCAAACTCGTACCACAGCTGACTAGTGTCAGCTGGGCGTCTGGATGCTCCTGAAGTACGTATGCTCCCTTGGATACGTTAAATCTGCTTGTAATTGCTGGTTGGTCGGCTGGATCACGACCAACAGAAATCATCGTTGGACTGCTTGCGGATTCAACGGCCCACATCCAAGCGCCGATCACCTCTTCGGCATCAGATGGCCGGATGTATGTGAGATTTGGCATGGCCCTATATAAGGAGTCAAGCTCCACTGGCTGATGAGTAGGCCCATTCTGGCCCTCGGCTAGTCAATGTTAGGTGGTCTCCCAGACACTAGTTACGAATTGTCTTACCGAACGAGTCATGAGTTGCGATATGAATAGTTGGAAGATGACTAAGAGCTCCCATGCGCACTCCAGGTGCTGCCTGTAAGGATTTTGGGCCCCTGGTCAGCTTGTAAGCAGAGCTAGGGGTATCCCTTAAGAACTTACATAGATGTAGAACATCAAAAATGTTGCGGTGACTGGCAAAAAGGTTCCCGGGTTGAACGCTGCAAGACCATTCGAGATAGAGGCCATAGCATGCTCTCTGATCCCATATCTGATATATCGGCCCTGGTAGCTGACTGAGGGGTGAAAGACATCGGTGTCCGAGTAAACAAACTTGTTGGAGTTGACCAGGTCTGCACCACCACCACAAAATGAAGGACATATCTCCCAAAGCTTTTGAAGAATGAGTCCATTTGACTCCCTGGTTGGCATTTGGCTGAACTGTCTGCTATCCAAATCTTGGAGAAGTGACCCTAAGTCTGGCTTCGTACCCCGTAGTCGAGAGGCAAAATCGCTTGCCAAATCGGGGAACTCGAGGGTGTAATTCATCAGCAAATGTTGCCAACTCTTTTCCAAGGCTTCTCCGTGCTGTTTTCGTTCGCGGAGGTAGTTCAAACCACGCGCAGTGGGTTTGTGACTTTCACAGGGATCTTGTCCAATCGCCAACTTGGACTTCGCAACACTTTCAACGTCAAAGCTTCCATGGTGTGCTTTCGCTGTTCCAGCTGTGCTAGTACCAACACCAATGACGGTACGGATGTTGATAAAAGTGGGCTTCCCTTTTAAGGATTGGGCATCTCTCAGAGATGAGCAAATGGCTTGAACGTTATAACATCCGTCCATTACATCAAGAACATGCCACCCCGAAGCCCGCATTTTCTGGTTGATATCCTCGGTATTAATCCACGAAAGAGGGCCATCACAAGTGACACTGTTGTTGTCGTAGACTAACACCAGATTGTCCAGTTGGAGATGGCCTGCCAACGAAATTGCTTGAAGTTTTCTCAGTATATGTTTATTTCATCGTTCTGAACCAATTGGAAAATACCTTCCAGAGCAACACCTTCCATCAAACAGCCATCACCAGTCATGCAGTAAACTCGAGAGCTGACTACTTCATAACCGGGTCTGTTAAACCGGGCTGCTAGGTTCTTGGAGGCAATAGCCAAGCCAACCGAGTTGGCGATTCCCTGTCCCAATGGGCCAGTGGTAACTTCAATACCGGGGCATTCAATTTCCGGATGGCCGTGTGCGATAGTGGTGAAGCCATTTTCCTTCCCGCCACCATAGCCCTTTAGCTCATTCATTGTCCAAGCATCGAATCCTGTCAAGTAGTTGAGGGCATACAAGAACATGGCACAATGTCCTAATTTTGTTTGTCAGCTATATCGTCAATATTTTAGACCTGAGAAATCACATACCGTTGGAAAGCACAAATCGGTCTCTATCGAACCAGTCTGGATTTGAGGGGTTATACCGCATGATGTGTTTCCATAAAGCCACACCTATAGCAGCCATACCAATAGCAGATCCACCATGGCCTCCACCATTCTGGTTGCAGATGTCGAAAATCAAATTTCTCAGCGTAAGAACCGCGTGCTCATCGTCGGGCATGCTGTTTACGTCCTTGGTGCTGACTCCAGTAAAAGTCATGATAATTGATAGAGTATTCAGTCAGAATAGTACATAAAAGAGAAGAGCAAGATATGTCGAATAACTCGCGATAAGCTTGAGGGTCATCTTATAAGATGCTCGGAGTCTATTCTCTTGTACCGGGATCGCATTCCCGATAATGGAAAGGCAGAAAAGTGAGGTCACATAATTCCGGATGCCCTCCGGGGCCTACAATCAATTTGATAATACACTAGAAAGAAAACGATTGAGACATTTTTTGGCTATTCTATCTCGCGTTCAATTGCGTATGATGCAATATCTGCACTCGGCATATGCTATCACCATGAGATCTTCATGCCCCAGACAAGTTTAATGGCTGCTCACTGGGCAATATCGAGCTGCTTCCCTCGTCGAGGCGATATTACTTTCTACTGTGAAGCCTTGTATCCAAAAGCTTCTATGTAGTTCTGGCTATGATTACGCAAATGCGGAAAGTGCTCAGTTAAACGACTCTACTCCTAGCAACAGACTTATGTGACGTCTCCTAAACAATTTTAAGATTCGGGGAATCTACGTCTACAATCGAAAGTGATGGCCTCGAATATTTTCAATATATTTGTCAATTATATATTTTGATCAGAGCTTAACGACTGTCTTAATAACCAACTTAGAGTCTCCATCTCGTGTCTTCCCGGCAGTGTCATAGGCCGATGGAATAGAATCGAGCCCGACAAAATGATGCGTAATGAGTTTCGTCACGTCTGGTTTGAGAGAATTGGCTCTCACACCCTCCATGATCTCGATTGCTCGAGGATAGCAATTCACATAGCGCCACACTGATACCACATTGATCTCACGACCCGTGAGCTCTGCGATAGGCCATGTTTGAATGGCAGTTCCCATTCCCACAAGCACAACATTTCCGCCATTTTTAGTCGCCTACAGTGGAATTAGCTTTCTGGCAAGTTTGAGAATTGAAAGAGAGCTCACATATATCGATGTTTGCACGCAACTTTCGACCCCTGTACACTCAAAAACATGGTCAACCTGGCGTACCTCTTCACCTCCTGGCCATTGCTGGTTGCCAATCTGAAGGGCCAGATCCTTCGCAACGGAAAGACGGCTTTCAACAGTGTCCCCTTTCTTCGGGTCAACCACGAATCCTACGTCTGCAAAGCCGTGTTCCAGGGCGAATGCAACCCGGCCTTTGTCAACATCGGCAATCACAACAGGGCTCTTATGTTCAATTTTTGCAACAGCAGCGCACAGGAGACCGACTGCCCCAGCACCAAGAACTAAGCATTGCGCCCCTTGCTTCATACCGGCCCTGTTGACAGAATGAACACAGACGGACAGGGGCTCCAGCAAAGCACCATCATCAAATGAGAGTGCCGTTGATAACCTGCAGGTATTTTTTATCAGCTCTAGCCCGCTTCCTTAAACGGTAAAACACTTACTTGTGACACCACTCAGCGGGATGGTCGACGAACTCCTGAAGAGTTCCCTGGAAATGGGGGAACGATGCGCCGCTGCTTCGGAAGCGCATTTTGGCGCAGATATTATATCGGCCAGCTTTACATCTGTCGCATTCCAGACATGCAACACCACTCTCTATTGCCACCGAGTCGCCGACTTTGAACTTCCCAGTTTCCAGAGCGGTCGCGCCAACTTCCACCACCTCACCCGCTGCTTCGTGTCCACCACACAAGGGCTCTTTGACTTCGATTGATCCATTTCTGCCAAACTTGAAGTAATGCATGTCGGAGCCACACAAGGTTGTTGACCGGACGCGGATTCTCACATCAGACGGGCCGAGAGAGGGCATTGGTCGCTCCTCAAGACGCAACTGCTGCGGGCCGTGCAGGTACTGGCCCTTGCTGGTTCTGGGAGAACTGGCCATAGTTCTTTTGTTTTCTTGTTGAATTGGTCCTGGTGGTAAAAGCCGTCATAGAGCGTCTCAGACGAAGGAATAGTCGTCTCCACAAATAGTAGGGCCGTGAAATGAGTTCCGATCCCCGGATAATAATCTCAAGTCAAGTTTCCTGGCCTTGCATGCAGATATTCCGATATACCAGCGTCGGGATTAGTCTCCCGGAAGGGAAATGGGGTTCTCTACAACAAAAAGGGCAGCCATAAGACGACGACTTGGAAAGAACCTGTTGTCCAACCTTTCTGATCTTTGTACTTCTTCCATCATTGATTGTGACAAAATGGCTTCCTCTTACGCCCCTACTGCCATCATCATTGGTGCAGGTCCTGGTGGTATCTCAATGGCCTATCGTCTAAAGCACGAATTGGGCTTTAATGATTTCCTGGTAATATCTATACTTGGTTCACCGATTATGCAGCAAGTTTTGACATGTTGCAGATATACGAAAAATTGGATGGTGTGGGCGGCACTTGGCGATCAAACAGCTATCCTGGCTGGTAAGCGTTCTCGACAAGAAACAGCTTTCTCATATCACTAACAGTTGCACCTCAGTGGTTGTGATATTCCTTCGCACCTTTACTCTTTCAGCTTCAATCTCAATGCCAATTGGTCAAAGGAACTGTGTGAACAGCCCGAAATCTTGCAATGTTGGTCAACCTGCACTGAGTTTTCCACCTAAGTCGCGGCATGTTGGCTGACAATATATTACATCTAGACATTGAAGACACTGTCGACAAATTCGATCTACGGCAACATGTCATTACCTCGGTGGAGTGCTTAGGGGGTGCTTGGAACGAGGATGAAAAAGAGTGGACTGTGAAATTCCGCGACGTAGAAACCGGTCTGGAATTCGAGCGCCACGCGACTGTCTTCGTTTCCGCAGTTGGTGCTATCTCCTTTCCCCGGGATGTGAGATTCAAGGGGATGGAGAATTTCAAGGGTGACATGTTCCACACTGCACGCTGGGACCACTCGGTTGACTACACTGGCAAGCGAGTGGTAAGCAATCTCATTCTTTCTGATTCGATCCATTACAGGTCTAACCTTTTCTTAGGCAGTGATTGGAAACGGTTGCAGTGCCGCCCAAGTCGTGCCTGCTGTTTCCGAGAAAGCAGCTTTCGTGCAGCAATACGCTCGCAGTGCACAATGGTATCACCCACGTGTAAGTCAATTTTGATACTAGTCCTTTGCTTGGTACCGTACCTCAGCTAACCTGAAGTTACTGAAAGCCAAATAAATCCTTTTCACAGCTCGAAAAATGGTCGTTCAGGTGGTTGCCTCTCTGGCAACGATGGCTTCGCCTGCGCATTTTCCTCCAAGCGGAGCAGGAGGCTTACACTTATTTCTCCTCGGAGGATGGCATCAAGGCCAGGCTTGCGGCGGAGGATGAGTCCCGAGAATATATCCTCTCTCGTACCCCTCAGCAATACAAGAAGGCCGTGGTGCCTGATTTCCCTTTGGGTATGGAAGCAGCCCACTGTACTGAAAGATAAAAGCTTATGTTGTCGCACAGGATGCAAGAGACGCATTTTCGATCCTGGTTATCTTGATTCCCTTCATCAATCCAATGTCAAGCTTCGCAATGAGGGAATCCAGGAGTTTACCGAGAACGGTATCATCGGATCTTCGGGAATTGAAGACGAGTTTGATATTATTGTGCTTGCAACCGGCTTTCAGGTCTCGCAGTTCCTTGCACCTATGGAGATCTATGGTCGACATGGCGTCTCTCTAAACAAACAGTGGAGCGAGTCTCGAGGAGCGCAGGCTTACTACGGCACGTTCGTGCACAACTTCCCCAACTTGGCCATCATGTAAGTGAATTTAAGGAATATATAATTGATCCCAGCTTACATATATAGATTTGGTCCCAACAGCTTCCCTGCAAACAATTCGGCTCTTTTTGCCTGCGAAACTCAGGTTTGCTTCGCGGTCAAGGCACTCTTCGAGCCAATCCTCGACCATCGAGCTCGAGTGGTGGAAGTAAAGCAGTCTGCAGAGGAGAGGCATACCATCTCTCTTCAGGGGCAGCTTAAAGGCACTGCTTTTGCGGGGGATTGCTCAAATTGGTACGTCAATGAGTTTGGTCGAAATGCTGCTTCGTGGCCGGCGAGGGCTGCTTTCTTTTGGTTGGAGACATTCTGGCCAAATTGGAAGGCATTCATCTGGAAGGATGGCTCCGCTACATGGCCCTTGTACCGATTTGCTAGATGGTGGAAAATGGGTTCGTGGTACTCTAAGGCAAGCATTGCGGCGATAGTCGCCATCTTCCTGTCGCAAAGTAGAGCCGGTAGTACCTTGGGGGTCACTGGGGCTTTGGAGACCTTGCATGAGCGTATTGGAGCTCTGGCGTGCTACATTGCTAGCTAGGTGTGTAAGTTAGTTTGTTGTATAGGATATCCTGATACGCCCAAAGAAATGTTGTTGGGTGCCTGGGTACCTCAGGTACCCATGGACCCATAATGAGACAGATCCCTCCTGTAGATAGTTTTTCCTCTCTCTCTTCTTCTTTCCTTTCCCCTGTCCAATCCCATTACTCTGAATCTACTTGCATGGTTTTCTCATCAACATTCCATCAGTAGTTTCTACATTAAATGTTTTGAAAGAAAACGTCCGAAAGCTACCCGTAGCCCGCAAATACTGTACAGTATAGAGTTCATGGGGGAAACCTCTTTCTCTCATGTAGATCCATTAATTTCTACCAGATGTCAAAGTAGGTCCACGTTAAATGTCACATAATCGAAGGACAATACGTAACGCTATCAAAACTTCCGAAGAGGGGTACTAGTGCCGGCTTTTGAATCCCGAGCAATGGGCATAAAAATAACCAACCGATTTCCTTAAAAAAAAAAAAAAGAACAAAGCCATCATTTTCAATTTCCTACATAAATATTTTACACCCGGATTATATTATAGGTTGGAGATGACTAAAATGAAGGCCAATATCGGTGTGGTTGGCTTAGGCCGGATGGGCCAGCGTCATGCATTGAATATTCTCCACCAAGTCCCCCGAGCCAAGCTCTTCGCAGTTTGTACACCAGCACCTCATGAGATCGAATGGGCAAAGGCGAAGCTTGTACCAGATGGGGTGCATGTATTTCAGAGCTTCGAAGAGATGATTGGCACGCCTGGCCTAGACGCCGTGGTCATCGCGTCGCCAACCGAGCTACACATAGCGCAGACATTGACCGCTATGCAACTCGAGATACATGTTCTTTGTGAAAAACCGATCACAAGAGACATCTCACAGGTAAGCTATTCGATTTAGCCTCTGAACTACTAGTGCTTATTCCGCGTTTGTAGTTACGTGATTTGATGGAAACAGCAAAGCAGCATCCCCAAACAAAGGTTATGGTTGGATTCGTCCGCCGTTTTGACGAAAACTATATGGATGCCATACAGAAGATCAAGAGTGGCGCCATAGGCGAGCCTCTTATTGTCCGTTCACAGGGTGCCGAGAAGCTGGATAAAAGTGGCTTCTTCATCGAATATGCTCGGCAGAGTGGTGGAATTTTTGTGGACACCGTCGTTCACGACATTGACTTGACTTTATCTATCCTAGGTGAAGAAGTCAGACCCAAGGCTCTCTGGGCTACTGGAATCATTGCCCATCATCATGAAATGAAAGATTTCAAGGATGTCGATAACTCCGTGGGTGTCGTTGAATTCTGGGGTGGCCGAATCGCCCACTACTATCATTCCCGCACAACCTCACACGGGTATGACAACTGCACGGACATCATTGGCATGAACGGAAAGATCTCCATTAACTCGGTACCTCACTCCAATCGAGTTCAGGTATCGAACGCGTCTGGAATCATGCAAGACTGCACCCCTAGTTGGATCGATCGATACCGAGAAGCCTTTGTAACTGAGCTGAATCAATTTACCGACGCTATTCTGGACAATACGGAACTTCCAATGAGGCTTTCCGCTGCCTATACAGGTCTCAAGATCGCAACTGCCTTCCAGGAAAGTTTGGAAACTGGTCGGAAGATCGAGTTTGATGAAAATGGTGACCGGATCGTGTCCAACGGCAAATAGACATTTGGAATTACAATCCCGAGTTTACCTTATTCTCCAAATTCAAATGTACTTTCAGATTCTCAAATCTCCACTCCGGGAAAAGTAGGTCCCGAATTAAGTTGATGATGACAATTCCTAATGCTACTGTACCAATTTCAAGTGGTCAATGGCATTCCAAATATCGGTTTTATTTGAGAACAAAGAACCTATAAACCAAAGGTCCTAATTCGGACATATTTAAGCATCTATAGCTTATAGTTTCCAGAGGAGACTTGCATGCCACCATCGATAGCAAGATCTTGTCCAGTGACATAAGAAGAACCATCACTCAACAAATACAATGCAGCCAGTTCCACGTCCTGTGGTGTTCCGACGCGCCCAAGAGGTGGTGCTTCATTGAAAATTTTGAGCAACTCCGGTCGAAGAGATGCAAGTGAGAGATTCATGTCTGTGGCAATGTATCTAGATTTGTTTGAGCGATAAGTTCTCGATGCGTCAGGGAGCTCCTTACCCCGGAGAGACAGTATTAACACGGATTCCATCAGGAGCCAGCTCGTGAGCCAGACTTCTTGCCATTGAGAACACAAAGCCCTTGCTTCCCGCATAGGCAGTCAGCAGATGACCAGGGCAGACATGTTGCGCTGATTGTGAGCAAATCATCACGATACTTCCTTTAATACCATACTGCTTCATATTATTCACGACATTCTGTACCGCGAAGAATGTTCCCGTCTCCTTTTCAGAGTTAGCATTTGCTTATCATGCAGCTAACTAGAAACGTACATTCACAGCTTGAAGATTTTGAATATCTTCCCACTCATGCTTCAAGAATGGCTTGTCAATACAGATTCCGGCTGCCGTGACTCTGTTCAACATTGATTTGTGAGCGATGGATTACCCTTTACTGGTGCAGACTAGCTTGATCTCACACTCCGTGGATGTAGTGGAATTTCTCTAGGATGCTGGTAAAAGTGCGTTCGACCTCCTCCTTACCGGTCAGGTCACAACTTCAAAAGGTAAGTCATTTGTGATCTTTCCAGTCAAATAGGATCTCTTACCAGTAGTAGTGAAGCTGATTTGGAGTACTCTTCTGCCAGTCAAGAAAGACGGGGTCAGGCTGGGGTAGAACGTCGGTGACCACTACAGTGGCACCAGCATCCACACAGGTTTTCGATAGTGCCATGCCAATACCCCGACCACCACCTAGTAACGTGTTAAGAGTTTATTTGAGGTCTTTGGGGAATGGTGCTGTTTACCAGTGATTAGGATCACTCGGCCACCGAGGCTGAAACGAGCCGCCAAAGAGGATGCAAGGTTGGCCATGATGTTTGTTAAATCTTAATTGCTGTCAAACGGAATGAATCAACTTATGAAGTATGAATGAAACAAAGAACTCACTACAGGGTGAAGACAAAATGCATTTATATTTGCATTATACTGGAAAATATGGGTCCAGCTGGTGGAGAATGACTACCCGGGACTTATATCCCGCCGGGAATCATGTTTAACAATATTTCAATTCCCTTTTTTTCCTCTCCAAATAGAGGTTCATTTAATTTGTTCTCTCTTTATTTAAACAAGAATCCCTCAAGAAGAAGGCACGGGGATGAACTTCGCGTTCACCATCCGGTCAAATGTAACTTGATAACCCTGGAGAGTATCAATCTGCTCGTTGAACCCAACGGATCGAGCCGCCTCAAGAGAATACTCCCGGGCAAAGTCAAAATCAACAAGCATGAAGTTCGCATGGCCCCAGTTCTGCGACTCAATGAGGCCCTTCTTCAGGTCATGAGTCAAGACCAAGCGGTCCCAAATCGCCTTATTTTCGGCAACGAAATCCTGCATATTCTTCTGCATGCCATCTGGCTCGACACCACTGAGGCCAAAATAAGAGCAAATTCCTGGCCAGACCTGAGCCCAGGTGACAGCCTCTCCGTCGCCACAATTAAAGCTTGATCCGTTTTGACACTTGTCGCGGTTAAGAGCAGCGAAGATTTCCATCTGAGCAAGGATGTCTTGGAAGGTGTCGGTGTGGCGAGTGTGGTAACCGTGCGGACGACCGGGGAATGGAACTTTGGCATCCTTTCCATTGACTTCTCTGTACAGAGTCAAGTAGAAGGCAATGCCATATGCCATGTTCATGACGTTGGAGCCAGGGGCGAAGCCGACAATCCCATCCGGTCGAATCTCAGAGAAGGTCCAGTTTTGGTCTTCAGAGAGTTTCTTTAAGAGATCATACTGGTCGTAGTAAAAAACGTTCTCTCTCCATGGCGAAGGAATGCGGGGCATCTTCTCGTGGAGAGGAGGCTGGATGTTGACCTCTTTAGGGAACTCCAATCCATACCCCTTGCCACCAGTCTGCAGGATGACCGCTTCCATTGTGGGTGAAACAGCGGAGATGGCTTTAATGGCGGTTTGGAGAAGATCGGTGTTGACCTTGCGCAGCGACTGGAAGTCGCCAGTCTGAATGTAAGCTGTGCAGAAGTTAGTATATTTGCCTTCAAAGAAGAATCAAGCAACGTAGCAAATACATACCACAAAAGAAAACCACGTCGACTGACTCCACCTTCTCGACCTTCTCTTTAAGCTGAGCTTTTACCGCTTCCACGGACTGTGTCAGGTCAATGCCCGACACAATATTCAGGCGCTTATCGTCAGGGAGATAAGCGTCCTCGTTGATCCATGGCCGATTGCACAGGCCAGTCACGCGGTTAAAGGTCGTCGGGGTTGGGTATTGGAGGGTTTGGTTCAAGAGAGACCATCCGGAGATTCCAGAGGCTCCAAAGATAAGGGCATGCTTTCCAGTTTGGGCCATGACGACATCAAATGTGTACAGTGTTGAAAGATTAGACAGTAGGGAGACTCAGATGGGTCTTTAAATCCTTTTTCTTCACCGAGGCTGGTCATGGTTTTCGTCTTCGGGTTTCATATCCCGGATGACACAATGAGTGAGCGGAGATGAAGACAACCTTGGAATGTATTTCTCATCAGGCGGCTTATTTCCGCTCCTCATACCCGTACATTTGTTGAAATAAGGGGCTAACTGTGAAATCCTGAATTGCTGTGATATCACCGCGAAAATAGGATATATGGAAGACCTAACTGATTCTCTAATATAATCACAGATGTAGACAAGATAGGGGGGACACATAACTCTTTGGTTCATATTGCCAGGCTTCTCACTTCACAAGTACCACGTTGAATCTATAACTAGTTACTTTATATAGTATTTTTATAAATGAATACAGTTGAGCAACCTGTTACTATATGGGGAGAAAGCAGAGGAAGAAATATTAATTGACTAAACTAGAAATGTAGGGGGTTATATACCCTGCTAAAACAATCTAATCTCTGCTCGGTTGTAACAACAAGCTAACAAATAGCAAATAACGAATGTTGTATACCATTATAAAGTGTATAGTGTACAAATAAAAGAGAAGATTAGTAAATGCTTCAAGAAGGCAGTAATAAACTAGGCGGTGAGGTAGTAACCAATGAGAGAGTTATAGACGGTAGATCATAGGCCACATTATTTGCCGTGAAGATCAGGCATCTGGATCAATGCCAAGTGGACCGATGAATCTTCGCAATCGTTCTAGTAAAACCTGCTACTTACATCTTCGCTTCATGCTTCGTTTCGTGTAACCCCGGAATGTGAACCATGCTGTCTCAGCAACTTCCCTAAGGGGCTGTTGGCTAGGGCTTCCACACGTATACCCTTATTCAAAAATATATAACGACACGTCATTTCTGCCAGGGGCTTGAATTGGCCCGGAAAGCCCTATGACGACGGTGGCTTCATGAAGTAGCCATACAATATAGTTGCAGGCAATCTACTATGTTGTATAGAAAGTGATCGTCTCTTCCGTCATAGGCCTGAACACCCAAGATTACCAGAACCTCACGACAATCATGTTGTAGTTATTCAACTCTTCCAAAACTTCATATCTAACTAGGAATTATGACCGGTCACCGCACCCCAGATATATGCCACCCACGACCCAAGTGTCAGCAAAATCAGAGAGCCGAAGCAAATTATGGAAATCTTCCGAGTGCGTTGGCGCAGGGTTACCAAGTTGTGCTCTCGAATCTGCTCAATGATAGCCGCACCCGATGTCAACCGTTTATGCCGTGTCCACTGTAGCGGCGCCAGGTTATCGGTCAAAAACGAGCCGATCAGGATAGCGGCACCGACAACCAGAGCACCCGCACCAAGAACTAGATAGACCTGCACCACTCGACGGTATGAATTGTCATCTGCGTCTTGCAAAGCTCCCGTGATGATCCGAATTATAATACTCATACTGTTACGATTTCCAATGTCAGTTTGTGTCTCAAACCACATTTTCAATTCAGGAATGTTGGATCAAACTTACGCATTGTTCATGGTGACCTTCAATGCATACGCAGATCCAAACACCGATTGGTGCCATAGCGAGGTGCGAATGCTGTCGATGACCGAGGTTGGTCCGAGGGACACGGCGATAGCGTAGATACCGAATGCAGCTCCTGTGCCTGCATGTGATGTTGCGAAATTAATGAGAACCATACTCAGCAGCATGCCGAGACCGCAGACAAACACTAGGGAGGTCAGTATCAGTCATGTTTGGCTTCCTTTAGATCTCGTTGGTCGAACTCACAGACTGATGCTCGGTTGCCGAGGACATCGATAAACACGCCCAAGCAGGGAACGAGGAAGAAGCCTAGTTAATGTCAGCTTATATTCAGCCACAATCATCTTGCATCCTCGGAATATTCGTACCTGCATACTGCGAAAGTGAACTATACCATCCGGCCTTGATGGAATCCACATTGAATCGCTTCTCGGCCAGCTCGGTGGCATTTTGGCTGAAGACTGATGCAGCACTCGTTTGGAAAATAGAGAAGGCCATGACAGCCCAGAACATCCACGGGAGCTCGAACAGCTTTTGAAATTCGAACTTTTTGTTTTTCTCCGTCAGTTGTTCTTTGGTAGCTGTATCGCGTCGTCCCTGGTAGTGACGATTACAATACACGTTGAAGAACCAGAACCCTGCGCAAGCCACATTGGTGAAGAGATTCATGAACACCGAGGTCCAAAAGACCCAGGCAAAGTTCCCCGTTTTCTATGCACCTGTTAGCATGGCTTAACTAAGTCAACCGCAGGTGAAAATTAATCACCTTTGCAATGATATTAGCCGTCGACTTTCCAACAAACCCGCCTATCTTGCCGATGGCGAGCTCAAAGCCTAATGTGGATGCAAATCCACTACTAGGAGGAAACCAAGAGGAAAACATCTTATACTGCGCGATTTGGGTAGCGATATCGCCAAGTGCGAGGATAACCCGACCTCCAATCATGAAGTCGAAAGAGCGCACGGTCGCGGCAGCAGCTACAAGGATAGAACCGATGGTATAGACGATATTTCCGTAAACGATCATCTCTATTAGAAAATGCTGGTCAGTATATCTCTCGTTCATTTGACACACGCAGCAACATACGAGCTCCGCCAACTCGGTCGGTGATCACACCACTTATCAAAAGCAGAACTGTAGCCATGAAGTTTTCGCTGGCTTCCAAAAGCGAAAATTGAACATTATCGATATGCATTTGCTGCCAAATAAAAGCCGTCAGTGAATCCTGCCCATCGACATTCCCATAATCTTCAATACCTTTTTGATCGTGCTCTTCATAGCACCCGTCACGCCAGTGCTCCAGTGCGAGCCAAAGCTAATACACGATATCAGAGCGACCGCGATTAACTTTGCAGCAAGCGGTGGTGGCTTCTTTCCATTGGAGTCATCGCTAGATTGTTTCGATGGTGTGTGAATGGCTTCAGTGACAGGTGCCGACACCACGTCCACGGACTTGGAGTCCGAAGTATCAACTACCATAATCGCAACTCGATAGCGGATTGATATGGAAAGCTCCTAGCTCAAATAAAATAAAGAACTTTTGGCGAACTCAAAAAGGCTTCCATGCCATTACTATTTATGGCGCTCGGAGATTGATAAAAAAATCTACCGAGAGCGGAGTCCTACTAGTGCTTCGGTGAGCTGATCCCAGCGAAAGAAACCGCAGCTCCTCATCAGCTCGAATGTACGTAAAAAGGCAAAAAGAACACTAACACGGCGCTTGGCATAGCAACAGCATCAGATAAGATAGGGATCTATCCCTAAAAGGGTTTAGCGCTACGAATATACTCCAACTCGGGCTAACGTCGGTGAATTCTACTCCGTGGCTTTCTCTGGTCTCTTTAAGTCAATTGGACGCTCTCAGAAAAAGCCCACTCAAGCCCACGTGGAAGCCCACCGTTGAAAACACTTCTCGGCTTCTCTCCGAGCTGTGACCAGTTTAGCGAGAGCATGTTTTATTTTGGCCTCTGTCTAGACGACCCGCTCGGATTCTTAACACCGGTTGATTGCACCCTAGATCAGATAATGTTATTATTTCGGACACTCTAACCAGATCTAGCTATGATTTTTGCCTTCGGCAGTTCTCTAGCTCTTTTGGACTGTCTGGCAATATTGATATACTCTATCGAGCGACTTTATTGTTCGCCAATCACCGATCCGCTTAAGACTCTTCAGACGTGCCCACTGTAAACTGCCTCCCAAGAAAGGAAGCTCTGAAACAATCCGGACGTGTGCGCGGCCTCCCAGATATATGCAGCAGACTGAAAGAAAGAGGGTGGGAACGCAATACGAACGACCTCCCACAAAATATTTGATAGGCCAAATTAAAGGCGCTATATAAGCCGCTTACGTACCGTCAACATACGAGCTCGTTTCTCGTACATCTAGGCATGTATAACTATATGTTGTAGGAATGGACATAAACATGAAGAGAAGCTATGTACATTCCGCTAATAGACTAAAACAAGGTGTGTGAGCTATCGGCATCGACCCATTCCACCATGAAAAGGAAGAAAATCAGGCTGAATCCCGTAGCCATGCTGCAAAATACAGATACTATGCTAGAAAGCAATCTGATAAGCGAATGTTGGCAATCAATAAGTTAACTCCAAATGTGACATCGGGAAAATTCGTCTAAAACCATCCCGACGCCCTCCCGATGCATATATGATCAACGAGAGCAGAAAAAAAAATTAATGCAGTGCAAAACACATTCCACATTCCACGAATATTGAATCAGCCAAATCAGAGGCGTTCCATGAGCCGCTTTCGTACGGTCCACATACGAGCTCGCTTGCCGTACATGTACATAGGAATCGACATGAGCATGAAGAAGAGCTGTATACCGCCGATAGACAGGAACACGGTACGTGAACCATCGGCATCGAGCCAGTCCACGATGAAAAGGGAGAAAACCAATCCGTGGAGAATATCTGCAAGAAAAAAGGGTGTTAGATCAGACAAAGCGAATAAAAGAATCAAGAATAACTCAACATACTCTTGCTAAAGTTCAGTGTCACTAGCGCCTCCCCAGCATACTGGCGATAGCTATCTACACAAAAGGTGATGGCCGTCGTGCTACCCAAGCAGCAACCAAATGAGATCAAACCGAAGAAAATAGTCGGAACAATCCAAGAGTCACCGATTTCAGCACTCCATCCAAAAGCCATCAGACCGATGACAGTAGACAAAGCGATTGGGATTGCCATGACGAGACGGAATTCAGGTTCGTAGACACCGCCATTGCGTCTGGTCATAAAGCGTGCGATGATATCCGATACTTTGCCCGCCACTGCGGTTCCAAGGAGACCGCCAACAAATGGCGATATGTAGATCAGACCTGTCTGTAGTGCAGTGAAATGGTAGTGATCCCCGCCCTCGAAGATGTGGGCAACCGACTCCGAAAGCACGATTAGCCAG